TAATAAAAATAAAAAAGTTATTAATAAAAAATTAAATAATAACCTAGCTAGCTAGGTTTTTAAATTTTATTATATATAATAACTCTTTAATAAGCTAATATTATTTTTTATATATTTATTAATAATATATTTTATATATTATTATATATTTACAATAATAATAATAATAATAATAATAATAATAATAATAATAATAATAATAATAATAATAATAATAATAATAATAATAATAATAATAATATTTAATTATTATTAAATAAATTATTATATTAAATAAAGTTTATTATAACTAAAGTTTACTATACTTTTGCTATATTTAGTTATATTAATATAACTCCCCTTGCTAATGCGGGGAAATGGGGCAAGCGGGGGTAGAGACGGTTACAAGAGGTTCTACTCCCCCTCACGTGCTGTGGATTGAATATAGAATTCTACATAGATTCAAACCTTTCTGTAATGTAAAGAGTAGCTCACCGTTCAATGTATAGAGGCATATTTGCAACTGTTCCAAGTCTAGCCTGCAAATTCCCACGGACGCTGCCCTCCCCATTCATCTGCCGCCTCTCAACTGAAACTATGGCTAAAACAAGCACAACCCATAGGCTCGCTCAGCTGAGAGCTCTGATGAAGGAGCATAACGTTCAGATTTATGGTAAGGGTTTGCGGTACATTTAGCCTCAGTACCCGCCAGCCTGGCCAGTATAGATATAGTATCGCTCACATCTGTATTATTTTCAGTCGTACCGTCGGAAGATAGCCATAGTTCCGAGTATATTGCCTCCTGTGACGCTCGGCGCGAGTTCATCAGCGGATTCACAGGCTCTGCTGGGTGCGCCGTCATCACAGAAACCGCTGCAGCTCTCGCGACCGATGGACGATACTTCAACCAAGCTACTCAACAACTGGATGAAAATTGGACACTATTGAAGCAGGGGCTCCAAGATGTTCCCACCTGGCAAGAGTGGGCAGCCGAGCAGTCTGCTGGAGGAAAGTCTGTTGCCGTAGACTCAACTCTGGTCACGGGCTCTGCAGCAAAGAAGCTTGCAGAAAAGATTCGCAAAAGCGGCGGCTCTGACTTGGTTCCCCTTGACGTCAACTTGGTGGATAAGGTCTGGGCCGACAGCAGACCAGCCAGACCCCAGCAAGGCATCAGAGTTCTCTCCGAGAAATTTGCCGGCAAATCAGTTAAGAGCAAACTAGCGGACCTCCAAGCAGAGCTTGAGAAGAAGCGATCTCCCGGTGTGTTCATCTCGATGCTTGACGAGGTGGCGTGGCTATTCAATTTGCGCGGCAACGACATCCCCTACAACCCGGTCTTCTTCTCGTATGCCGTAATCACGCCAAAGGGAGCGGCTTTATACGTGGACGAGTCTAAGCTGGACCAAGACTGCCGAGCGCATTTGGCCAAGTATGAAGTTGCCGTCAAGCCATACGAGACTTTCTTCCGTGATGCGGAACAGCTCCATGCACAATTTGTCGCTTCTACTGAGAAGGAAGGTGGCGCCCCCGCGGGTAGCTTTCTCATGTCTAACAAAGGATCTTGGGCCCTGAAGAGAGCACTGGGTGGAGATGCAGCAGTCGAGGAGATTCGTAGCCCCGTTGGGGATGCAAAGGCTGTCAAAAACGAAACTGAAATGGAAGGAATGCGGGCCTGCCATATCAGAGACGGTGCTGCCCTCATCCAGTACTTTGCGTGGCTCGAGGACCAGCTTGTCAACCAAAAAGTTGTGCTGGACGAAGTACAAGCTGCTGATAAGCTAGAAGAATTGCGGTCGCAGAAGGAGCACTTTGTCGGATTATCATTCCCGACAATATCATCGACTGGCGCGAAGTGAGTTTATACCCTCGCTCCTCGTATCTCCCTCTACCTCAATGTTGTGCTGACAATGACCTATAGCGCGGCTGTGATTCACTATGGTCCTGAACGTGGAAACTGCGCTACCATTGACCCCAATGCTATCTACCTATGTGATTCAGGGGCTCAGTACTTGGATGGCACAACGGATACTACACGGACACTACACTTTGGGCAGCCCTCGGAAGCTGAACGAGAGGCTTACACGCTCGTTCTTAAAGGAAACATAGCCTTGGATGTAGCTATTTTCCCCAAGGGGACGACAGGATTTGCTCTTGATTCTCTAGCCAGACAACATCTCTGGGTGAGTCTACATGCATCTTCAGTCATGCAATTTTATCTTCGTTATGCTAATGTATTGCAGAAAGCGGGATTGGACTATCGACATGGCACTGGCCATGGCGTGGGATCATTCCTGAATGTCCATGAAGGCCCAATTGGCATTGGTACTCGCATCCAGTATACCGAAGTGCCATTAGCCCCTGGAAATGTCATATCGAACGAGCCAGGATATTATGAAGATGGTAATTTTGGCATTCGAATCGAGAACATCGTTATGGTTAAAGAGGTTGAGACCAAACATTCCTTTGGAGATAAGCCATTCCTTGGTTTCGAGCACGTAACCATGGTACCTTATTGCAGGAGCTTGATAAATGAGAGTATGCTCACGGAGGATGAGAAGGCTTGGTTGAATGCGTCCAACGCAGAAATTTTGGAGAAGACCAAGGGATACTTTGAGGGAGATGCCATTACGACAGCCTGGTTGGAACGAGAAACCCGGCGCATTGAGTAGGAGCACTTCACTATAGAGATAAATGAAAGAGGGGTTTGGGGGAAAATGGAAAAAAAAAGGAAAGAGGTTTTATCTTAGAGGCTTACAAACGCCGACAGGACAAAAGTTAAAACGAACGATGCAACAAACCATCCAGTTCTTGTGCTATGGCTAAGAAGAGGAACTCTCTCTGCGAGATACTTGGGAAAATTAAGAAATCTCGGCAAGGGCAGCCCATATGAAGAGGCGAGCTTGGTTAAGTTGAAAATGTTAGGAGAGACAGCTTAGGGGCGAGAAAATTGGCGAGCGCACTTACATGATAGCATGCTGTAAGCACTCCGCCAAGTAACACAAGAGTGCGAGAAAAGACCGAAACAACAAGACCGGTGGCAAAGCCTAAGAGAGAGGGGATGATCAATGGTCATTCTCCAAGGAAACACATGTGACATGAAATGCCTATCAACTAACCAACAACACTGCCAGAAGAGATTTGCCGGATGATTTCAGGAGAAGACAGCGGTTCCACAGGTTTCGCCGCATACTGAGTCGGGGCTGCTGCGGATTGCTTTCGCCGAGAGTCAAACCGAATGGTAGAGGCGTTTGCCGCAAAGGCCCCGTAGCAGACGCCTGTGCCGATACCCCCAAAGAGAAGTCTTCGGGAGTAGCGAAGGGCGGAGAATTGCTTCATTGCGTGACTCATTGTGCTGAGGTTGAGAGGATGACGGCTAGTATTCAGAGTTGGCAAGCCAGCAGTGTTAGTTAATGAAGGCAAGTGAGGTTACAAGTTCCAAGCTACCTATCTACCTACCTAGGCACCTATGACGTAGTAGGTATTTGAAGGCCTGCAAGCAAATGACATCGTGCTGCTGCTGCATTGAGGTTTACGTAATCAGCACTGCTGATAGTCATGATGCTCTATACAGAGTTCAGGGACTCAAGGTGGGTGGTAGTATTATATCTATCTATTCACGGCGTAAGTTCACATTGATGCATGCGTGCTCTGAAGCAATTGTTAACGTCATCTTAACTTGTGTTTCTAGCAACTCCGCAGCGTACAGTCGACTCCCCAGTTGTTTCACCCGGCAGCTGCGCTTACATCTCAGCTTACCGGAAATCTCTAGGGCTTATTTCGGCCTCTATTAGTGCGGTATGCTTCCCACTCCAAGGCTCCATATGGCAATGGATTCAAGCAGCAATATGCATATGCATGTGCCTGAGTCGCGCCAATGCCTTGAGCGCCCATAAAACTAAGTTGTTGATAAGTTATCATAAGCATTTGCATTTAGCCCTTTTTTTTTTATTAGGTGGATGATTACAATCTCCTGGCATGTAATTGATGGCTTAAATCTCCAAGACCAAGTCAGTATTTGGGGCGATTTTCAGCGAGTGGGGCACTGCCATTCAGTCTCTCTGCTTTTTAAATATTCGTCATTTGACGCTCTTCTCAATCCATCATCTGGAAACCCCTCATAGCATAGCAGCAGAGCAGTTGAAAATGAAGGCGTACATGTACGATAACGTGCCAGTAAGCCCATCCACAGAACCGGCGCTTGTGACGAAGAGAGACACAGAGAGAGATCCTAACGAGGCATGATTATGCAAAGGGCGACCAGCGTCTGCCTCATGACTCTGGCCGAGAGGTGACGGCTAGCGACTTGGCCACCATCGGCGTGCTCTACCGTCGCCTTGCCGAAACCAGCGAGGTGGACGTGCTGGCGGCCGAACGTGGATACAAGAACCGCGATGAGATTGTCGTGTCGCCCGAGAAGATGGGCGACGTCTATGAGGACAAGGTCAAGATGTTCTTCAACGAGCACTTACACGAGGACGAGGAGATTCGGTACATCCGGGGCGGCCAGGGCTACTTCGACGTCCGGAACAAGGGTGACGAGTGGGTGCGCATTCAGTTGGAAAAAGACGATCTCATCATTCTGCCCGCCGGCATCTTCCACCGCTTCACCACTGACGAGTCCAACGTGAGTTTTTGTCCTTCTTTCTCTGTTTGGAAATGTCAATCCAGTCACCCCGTGAGATGCATGAGCATAGCATAAGACAAGTCTCACTGACCTTTCTCCCCTCTCCCCTCTAGTATGTCCACGCCATGAGGCTCTTCAAGGATGAGCCAAAGTGGACTCCCCTGAACCGCGCTCCAGAGCTGGACGGCAATGACATCCGTAAAGAGTATGTCGGCCAGTATCTCAGCTGAACTAACCAGCGACCGAGGGGGGAAAAAAATAAAAAATAAAAAATATAAAAAAATTAAAAATCATGGCGATTGTCTCAGCAGTAGTCATTGTAGTTAGCAGCTTAGATGTGGACAATTACAAAGTCATTTGGAAAGAATTCGAAGAACCGGGAACCAATGGTTTCCTAATCAATTGGATCCAAATCGCCATCGTGTGACCTCCAACCCTCCTCACCGCTAACAATAACAGCCTTCACCATTTCCGCCGCATCGCGAATGAGAGATGCGGTGGCGATGTGTCTGAGTAATGGCAGGCATGTGGAGGAGGCGAAAAGAGAAACTCATTTATGCATAAACCGAACAACATTCCTGCGACGGTTCGTTTAAAGCTCTCGTCACCTCCTCTGCGCAACTGCCGATGGTTCAATTCTCTCTTAGCTCCTTTTTTCCCTCCAACCTGGCGACGCCTCATAAGTCACACAGTATCGCTTGACGTTTATGCCTTACTCTGGGAGACGCCGCTGCACTGTCTCTTTTGGCAGGAAGCGTAGACTCAAACTGCCGCTGGATTTCGCCTGCCGCTTGCTGTCGCCAAACGAGTTCCTCTAGACATGGAGGCTCGCACAGAAGTTAGCGAATCGAGCGACGGGCCGGCGAGGCCCAAACTGCAGCTGCCGGCGAGTTGCGATCCGCCTTCGCCGAATGGATCAACAAAGAAGCTTGTCTGGATTGTGCGTTCTTCGTTTCCCTCGTCTTTCTGTCTCATTGCGCAGCCATCAACCCCCCTCCGCATGGCCGTCTCACTGCTTACAGCTGCCGTCTCTAGATCTTTGGCGGCACCGGCCACATGGGCCGGTCGCTGGTCAAAAGCACCTTGTCCCACGGCGATCTGGTGTGCTCGGTAGGGCGAATCTTTGAGACGCCACAGAAGGACATGGAGGGCATCCATGAAAACTGCCTGGGCCTCCTGTGCGACGTGCGCTCGCGGGAGTCGGTCAATCGCGTCTTCCGGCAGGTCATGGACAAGTTTGGCCGCGTCGACGTGGTCGCAAACTGCTCGGGCTACGGCGTCATCGGGTCGTGCGAGGACCAGGACGAGCACGATCTGCGCAACCAGTTCGAGACCAACTTCATGGGCACGCTGCACATCATCCACGCGACGCTGCCCTACTTCCGGCGGCAGCAGGCCGGGCGGTATCTGATCTTCAGCTCTACGTCCGGCGCTCTGGGCGTGCCGGGCCTGGGGCCCTACTGCGCCAGCAAATATGCCGTCGAGGGCCTCATCGAGGCTATGCTGTATGAAACAGATGCGTTCCACGTCAAGGCCACGCTCATCGAACCAGGGCTCGTCCGACGTGACGAACCTGACTCTGGCAACAGTCCCTTGCCCACCTGGGGCCATTTTTTCATCAAGCCGCCCAGCGAGCATTATTCAACCGCAACTTCTCCAGCCCTTCACGCAAAGCGAATGGTGCAGTGGCTGGGAGATCGCCAGCCAACAAGTGCCGTCAAGTGCGCTGAGCTCGTCTGGCAACTGGGTCACTGCTCGTATCCGCCATTAAGGCTACTGCTTGGCAGCTATGCTATCGAGAGCATTCGAGACAGAATGCGCTCCGTCACCGAAGAGCTGGAGGACTGGAAGCATCTGAACTTTGCCATAGTGCCCGATTCCGACAAAGAGGGAACCGAGGAAATAGGTGCCGAAGCAAGTGCGGATTTTGTTGTTGCTTGAAGAAGAATGAGTAAGTGCAGGCCACAGCGTAACAGTTTCTTGTTTCTTGTTTATATCTTCGCTCTTATATGCACCTTCCTTCCTCTCTCTCTCTTTCTCTATATATATATATATATATACCTTATATATACACATAATCCCATGTAATAGTATAATATTTTTGCAACTAGTGAAGAATATTGTCCAGCAAAAGTGCTGCAAAACATATTCATGCTAGTGGAATAAACTTATTCTTATAATCGCTACATGGTGTAAATTTGTAAACTTATATACTTGATCTCTAGCTCTTTATAAGGTATATTAGAAAATGTAGTTGTCCTTGGATTATATATTTACATATATCACCTTGCTTTAATCTTTAATCAGACTGCCTTCATCCTTATCCACCTTATGCAGAGCCACCTTACTAAAATATGGTACGTCTTCTGGCCAAAGACATGATCAGGGATTATTATATAAAATGCTACAAAACACTATAATCGAAGAAATAGAGTCAATGTATTTGATATGTGCTATGATATCCATTTTTAGCTGCTTCTTCTTCTATAAAATGGTCTCTTATGTGAGTGAAGTACCTGTTAGTCAAGGTGCCACTATAATGGCACAGCATGAAATCGATCCAACTAGAGTTTATAGCACCACTCAAGCTAGGAGTATAGCTCTAAACATACTAGCGCCAGTTCATAAATTCTGCTCCCAAGTCGAACGATTCACTCATTCACCTATAGCCCTTTTCTTCAATCTGCTCACTTCACGTTACTGCCAGCACATGTAAAGAGGGCTAAATAAGGATAAAGTAAATCAATCGACATAGATGTCACCTCTCGCAGGGGCAAAGAGGGTTTTACGGCCTCGGGTTGTTTTTTCCGGCATCCAGCCCACTGGCGTGCCGCATCTGGGAAACTATGTTGGTGCACTGAGGCAATGGGTAAATTTGCAACACGAGGAAAAACCCTCTACTAAATTGATATACTCTATCGTCGATTTGCATGCCATCACAGTGCCCCAGAAGCCAGAGGTGCTGAAACAGCGCAAGAGAGAAGTTTTAGCCGCTCTTCTTGCCATTGGTCTGGATCCTGAGAGATGCACCATCTTCTACCAGTCTTCTGTTTGTTGCCTGATCAAGCCCAAACGTTCCATAACCCATAGCTTACCACTGGTTGTAGGTGCCGGCTCACTCTGAGCTGATGTGGATACTTGCATGTACCGCATCTGTAGGCTATCTCTCAAGAATGACACAATGGAAGGTAGATGGACTCGCAGCAATTGCTATGCATAAACGTTCCCCTGTTGACCACATCTCAGAGCAAACTTAGCCTAGATTCATCTTCAACTTTAGACCAAGGGCCCGTTGGCTCCCGGTTGAAGTTGGGCCTCTTTTCCTATCCAGTCCTCCAGGCCGCTGACATTCTCGTTCACCGGTAAGCCCAGCATTGCCTTCCCATAGACGCCCCTTGGCGTCACCATCTCTGTACATCATGTCAACTAGTGACTGATGCATGTTGCAAAGGGCTACTCATGTGCCCGTTGGGCATGACCAACAACAGCACTTGGAGTTTGCGCGTGAATGTGTCACAAATTTCAACCATGCTTATGGAAATCATCTTGTCCCACCTTCGACCATAATCTGTATGCTTGCCGCTATAAGCCCCCCTTTCCTCCCCCCCCTCACTTGCACACTGGCTCATTGAGTGACAGCACCTGCTCAGCGCATCATGTCCTTAACAGACCCGACAAGTAAAATGTCAAAGTCTCACAAGGCGCAGCGATCAAGGATTCTTATTACCGATACTCCAGAAGACATTCGGTCCAAGATTGGCTCTGCCCTGACGGATTCGACCCCTGGTGTCTCTTACGATCCTGCCGCTCGCCCTGGGTTCTCTAACTTATTGGAAATATATTCCGTTTTTGATGCAGAAAAGCGTAGTCCAGCGCAGCTAGCCGAAATATATGCTCACACATCGCCCAAAATTTTCAAAGAGACAGTCTCAGACGCGCTGATTGCCGGGCTACACGGTATTCGAGATCGATATCTTGATCTATCTGCAAACGAATCGTATCTTGAAAAGATAGAGAAGGAGGGTGCACGAAAAGCCCAGGAAAGTGCTCAAGAAACGATGGATATCGTCAAGTCTGCTGTTGGATTGTGACGGATATTTGGCGTCAGCTAGCGCTTCGAGCCTTTTCATGTATTTATTTCCTCGCCCCTCGTGTTTAGAGTAGCCGTATAGGCATGTGTATGATAGTTGCCAGTGTTGGCCAGCCAATGCGATGTAGAATAACGTGGATCATGTGGCTGTACATCTATGCTATTATGTGTATCCTTAAATGCTGAAAATTCAGGTGAGCGCCGATTGACTTGTAGACTTGTAAGTCTCAGATAGGCTAAATTAAGATGCATAGGCAAAGTTAGCCCCTCTCGCAGTCAGCCAGAAATCTCTAACAACCTGATTTGTCGCCCGAGAGCCTCGAAGACTAGCTTAAGTTAGCAAAGTAAGCATTTATCAACAGGGATCCATTGAAATATACCTGATGACCTTCTTCACGAAGAGTGATTTCTGCTCTGGAGCGACCCTCTGACTGGGGAATGACGGATGGTCTAGACCGGACTGCAGCCACTCTCTCGACATCGGGTAGTTGACGACAAGTTTCCTCAAAGGTTCACTTAGTCGGTCTAACTCGCTCCGCAGAGCATTGCCGCCGATATTTCTTGCAAGGGATTGAGTTAACAAGGGCCCAAGCGTATCCATGGCTCTCTTGAAAGTTTCCTGAAGCATTGTATCATCTCCCCGAGTGCCGACAAACGCAGTCTATTTGTGTGTTAGCTCGCCATTGGATGCCATAATGATAGAAAGTTCAATAACAAGATATGTCATGCATACCCAAAATTCCGCCGCAGCCGCCTTAGGTAATGGCTCTTTCCCGTCCATAACCTGCAGCGTGAATAGGAAAAAGAACTCGATTGAGTCTGATGGTTCCAGGCTGATGAAAGCGCTGGGGCTTCTAGTCAGCAGTCGGCTGACAAGATCAATGCCATTCTGTACGAGCTCAGGCTCTGCTCCCGGCTCTATTCTCACATGTCAATACGGCTGGTTTTATCTGCGGCCAAGAATAGTGGAAGTCTTACCGGGAAGCTGTTTCAAGAGTCCGATTACCCAGGAGAGCACATCCGAGAGTATCTTTTGATACTCTCCCAGCATCTGAGGAGGTAGGGAGCTAATAAAAGAACACGCCATGCTGACAACAATACCAATCCTAGGTGTATCTTTCGAATGCCCAACCAGAAAGCGCACTATATCCTCGGGGGTAAGGACGAACGGTCCCGGCTCACTTTCGGAGAAACCGCTGCGAAGTACGCTGCATATCAGCTCTGTAACCTCTGAGCTTCCACTGTACACATTTTGGACTTCGACAATGATGCGTATTATTTGCTCTTGAATGTGGATCAATTTGGGGGTCTTGGCTTTCTGGTTGGAATCAGTCTCAAGATCGATTGAGAAGTCTGGAGGAGATTGCAAGCCCTTGCCCATGCTTGCCAGACATCTCAGGGCCCTGAGAGCGACATGCAGGCCAACGTGTTCCTCAGGCAAGATATCTGAGCAAGGAAGTTCCATTTGCTGCGGTAGTATTTCATCATTGGTTACATTCACTAACTTCATGGATTGTTGGACGTCGCCTTGTATAATATCAAGCAATCCAGAACAAGCAATATATCTCTTCTCATCCTCAGGAATGGCTTGAGCAATGGCGGCGAGAGCGCCTACAATTTTCTCACGAGAAATGCAATCAAGTGATGCTGTGGCAACTAAATTGCGGTACTCGGCTAGGAGGCCCTCCATTTGAGGATGCAGATGTGACCGGCAAGACGAGCAAAGCCGGTGTATAGACTTTGATGCTGGTATGGCCATGGAGTGTTCTGAAACTTCGTTGAACAGAAGACTGAGGGCGGTAGGTAGAAGGTGGGTATTTCTTTCAAAGTATTCGGTGTACTGTTCAATTAGAGTGAGGCAAGTTTGCCTTACTCGGGCTGGTATGTTCTTCTGAGCACTTCGAAGCACCGAAAATAGGGGCGAAGAGAAAACCGCGGCGAGGAAGTCATCACAGCGCGGATCTTCTCGACTACAGTCCGCTAGACCGCCCAAGCAGAAAATAGCTGACTCTAGTTCCAACCAGGATGAGCTTGCCAAGGTTGATAATATCAATGAAGAAAAGGTTTCGACAAGCCTCGGCCCGATCAAGGCATATACAGCTTGCAAAAGATCCACTACGTCTTTCCTAGCATCGTTGAATCCGGCGCGATCACCTGAATCCCATGAATGAAATTCATCTGCTGGAGGATAGATAATCTTCTTCCATGCATGTGAGGTCGCCTGGAAGATATATGGAATCGTGATTGCAGTTACTGAGCTTGCCGAAGTAGACTCTGGATCCATATCCGAGATGGATTCGGTCAGGGTCGACCAAAATTCGATGGCGGGGACAAAAATCTTGTTCTCAGCAACCGGATAGCCATCAGCCGCAAGAAGACCGCACAACCTAGACAGGATATTCTTGTTCTGGTCATGATCATTCTGAATGAGAACTTCTACTCGGGCTTCACCGAAGGCGAGAAGTACATATCCGAGCTGCGTTGACTCAAAGTCAACATCCCCCTGTATGAGTTGGTCATATCGGTGTTGGAACCATGGCGTATCAAAGATATTGGCGAGCATAGTATAGTGGTGCTCGGTGAGCAGAGAAGGCCAGTTGAAGAGCACATCAATAAGCAATTCCGCAGCCGCATTGTATAGTTCCTCGACCATCAAAGCGCTGATAGAGCCTCCGATGAGGGGTCGTAGAGAATCCGCAATGTAGCTATTTCGTGCCGATGTTTTCTGAGCAAATGAAACCCACGACTAAAGAGAATCCGATTAGTCTCCCCTGATTTGTCATACCAAGAAGGCACAGAGTCACCTACCTGAAGACATCTCAGTGCATCTTGCTTAACCTCTGGAGAAACATCATCTCGGCTCATGCACATGGCTATGAGTGCTACAGAGTCTGAAGTGTTTGCAAGGACCGAGTCGTACAGGCCAACACTTGGTTCAAGTCAGCGACGCTATATAATATTGATGAAGCGAGTGGTAGTTCTCATACTTGCTTGCTGCGTTCAGATCAATGCGAGTAACATCCTCCAGAATATTGCTAATCACCAAGATAGCCGCGTGCAAATGCACTCCCGTAAGTCTTTCTGATATGGCGTTGAAATCAACCGACTCGTCGATCGTGCCAGGTTGCCAAGCTCGATTTGACGCCAGGCTGACAAGAAGGTGAAAGATGTAGCGGTTGCACAGTCTGTGGAAATATATGAAGTAGGTGGCCAACGCAGACGCCAACTTGCGTACAACAAGTAGTCCGGTCTTTTGCTGTAGAGCCCCGAGGTACCATTCCAACAACGAGACGAGGAGCTCTATGGCATCACTGTCGCTAAGAGACGCACTGATCGATGTCAATCGGAGAGCTCAGTGCATAGTGTACTGAACGGCGAACGTACTTTTCGGTATTCAACTTAACGATGATTGTGAGCGCACCGAAAAACTTGACTTTCTCGTCCGGACGCCCAAGTAGGTGGTGGGCGAGCGACCATGCTTGTGGTGAACTTTGCAGCCGTGATAGGGTCGATTGTGTTTTGGAAATCGTGCTAGGAGAAGCTGGTTCATACAGAGAAAGAATCAGCTTTGCCATCATTAGCAGTGATGTCTCTAAAACATTAGATTCTAAGAAGAAGAGGGCCAGAAAGGCTAACCGATTCGACCTGCTCGATTTCAGAGGGGAGAAGCTCATCTTGCATCGTGACGGATTCTGCCGGCAAGTCTCGCGGAAATTCGTTCCACACGGATCACCAAGCCGTGACTGTTAGCTTAATTGCACGGGAATGTCATATCAACAAGTGATTTTGCGCAGTATACATAGAGAGGATTTCCCAAATGGACTGGAGCTTGAATATTACATAGCAGAGCTAGCAGCCCGTCGTCTTTCAAGCTGTAGTATTATCATATGCCATGTGCGGAATGTACTACTCCGGATGCGGTTTAGCTTATGGGAATGCAGCTCATCTATAAAATCATTGTTATGGGTACGGTTCTCTCCGATATAAGATATTGGTATTCTATATTAGGCATTGCAGTCATGCTTTCAATTATCGAATCCATCTTACAATCAATTTGCGAAGAGTTGATAGAAAATCCTTACACGCGGCTTTCCCCAAAATTGAGTTGAGATACGACGTGAGTGTCGCACGCCGTAGATTGAATGCGAGGGCGTGAAATACAGATCCAAGGGGTGAATCTAGCATATGGCATGCTGTATGCATTATTACGCCAATATCAAGAAAGACCAAAAAAAAAAAAAAAAAAAAAAAAAAAAAAAAAGTACGAATGGGACGATTTGATATTGTCAGGAATAAGACATACACATATTTTTGTGTGTGTGTTTCTTGTTTCTTGTTTGCTCGTATTATTCATTCATTCTATGTACTCATTTGGCCTCTGGCCTTTCACATCAGCCTTGATTTCGCTGTGTTAGTATTTACCAGGCTATATTTTTATCTAGCAAGTTGCTTTATGTGATTTAAAACAAGCAAGATTTGCATTTCTTGGTTGGTTATCGCACATTTACGGCAGCGACGTCTCTACCTGCTGCGCCCATAATATCATCAATATCCGTGGCGGAGTCTTCTGTTCTGCGGCCTTCGAATAACCGCCTCCACCAGCTTGGGGGATCAAATGGCCTGGAGCCGTTGTGCAGCGGTGGATATACATCGTTGAAGAAGTACCAAATGTGACCAATGACGACACCCATAATCTCGTCTCTCGGTACGGTCCCGTGCATAAACAGGCTAAAGGCCATCAACACCCATGGCAGATATGGAGCGGTAAAAACAAGCAGGCCGAGGAAGCTTAGCCTGGTGTCGGGATTGCGCCGCGACCAAATATAGACGAGTGTAGACGAGAGCGGGTGCCCGAGGAATGGCATGGAAACAAGCGGCGATAGTGCGATAAGACTGGCCATGGCATAGAGGAGAAGCCAGGAGAAATACGCAGCCGATCGCCCCGATGACTCTTCAAGCAGCCGCGCATATCTCTGGAGAAAGTATATGTGAAAGAGTAAGTCAAGCGAAAAGGGACCGAAGTAGAGAAACGTCGTCAAGAGGCGCCAGTACTGTGTTTTGCATCAATCAGTCAGCACATGCAAATGCGTAGCGGATAGGAACTGGCCAACCTGAGACTTGACGAAGACGGCTCGGAAGCTATAGAATAGCTGAAACGGCGTTACCATATGGCACTGGACGAGGGCGCTGGTCAACACCGTTGCGGCTGTCCACCATCGCGTGCACGTCGGCATCTCCCAGAACCATGTTTCCAGCGGAAGGCGATCGCCGCCCATTACTTGATCCATTTGGAAGAACGGGGAACTTTAACAATCATGCGCTAATCAAAGGATGACCGCAGTCGACATGAAAGATGCGTCGGTGATGCGACTGTCGGACGTAAACCAATAAATGCTGAGGTGGCCTTTCGCAGGCGAGAATGTGAGCCTGAAGAAAGTAAGTTAATCGGAGCTGGGCTACCGGCACTGCAATACGCATATGCATGTTACACCATTGCCACTCTGGCAGTTACGCAATTAGTAAGGTAGAGGGTACTTAGCGACCAGCCACTGAATACTTGCTTGGTCGGACGTGGCTTATGATGCTGATGATTATTGTACTGTTAAATTTGCTGGTGAATAAATGGGAGCTTGATATTTCCATACATATGATCTAAAATGCCATTTGCTAACGCTACCCATTCATTAAAATCTATTCTCTACAGATGCACCTCTACATCAGAGTGGGAGGCATCGAAGCATGGGTTAGCCAACAAAGTCCATTTATAGATGGTGCTAGTAGTAGCTACTTGCCCAAAATCGCCTAGGAGGCTAACCAACGCCTGCGTCAGTGTCTCTGTGTGGAGACGTAGCGCTCGGCAAGCACGCAGTGGCACTACCTACCAGAGTACTACTACAGCGCTTCCAAAGTGCTTAGGATGTCGTTCCTTGTACCCTTCGGGGCCTCGCTTTGCTGCTCAGCTTTGAGCACCGCCAAGAACATATCTATCAATGACTTGCCACACAATCTACCATGAAACTCCTCTCGTGTGCTTGGCACGGTGGCTTCATTTTTGCTCTCCTGTCAAGCGACCTTGCGTGGGCTAACGACCAGAGCCGCCAAGCTGAGAAGGCTTCTTCCCCGAGTACGCCTGGCCAATGCGAAGTACGAACCATCAACTACATCACACACACACTGCCGTCGCTCTGCTTCAAGAGCTCATGGACAGACTCGTTACCGACTCCAACTAAGTTGCCTGTTACAGGCGACTCTTATAACACCACCCAGCATGTCACGCGACCGCCTGTAGAGGAGCAGGCTCCTCCATCTGCTACCGAGCAAACGGACACGTTCACGGACACCTCTGCGGGCGATACCTTCGCGACACCTTTCATGTCGTTTGAAGACTGGAAGAAGATGATGTTGGAGCAAACTGGACAAGATCCCCAGGACTTACATCTGCGAAATTCGAGCGGGCGTCAGAAAGCTGATAGACCATCTCCCGAGTTGGATGATGTAGGATTGGGCGAAGAAGGGGAGATATCCCTAGTATTCGACGATTACGGAGAAGAAGGCCCTAAACCTGGAACTCCCACGGACTCGGCAAATACGAACAGCGGTGACGATGTCGACAACACCTTGATGTCCAAGGACGGAAAAACGCCTATCCACCGAAGCAAAGACGCTGGAAAAACCTGCAAGGAACGCTTTTCATACTCGTCGTTCGACGCGGGCGCCACCATCTTGAAGGCAGGGCCGCAAGCACAAAATGCGAAAGCCATCTTAGTTGAAAACAAGGACACTTACATGCTGCTAGAATGTGCCGCGCAAAACAAATATGTCATCGTCGAACTTAGCGACGATATCCTCATCGACACCATTGTCATCGCCAACTTTGAATTCTTTTCCAGCATGGTTCGCCATTTCCGAGTTAGCGTAAGCGATCGGTATCCTGTCAAAATGGATAAATGGAGGGAGGTGGGAATTTTTGAAGCCGCAAATTCGCGAGATATCCAGGCATTTCTTGTGGAGAACCCCCAGATCTGGGCCAAATATGTTAGGCTGGAGTTTCTGACTCACTACGGGAATGAGTACTATTGTCCGGTTTCTATACTTCGTGTACACGGCTCGAGGATGCTTGATTCTTGGAAAGATAGCGAGACGAATCGAGAAGATGAGGTTCACGAAGAGGATGAAGAAGATCTTCCCGTTCCCACTATTGCTACACAGCCGGTAGCAGCAGGACCCAATCCACAACCCAGAGACAAGAATGAGACTCTTCCAGAGCTTGCAAGTACTTGTCTGCCTCGCGTTGACGAAGCCCCTTTCCCTCAAATCAAGGAAACATGCGCTGTATCCCCTATTGCTGCAGGCGATGCAAAATCAGGCGATCAAAGCTCTGGACAAACTGATGAAGGGACAAAACGACAAACTAAAGATGGCGTCGTGGAATCAGACGCTGCTTCGCAAGACTCTCCAAAATCAGACGCCACCCAGGCTCGGGACGTATCTTCCGCACCACCAATAAAACAGACAGATCCTTCCAAACCTACCACGGACAATGCGCAGACTTCGGCAGAGTCTCCAGATGCCGCCGGTTCGGGTTCTGGGAGCACAAAAAGTCGGACCACAAGCGCCTCCAGCGCCACGCCAACTGTGCAAGGAAGCTTTTACAACTCCATCACCAAGCGGCTACAGCAAGTAGAGTCAAATCTCACGCTGTCGCTCAAATACGTTGAAGACCAGTCGCGAATAATGCAGGATGCCCTACGGCGAACCGAACAGCAGCAGGTAACTAAACTCACACGCTTCCTGGGAGACCTCAACCACACCGTTCTTGCAGAGATGCGCAATGTGCGCGAGCAGTACGAGCAGATATGGCAATCCACTGTCCTAGCTCTCGAAAGTCAGCGGGAGCAGTCTGAGCGCGATATCGTAGCCCTGAGCACCAGACTCAACCTGCTAGCCGACGAAGTTGTCTTTCAGAAACGAATGGCCATTGTACAGGCAATCCTCCTGCTTTCCTGCTTGTTTCTGGTCATCTTCTCTAGGGGAGTCCCCATTCCTTATCTTGCAGCCCTGCAGGAACAAGCAGGTGGCATTGCATATCCCTCGACGTCGCCGTATCCCGGTCAAGGATCTCATAATCTTTATAAATCCGATGCTGGCACCACACCAGGCGAACAAACACTACTGGATAGTGTCCCAGTGGTCAGTGTTTCTTCGTTCGAAGCTGCTCCCAACGTGCCGAGTAAACGAATACCTCATTCTTTGTCTGAAACGACAGAGCCCCATGAGCCAATCCGTGAAGACGGCGAAAAAGAGTATCCACGGCGGCATCCCTTACCAAGCCCGCCAGTTGAAGACAAGTACCAGTATGTACACTACTTAGACCAAGAGCCAAGGTTTCATTCGCTACATCACGCAACTCCAGCCCACCCGAACACGCCCCGAAAACCCCTTCCTTCTCTTCCTGAACATTTGGTATCAAGTCAGGACTCTTGATAAGGCGATGTTCTCGCAGAGATACATGGCTCTTCGGCATTCTGTTTTGCTTCTTATTTGAGCATTTTGTTAGTGTAATGCGTGTGGGATATTAGATCACGGCCACATGGCAATGGTATGAAGCATGTTGAATTATCATTGAACGCAGTATATGTATTAAATTACAGACCAACTTTGTTTTCTGTTTAGCTACGTATCCTCATTTTACCTTGTGAAATTCATGGCTTATCAAGCGGTATATAGCAAAGTGGGTTGGTCCGTCCGAAGTAAGTGAAAACGATCATCGCAAATAGAATCAGTAAACTTCAACAACGTCCGCAAAATCATGGTGGCTTTTGTTTTTTTGGCCAAAGATAGTTCAGTTAGAACTTCACTCACTAAGACGTACTGCCGTAGAGATGCTGTATGGCGGTCTCGTAGTCGTACTCCTCGAGGGCTGCAAGACGAGTTCCTCGATCATACTGAGATCGCCGGCGCCGCTGTTCGTCACGAAAGTGCTGCCCCGCATTCGGTGTGAAGAGGCCTAACAACTGTGAGTTTGAGAATGGCCAACATGCCACAACAGCTGTGTGCTACTCACCGACATGTTCAGCATTCTCGCAACTCCGCTTCATTTTGGATTGATTATCAGGGTCTGGGAACGGCTCTTCTTGCCCAGCGAGGTCGGGCATTGGTCCATTAGATGTATAGTAAAGCTTGTCTCCGTTAGTTATCCAACCAAACTCCAGCTTACCAGAGGAATTTTGCAGCAGGATACTTACTTTGGGGCGATAGTGCGAGGCCTCTAGCATTACTGAACTGTTTCGAAATTTCTGCACCAGACAGTCTTTGCCCTGAATAGCTGTATGTCATGGTCAGTATTGAGGAACATGGGTATTCATTGAGAGAGACTTACTGGCATATGAGATCTCTGCTACCTTATCACTTTTGAAGCAGTTCCTATATAGAAATATGAATAAATCAGAATACTTGTAGGAAAAAACTGCATAAAAGAAAGAGCATACCAGCGCTGATTTCCGCGGGCATTGACAAACTTGAGTTGCTATATTAGCATAAATCCCTTGTGAATGAATTAGAATTTATGTGTACTGACATCAATAATATCCAGAGGCTGCAAATCGACGTTAGTCAAGCTGAAGGGCGTCACAAGAGAGGAGCTAAACTCACATCCACAAAGTTGATGAACGCATATCCAACGCTTATTTTAGCCGTTAGTATTTGAATAGAATAAAAGAAGAGCAAGGACTTGAATGAATGCTCACTTGCAATCGTTGGCAAAGTCGATGCGAAGGTACATGAAATCGTATTTTCCCCAACTAGACTCGTCAATGATTCTTTTAAGCATGGCTTGGTCCACTTTGTTGGGAATATTCCGAAGCATAATCTACAACACTGTCAGTGAATATTATTCATGTTTGCATAGTGGATAACTTACTGTGGTGCGAACGTCGATCCCGTCGCGAATGCGTGTGATGTCAACGTGGTTATGATGAGTCGCTGTGCTGTGATAAGTAGACCTGCTGACTCTCATGGCATTCTGGCGGCGGGCATCTGCTCTGTCAGCCCCCGAGAAGGTCCTCGATGGACTATAGTTGTTCTGGGCGGTAAGGGCTGGAGACGGCGGCGTTTGATACAAAGTTCCAAAGACAGGGTACTGCGGAGTAAATGGTGTCAAAGGGCTACCCGAGCTTGTTTGCACCGGGGGCAGGAATGAGTCTAGCATATATGGAACGGCCGGCGTGAATGGCGTTTGGAACATGAATGGATACATGGCTACAGGTGCATTGTAGTGAGCATCTCCCTGCCCAACCTGAGAAGAGTTTGAGTTTGAGTTAGGACTGACAGAACCAAGGCGTTGTTGGCCGGGGTCATCTGTTCTTTTGCTAACGGTCATATCTCCCATTGCGTCGGTGATCCCTGAGGCTGACAAAGCGTCAGAGTTGTATGCTGATGCGAATAGCTGGATTCCCTTGATTATCATCAGTGTCAGTAAAAATGCTATACGAAGTAGATGAGATTGGCATACCTCAGTGGAGATGCCACCACTGCAAGCTTGTATGACGGGGAAGGCTGTGGTGGTATCACAAAACTCAGCAACAGCTCTGAAAGAGCCGTTTGGGAAAGCAGATAACCTGACAAAAGCGAACAGGCGACCGTGTGATTGCAAGAACCGATGAGCCACTCCCATAACGTGAGTCGAGTCCATAACAACTCCGGGCGGGACTACAACAAAGACTTGGACTTGGCCAGTATGAGAGAGGCCTACTGCATAGCTGGAAAGCTTATCCAACTCAGCTCGAGGATTAGAATCCAAACTTCCTGCACCTTGTCCTACATCCAGGTGAGCGCCTTGAGACTGGGCAACGCGCGTGGGATTGGCAAAGGCAATTTTCCAGCCCTTGTCCACTTGATGAAGTTTTGCCTGTACAGCACAGGCATCTCTGATATCGGTGAAGTAGATAAACACTCCGCCACTGTGAGTCTTGAAATTTCTTGCGCCATAAGTGTGGTTGCCATCTTTTTCAATGTCCTATGCATATAATAGTTATCATAGATCAGTATTGGTTCATCAAAGCTTGGTTGGTACACTCACGGCTAAAACAGCTTCCACCTCACGCGTGGAAATTTGGGTGGGCGATGATATAACAAGAATTCTCGACAATCCAATATCGGTACTCAGCGCGCCAGAAATAGGACCTTCTCCGTCTGGTAAGCGGACGTAAGTGTTGCCAACAAAAGGGCTGAATGTTGAGGCTGTTGGTGATAATCTCGTGCCAACGCCATGCATGGAGGTGATGAAAGGATCTTTATCCATGTGAGAAACTACACCGCGAAAGCTGCTGGTAGGAAGCCGAGCGGGGGACGTGGTGGTAGCCGAGCGGGCAAAACTCTTGAGAAGGCTGGCTGATTTTGAACCATCGTCTGGGCTCATGGAGGTCAATCGAGTGTCGGGCGTGCCCTTGAAAGAATCGGCTCCTCCAGTCGATGATCGAGGAGACGACGGATTGTCATTTTGGTGCGCCATTGCAGAGTGAACCGTAGCTGGCCTAGTATGGTTGAGATCGATATATGGTTCCTGAAAGTGAAGCAAGCCTCTGTGCTCTTGGTCACAGATCACAACTAGCGGGCCTAGCAGCAGTAACGATTCTACTGCTTGTGCGTGTGTAGCAGAGAGGAAGAAGACGTAGTGAGCTCTCCGCGGAAAAGAGATGACATGTTCACAAGAGAAAGAGGAAGAAAGGCAGTGCGTGAGAGATGCTTGACGGCGCTGACTTCAAAGGACGGATTCGGGGAGCAGCTGCCAATTTTTGCCTGGAGGCAAAGTGATAACGTTGTTGCTCTTGCCTTCCTCGCATCGTGGAAAAACTTGCTCTTCCCCTTTTTTCTCCTCTTGGGATTGGGCACAGAGGGGGGTTCAATAAGGCAGGTGCCAGCTTGCCATCTGTTAGCACTGTCGCTTTTCCTTCTTCTGCTCTTGCCTTATAGCAAGCAGCAGGAGTTACCTATTCGCCATCCGATTCACGCATTCAGCTACGAACTGCGACAAGAATGATGCAACATCTTGTCAGAGCAAGATGCCATTTGTGGTTACAGCACCTGCAGCGGGCTCGCATTGCCTGATCCAGCGGTATGTTCAAGCAACATCAGATTAAAGCTGATGGTGATTTATGAGAAGAGATTGCTTGGTAGTATGTACTGAAACATTAATACGCAAGTAGATGAGTTTTGTGCCCACTGCTCCGAGGAAAAGGATAAGCTACCTGCGGCTAGATAATATCCTAGGCAAGAGGTAGAGGCTGGCTCTGCATCTGAAAAAAAAAAAAAAAAAAAAAAAAAAAAAAAAAAAAGATAAATCGAAGAAGAATCCCGAAAAAAGGAAAAGCAAATTGCAACTTCTGATCTGCTGTGCCATAGATAGCTCGCAATTAATGTTGTATTATCTTAGGCACTCACAATATTTTGTAATTACTACAAGACTCCTTGCTTGCTTTCCCTTGACCCAGACTATAAACATATTCCTAGTTCCCTTCCAATATGCGCCAGTGATATCTCAATATAATAAATAACTCGCTGTATCGACAGTGTGAAAAAATGGTATTTTAGTTGGGCGCTGAGCATCCCCCCCCCCCAGACGAAAATCGCAGAGCAGATGTGCAATTGTTGTGAGCTTCCTGAACTCCTCCCTTTTTTTTTCTCTTCTGTTCTTTTCTTTTTCTTTTTTTTTTTTTTTTTAGGGCTGTGGTCCTCTTCTTCGTCGGCCTCGGTTTGGACCGTCTGGACGCTGTGCTAATACACCCCTCAGCAGAGGATCGTCCTTATTCTTATCAACATGATGTACGCGAACGTGTCTGTTAGAGTATCAAATGTCAAAACGTTATCCTGCAGACTTATCTAAACGACATAAAGAGCCACGAGACAACAGACATTGTGTGTTGAGACGATGGTGACATACCTCTGCAAATTGTCCGGCCTTGGATACTTGTGTTCTCTATCTGCACAGAAGGGACAGACATATCCGGGCGAATCATGCACCAAGCCGTGCCGTATCATCTCATTTTTGCGCTTGAAACCTTTCCCACCTTCGGCGCGGGGACACCCCTTCACGGGACAGTAGTGTGGGCGGGCTGAAGAATGCACATTAGCGTGGGAATTGAGAAGATATTGAGTTTGGAACGGCGCAGCAGTACACCCGTCGAACGTGCACTTGTAGCCTCCAACCTGGGGATTCGTCAGTCCGTCGATGCTCATACGATCCGCTACAGACGCGATGGCAGCCGGCGGCGAGGCAAGAGCGTAGGCGGGTTGGAGGTTCTTATTGGAGGCGTTGCTTATATACTCGGCGGGAGAGCGATGCGAGGATCCGCTGGAGGCCGGTCCATATGGGCTGGAGGCGAGGGAGCTGGGAGACGGGAAGCTGCGCTGCTGATATGCTTCACTGGGGGAGATTGGGGGTGACACACGACCACCGGCAGGTATTGACTGGAAGCGCGAGACACCTACGTTTGAGGATCGAGAAAACGCTCGCGCGTCGCTAGGTGGGCGCATTGACAGGTCCCTGTCGCCGGCTGGTGGTGGTATTTCTGTCGGGAATTGACGCTCAATATTCAATTCACGAATCGACGGTAGGCTCATATTCTGGCCGCTATTACTATCGGACTTGGACGAGGCTATCTGCAAGGGGGCCAGCTCGCCAGACTCGGGCGATAATAAAGACTGCGATCCATTCTCTGTTGCGCTGTGGCGTCCGCCGAGCATGTGTGGTGGGCTTTTAACATAGTGTTTGGGGCTAGGCAGGACGTCGTCACGAATGGAGAGTTGGCCGGTTGAGGCTGTCAGGTCAGAGCTGGGCTTATCTTGGCCGTGGTAAGACGACTCGAGCTCTCCACTGGCGGCTAACGCCCCGGCAGCGAAAGCTTGGAGATGATGTGCACCATCGCTTCTGGCGGTCTGCGGCCGCTGGACATGGTCGGCATCGGCCCAGTTTTTGCTGTCTCGAGGGAGACTCTTCTGAGAGTCGTCGTCGTCTTCGGTGGCTTCAAGGTCATCGCCGCCAGCCAACGCCTGGCGGCTCGCGGTTTGTGCTATCTCGGGAAGACGACCGTTGGCAAGGTAGGTGATGAGGACAGTATCACCAGACACGGGTTGGAGCTTTGGGCGATTAGACTTGGCATTTCCGTCGATGGGAGGAAGACTGACTGAAGCGATTGGTATGTCCGGGGGAGGGCTCTCTGTGAGTTCGAGCTTGGGATGTACCGCTTTCATCTGAGGAGAGCCTGGCGGGTCCTCGTCTGCATTGAACGAATCTATCTGAGCATAGTCGTTGTACTGTCCTAGCGGTGGCTGTTGCGATCGCGATGACTGCATCAAGTGTTCCTGGCATTGACCTTGGGACTGGCTTTGTCGGGCTATTAGTTGCGGAACCGTCGTCATGGTTCAGTTGTCCAGGAGGCCACCGGTCAACTCTCCATGGCACCCTGGGGCATGCGGGGGCTATAACGCTTTGGTGCAGACAGGAGGTACTTTATCTGCCTTGGAAGCTGACGAGGATGGATGGAACACGCGAATCCAGCAGCTCTTTTCTTCTCTTTTTTTTCTGCTTTCTTCTCCTTTTCCCCTTTCTCTCTCGCTCTCTCTCTCTCTCTCTCTCTCTCTTTTTCTCCCCTGCTGTTTTTTTCTCTTTCAAAGAGCCGCTGGCAATGCGAGTCGAGAGCTGAGCAGATTTGAAGGGGGACCGTAAAGTCCCTCTATGATTCTCTACGGATTCTCTGGTCTCCTGGAGTTCCTCCCAGCCTTTCGTCCTGTGTTGGGAACTGTTCAGGATCTGCCCCCGCGCAGCTTATGCGCGCGTTTGTGAGTGTGTGTGCCTTTTTTCTGCGCAAACGGCACGTGAACGTGAACGTCGTTTGGGTATCGAATAGACACCACGCCCAGTCTGTAGGAGCCGTATTCAAAGCTAGGGAAGGATGGAGAGTATGGCTGGCAAGAAATACGAGAAACTGAGGCGAGAGGACGCCAAAACGGCGGAGGACAGACAATGCGACGCAAAAAAATTCAGGACCAGGCAGTCTAGGCTCGAATGGACTATAATGACATGCGATAACTCGACGCTCGAGATGGATCGACCGCAGAACAGCAAGCAAGTCCAGAGCTGATGCTACTCGTACTGTAGATGGGTCGAATGGCGGGGGATGGACAATTAGGCGGTGGTAAAGTGGTCTAGCGCATAGTAAGAGCAGCTGCTGTGCTGTCGCATTCCGTGGACGACGCCCGGCCTTTCTGCGTGAGCGGTTGTGCACGCTAGCAGCCCGTGAGTGTGTCAGTCAGTCAAGTCTGTCAGATGCTGGATCCTGCTGCAAACAGCACACAGACAGTGAGAGTGCGTGAGAGCGAGGGAGGAGAGCGAAGGCTCGAATCTCGATGGAGCTGCTGCTGGGAGGCCGTGAAACAGCGCCATTGGTGGTACTACGACTACATGCCATTGCGCCTCGTCCCATTGCCTAGCATGCGGTAGGTCGAAATGCGGACCCTGCCCAGCCAGAGTTGAGAAGGTCTCAAGCTTCATGTCAGCATCTCTTCATGCAACGACGCGCAGCCGTGATGGGGATTGGGTGCTGGCAGTGGTGCCTGACCGAATCGGCTCTAGGCAGAGCGATGGGGAGTCTTAGAGGCATTTGCGCGGTGGCAGATAGCGCACCGCAGGTGCTAATATGTATGCAATATGCAGGGAGGCAAGTCATGGAGGTAGCAGTGCTAGTACTAGGTTAGCAGTTGGGTGCCTGCTTGGTGCTGCAGCAGGCAGGACGAGGAAAAGCATGTGGGAACGCGGCAGAGCGTGGCAATGCAAGTGCAGATGCAGAGCAGAAGCAGAGCACAGAGCAGCGCTCGCTGGAGAAGACGACGGACATTTGACATCATTCCAAAGCCAGCGGAAAGCTAGCGATAGTCGATATCCGGAGCCCACCTCCAGCCAGATAGTGCGGCAGGGCCAACGACAGCACTTTAACACAACACCACCCGTCTTAGCATCAACCTAAATGAATCGTCTATCCGGGCGGGAGGGTCTTCTCGTCTGCTCTCTTCCCACGGCACTCCCATGGCATCTTATCTATCCGCCGCCGTGACCTCGGTTAAAAGGCAGCCGACCCACGCCGCCCAAGCTTCCGGTGTGGCCCCGATCTCGAATCGCTCCAGCCGAGGTCAATTCTAGCACCAAATTCAACGCGCTTCCCCGGATCGGAGTGACATAACCAGGCAGAAAAGCAGTAGACCAGCTCTCAAAACTTGAACTCTTGATTCTGCGAAAAGAAAAAGGTGAACAGGTTCTGCCGCTGTCGATTCCTCTGCGTGTCCCGAGTAGGCTATAAATTGCACTTGTATCTGAATCCCTACCTGCCTAGTCCATTTGCCGTGCCTTGTATGCGTAGCAAGCACATGCTCCAGATCTAATCGCAGCTTTCTTTCTTTCTTTCTTTCTTTCTTTCCTTTTTTTTTCTTGCCCTTCCGCTGTCGCAATCACAATGGCTCAGTCCAAACCGGCCATTTCACCCTGGGGCGGCGCTGTCGCTGGCGCAACCGGAGCCGTCATAGCAAATGCCTTGGTGTATCCTCTGGATATGTAAGAATTTTTTTGTTGTGTTGTGTTGTGTTGTGTTGTGTTGTGTTGTGTTGTTGTTGTCGTTGTCGTTGTTCTATGCCATTTCCAACGCTGCTGCTAACTTACATGCTTGCGATAGCGTCAAGACGCGGCTACAAGTCCAGGTCAAGCCTTCCGGCGAAAAAGGCGCGGATTCTTCCGATGAAGTACACTACACGTCGACCTGGAACGCCATCTCGCGGATCGTGGCAGAAGAGGGCCTCCAGGGCCTGTACGCCGGCATGAACGGCTCTCTGGTTGGCGTAGCGTCTACGAATTTCGCATACTTCTACTGGTACACCGTCGCCAGAGCGCTGTACGCAAAGTCTGCGGGCCCTTCTGCGAGCGCGCCCTCCACAGCGATAGAGCTCTCCCTCGGCGCCGCTGCCGGTGCTCTGGCGCAGCTCTTCACGATCCCCGTTGCCGTTGTGACGACTCGCCAGCAGACCGCTGCAAAGGCGGACAGGAAGGGCCTCATTGCGACAGCCCAGGAAGTCATCGAGGGGCCGGATGGTGTCAGCGGACTTTGGAGGGGTCTCAAGGCCAGTCTTGTCCTGGTCGTCAACCCGGCCATCACATACGGCGCCTACGAGCGGCTGAAAGACGTCTTTTTCCACGGCAAGACCAAGCTGCAGCCTTGGGAGGCATTCGGTAAGTATCCATTACCGAGGTTATCACTCTGATCCTTGTAGGAGCGTGTCCTAACAGTTTTAGCCCTGGGAGCCATGTCCAAAGCTCTGGCGACGATAGCTACTCAGCCCCTCATTGTTGCCAAGGTGGGCTTACAGTCAAAGCCGCCTCCTGCGAGAAAAGGAAAGCCATTCAGCAGCTTCATAGAGGTGATGCGATTCATTATCGAGCATGAAGGCGTCCTCGGGCTCTTCAAGGGGATGGGCCCCCAGATCTTAAAGGGCCTCCTTGTCCAGGGAATTTTGATGATGACAAAAGAAAAGTACGTCCATTCCGCCAGAGTGCAGCCACTAGACATTCCACTTTAAAGTACAATGCTAACTTTTTTTTTCTTCCCCCCTGATAGGGTTGAATTGCTTATGGTGCTATTTTTACGATACCTCAAGTCACTCAGCCTCTCGAGAGCACGGGGAGCTATTGCGGCTTCATCAGCTGCGACTTTGGCGAAGAACGCCACACTGATAACTCCCTTAGTAAAAAGCTAATCTCGTATTTTCTGCTCCTAGTTGATTAATGCTTTGTATGATAGACGCTATCTCTATAGCTAGGTATATAGTACTATACGGACCTGCCCACGCTTGGTAGCCTTGTAATCTTTAGGCATATGAATCTGATGATCTAAAGTATACATGTTTTGTTCTGATTTACACCGTAATTTATTATGGACGATTTTAACCTTTCGAAGCCTTGGCTCTTCTTTCTACTTTCCCTTGCTATGTTCTTGAACATCTACCGCGTATTATTCTCTCCCTTTAATATGAAAAAGAAAATAAAAAAAAAAAATAAATAAAAAAAAAAAAAAAACCATAAAGCTATATTTTATCCTGAGAGCCCGTCCCAAATATCTATAACATTTTTATAATTCGCCTGTTCTCCAGCCAATTTTGGTATGCTTAGTAGATAGCTAATGAGGGATGTTGAACGATAAATGGCCACTGCTCGTAGTGGGCCGTCCCAGGGAAGTCCCATATATAATCAAAAAGCCTCCCAGTCGCCGATTTGGATGGGAGAGTCGCTAAATATATCGCCGCAAAGCTCTTGGGCTGCTCGATGCTCCCACAAGCTCTCAACAACTAGATATGTGCGGCCGTGGCTCGTATTAGACGGCTCAATGTCGAATTCGGGTGATCGAATGACGGCCCCTGAGTCTTCGACACCACCCTTTGATTCTGCTAGAGTACGCGATTGTGACTCTGGGCCACCGATAATTAAGATCCGGACCATCAAAGCGGGTAGGGAGCGGGTATCATAATGCAAAGATTCCGACAAAGGTATCGAGCTTTGGAAAGATGCAATAGCTCGAGTTACCCACGTCGCATCAAGAGATGCCCTCCAACGCTGCCCCTCTCCTCTCAAAGTGAATGGTGGCAAAGGTGTTCGTAGTTTTCCTGCAGTATCAGCCGGGATAGGTTCCATAGTAACCGGTGTCATAGAACCAATTCGTAATGTAAAATCAGCAGTCTGTTGTGCTTCAAACGTCGAGCAAACCAAAGTATAATCTCCCGCTTCAAGCATATCAAGCTCAGCAGAGGCGCAACCACGACGATACTCGCCCGATGAAACGACCAAGTCTTTCCTCCTGACTGTATTTGCACGTTTCCCTCGCGCCCAAATCAGATCAATATGTACGTGGACATCTTTATTGCCCGTGGCTAGCAGGGCGGATATAGGGGTGGCATGAGAGACCGAGAGTTTATACTGGGGGTTTAGAAAATATGTCGTACACCCCGAGTTTCCTCCAGCGTTTCGTCTATTCCAGGCGCCCTGTTGTTCTGCAAAGTATCTCATCTTCTCTTCAGCTTCTTTAACATCAATCGGTCCACTGGAAAAGAAAGATAGCGTGAAGGTGTAGCTGGCCAACGCCAAGTTCTGTTGATCGATAACAACAGTGTATGCTTTACCAGCCCTGCTTTCAATTCGCGCGAGTGTCTGGGGAGAGTCAACTAATGGCCCAGAGTAGGTTGGCCCATCGCTGAGCTGGACCTTGTATCCTTGTCTGTCAAATACTAGAATGCTCATGAAGCCGAGTTGGCTAGCCACAGCTGCTAAAGAGCCAGATTTATTGCGAGCTATTTCGAGTTCGGCATCTGCAAAATGACGGCTCAGTAAGATCCATACCACTCCACCCGTCTGCGAAACGATTGAAAATTGCGGATTTCGCACCAAAGATGCCGCAAAATCTTTAGTGGGAATGTCCCAAGCAAAATGGTGGTCTTGGCGATGGGTAAACAGGACAGGGTTCCAATTGAGATACATGGACTCGAAATGCTGAGCGATATCCTCAATAGACAGCCAAAAGGTACCCGCCGAAGGTGAATTGGCGCTGCCGCTATCCAGGTCGGATGAAGGGGTGTCAAACTTGGGCCTCCAAGGGTTTTTGACCAAGAATTTGCGACTCAGTGAATCAATGTCTTGCACGGCATAATCATGTTCCCCTATAAGGCCCATAACATCTCCTTCTTCGGCAGAGATGTGACCAGTACCGAGAGTAATGATGACATTCTCCATTTCATAAGCCGTCTTGATCCTGTTCCATGTCTCGTCTATATCAAAAGCTTCTCTGCTGCGTGTTACTAGGGGTATGAACCTCAACAGATTGCGGCTGGTGTAGTCCTTTACCTTTGGAGAAATAGTTGCTCGGGTATCCAACCGGTAAGGACCCAAAGGTCAGTGCCCGAATTGCTACCGGGAAAATCATAACCACCTCTTACTTTGAGGTAGGCCTTTTCGAGTAGCGCCGGCCATAGCAAGCAAGGATTTTGTCGATTGATAACAAAGAGGGCCCGGTCTGTGCCGGAAGCTGGCAGCCGATCATCTACTGTGACTCGACGAGCACAGCCGTTGAAATTTAGCCTGAAGATGTATTTTCCAGAGGGAGAAAGCTTGGGCCGGCCCCTTTCGTGATCAAATGGATGCATGATCGTGGAGAGGACCTAGACATGCCGTGTTAGTTAATTGGCATAACGACATATACAGCACATCTACTTACTGCATGCTTCCCAGTCCAAATCTTCGCAGCGGCAGAAAGACTGGCGACGACTGAACAATCGGTAGTAATGTCCTGCACCAAGTCGAGCCTCGTGCTTTCAGTCATAAGATCATCATCCTGGCCGGCAGAGAAGGGACCAAAGAGCTCATGTGGCCTGTGCCATGCCAAAAAGTTGGCTACTTGGTCTTCGGAAAGTGGAAAGACGGTATCATCGCTAGATATCTGTCAGAATAGGTCTATGATGGCTAGTCTCTAAGTCTCTATGATATAATGAAGACGCATAGACTGGTAGGAGCCTCACATAAATGGTTTCGAGTCAGGCCCAAGTTGAAACTCAGCATCTAGAGGGTCATGACTCCAGGGCGGGTAAACGTTCCCGTGAAGTCGTGAAGCGCCTTGCAACAGACCTAGGCCATTGTTGGCCGGTGACGGTGAAGAGGCTGGTAGCTGAGCTTTGAGCTGTTCGGCGAATTTGATGAGCTGCTGACATCTGCGGCGGAATCGAGCTGCGTCTTCTTTACTGATTCCTTTCTCCGCAGCTGCTCGCATATACAGCTCGGCCGCCTGTATAGCATAGTCTAAAGCTGTCTGGCCGGTTGACGTTGCGAGCAGAGACTCTACGTCCTAGGAAGAAAAGCATTGTCAGTAAGCGCAGGCTATCTTATGAAGGGAGAAACACCGAGCATATGCCGGCGTTTCCAGAACGAGGGCCTACTGTTGCTCTCTTCTCCATGCCTCAGGTAGGGGGCATTATAGCTTCACGAAGCTCATTCTATATAGCGATGGCAGACAAGGGAGATGACATTCAAAGTGGGTTTAAGAACAACATGCACCTAACGGGATACCTTGCATCATGGCAGTAGCTCCTTGCCAAGCTGAAAGAAAGCCCGTCAGTAGGCTGGTGGTCTATTCGCTATCTCGAACCAAAGACAGCTGCTATTGGACAGCTTTGAATATTAGTAATACTGATGCTGCACTACTAGTGGCAGTCGAGTCTGGGCATAGAGTAGACGGCGACACTGCTTATGATATTGAAGACAAAAGAGAACAAGAAGAAAAAAAATAAATAAATGATCTCCATGCTGAAAGGCTCTTTAGCAAGTTTCAATAAAATTAATCTCATCGCGTTGGAATCATTCGTTTCAGTCCAGCTATAAATTGGAAGTTTTGCGCTCATGTAGGTGTACTTGAACACATAGCAGCAGCTCGTGCGACGCTAGACGGCCATGGCAACAAGACTAGATAAGCCAGGTCAGTATTATTGATGGGTATAGTGGTATCATGTCGTTATTCTAAACTAGCTCGTCTATTTCGTCTCTGAAATCTCTATGCAGCTGAGATAAATTATAAAAGGGTTTCATAGCCTTTGGCCTCTGTATTGAGGTCTTGATAGGGCCCATGTACCTAGATGCGGTCTCGCATCCAGTGTTATCACTGCTTCTTTCCCAGCGTACACTCTGAAAGTTTGATATTCTCTTTTTCCCCCTCTCCAAGAGCACCGAATCTGTTTGCCGTCTTCTACGATATGAAGCGATTTGATGAGCATCTCTTCTCCGAGGACCATCAAAGCTCATTTCCTCTTCGCTATTCTCTAGGCATGGCTCGTTTTCAACATCACTGAGGCTAGCGGCTTTGGCAGGCGTAGTAGCTCTACCGGCTGTTCGTGGAGGACTGGGCAATACCCATTCACTAATGCCTTCTTCCCACCGCCATCCGGAGAAAATCGTGCCGAACTTCGGATCAGCCGGAGCGGTAGCAGACAGGCTCTCCGCAAAGTTCAGATCACGAAGATCTTCAGTCTTTTGGGCGAGCATAAAGGCAAGATCTTTTTGAAGCCCGTGTTCAAACCAGTCGGGCACTTTCTCCTGATCCAGCCTTGAGTAGAGATCAGATAATACCTCTTGGCTAGAGGCTGAGCTGCTGCGCCGGCGACACTGGACAATGGTACATAGAAGGATGATTGTCTGCTGATATTGTTTACCGTTATTCGCCTTGATGTCGATTGTATGAGCCATGTTTTCAAATTCCTCGGTAACTCGTCTTTTAAATGTGACGTTTGCCAGGTCTGACTTTGCCACTGAAAGATAGCGCGCAAGGACGAGCAGGAACGAGGCATTGTTCTGAGGACTTTTTCGGCTCTTATATCGTGCAATGAGCGAGATGCTACGGTCAAGTACATAAACGAGCCGTCTCCATGCTGACTTTCTCTGTTCCTGTTCTCCAAGCACAATTTGTGATTCCAATGTTAGCGCCGCGACTGCTAAACCAGCCGCAACGCGGATTAGAACCTGCTCGATGGCGTTGCACTCTGCGGTTTTAGGCCGGCTGCCTCGAGCAAGGGTCCATATAGCTGAACACATAAATTCGACAATGTGCGGTTTCGCGTTTCCAGAAGTCAGTCCTTCGAGGCTGGATATCCAGAAACCAGAGAAAGCTCGCGAAGACAGCGAAGACGACGAGAGACGCCCTCTATTGACCAAAGCAGACACACACTCAAAAATAGGGCCCGATAGTTTCTTCCCTTTCAACGAATTCAATAACGCCCAAAGCGATGTGAGATCTTTGCTCTCGCCGAAGTGAGTTGGTCTAGCCTGCAGCAAGGAGATTTGACGTTTATTTATGGAGGCAACCAGCTGATTAGCCTCCTCATTGCCATTCAAATGAACACATAGGCGTACTAGGAGATTGCAAAATTCCGATCGGAAGAGCCCATCCAAAATAGCATTTGATAAGAGATGTATAGCTTGAGAACGAACCACCAGCCTCAATGGTCGCCATCCGGAACGGTCTGCTCCTAGGGTTTCAAGCTGGTCAAATAGGTCTGAAGTTGCGTTAGATATGTTCCATATTGATTCGTCCCCGTTATCTTTTAGCTGCTGTCGATCGTATGCATCTATATTTGCGATACAGGCTGGAATTCTGCGCAAACACATAGCAAGTAGCGATTTACCGCGATGATGCTTTCCCTGAGGGGTAGTTGAATATAGTAGTCGGTGTAGCCAGTGAAATATTGCTTCATAGATGCGATATGGCTCGCTAGGTACATGTCGCCGAATCGCATTTAGGCCTTCAATCATGTCGGCTGGAAGCGAGTTTAGCAAGCCGTACTCGATATCGATATTCTTCACCGGTGTATCAACTTGATCTCGGATCTTTCGCCAAACGGGTGTGAGGAAGTCGACTGATTCGGACGTTGGGGATACGTTTCCCAGCTTCATAGCCCCTAGAGTACGGACGGTTCGTGGGGGCGTTGTGACAGATTTGTCGGTAACGGGCGCCGCTGCTCTCTTAGCCCTTTGGCCGTACGTAGAGCGAACGCGCTTCGATGCCGAATCTTGTCCATTGTCTGAAGTTCGTTTGGATCCAGCTGAGGGCGATGGAGGTTTTTCGGATACCAGCTTTCGGAGGCTAGCTAGGCGCGACTGAAGCTGGCGTAGCAATCGTTGGCATCGTGCGGCGGTCCATTGCTGAGGGCGGTCCATTGCTGAGGGCCGTCCGAATCCGAAGCTCTGGAGCCTGCAGAGAGTCGCGATCTCGTGCTACAGCGTCGAGATGGAGGCACAGCTGTCGCTGCCTCCGCCACCCAATCCATTAAAAAAAAATACCCGATTTAAGAGCGACCAAAACTAATAATAGCTACAAGAAAAAAGTAGAAGAAAAAATGCGATGCGGTTGCTTAGCCCAACATCTTTAACGTGTCGTGTGCCAGCATTGCTTTGCAAAACAGTTATAAAGCACTACTCTTTCTGCTTGTAGCAGTGCGGCAGTCGGCACAAGCTTCTGTTTACTTTCTTCCGTTTTCGCACTAGATCGGAGCGAAGACCCTACTAGGGGTTTTCCTGTTTCGTAGAAAGCCCAGCACTTGCGGGGTACTAACGGCTTACCTATAAATACTGAGCCGAGCCAGGTACAGCCCATGTACCCCGCCGCTCCGAATTGCCGGACCGTATGCCAAATTTTTTTTCTTTTTCTGCCGGAGCCGATTCCTTTGGTGCGTGACTGACTCTTTTCAACCCAATTCTTCAAGACGTCCCAGTCATTTCCGACCAATATTTAAATGACTGGTCTCTTTATTTGTTCTAGAATATCTCGTCTCTAATCGTCCCGCTTTCTTCATCCCCCCCGTGTATGACAATGGCGGCCGAAGCACAAGTAGCTGCGAATCCCCCTCCAGGTAAAGAGGCCCCAAGTATACAGGGCTTTTGTCGACAATCCGGCTGACCATACTGGTACATCCCTGTAGCTGATGCTGTCGATGACAACGCCATGTCTACTCCCGAGAAAGCTGTGGTTGAAGGGGAGGCTGAGGCGGAGGCAGAGGTTGATCCTGCGGCCGAAGGTATTTAGTCTATGCCGCCATTGCAGCTTCAAGGTCTAACGGCATTGTGCTTGATATAGCTATTATAAACCTCACAATCGTCCTTCCCGATCCCGAGGCTGAGCGAATGCAAATCATGGTGGGCCTTGGAACAAGCCTTCACCCAATCATTGACTTTGTATTAATACAATTGCTATAGGTATCAACCCAAGAGCAGGTCCACGAGATCCGGCAATCCATCATCGACTCTCCTGCGGCATTCCAGTATACATGCTTCCACCTCGAGTTCCAGGGCCAGAAGGTCAATGACTTCATTCCCTTGGCCGAGATCCCGGAGCTTGGCACGGAGCCGGAATTTCGCTTGGTACCGGACCCATATACCGAGAAGGAGGCTCGCATCCATCTGGTGAGGATTCGGGAGCTTATTGGCGCCGCTGGCAACCGCTCCGATGCCTCCCAGGGTATCCTCCCCGGCCTGTCTCTTTATGAGTCTGTGACCAAGAAGCTGTCGACCGAAACCGAGGGCAGTGAGGAGCAGTCTCTTACAAAGGACTATGACTTCCAGGCCATTCCTTCACTCACCAGCCTCGTCCCCGAGCCCATTGACCCGGCGCCCAAGACAGTCAAGATGGTGGCTCTCTCATCGTGGAACCCCCCACCTTGCCATCTGCAGCAGCGGGGCCATCTGCTTTACATCGTTGTCACCACCAACGAGGGCGAGCAGTTCCAGGTCACTGCGCACGTGTCTGGCTTCTTCGTCAACAAATCCTCCAACGCCAAATTTGACCCCTTCCCGCGACCCGCACCCAAGGGCCAATCCGCCCACTCTCTTTTGAAGCTGATTGAATTGCTGTCGCCTTCCTTTTCTGACACTTTCAAGAACCTCCAGGAGTACAACGGCCAGAGAGATCCCCTGGCCACCTTCCAAATCACCAACGCAATCCCCAACTCGCCTTGGGCTGTGCCACCTCCCAGCTCGGCTCTTTGCACACACTCTCCCGATGTCACGAGACCCCAAGAAACATATCTACTCGCTGGTGTCGACAATACCGACACGCTGCGTGACTGGAATGAAGAATTCCAGTCCGCAAAGGAGCTTCCCAAGGAGACCGTACAGGACCGAGTGTTTCGCGAGCGCCTGACTTCCAAGCTCTTCGCGGACTACAACGACGCTGCCGTCAAGGGCGCAGTCCTAATTGCGCACGGAGACATTGCGCCGCTGAACCCCACAGAGACCAAGGATGCGCAGATTTTTGTTTACAACAACATTTTCTATTCTTTTGGAGCTGATGGCGTCGGCACCTTTACCTCGGAAGGCGGCGATGAGGCTGCACGTGTCGCTACAGGAAAGGATGTAGCTGGTGTGCAGATGGTGAACCAATTGGACATTGACGGCCTCTTCACCCCGGCTACCGTGGTTGTCGACTATCTTGGAAAGCGCATTGTCGGCCAGAGCATTGTTCCCGGCATCTTCAAGCAGCGTGAACCCGGCGAGCACCAAATCGACTACGGTGCGGTGGATGGAAAGGATGTTGTCGCTATCAACGACCAGTTCACCGCTCCTTTCGCCCAACTCTCCAAGGCCCTGAAGGTTAAGCAGCACCCTGTTTGGGACAAGGACGGCAAGCGATTCGATCTTGAGGCAAGCGTGGAAACGAAGGGATTGGTGGGTACAGACGGTCGTAAATACGTTCTCGACCTCTACCGAATCACACCTTTCGATATTGCTTGGCGAGAGGAAACTTCCACCGCGGAAGGCCAGACAGAGCCCTCAGAATATCCCCACAGGATGACGGTCCTGCGACCTGAGTTGGTGGATTCTTTCGGCCGCTATCGTATGAAGCAGTGGATTGATACCGAATTGGCTCGTCGTGTCAAGCCCAAGGCAGAAGACGCTGAAGCCAAGGAGGAGGCCAAGGAGGAGGCCAAGGAAGAGGCCAAGGAAGAGGAGGCCAAGGAGGAGGAGGCCAAGGAGGAGGAGGCCAAGGAAGAGAAGGACGAAGCTGCAAAGACAGATTCCAACGAGGCTGAACAGAACCAGCCCAACCTAGCAGATTTCAAGTTCGGACTCAACCCCGACGCTTTCAGCGGCCAGGTTCCTCGCACCGAGGAAGAAAAGGCTGAGCTCGAGGCCGACGAGCAAGAAGTTAGGGCGGCAGGAGAATACCTTCGCGACCGAGTCATTCCTGAATTCTTGCGCGAGCTCACTGATTCCGACATCAGCTTCCCTATGGATGGCCAGTCGCTTGGCCGTATCCTGCACAAGCGAGGTATCAACATTAGATACCTTGGAAAGATCGCTTCGCTCGCTGTCAACGATCGACTCCGCTGTCTGCGCGAAATCTGTATCCAGGATATGGTTTCTCGCGCCTTTAAGCACATTTCTGCCATCTACCTGCGCTCACTCCCCGTTATTTTGGCGCCCTCTTGCATTTCTCACCTCCTGAACTGCTTGCTTGGCCATCAGCTCAACGCTAAGCCTGTCGCAGATATCGACCAGACTTTCCGCGAGTTATATCCTGAGGCTGATTTCTCGTTCGAGACGGTCACTCCTGAGTCGCTTCGGGAACAGATTGAACAGCAGGTCTCCAACCGCTTCCGCTACCAACTTGGTGCCAACTGGTTCAACGAAGTTCGTCCCGTACAGCTGCTTCGTGATATCTGCATCAGAGCGGGTGTCCAGGTTCTAGCAAAGGACTACGTATTCGACAGCGCCGCTGCCGGAGCCGCTGCTGGCCCTGCCCAGCCAGAGCAAGCCAATGGCGAGACCAAGGCCGAGCCTAAGACCGAGACCAAGAGCAGCAAGAAGAAGAAGAAGACCAGAGAGAGCTCACCTACAGCTCCTGCAGCCCCCGAGGTCGTCTCTACTTTCACCCCTGACGATATTCAGAAGGTTGTGCCGGTTGTGAAGCACTCTTGCCCTCGAAGCTCGCTCGCCGAGGAGGCCCTCGAGGCCGGACGTATCTCCATCCTTCAGAACCAGAAGAAGCTTGGGCAGGAGCTGTTGCTGGAGTCACTGTCCCTCCACGAGCAGATCTACGGTATTCTCCACCCTGAAGTTGCGCGAGTCTACAACAGCCTGTCCATGCTGTACTATCAGCTTGACGATAAGGAGGTCGCCGTGGAGTTGGCTAGGAAAGCCATTATTGTTTCGGAGCGCACTGGCGGCGTTGACTCCGCCGAGACGCTTCTCAACTACCTGAACCTCAGTCTCTTCTTGCACCAGGTCGGAGACAGCAAATCAGCGCTGGCCTATTCCATCCACGCGCTGAAGCTGTGGAAGATTATCTACGGACCTGGCCACCCAGACTCGATCACCACGATCAACAACGCGGCCGTGATGCTGCAGGGTGTCAAGGCTTACCACGAGTCTCGACTCTGGTTCGAAGAGTCGCTGCGTGTTTGCGACTCCGTCTTTACCAGACAGTCCATCAACTCCGCCACTCTGCTATTCCAGTTGGCTCAAGCCCTCGCGCTTGACCACGACTCAAAGGCGGCTGTCAACCGGATGCGTGAATCCTACAACATCTTCCTTGCCGAGCTGGGTCCAGAGGACAAGAACACCAAGGAGGCTGAAAGCTGGCTGGAACAGCTGACCCAGAACGCCGTGTCGATTGCCAAGCATGCCAAAGACGTGCAGGCCAGACGTATTCGTTCCGGTCTCCGGTTCCCAGCGCAGACTGCGCAGGCCGTGGGCGCAGCGCCGCAGCGTGGAGCCCCCCAGATGGACTCTCGCAGCATTGACGAACTCATGAAATTCATTGAGGGCGCAGACTCCAAGACCAGCTCCAAGAAGCGACCTGGACGCGGAAACCCCAAGCGACGAGGAGCGGCCAAATAAAGAGAGAAGAAGAAGAAAAAAAAGGCCTATGAGCGTACCACTTTGTAGCAGGCATGATTTTACCGCTAATTCTCGATGGTGACTATGTATTAACGAGAGATGCCATAGTTTCATGAATGGGTATGGGGAAAGGTTTTTTTGTTAAGGACAAGGATGGCGGCGGCTTAAGTGGAAAAATTCCTTGGATGTGCTGTTCATGAATGTATTATATAGTGTACAGGAGCATAAAAGAAGGAGGAAAAGCAAAAAAGGATCATGTATATCTATCTACGTACTATATAGGCGGGCTTCTGACATGACATTTAGAAGCAGACCCTGAAAAGATAACCTCACTCATCAACGACATATGAAGACAAATCTACCTCTCAGCATTAGTGGCCGCCAAACAATCACATGAAGATATGAATTTGCTCCTTCCATCCTACATTGTATGTCACTCGTTGAAGTTTCAAAATGCTTGCTCTTGAACAATACTGTCTCTTTTCTTTTCTTTTCTTTCCTTTCCTTCTCTGTTTCTTTCTCTTTTTCCGTTCAAATACAATTAAACTAGACGTAACAGGCATTTCTGCTCAGCAGACACGTAACTCAATTCATACAATAGCCGCCTTCGTTAACCAGGTATCACACCCATAAAACACCGGAAAAAAAAAAAAGAACCCATCAGTTTAATGAGGCACAGTGTCCTCATAATGTGCCCCAACTCGTGCGCCTCCCTCCCATCGTTTCCATTTACCCTTTAACCATTCCGTATAAAAGTACAGACCAATATAAAATAACAGAAAACACATGCAAGAAATAAGATTATTCCCTTTTTCTTTTCTTTTCTTTTTTTCCCCCTTATCCCCTCAGTAAGCCAAAAACACCATTTTTATGAACCGCCTTTCAGGGCAGCGCCGATTGAAACGCCTCGCCCTACTGGAGCGTGATATGCGCCTATACTTTGGAATCCCCTAAATGGGAGAAAAATTCAGTCAATATCGAAAATCAGAAGGCAGCGGACAAAAAAAATATTATATTGGGCTAGGGCTGATTCAACATACTTCATCAAGTCAAATCCTTGTTCCTCTTCGGCTTCATCGCCAGCATCTGCAGGCCCTTGTTGACCGGATTTTTGTGGTCGAGATGGACTGCTTGGCGGTGACTTGCCAACCGTTGGAGGACTGCTGCTCCGTGTGGGAACCTCTCGAGATATCCTTGAAGGGCTGACTTCGTATGGCGCCATCGGCTTCAGCGGCGTGCTGCCAATATCGGCATATTTCCAAAACGGCGCCGGCGAGCTTGTCGGCATGTGCTGGCTGGGCCGCTGCGCAGTGCTCGGGGGTGCAAGCTTGGGGTGCACTCTGGGCGGCGCAGGGGTGACAAACGATGGGTTGTCGTCTTGCAGATACGACGATGTCAAGGTTGGCGATTGGGGGTGGAAGCCGGGCAGCGGCGAGTCGGTTGTCGTTGATTTCCTTGCTCGGGGCAGAGGGCTTCCGTCGGCGGTCAAGGCTGAGCTCAGGCCGGTCTGTCGATCGTATGCGCGATCTGGCGTTGACTGTATGGCGCGGCGCGAGGATTGGGGAGGCGGCGACACAAGCGGCGATCCTCGCCGCTTCTGCGCGGATGGAAGATCCCTGGCTAGCATGTCTTTGGGGCCATGCGTAATGTAATTCAGTTGGCTCGGCGATGACGGCACCGATGACCCTCTGTGCCCGCCACGTCCTATCTTGTACGCATTTCTGACCATTTCGTCCCGCGCTTCAGGTACAATATGCCATTTCATGCCCTTTCCAGGCTCGTCGGTGGTTCGGGCAACCTTGTCGAAAGACTTGTTCAGCGACAGATTATGCCGGATAGAATTCTACATTGCAAGGATCAGCATTTACTTTCAACCAACATGACATGTCGATGCGACTGCATAGCTACTCACCTGCCAACCAGCCGCGTGTTGGTGACGATAATAGGAATAACTACTCATAATAAAGTTATAGATGCCGTTGAGGTTGAGCTTGCCGTCCGGCGCATTGAGGATAGCCTGCGTGATCATCTGCGCATAGCTATACTGGGGCTTAATGTGTTGGTTATCGTCAAGACTAAGGTCTACGCCGCTGGCTCCAAGGATTCCTCCGGGAGTGCTCGCTGCGATCGGGGACTTTGCAATCGCCGCAGCGTTGCGACCGTGAGATGAGGTCGGTGTGCCCGGTCGCTTCTGGTCTACCTTGCCAGGTGTGTCTAGGCCGTACCGGCGAATCTGCGCGTTGGCGGCCTTTGGCGTCCCGATAGCCCGTCCGCATCGCTGAAGGAAGGTAGGGTGAATGTGAAGCGCACTCAGCTCTGACGGAAGCACAAACATCATTTCCACATTGCCGATTTCGATCACTTCACCACTGGTCAAGGCATGTGATGTCTGGGCCTTGACGGGCTGGCCATCCACCTTTGCCCCGTTGCGGCCCTTGACGTAGAGCATCCATTTTTCGTCCTTGGAGTTGAAGGAGATGGATGCATGCTCGCGCGACACCATCTTGCTAGGGCCGAGGTCGATGTGCACCGCATCGTGGGCTGCTTCAGCGCCGCCGCTTGCCCCGCCATGCGACACTTCTGGTGCGCGTCCAATGTTGACGTTGAGCTTGGTGATGTAGTATGTCCAGTCCTGCGCCGCCACCTTGGCATATGCCTTGACACCGTCGCCGTTGGCCTCGTGGATGGCGTTGGAGTGGTCCTTGCTCGCCTGGGCCGGCTGCGTCTTGAGCTGCTGCGTCACCTGCGCCACCAGCTGGTCATCTTGGGTTCTCGACGACTCAGCCTCGGGAGCCTGCGATGCGGGTGCGCCGTTTGCGTTGCTGGTGTCGGATTGGTCTGGCGACCGGGCCCTCTTGCGACGCTTTGCGGGACGGCTGGGGGACGAGCTCTCGACGTCGGCTGCGGCGATTTCCTTGTCCTTGCTGCGCACATCGCGCCGGCCGCGCTGGCCTCTCTTTGCCGACGCCGGCATGATAAATGGCTAGTTTTCTGTGCAGTGCGTATAAGTAAAAAGATGCTGGTTGTCGAGGTTCGCCCGTGCGTTATCGTGGGTGGAGGTTTTTTTATAACAAGTGATGACGACGGCGAAAAGCTGCCAACTTCGAAGCTGCGGAGATGCCCTCTAAGCGGACGATGGCGTTGGGAATAATATTTTTTCTCTCGGTTGCCCAGTCTGCTATTCCCTGCGGAAAAGCTAAAAGCTGCTGTTGAAAGACGCAAAAGGCGACGGTCCCGAGGTGGCGCATGCGAGGCCACAAAGCCTGGCGATCAAGTTTGTGCGCCCCAGGCTGGCATTTAAAAAAATGCTTTTGTGCTGTTGCAGACAGACAATGAATCAATCCAGAAGTGCCCAGGTATTTTTCGGCGGCCTTGACGACAGAATCGCGTTCGCGTCTGCCGACCCACCACTTAAGAATGGGCGGAACTTTAAAGTGGTCGGGGTACCTGGGTACTTGCGCGGGCCGGTATCTTCGTTAGGGCGCTCCCTCGGCGCAGGGTGAAACAGGGCAAACCAGGGCGTGGGGTCCGCCGATGCGCTATCGGAGGTACTTGCGCGAGCGTAGCGGCCAAGTCTCTGCGGTCGCCCAGCTACCAGCTGCAGTGTCGCTCCCCATACTACTTAGTACCTAGTACGGAGCCGCGGAGAGCCAAACAAGTGCAGTCAGGCTGGAATTTGACGTCGGCAGCCAGTCTTGGATTTATCGATATGCACACAGGAATAGCCGCGCAAGAAGCCCTGAGAGCGATCTGTCTTTATCCCTTTCTCCCTTGCTATCCCTTCCAGGTCTGGTATCCCTTGGAGCAATATACCTGTAGCAGTGCAGACCACAATAAGGGCAGGGCGTTTGATGGAGGGGCACGCTGTCTGTAACTTGTATGGTGTCACCAAGGTACCTTGGTACCTGTATCTCTATTTCTGGGTGCTCCGTATAAGAGGCACTGGGGACTACATACGACCTGCCTGAGCACTTGTAGTACTTGTAGAAGAACGGACCAAGTACTTCTACTTGCCACTGGTGTACACGTTCCATGAAGATTCGCACAGCTACGAGTATGTGGCAGCAGGCATCAACCCTACCTAATGCTAATGCCTCGTCCCGTTGACGAAACAGAAGCGCATGGCAGAAGCGCACATGCCCGGGCACTGACCAGGTTGGTGAGACCATGACCATGCCTAGCACCCTCCAACATGTGCGAAGCCCTTACATGCATATTATCCTTGCTGCTCTAGTGCCGAACAGGCCGCTGGGCGGGCGGGCAATAGTATTTGCGGCCGAACGCCCATGTTGGCTGCGAAATCCTTGGCCAACCAACCGGCTGGCTAGCAGCGATTTGTCGAATGCTACGGAGCAAGCCAAGTCATTCTTTCAATTTTGGGCGTGTTTTCAACCGGGCGTCGGCAGTTTGTGCATCTGCCGCAGTCTGCATCCAGAATCGCTACCGAAGGCGGCTGAAACATTTGCTTGCAGCCCTCAAATAGAATAGACCTTGCTGGAGCCGCCTCTTGTTGAATTCGAAATCTCGACTCTCGATGAAGCTCTAGGGCTGCTCACCCCCAACCGCGACACACCATGGCTAGCGAGCAGGTCTACGGCGTCACGCCGCCAATCTCTGTCAACCTCCCGACCGAGGCGGAAAAGCGCGCAAGCGATGCCCTCATCGAAGAGCTTCGGCGCCAAAAGACGTTCGAGAGCCCGTCAGAAACCGATAAAAGGCATGTTCAAGCACGGATAGTCGCAGCAGCCCTGCTTGTCTTTCTTCCCCCGTTGGCTGACCGGTTGAGCCATCTAGATGGAAGGTCCTCGCTTCGCTCCAAGAGATTTGCAACGAATTCGTCAGAAAAGTCGCGACAGAGAAAGAGCCCAAGAACGAAATCCTCATAAAAAACGCCAGGGGCAAAGTGTTTACGTACGGCAGTTTTCGTCTGGGAGTCTTTGGACCTGGCTCGGATATCGACACGCTCATCGTTGCGCCCAAATATGTTACTCGCGAAGACTACTTCAAGCACTTTCCTGACCTGCTGGTCTCAATGGCGCCTCCAGGCGCCATCACAGACTTGACTGTTGTCACGGATGCCTTTGTGCCCATCATCAAATTTGAGTACTCCGATATCAGCATAGATCTAATCTTTTCCAGAATCATCCAAAAGCAAATCGCTCCCGATTTTGATAATCTAAAGGATTCCAGCTTGTTGCGTGGTCTAGACGAGGCCGAGCTACGATCCCTGAACGGCACCAGAGTGACGGATGAGATTCTTGCTCTTGTCCCTGAAGAGAGTACATTCAAGCTTGCCTTACGAGCCATCAAGCTATGGGCGCAGCGCCGGGCCGTCTACGCGAACATTATGGGTTTTCCGGGCGGTGTCGCCTGGGCCATGTTGGTAGCTCGTGTTTGCCAGCTGTATCCCAAGGCCGCGACGTCAGTCATCGTCAACAAGTTCTTTCTGGTGATTGGCCAATGGCGATGGCCGCAGCCCGTATTGCTTAAGCCCATTGGTAGCGGCCCCCTCCCAGTCCGCGTCTGGAATCCCAAGGTATGCATTGGAAACGCTGCTCTCGACCCCGTCCATAGACATGCTAACGCGATTGACTACTAGGTTTACAAAGGCGATTCTTTCCACCTCATGCCCGTCATTACCCCAGCGTATCCTTCAATGTGTGCGACATTCAACATTACCCGATCCTCGATGACCATTATTCAGCGCGAGCTGCGACGCGGACTAGAAATTTCCGAGCAAATCATGGTTGGCAAGAGGCCGTGGAGTGATTTGTTTGTTAAACATACGTTTTTCACCCAAGGCTACAGGTATTACATCTCAGTCGTCTCTGCCAGCAAGGACAAAGAAGCGCACAAGGTATGGTCGGGCTACGTAGAGTCCAAGGTTCGGATGCTCGTGCAAAAACTGGAGCAACATTCGTCCATTGCGCTTGCACATGCGTTCAATAAGGGATACGACCGACGGCATCTTTGCAAAAACGATCACGAGATCGAGCAAGTACAGGAAGGAAGTCTGGAATTTGTCATCAAAGATGAGGGCAAAGATCAGCCCAGCGAAGAAAAGGCTCCGAATCCCGAGGAGAAGGAAGATTCTTCAGAGTCTACCTCCCCAGTCGAGGTTTTCACCACCACTCATTACATTGGCCTTGAGCTAGAAGAGGGTATGGATGACCCTTTCATCCCCCATGTCTCTACACTTTGTTCTGTTTTTTCACATTCGGAGATTCTTTGTCTTGTGATGCTGATTTTGCAGGTGCCAAATCTCTGGATTTATCATATCAAGTCGATGAGTTCAAGGTCCTATGTACCAGTTGGAAGAAGTATCAAGAGGAGCTGCAGCCGTCAGTATCTCTAGGTGTACAGCACGTTCGAAAGTAAGCTATGTTGCCACCGCTTTTTTTTTTTTTTAATCGAAGAATATTGGTTGATAATTGGCAAAGTTTCAATCTCCCAGACGACGTTTTTGAAGCCGGAGAAACGAAGCCTCAGAAGAAGAGCGCTAAAAGCCTGGCAAACAAGAAGCGAGGCCCGACAGAGGTAATACGATCGTATCGACTACTTCCCCCGCGCTGTGGGATGCGATACCTTGAATCCAGTCTCCTAAGGAGGGAGAGAGCATACTGACTGGTTGACAGGACAACACCCCGCCAGCAAAGAGACAGCAAGCCTCAGTTGTAGCTGCTGGTTAACGAGAAACACGTACTGTGCCGCGGTTCAAGCCTCCATTTCCGTTTGGACAAATATTTTTCTGAAATTCCAAGCTGACGTTAAGGAAGTGGATGATTCTTTTTTTTTTTTTTTTGTTTTCCTGCGCCGTCGTAATTCCGGCCAGTATTATCTGGAAACTCAGCGTACACGGCCGGCCTAATAGTTTTCCAAACCCCCATTGCTTTTCTCCATCTTTTTTTCTTTTCTTTCTACTCTTTTCTTCTTTTTTTGCATTGTCTTTGTCTTGTTTCGTACTCCTCCATCTTTGAGGCGGGCATACGAAGTACATATAAAACGGCGCCTAATCTGATATTAGCAGGGCGATGATAGCGGGCAGCTGCGGTATCACCACCTTATACCGCATATTCTACGATTCCGTAGCAAATAACCTTCGGTCGTATTAACACTGGCGCAAGGGTCCTCTGGGATGAAACTACCTCCCCTTTTTTTTTGTTCAGACTTGCATTTAAACCCGTAGCAGGGGATTAAATTTAGATAGGTAGATTTGGTTGCCATAAATGCAATTACATTCCAAGACATTGGACACTAATCTGCGAATCCGTGAAGTGCGTGAGACAAGAAGTCGTGCTAGGCTCATTTGTACTCACCAAGGGAGTGTCCCGTCGATTATATGTCCAGTCAGATTGCAGTGCCTGCCCTTTTATCTTCCTAGTAGCTCATAGTTTTATGATATGTAGCTTGGTCATATATTGCGCCCCTATTAAACTTTCCAGTACCTTTTTCCAGTCCCTCTCCCTCAAAACACAGTGCCAAGGGAATGCGACATTGCAAGCCAGGGCCGTTTGTCATCATAGATCGTCATCATCCAAATCGCTGCCACTAGACCACTCATCCTCATACGCAGCTCCAAGTTCAGCCAAGCCGTTTGCCAAGTTCTCCCTGTCCTCTAGCGGGATGCTCAGAGCAACTCGTGATCGCAGGTCCTTCATCTTGTACACAATCGAGCCGTCAGAGGCAAGAGACGTGTGGACGGATATGTTGTTTTCGTCTTCAAGATCATAGTTGTATATTGATGGGAAGCTGTCGAGGATAGGGTAAAGGAGAGAAGTTTCATAACTATAGTCTCAGTTAGTTTCTGTGCTTAGCATAATGATGCAGCGCTTTTTCATAAATACTTACTTTCGAACGACTGTGTTCCCAATAATGGGGCGTTCGTTTGTCGCAGACTCATCGTTAGAACCATCGGGTCTCCGCATGCCCGACAGTCTTCCAAAGGCTCGACGGCTGCTGCTCCCCATCTTGACACCATCTTTCAAGCTTCCAATCTGTGACAAGTCCATATCTGGAAGCTCTTCTTCCGACTCCAAAGCCGAGGGTCCAACAGACATGCGCATATTTGCAATCGTCTGCCGCCCAGACACATTCAGGCACTCCGCCATATCCGCCAGGCTGACAGGCTGCGTCTTCCCATCAAGTCGTCGACGAGATGGCAACGAGGCGCTTTCCGCGGCCGTGGAGAGCAACGCGGAGATATTCCACGCCGAACCGTTATCCAGCCTGACGCCTGTCGGAAGGCGGCCTTCGGGGACAGCCAGCGGAACCACCATGGAGGCCTGAGCACACGCTTCATTCAGGCTCAGCGCCGTGTTGGCCAGCCTCAGCCGCCGCTTCTCCCTCGCAATCGTCGACACCGGGCCCTGCAGCCCCCAGACCCAGATACAAGTCTTGGGATGCTCATCCCGCAGCGCCTCCAGATACGAGCTGGCAAATCCTCCCCAGGCATCGTCCAGCGTGGTGTACACCTGCACGCCCTGCATCTGGTCGCACTCCTCGACAAACGGCCGCCAGTCCCGGTCGACAATCTCGTCCTCCTTCTCCAGCGCCGCGAACAGCTCGGTGCCCATTGAGAAGCGCTCAAACGGCATGATGCTCGAGTGCAGCTCATAGTCGTAGAGCTGCACCAGCGACTTGGGGTGGTAGTAGACGCGCGAGAAGTCGGACCAGTAGCGCACGTCTGAGGCCGCGAGCTTGGCTGGCTTGACGCCGGCGTCGAGGTCCCTTTGGTAGTCGATGGATGAGACGGCATTTTCCTTGTGGACTGCAGGTTTGCCGTGCCTGGGGCATAAAAGGTGTAAGCAAAGTAAAGAGGAGTAAATATTTCATGTTTTCATGTAGAAGAATAAAAATAAATAAATCTTTGTTTATAAAAACTCACCAGAGAGATGCTACAGCCGCATCCTCGCTCGGCGCATCATACATGGGATTCATCTTGCGAAGAGACCCAAACCCGCCCTTCAAGTCATACACCACCGTCCGCGGCAGAAACGTGTCCGATCCATCCTCGCCCACGCCAGCCCTCCAGTGGATGTTGTGGTCGACATAGGCCGTTTCGTCTTCAGAGTAGGTGAAGTACGACTCTTGTGTGTTCCAGAAGTGAGTGGCGACGTAGTTGCTGAGACTGCCCAGCTGCAGCGTCACAATCTCACGCATGGCTGCTGTCTATGCAAGGGGGCGTTATGCGTGAACAATGAAAAAATGAAGAGATAAAACTAAACGAGGAATGGTGAGTCAATGAGTCATTTCAGCTGGTAATTCTTTATGTAAATTGTAAATGTTGAACTGAAATTTCGAGCTCTCGCAATAGCTACAGGGTATGTTTGATGGATGCTGACTAATCGCCATCGCCGACCTTATACAGCACAACTCGATGCATTCTTGGCTCTTTTTACTATTCCCGATTTCTATTTGTTATTTATCTGAAGAGAGCCACAGATGTGGTCATTCCATTAGATTATATGTTCTCAGACAGGCTTAAGAATGATTGCTGTAGATCATATTATCAGTGAGGGGCACACACTGGTCAAGAAGAGTGCAGACTTTGTGAAAAAAAAAAAAAGAGTAGATTATTATATATATAGTAGTCGTCCGCCTCATAACACGCTATTACAATCATCGAGGCATGATTTTGCAACCTTCATAGTACACAGGTCTCCCTAAAGAGACCAGAACACATGAGTGGCTTGGACATAAAATGGTAAACAAAAAACAAGACAATGACAAAGAAAGGAAAAGGAAGAGAAAAATGAGAAGAATTTTTGGCTGCTCCGCCGCCGACCGTAACATCACACAAATCAGCTCAACATTTCGACGCCAACCCGTCTGGACGGGCAAGCCATGAGGTAACAAACCCAATAACACCAATGCTGCTGACAAGTTCAAGCGTTAGCCTGCTGTTACACTTGATCTGGCCGGCTAGCCCCAAAAGCCCCAGTGGATCCTGGTGATGGGGCACCACTTCATCGCGCTTTGACCTTTTGTGTTTCTGGCGTCTCAGCTTCTGGTCGACCCTTGCCAGCGGCATGTTGTTCATCGTCATGCCAGGCCCGAGCATTGGCACTGGCAGCTCACCAAGGCGCTCTGCTTCAAGGCTCTGCCGTAAGCTCTCTGCCCAGCTCGCCATCTCCAGCGGCCGGTCGTACTGTTCCGGCGAGTATGAGCGTCCCCATAAAGAAGGGGAATACGAGTACATGCTCATGGGCTGCCGACAGATGAGGGCTGTCTGCGCCGAGGAGGCAATGGCCGTCTGCCTGCGCCATCGGACGCATTTGAGGGAGGCGGCATGTCGTAGTCTTGCGCTTCCATCTTGCGACATGAGCTGCTCCACAAGCCTACTGAGATCGGTAGAGACGAGTGGGCGGACATATTCTGAATTCATAAGTACACTAGCGTCCATTACATCGTCGTCGGAATCGGATATACTTGACACGGCGTAGACATCAGAAGTTTCAGAAGACACTCCAGGAGCACGGAACGAGAAATATTCCACGGCCTTTTCACGCAGGCTGTCGTCGATATATTGCTTGCAAGCCATGGCCTGGTCACTGTTGATCTCATCGGCGCGGGCTAGCAGTGGGATGACGTTGGTTGTGTTCTGGAGCAGCCTGATTGTTTCTACATCTGAGGGTTCCGGTCCTGTAGCGTGTTAGATTCAGCTGGTCTCAAGCAGTCATGGCGCATAGAAAAGGAGCGAGCAATACCTGTATGAGGCAACATGTACAACACAGCGTCTACAATAGGCTCTGTTCCGCTGCTCAAGAGGTTCCAGAGGTCACCATCACTGATTGGCCGGTTTAGGAGTGGGAGAAACTGTGATTCAACGTAGCGGATCGCAGGGTGGGTGCTTTCAGATCTTTGCTGAGGCGGACAGTCTACAAAGCAGAGGTTGCGGTCAAGCATCTCGTCCATGACCGAGCTTCTTCGCCTTGGCGCAGTAGACGGATCCAGCTCTGCTCTCCACCACGGGTAAGGGCGGGTACTGGCATATACTTCTGATACCTCGTCCTTGTTTTGATTCGGTACGGGGTCAACATGAACAATATGCTCGCTGGATTGCGCAATGGCTGTGATGAGTGTTGACTTTCCAATACCTTTGCATTCTTCCTGTTAGCAGACGTATCCCGGCGTGGACTGCGCCAAGGCGGGGAACATACCATCTGGACCCGTCACCAGTACCTTGAGCTTTCCCAGCGATTTCCCCGTGTTTGAAAAAGGTCGCCGCCGCGGAACCATCAAGCTGGGCATGATAAGCTGAGGCGTATGACTCCCTGCGAGGTCTCCCACAGTATGCGAATAAAGACCGATATCGCCTTGGTGAGGGCTGATGAGGCTTAGCGAAGAGCTGATTCGGCTGGCGGACATGGAGTGGACAGGCGAGCTCAGTGGCGAAGAAGCTGAGCTGATGACAGATTCAGGGCCCGTAGTTCCTAGATTCACCGGCGTCAAGGGTCTTGAGAGATCGTGAGGAGTCTCACCGCCCGGCTGAGATGATAGGGACGGTGACGGCCATGATATCGAGGTCGATGCTGACATGTTGGATCGGTGGTTACTCTTGCCGGCCCGCTGGCTCGATTCATACTCGCTCTTGTAGGGAAATCGCTGCGTATGAAAGCTCATCTCGCCCAAGTCGCTGATCGAATCCTCAGTGCCGACCATGTACGTCATTGCAGGAATCGTCGCATTTGTCGTCAAGCTGTCTGGTCGCCCACGATGGGCTGATGCGCTGCCGCTCGCCGGAACCGGTCGCATGTTGGACGCTGGCCGCTGGCGATGGACCTGTTCGCTGAGTCCCTAGTAGTAGATGACGAAGAAAACACAGCTTCTGTACGAGGGGAAGGCTTTATAATCCGCCGTCCAGCACCGCAAACATTTATAGAAGCAAGCGACTTTGAGGATGGCTGACGTGTGATTTAGTCTTTGGGGAGACTCTTGGTCGGTGTTTAACGCGACAGCGCAGTGTCGAGTAGGTATGGAGTACCGTCTCACCGAGTACTTGGCATGTACTCGGGTAAAATGCTGTGGCGGAGATACGCGACGCCGGAGAGCGGGGAACGACATTCGGGTACATTTCGTGTCGTACTCCATACTTTGCATTTGTTGGGGGCGCCCACTTGCCATCACTTATGGCGCTCGTCGCAGGTGCTGTCACGTCACTGCTACTGCTACTGCTAAGCTGCTACTGAGGCGCCTGTAGTGAGTAGTAGTACTACTTTATGCTGTAAAGTGCTATAGAGGGCTATCTCGTAGGTGTAAATGATCAAACTTGCGGAGAGCCTCGTCTCCCCAACCCTCATACCGCAACACCAAGACCGCGCCGGTAATACGACTTGCGCAAAAGCACCCATAAAAGCTCCGTGTCTCTGCATGATGCATCGGGAGGTCTGCCAGCTCGCACCCCGTATTAGGAATACCCTCCTTTAGGATCTCTGGAATGCAGGCACCGCACTCTAGATAGAGACGCCGTTATCTAAGCGCATATCGCGGCCCACTATAGCGGGGCAGCCTGATCCCGTCGCCGTCTATTCCATTTTAGTGCTGCCAGCTCGCCAGCCTCTTGTGGGACAAAGGCTGCTCGCTCGTCGTCGATGCTAGTCCTGTACTGACTCATCTGGATACAAGCAGACGAGCTGTCCGGTAGCCAGGAGCAGCAGCAAGAAACGCCCCCGTCAAAATGGACGGCAAAAGACACCCCAGTTCGTTCCAGCAGCTGGAGAAGCTCGGAGAGGGCACATATGCGACTGTGAGTTGTACTTAGTCCCTCTTCCACCATTCTTTCTGCCACACTGCCGTACCGCTCCCTGAGCGTCTTCCTGCGGCTGGAAGCAATGAATCTTGGCTAATCTCCATTGTTGTACGTTCATCCTGCTAGGTGTTCAAGGGCAGAAACCGTCAGACAGGCGAGCTTGTTGCGTTGAAGGAGATCCACCTTGATTCCGAAGAGGGAACACCATCAACCGCCATCCGAGAAATCTCTCTTATGAAGGAGCTCAAGCACGAGAATATCGTTGGACTCCACGATGTCATTCACACCGAGAACAAACTGATGCTTGTATTCGAGTACATGGATGGCGATCTCAAGAGATATATGGATACCCACGGCGAACGCGGCGCGCTGAAGCCAACGACGATCAAATCCTTCATGTATCAGCTTCTCAAGGGCATCGATTTTTGCCATCAGAACCGGGTGCTGCACCGAGATCTCAAGCCGCAAAACTTGCTCATCAATAGTAAGGGATGTTTGAAGCTGGGTGATTTTGGTCTTGCCCGTGCCTTTGGCATCCCCGTCAACACCTTCTCCAACGAAGTCGTCACCCTGTGGTACCGTGCGCCGGACGTCCTGCTCGGTAGTAGGACATATAATACGAGCATCGACATTTGGTCAGCTGGATGCATCATGGCTGAAATGTACACGGGACGGCCATTGTTCCCCGGTACGACAAACGAAGACCAGATTGTCAGGATATTCCGCATCATGGGCACTCCCACGGAGCGTTCATGGCCGGGAATTACGCAGCTGCCAGAGTACAAGCCCACGTTCCAGATGTACGCAACTCAGGATTTGCGGAGCATTCTTCACGCCATTGATCCTACCGGCATCGACTTGATTCAGCGTATGCTTCAGCTTCGTCCGGAGCTCCGCATAAGTGCCCACGATGCTCTGCAGCACCCATGGTTCAATGACATTGTCCTTCAACAGCAGCAGCAACAGCAACAAGCTGCTCTTCAAGCGCAGGCGCGGAGCTTCCAGCAGTCGGTGCCTTCCCAGGGGTTCGATAACAACTACTAGCGAGAATAGACTGCTGCGCGTCCTACGCGACTGGATGCCATGAGCAGGCGTAATTACACGACCGACTTGGCCATTCTTTTTTTTTTTTTTTATTGAATTGTTTCGTTATTTCTCTTCTGGCTGGCGTTGAATACAGCGTGTTTATACATAAAAATGAAGACTTGCGCTGTACCCAGAAGACGGAATGATATAGCACGGTCGGGCTGAACTGGATGATAATACCAATGGTGGAAGCATCAGCTAAAATTAGGGTGAGGCAGGGCAAAATATTCCATCTTTATAATAAGAAGCAAGATATTTTGATCTTCACTCTCCATGACAGAAGCGGCGAGCTTTTGAGTTTTACCAATTTATTTGTAGCGCTTGGCTTTAGTGCCTATTGACAAGACTACCATCTACGGGGCTTTTGAATTTACGTTTGTTTGGCTCCTTGGACCACGTATCCGCGAGGGCGGCCGTTTCGTCCTCGTCAGGGGCGAAGCCCATGCTCAGCCTAAGCTTCTGAATTTCATCACGAACCGCCTTTGCAACGTCAATCCTGAGCTGCACAGCCTCGGGATCATGCTTCAGGAGATCCGGGTCACCGCTCTTCTTCTCAACCAGTCGCTTCCAGGCAGTGCGATAGTGGCCAAAGAGACTTTCCGAATCGGCTGGTTTTCCAATCATTACCCGTATCCGCTGGCCAATGCGCGGCAGGAAACGTGGAAACCCTCTCTCCTCGGGCATGATGTCCTGTGTGCCGTGAATGAACATGGGGACGAACTCGGGGGCCGGCTCGCTCTCGAGAATCAGGCGGGATACGCCCCATTTGAAATAGCGCAGGGTGCTTTCGGGGTTCTGGTGGCAGCAGGCTTCGGGGAAGATGTGGACCCAGGCGTGGCGGTTGGCGGCATAGATAGAGGGGGAGACGAAGGAGTCTGAGCCGGTTGTAGAGAAGGTCATGTCGGATGGTTTGATGACGGACGAAGGGCTGGAGAGAAGCTTGACTGCCTGGGCTATCGTGGGTTGGTACAAGCCTCCCTGCGGCGAGTGCCACAATCGATGGGTCGGCAGCACCTGGCCATAGCTGAAGAAGGTAGAAAAGAAGCGGTTTTTGAAGCAGATGTCGTGGGCACCGAGACCCCAGCGCAGATTCTCGACATCGACGGCGTAGCGCAGCGGGAGAATGCCCCATATTAAGGGATCATCGAGTCTAAGCAGTCAGCGACTTGTCAAACGGGCGAATTGTAATTCACGCTGAGACGCCATACACGGAGACGTGGTTGCAAACAGTCAACAGGCCGCGATCCCGCTGGCCGCTTCTGCGCCGGTCCAGCACGCCGAGCAGGTTGTCCAGGCCGGTGACCTCGACCTTGTTGAAGCAGTAGAGAAAGGCCCGCGATGCAGCCCCAACGCTGCTCATCACCGCCACCGAGGCAAGCCTCGAGGGCCAGCCCGGCCGTGATGTGGGAGTTGGGGACGACGACATGGCCTCCAGCTAAGAGTGTTGCTGCTGCTTCGACCTTTTAGCCCGGATCCAAGTTTCCATGACGGGCCATTGCTGGCGAGCAGCACCTTATGGAGCAACCGACGGAGCGCTTTTTTTTTTTTTTTTTTGGTCGTCCCTAATTTTTTTCTTTGGTTGAGGCTTTGCCCCGCTACCGGCCTGGCTAGAGTGACCTGACCTGGGGTTATTTCGGCAGCGGCCGCCCCTCTCTGGCCTATCCAGTGCCCTGTTCATCCGCTAAAGACGCCGTGTCTGCTGCCAGCGCTGGAATAGCGCCCAATACCCACCGCATGGGCATTCCATAGGGAGCGCGATTGGGGCATTGGGGCATTGGGACGGCGAAAAGTAACAGCTGAGAGAAGGAGAGAGAGCTGGCACTAGTGAGCCGCCAATTGAGCTCCAGTCTAGTCCTAGATAGGTAGTATCGCTACTTGCAGCATCTTGCTTCCTCCAAAACCTACCAGCACTAAGATACTATTTATTACCTTTCCGCTCCAACATCTGTAATACCTTGTCGCCGGTGTTCTCGAGTTTAGGCCTCTTGTTGTGCTGAAGATCTGCATCAGGAGCCTTGCCCATAGCTACAATGTCACATAGTATGTCGTTTCACTCTCATCTTCCTTTGCATGCTGCAGCTACTGGAGCTTCTATGCCTTGATTCCAAGGGCGTATATCAGCAGCTGACCATGGCCTCGTCCGTCTGCAGGCAAGAGAAACACCACCCGCCCTGTCTTTACCTCGTACGAAAGAGAACAGGCCAAATCGAACTGGACCGCAAGCTCCGCCCAGCTCAATCGAGATTCATTCCTGCCCTTTGGCTACTGCAGCCTCTGCCTCGAAAACGCCCGAGAGCCGGTCTCGTGTCCGCGAGGAGATATCTTTTGTCGCGAATGCGCTCTGGCGAATCTCTTGGCGCAGAAGAAGGAGCTGAAACGGGGAGAAAAGGCACGTCAAAATGCCGAGAAGGAAGCTGCCAGGATACAGGCCATTGGCGATGAGGAAGAGCGGGAGCGAGCGATTCGCGACTTTGAGATGACCCAGGCCGGGTTGCTGAATAGTGCCAGCAGGAAAAGTCCCAATACTACAACTACAGCTACGGCTACAGCTACGGCTGCAGCCACAACAACAGCTGCAATCGAAGATGGAAACGAAGGCGCTGTTGTTCGCGCTGGGTCCAAGAGGAAATTTGCCCTTGATGCGGATGAGCTTGGCCGGATAGCAGAAAACGACAAGGCCAGGGCACGAAGAGCTATTGAAGATGAAAAGGTACGTGGCAACATATATACACAGACGCCCTTGGCCAAATGCTGACCATTGCTTATAGGCGGCTAAACCGACGCTTCCTTCATTCTGGACACCCTCACTCACGCCAGACGTGCGAAACAGCGACCTCGCCCCAGTCGCAAAGAAAGCCAAAACGACGCCCACGTGCCCGGCCTCGTCAGAGCACAACCCCCATTCTCTATCCTTACAAAAGCTATTGACGATACAATTCAACGAAACAGCAGACGACTCCACAAAGGAGACTCTCCGAACCTGTCCTTCATGTTTAAAGACCCTCTCCAATGCTTTAAGCCCCGTCATGGCCGAGAAATGCGGCCACGTCTTGTGCTTGAACTGTGTCAAGAAGTTTCTCCTTCCCTCGGAGAAGCAGCAGTCCAAGGCGGAGGCCGAGTCTCCCATTGCCTGCTTTGTTTGTAGCACACCCGTCGCCGTCTCGACCAAGCCCGTCAAGACTGCGAGCTCAAAGGACGCTCTGCCGACGGGCTTGGTCAAGTTGAAGTCGGAAGGAACAGGCTTTTCTGCTCGTGGATCACGAACCGTGGAAAAATCAAGTGTTGCGTTTCAATGCTAAAAACAACGGGCGAAAAGCAAGATCCAAGACACAGTCGGTAGCTGTCTCGCATTTAAATCGTTCGAAGAAGCATCTTGATGAAAAATGCACTAGATTCTTTCCCCTGCTTAACTTTCTCGCACCGCATGGGGCTTTATGAGTAGTAAGGCTTGAAAGATCCGAGCTGGTATCGGTCCGGCGTGTGTCGAAAGCTCCCAACGAGGAAATATATCCAGCAAAGTCTTCTAGGATAATTGAGAGACTCCCGCGCACTTCGCCTCGCCGCTGAGGTGCTACGTCTATTTACCATCGCCCATGTGCGCGATAGCAGCAGATACCGGCCATGACTAAGAAGTCAAAGAATCTAAAGGCTAGAACATCTTATTTGCAACTTGAACTACTATAATTTGGGCCTTTGTTTGCCTTGCTACTGAGTAGCTCCCATCTATTTACAGGCGAACCTCGCCCGGCATATTGTAATGTTTTTTCTCATCAGCGAAACGAAGCGAATAGACCATTGCGACTAGGGATACTTGTGGATGACTACCATGTAATACCACCCCAGGGATGAAGCCCAGCTCTTACAGAAATAGCACGGCCATGTCGAGAAGCTATAATAAGTAGATCAAGGCAGCTACATGAGGATCCAATTAGGATGCCCAATTCAGATGTGGTCAACAGACCGTCGACTGCATCGTCCTGTAGAATTACTACGCTCCTTTTCTTCATCAGAATTAAATAACGAGTATGCTGACTGTCTTTATGACTTGAAGCTATTGATTGCTACTGAATGACATTCACTGTGTAGTATACATTTGATATGGCTTCAACACCATGAAAACTTGTTGATCCAGTATGCAGTGTATTCAGTCTAACACTATGCCGAGAACACCACGAATTCGGGTTCTTCTCTTCTGGTATATCACGTACATCAGCCCAATGGGGGGTTTAAAAAAAAAAGGCAACCATCTATCCAAAAGGTTGGGGTATACAGTAAAGGGTCCGTAAAACAAAAGACCGCGCCACGCAGGGGGCTTAAGCTACCCTCCGATGATTGCGTCTGAATGATAAATGGCATAAAGAAAGGGGAGGAAAAAAAAAGTGAAGAAGAAAAGTGGTCGTTAGAATCATGAAAAGCCCATTTCCTAGCCCGAAACCCATTCCCTGAAATGGTATATTACCCAAAAGAAGAAAGAAAAGCGATGGAGAAGTGATGAATAAAATGGATATAGAAAAGACGCCTTACGCCTCAATCATGCTCATGTGCCGTTAAAATCGCAAATAGAAGGGACAAGAATAAAGACGACATCTCTATCCCCGACTTGCCACCGAGGCCTGCCTCTGTGGTGGCGCAGGCATACCAAAACTGGCCTGTCGTGCTGATCCCGGGATAGAGATGGTTTCTAGGTCTTCTCCAGGAGCGTCTTCATTCTCCAACAAGGCAGATTGGCTCCCAGGCATTCTCTGTGCGCCAAAGCCCGTAACCTTGAAAATGTTTGTGCGGCCTCCGTTGGTGGCCATTTGCAGCTGCTCGTGAAGCCTTGCTAGCTGATATTGACGCCTAATGGGGGTGAAGACGGGCTGTGGGATCAGGGGTTGGGGGTTCCAGTGGGCCAAAGCGCTCATTACGGCGCCGGTTTCCTCATCAGAGTCTACCGGGCCATTGTTGGCATCATCGTCATCTTCAAGAGGTGCATTTGCATCCAATGCGGCTTCTGTAATAACAGTGCTTGATTAGTCTCCGCGCGCAACCGGGCAAGGTGTATGGTTGAAAAGAGGCATACTCTGCTGTTTAGCTTGGTTCTTCTTCTGATACGCGGCCAGAAGCATGTCATAAGGTAGAGATCTACCTGCGACGGCACGCTTTGCTCCCATTGAATGGCTTTTACAAGTCAATGAACGGGCACAAGGCTGTCCGTTGGGCAGGATGACACCACATTGTCGCTCCACATCAACAGGCCCTATAATGGGAGAAAAGGGGAAAGGGGTTAGCAAGCAGTCAAATCGACGGTATAGCTGGCGATGATCTCGCGGTAACTAACCCTTTGGTTTTGGAAGCTTGGCCTTTGGCTCATCCTTCTTCTTCTTTGCCTTGGGCGCTTTGTCCGCCTCAGTATCAGCTTTACGCTTCTTGCTGACCTTGTCGTCGCCTGGCTTTTTGCTCGCGGCCTTTTTCCCGGCCTTTTTGTCGTCTTCGTCGCTATCTTCATCTTTGGCGTCGTCGTCGTCATTCTTCTTGGCTTCTTCCTCCCGCGCTGCCTCCTTGGCTCGCTCTCGAGCCTCGCGGGCCTCCTTCTTCCGCTGCGCCTTCTCCTTCTTCACCTTGAGGCACGCCGCAACGTGTGCCTTTGCGGCCGTCTTCAGAATGCTCTTCTTGCAGTGTTTGCATTGTTGCAGCTCAGGGGGGTCTTCCAGGGGTCGTCCGGTTGCAAACGTCTCGCGTGCCGAGTCTTCTAGCTGGTTGACAACTGGACCAGGGGATACTGCGGTCGATGGTGGGGGATTACTGCCTTTCTTTTTATCTTCTTGCGCTACGTCAGCATAAAAAAAAACCCCTTGGACTTGGCTGGGAAGAAGGATTGCATCTCCCAAAATCAACATACCCTCAACTATGCTGCCGTCCATCCAATTTCCCGGCTTGTTGTGCTTTGGCGCCGACTTCTTCAGCTTTATGGTTCCATTTTTGGAGTCTTTCTTGGATGCCACTTTGATGGTTTGATCTGCGCCAAAAGGTATCAGACACGTGGTTTACAAATAACGGCCAAAAGACATCATCCCCAACAGCCAGGGCTGCCCACCTTTGCGCGATTCTGCCTCCGGCGCCATGATGTAAGCGGCACTTTGCCGGGTCGCTGAGAGCTCGGGAGAGAGGGCAGAGTGTGCAGCTTTCGCTCACACGACGAGATGGAGAGTCGGATGTGTCAGGACGCCTGGAGTTGATGAGTTTGATGATGATGGCTAGACGTTGGGATTCAACAATGTCGCATCTGATCGCGAGGCTGATGTCCAAGTTGCTAAGGCACCCAACTTCACGTGTTCAGGCATAGCGGCAGCTGTAACAATAATATTCCGAAGATCCAAGAGTGCCTGCAGGTACGTACTAGCATCTGGCGCTAGGGGGCTGACAGGCACAAAGAGCTGCAGTGAGAGGGGAATTGCATTGCTTATTGTTCCCAAAACAATAGGATTGTGCAAATAATATCAAGTGAAATTTGCATTTGTAGACTCAATAAGAGTGTAGCTTAATATTTTTTATTAGAATTTAGAATTTATACAGTACTGAGTGGTCACTTTACAATAGTCATACCACCACGCGTTGATGCTGCTATTGCTAGGCTAGTAGCTCTTGCAGCTGCTTTATGGAGCACACCCCGTGGGGAGCGGCCCATAAACTCCTCCACAGGGCTGCCTGCATCTATATCGCAGCATAAGGGCCCCGGTAGTGTTGCAGTAAATAAGACGGCGAACTAGTAGGTAGGTATATAACAATTTAGGGATTCTGGCAACCAAAAGTATACGGGAGCTGCTGCTGGGTTCATGTGAAAAAAAAAGGGAAAGAAAAATAAAAAAAAAAACGAATCGCTCAATGCGCGGCTGTCAAAAAGAGAGCCCGCCATCTTCAATGCCAGGAGGCGTAGTTTTCATTTTCACGCCACGCTTTGTATATCCGGTCTCTCATGGCCATGTGCCCAAGAGTACGCTGTAAAAAAAAAAAAAAAAAAAAAAAAAAAAGTCAGTCATGCCAGAGTCCAAGTGCAGGATGATAGATAGGATCCGAATAATACACACCGGATGAAACGTCTTGCCATAATATGTGGGCACATACCACATGGAGTTTTGTGCTGCAAGCTCTCCATCCGCCATTCGCAACATTGGGTCTTTATCGGCAGCCATGGCCATCATGCACAATGCCATCTCTCCCCAGTCTCCAGACTCTTGTGCCGGGCCAAGACAATTACGCGGATCAACCAGCGGAGAATCAGCAGGGAGAATGGCATCCATTACTCCAGGCACAAGCTCCCCCATTTGAGGGGGGGCATTGTCCAGACCACCAACAAGAAAGAACCAAGTCTCATTTCTCGCATAGTCTGGCTCAACAACATTCGGTTCACAAAAGCGATGCCCTTCAAAGGCATCATCGTAATCCACAAAGAGGACCTTGGGCTCCGCAAAGGCTGCGTTTATGGCGTCAACAGATTGCCGAATCTTGGCGTTGACAGCGAGAACCATGTCATTCATGCGCTGTCGAAGCTCGCGTTTTAGCCTCGGGCCTCGCCACCACATGCCCAAGGAGTAGTCATCACAGTCGTCCGTGTCGGCGTTGAAGAAGCGGGCGTATCCAGTAACGGTAACGGTGAACCACGGCCTCTTCTCCCATCGAACGCGGTCGAGAATCTCCATGATGACGAGCCGAAGACGGTCTTCGAATTGGGGACCAGCCATCTGTTTGTCGGCTCGCTGGAGGGCGGACTCGCAGGTGCCGGAGTAGAAGCTATAGAAGCGAAATATGCAGCTGTTCATGATTTCGAAGAAGCCCAAATCGTTGCCGCCGATGGACAGGAGCGCAAAATCAGCAGTCGAGGTGGTGTTGAACGCATCAATCTGGCTATGCTCCGCGCCGGCAAGCATGTCATTGATTGTGGAACCTGTGCACGAGAGGAACTCAAAGGTTGGCCCATCGCCGCCAACATGGCTGCGGTTGAGGTCGCCTTGCACCAGCACCGGGTAGGCGTGGTAGCCACGGCGACAGTTGTCCTCGGTCCCGTTGAATAGGCCTGTGCCTATGCCAGCCGAGTAAGAGTCTCCAAGAGCAATGAAGCCAGTTGGATGGTGGCCTGGCCGGCGAGGAAAAGCTGGTGCATATGGAGCTTGGAGGTCAGATGCTGCAGCGACGGGTTTAGGTTAGCAGTCGTGTAACTTATTTAACCTCACCACTGCATCTGCACGCTCTACCTCTACCTCTACCTCTACCGAAATAAAATCTCACCTAAACGATGCTGTCCCAAAGGCCGCTGTCCATTTCCCGGCCGATGCGGATACGGCTGCCAGCGGTCGCTGTTGATGACCAAGCACAAGCTGCGGATCGGAGCCAGCAGCAGCAAGATCAGCCAGGTTGCGAGATCTGGATGCCGCTGCATGCTTTTCTGAATACTAGGAGAAGGAGAAGATTTCAGGCCACAGCATCAGAGAGGACGGCATTTGGCAGAGATGGCCCAGAGCTCTGAGAGCGGCAAGCACGGAGGCCGGTTTGTTGAATCTCGCCTCGCCTCAGCGTTGGGGAGCCCCGGGGGCGCAGCTGGTTGGGCCACCAGGCAGTGACGAAGGATCGGATGAAATAAGAAGAAGAAATCCTCCAGAACTGCGTATGGGCTGCATTAATTACTAATGCTTGTCTGCCCATCGATATGCACGCATGCTGTTAAATGCCGTCCAAGACTGGGCCGCGCAGCTCGGCTTGCCACGTCGTCGAGGCCAGCTGCGTGAACATCAAAGGCATCCCGATAAGACACAGTCCAGGCCCGTGTCTCTGCCATGTGCTGCAGCGGCGACGTCCTACTTGCTGCAGCGAGCCGCGCCGCGCTCCCAGAGGTACCGAGGTCTGGTTGTTAGACGAAAGAGGTACATGTACATGTACCCTACTGCTGCTGCTGGATGTTGTAGCACATGTAAGCTGCCTTTGTACATGTAGTGTAGACACAGCCAGGCAATGTGCTCACGAGACGACATGAGCGCATTTTGGGGGTTGTCGAGAGTTTTGGCGGTTTCTGACTGTTCGGCAACATTTCTCTCTCTCTTGTTCTAACGCGCGTGGCAGTAAAGCAGTATGTTATCACTAATACAGGTTTACACTGTCGGCAGTGCTGCAGCAATAAGCGGTAGATACAATGAATGAAGCGGGACTGCAAGTACTGTAGTCGAAGATCAAACCTGGGGGATGAGTCAATGCCTTATTGTATATACTATGGTAGTTTATATCTACTATGCTAGTATTTACATCTTGCTCCTTTATGATAATAGTAGTAACTGCATCTGCCCGTGCTTGTGCCATCACCGCTAACCTATATACACAAGCTCACAACTCGATACCCACCAATCTCTCGTCCACCAACTCCCCAACTCCCAATACGATATGATGCAAACACCACACCAGCCCCCAAGAATAGAACAACCCATATCGACTCCATCACGACTCCATCCGCGCACATCGCATCCACTCCCATCGACTCTAATGCAATGCAGCGCGCAACAAGCATGGATCGATCCGACGTCATTCACGCGTTCCCGCTTTTGACACGCGTAAAAACCAAGGCTTAGGCTCCATCCAGCACCTCCAATCGGGCGTCCCCACCCAGACGATCTCGATATCGACAAGCCTTTGCGTCATCGCTTGTTCCGGCGCCCCCCCAGCCAGCTAAAGCTACCTACCAACCTTGGTTCCATCACCGACACACAACACAGTCAAAAAGAAGAAAAAGCAAACAAGATAGATACCGTCCACAGAACTTGGCCCCTGTGCAACCAACCCCAGCTCTTCTCCCCTCCCTGAAGCATCCCGTAGAACAAAAAAGTGGTGTCATTGCCGTCATAAGCTGTTCCAGTCCCAGTCCCCAGCCCCAGGCCAACGAGGGAGAATCCCGCAAAGCTGTAAATCCTTTCCCACTCTTTTTAAGCTTGTCTTGCAACTCCCGAACGAGCTGGTTTTCGGGGTCGACGTCAGAGGCTCACAAGGAGGCGGTGCTTTCTTAAAAAGGCCTCTCTGATCCCCCCCTTCGCCCTCAGCTCAATTGACTTGCTCTCCCCTATTGTTCTCCATTCGTATATTCAGTGAAAACAGTAGAAGAAGAATAGGATTGGCTCGTCAAATCCTACTGCAATTTCCTTCCCAGCGCTGTCCTCAATCAACCAACTATCCAGCCAACGCCATCATCTAGTTCAACTCCAACAATGGCATCTGCCCTCGAAACCCTCAACCAGCTCGCCTCGTCCGCCGCAAAGGCCGTCTGGGGCGACAGCAACGACGCCGAAACCCACAAAGAGCCCATCTCAGGCGCCACCGGCGACGTCTCCAAGGGCGAGCCATACGACGCCGGCAACCTGGGTATTTTATATTTTACTCGCCCTTTAGCACACTTCATATCTCCCCAGCAATATAGTAGCTAATCGAAACTTGCACAGATCCCCAGGCCCAGAGCAAGGTTGAATCCAGACTCAGCGGCGAAGAAGCAGCAGAAGCTGAGCCCTCAGAGCTCGCCGACGACGAACACTATACTCTCTCATCCTCCAAAAAGGACAAGGACAACTTGTCCGCCGCTGCCACCACCACCACCACCAACGACGGCCTGCATGAGCCCAGAGGCACCCCGACAACCGGCGTCAACCCCGAGGAGGGCAAACCTCTCGACGAACTCACCGGCAAAGGCCCCCGACCAATCGAAATAGTGGCAAAGGAAAACGGCGGTAATGCTGCTGCTGCCACCGAAGATTCTTCGACCTCAGGCTCTGCTGCACCAGAGGAAAAGAAGCCCGAGACAGCAGATGCCCAGCAAAACACCACCACCACCGCCACCACCAATGATAGCAGTAGCAAGAAAGAGGCCACAGACGAAGAATACGTCAAATCATCGGGCCTTGCAGCCGATGGAGGCGATTTCGACGCTGCCAAACCCGGCGCCGGTCTAGAAGCTGATCGTAAGTTCCTCTCTCTCTCTTTCTGTCATTCAACACCAGGCCGAATTTTTTTTTTTTTTTTTCCACTGACCATTTATTTATTTACTCATTTAGGCCTAATGGAGCAAAAGGGCATCAAGACAGATGATGTCGACAACACCGAGCACAAGGACCAAAACAGCAGCAGCAACAGCAGCACCGGCCGCAAGAGCTCCGACTCGAGCCGCAGGGATAAGCCCAAGCTGAAGGAGCGAATCAAGAACAAGTTGCACATGCATGGAAGCAACTAAAAAAAGTCTTTTCTTCTTCTTCTTCTAGTCTGGATATTTCTTCTTTTCTTTTCCCGGTTTTGTTTCTCAAGTGTGTATTTATGGAGTAGTCGTGTTAATACCATCTTTTTGCCTTAATGTAAACATATGAAATGTTGTCCAACTGCGTTGCGTTATACATGCTTCATCTGAAAACTGTCCCCGAGACCAAAAGATAGCAATCAAGCTACTCACGATAAGTCTTTAAGCAATTCATATATACACAATGCAAAAGCCTCGTAGATTCAGGACCCTAGACTAAATATAATAATGCCCAGCATTAGGGGGAAAAGAAGAAGAAAAAAAGAAAGCCCATGATAAATACCCGCGCACAATGTACGGTATGATAATCTAAGTTTTTCCCCCCTTTTTCTTTGCCGTTTGACATATACCCTCAAGAGATTCCTCTCTCTCTCTCCTTCTTTCTTCCATCCAACTGTAAAATCACAATGCCTTTAGCCCCAAAAAATCCTCCAAAGGCCTTTCTCATATAATGAATGGTAGATAGCCAGTTTCCCTTTTTTTGTTTGTGTGTATATGATATATGAATGATGTGATATATGATATGACCAAAAAATCTTATCAAAAGAAAAAAAAAAAAAAAAAAAAAAAAAAAAAAAAAAAAAAAAAAAAAAACCTGAAACCAAAGCCATGCCAAAGCCAAACAAACCCATCAGAGGCGCCAAACAAAAGCATACCAACAGAGCGTTTGCGAATCATAACACAAGTCATCATAGGTTAGCAACCTTGACACAAAACAAATGGACAAAGTATGAATCCATATCACCGTTCGCGGCGCCAGATGTTCCAGTTGTACCGGGCCAATATCTGGCCCTGTGGTATGTTGGATGTCAATCAAAATCAGAAATGAAGGCGCCTTCTTGCTATCCGTGCTGCATTATCCTAGGCCGGCATACCGTTTTTTTTTTTTTTTTTTTTTGCGGTTGTTGCTATTGTTTTGCTTTTTCCCCTTCCGATTATTCCTCCTCTTTTAGCTTCACTAATCCCTGCGGGGAAAAAAAAAAAGCTGTTATGATTTTGCCAGACCGTTTTGGTATGGCATAACCTCTCTTGGGGCCCAGCTCTTCCCCACTCTAGACCCTTTGGTATCATGCTTTTTTTTTCTTTGCGTTAATATTTTTGCATCCAAAAATACATCCAGTTTCGCTGCTTCATTATACAATGCATCAGGCATATTTATATAGTTTGGCCCATTGTTGTTGATATGATAAAAGTGTCGTCACAAAGTCGGGGCTCGTGTGCTCAGGAGTGAGCATCTCACAAGAAGCCAGATTCAGCAAGCACTCTGCATCGCGCATTTCGTTAGCCAAAAACGGTCTCAAAACCAAAGAGCAAACCAAGATATAGTTTTCTTTCATCCTTGGTTGGTTACATACCTCACAATCTTTTCATCTTCACGCTCGCGCGGTTCGATCTGAAGACTCTTGTCGTACATCTCGTGTACATCTCCAGCAGCCTGCATATTGCTTACAATGTAGTCGTGTAACTCGGGCACTGGCTGCAGAGAGTACCCAACGTTCTGGTACTGCTGAATATCACGAATGACTTCAGCCGTCTTTGCCCTCTTGGCAAAGTTGATGAGATTCGTTTTCTTAATCACCGAGGGGATACCATCCTCGATAAAGGTGAGATCGGTCAAATAAACACCTACGTCTTCGCGTTAGACTTGTCTCTCACCGACAGGCACGAATTCAAGCCGTCTATATAAGCTTACCGAAGAAGGGGATACAAGGCGGGTTGGCGACGTGGAGAGCCTCGCGATATTCGCCGAAATTCTTAGTACTAGCCATAAGTCGACGCATCGTTTCGAGAATGCCAAGAGTTCGCTGGGGAACTTGATCCCAAGTTCGCTTCAAACGAGCAATCGGTGCTGTGCCCAGCGCAGAAATGATGGATGTAAGCGTGGAAAAGTTGTTCAGGCCTCGGCATTTCTATTAGATAGACATTAGCATTTGGAAAAAAATTCTTTGGATAAGAAAGGGGGTTTCATTGACATACGTCGGCAACAGAAACAAAGTGTTTAATGACCACGACTCGCTTCTTGACATCCTGCTGATTCAAAATCATCTCTGCAACCCAGTTGGTCATCTGGTTAGAGTGAAGAATGAGGGCCTTGACATTTGGAGCCGCGTCGGGCTCACCGTCGCCAAGTTTCTTCTGCCACGTCTTATTCAAGCACTCCGTCGCCTTGATCTTACCATACAGTCGAGATTCGATAATCGTCAACTGGCGGGCAAACTCTGTCACGTCGATATCCAAGAATTTGAGCTTCTTCATGTTCTTGGGGATAATGGGCGTGGGCGTGCTCTGGTTCAGAGTCTGGACCATGCGTCGAGCACCAGCCTCTTTGCCTCCGAGCCTCTGCTCCAGAATGGCCATCAGCGGCGCCGAGCCTGGGGTCTCGGTTGACTTGACCGTGTCTCTGGCAAACGTATACACGTCGCGGATCAGCTGCTTGGATTCATCGTTAAATTCCTCCATCCAGAAACTGTCAAACCAATTCTTGAGGATATTGACCACACGGAATCTGATGAGCTTCTGTTTGCGGTCCCGCCACATCTCATAGTCTTGCTGCGAGAGACCCTCTGGAGGTTGAATACTGAACCGCTGCACTAGCATCTCGAAGAGCTCACGCGCAGAAGTGAAGGATCGATAAGTCAAGAGGAAGGTGTTGTTAAAACTGGAATCAAGCTTATCGTGGCGTGTGAGCTGCTCGACGAGGGCCAAAAGAGATCCTCCCTTGACGGTGGGCGTGGTTGCCTTGGCATCCCAAGACAAGTCGTTTTCGTAGTCGAGGTGTAAGAATTCGGGCAAGTCTTCATCTGGCTGCAGCTGTGGCGACGGGTCTTCTCCAAAGATCTTTTTGACCTTTGAATAATCGCCCTTTCTAGAAAACCCAGCAGGGGCGTCACCCTCGCTATACGACTGAGCAGAGATCAACGGTGGTCGAACGGGTGCTGTTCTCGAATCTGAACGTTGGTGTGGCCTGTCGTATGGCATTGTCTCTCCCCGCTGAAGTTGGCCTCTCGGCATCGGGCGAGAATTCTTCGCCAGCTGTTGTTGCATATTGATCAGAACCTGCTCCGACAGCAGCTGCAACGAGAATCCAGTATGCGACGAGTTTGTTTCGAGCGCTCGAGCGCATGTGCGAACGTAGTCAAGCCGGCTTTCCAGTGGCTCTCCTCGCACCTCTGACCATTCGTCCGCCAAAGGTCCAGCAACGGCTTGGCAGCTAAGAACGAGATCGGCGATGTTGTCGTACAGGGACTGCTTGTTGATGCTGAAGTCCTCCAACTGCGGCGTCTGGAAGGTATTGCCTAGCGACGACAGATCGACAGACTCAATCATGGCAATCCACGGCTTGAATGTCTCGACAACCTTTGCACCGGCGAAGCAGATATTGTTGGCGAGAATCTCGTGTCGATGCGGGTTAATAATCTTGTCTGGCGCCACAAGGTTCTTTTCCAACTCGCGAATACTAGACACGAGAATTCGCTTGTGCTCGTCCAATTTCTCGAGCATGTTACCATCAAGAACGGCGGTAGGCTCCATCATGCCCTCTTCATCATCAAGGAAATTAGGGGACATCAAGTCGTGCTGGTCAAGTCCGTTGCTCTGCCAGCTTCCACCAGAGGTACTGCCAATGACGAAACCAGGGAAGAGTCGGGGGATGTCCTCTCCCCTCTGCTGCCTTGCAACTTCGACATAGCTGAAGACGCCGAGCAGCACGCCGTCGGCTTCCTGGAGACACTTTTGGACCGATTCCGCGTTAGGCCAGTCGGCAGCTGCAATATGAGAGGAAATGACCAATTTGGAAAATTTGGACATCATGTCGCGGAAATGGGGATAGAGCGCCTTGTTAGTGGAGATGATGGAGGGTTGACCGGAGTGGTTGTCTGTGGTCCCAGAGCCGGCGGCAAGGAGTAGCCTGAGATGGTCGGAGATATCTTCGGCCTTAGCGACATATTCGGAGCGGGCGTTGTTGGTGATTGCTTCGCGGTATCGGTCGATAGCGCGCTTCATGTTGGTGACGAGCAGACTCCAGGTCAGGGGCGGTGTCGATCCATCGTCAAAGAAAGACTTGGGTACGCTGGTGGTTGCCGGTACGTTGTATGTGGTGCTGGTAAAAGATGTCGCAGAGGCCATGTTTGGAGCATGGGCGCCATTGGCGTATCCAAGGGCATATGCGTCGCTTCTCTTCCGTCGACCGGGAGAAGTACCGTTCATGGAGTCCATGGATGTCGACGGGGATAGAACGGCGCTAAAGGAACCACGATTGCGAGGCTTGAAAGACACAAGGGGGATAAACAGTTAGTTACTATACGCGGAGGAAAGTCATGCGTGTGTGTATACAGCATGCAGTAGATATCTTACCATGGATCCCCGAGACGCGAGCATCAACGACTCGCCTTCCGCCTCTGAAGCTGAAGTTGCCGAATCGTCATCCTCATCTTGGGTTAGTCCGCGAGCCATCATCTCTGGCGGTGGTCGCGTTCTCTCCGGCATGGCCACATTCATGCGGTCCCGGGGGCCCGTCTCGGCCGCTGAAAGGGGAGACTCGAGCGGTAATTCCATGCTGCGCTCGCCAGTCATCATGTTGTAGTAGAATAGCCGGCCATCTGGCGTGGCTTGCGGGATCCAGAAGTCGGCGCGAGACTTGTCGGCCATGTCAGTGCCCTCGAGCGGCAAGCTGCCGAAGCCTTCGCCCTCGGAGTCTTCGTCCTGGTCGGCGCCGTCATCGTAAATGTCGTGTTCCTCCGCCTCTTCTTCAATGTGGTGGTGGATAACCTGTTGGCCGTTCTGGCCAACGTCGGGGAACTCGTCGGGGCTGGTGATGGCCTGGCAGTAGTTGCTGGGGAACCAGCCGCGCACCCCGTTGATGACGCCGTCCCACCAGCCGCTCTCGAGCTGGGTGATGACCTGGATGACATCGCCCTCGTGGAAGCTGAGACTGGTCCTGTCGTCGGCCTCGTAGTCGTAGAGGGCACGCACGTACATGCTGCCGGGCGGCGCATTTCCCACGACGCCGTCCATGGTATCCTTTTTGATCTCCTTGCGGCGCACGCGCGTGGGGGGAGGGGGGGGGGGAAAGGAGAGAGGAGAGAGAGAGAGAGAGCTGAAATGGAGAAAGAGGGGGTTAGGGAGAAGATTTCGAGATGGCCCCGTCTGACGCGAACCGCCGGGATGGTGCACCAGGGCGTATCGGTCGAGACAGCGGCAGGGCTGGAATCGCGGCGAGGATCTGAGCCAGCAGAGCGGTTGAGATGGTATCACGACAACGAGAAGGCGACAAAATCACCGCAGGACATGGTCCGCGAGTCAGCCTCGTTCCAAGCCGATGGCGGCGCAGGCTGGGCCGAGACCAATGGGCATGCCACCAAGGGACGAATGGCTGGATCTGATCTGAGGCAGAGGCGAGGGAAAGGATGGAGGAGCGGAGGAGGAGCGACAGAATCGGACGGCGGAAAGGAGAGGCCCGAGATCCAGAGCGCGAGCAGGGCTCGAGTATCGTCAAGAGTGTTTCGTGTGGCGGCGATTGGGGCCTCGCTGTCGTTTCTGCAGCGCTGGAGCTTCTTGCAGAAAGGGCACACGCCGTTGCGAGCTGCTAAGCCCTTCTGGGCGCTGGGGCGGCGTTAGGCGAGACACAGCACCGCTGCAGCGTGCTAGCGCGCCCACTTCTCCAGTGATTGAGACCTGAGCCAGCGTGCTACGGGTGCTTTTAAGCTGCTGCGGCTTTAGCAATCAAATGGCTTTGTCCTAGTCCCCCACGCGATAGCAGACCAAGTGCTACTATTGAGGGAAGGAAATTGAACACAGACGGCGGGCCTGGGTCAGGTGTCTGATTTATTGCTTGTGGCAGATCAGCATGTACATAACATGTAGGTAGTGCATGCATATATACATACATACATACATACATACATACATACATACAAGCTGCTGCTGCAACGCGTGTTGTCGATCTTTTTCTTTGATCAGACAATCAGGCATCTAAATAGGGAGGAGGGTATTAAAAAAAAAAAAAAAAAAAAAAAAAAAGAGCAAAAACGCTCGAGGGGGCTTGTTAGCCATGCACAGACAGGCTCGAAATGTGACGAGAAGCCCCGTTTTGCGACTGCTGAGTCGCAGCTCTGGCCTAGCGCCATGCATGCAGCCACGGATATGTACAGTGCTCGCTACGCCGCCCACAAAATCCGCGGATGGATGGCCAGCTGCGAACCGAAGACCTGCACCCTGCACAATGGAGCCCTTGATAACACCTCCTGAGCCCTTTGGAGGCACCTCTTTGGCTCTGGCAAACTCACCCATGCGCATGCGAGCGCGCCAGCACTTGCACGTTACTGGAGCTGCGGCGAGAAAATTGCATCAATCGAGCTAGGTCCAGCCATGGGTGGCAGAGACAGCTGTGGATGATTGGCGACTGTTGACGCCGGGGAATCGGTCCCTAGCAGTGCTGTAGCAAACGGGCGCCCCCCAGCAGCGATTTCTCGAATGTGAATGGAACTGCTGGGGAAGCGAGACAGGCCTATCAAATAGCGTACCTTGGGTCGTAAATAGCTGGGTGGGTGGATAGAGTAGAGAGCGTGCTAGGATGGAGAGCAAAGAGCTTGCAGAAAGAAAAGCATCCATTACAAAGCCATATCGGTTCCATAATTGCTTGCTAGGACGGAGCAGCATGGGAGGATGGATGAAAGCCTGATTGCTTTTTTGGTCGTGTTTCAGCTGCCGGCGTTTGTCATCAAGCAAGCTCCAAAAAGGAGAAAGGATACGCTCGGATATAGGCATGCTTTTACCAAGCCCGTCTAACCCATTTCCTACCTTAGTATGCAGCAACCCACCAATCTCTGCCAGATGCTACCTGGATATAGAAAAGTGCAGTCGTCTCGTCTCTCCATGTTTGCAGAGTGATATGTGATACACATGAGTGTATCTATGCATATCTAAATGTATAAAGGGGGAAAGCCTGGATCTACAATACCCATTCCATCTACGTAAGTACTACTAGGTAATATGTATGTAGCAGTGTTTGGTCGGCATTATTACCCGCTGCCAAGCTCCAGAGAACCCTAGCTCGTCGATTCCATCACCGTGTACGGAGTACTTCTTCCTCACCTGCGAATCTTTATCAAATCTCAGCTACCTACTAGATAAGGTATCCATCCCACTTGAATCACAAACAGGTAATATCACTTATTATTAGCCGTCTAATCTCGGAATGACAGCAAGTATGACTAAAGCATGGCACCCAGCACGCGAGTAATAGGTACCTGGTAATAAGAATTGCTGCTGCATGCTACTGCACTCCATCAGCCCGCCGCTCAAGAATGAAAAGAGAAACTTGAAAGTGCACCTTGGAGGATTTCCTAGCTGCGCCTTTGTTTGCCGTGCTGAAAACTCAGGCCGTTTTCACCACCAACTAAGCCAATCCACAATGGGCCCTCCGCAGCCAAACACATTGAAGCTATTGATTGAGTGAGGTACGTGCATACTACAGTATATAGCATCTTCATCATACCGCCTCTTTGGCCATGTTCAGAGACCGCCTTCTCCAGCATAAACGAAAAAACTCAGACGCTAAGGCCTAAAAAAGAGCCACCGGCCAACGCATCGACAGCTCGGTAAGTCAGTCATACGAGAACAAGAAGGCCTCGGAGGAGTCCGCCGAGAGGGACTTGAATCGCAGCTCTCTTTTGCAAATTTTCTCTCTCCGGGATGGGGCCGTTTGTTCCAGATAAAATGGCCTTCGATTACCAGGTATTAAACCCTCCCGCCGCTAGTAGACAATAGTACATCACAAACAGCTGGCTACGGCAGCAAAGGCGCGTGGAAGGCTGCGTGAAGGCGTTCCAGAAGGAAACTAATCCTTCCAAACGAGCTTCTGGCACCGAGTAGGCACTGTAAGAAGTGGAGGCCATCCCAAAAGGCACATGTGCCGGCTTGACGTTTGAGGCTTGAGGCATGTCCAAGTACCATCATCTTTTGCTGCTGGAGCTACCTACTTTGTGATATCCCACTTGGCAACTTTCGAGGTTTGCTACTAATCGAATCCAATGCTTTACGTGTACCTGAATAGTGGCGTCGGGCAATCCCACACGCCCAAGCTAGAAAATACTACGGCACGCAACTCGTAATGTCCATCCATGGTCATGGCAACCGCGCCGGCTTGGCTGGTGAAGCATTTTTTTGCGGATTTTCTAGAAAGTGGATTTCGCTCAATATACTGCAGGTACCTGGTTGTATGTACCTATTCCAGGGGCAAGCCAGAAAGGAGGGCATCCTCGCCCTTCAGACGCAAACTCCGTGCGCCCACGTGGGGCTGGCATCCGCGCAACCCAGCTTTTATCAGCTTAGCAGCCCCTTAGGTCCCGGAAGCATCCCCCGGACCCGCTGGCGAGCCAGGCTCTACAGGTACTAGTCCAGGCCATTCAAGTACCGCTGCTGGATGAGACGGAGCGCTGTACAGTACGAGGCAATGGGGTTTTGCGTGTATTTGGCCGGCGCATTTCGGAGTGTCGGCACTGTACGAATATCCGCGGCAGGGCAAACTCTCAGTGCATGTAATTTCGCCATGGGTATGCGCCCTAGCGCTGGCCGTACTTGCATGTACCCAACTCGGTGCCGTTGGCCGCAGACACGAAAACGGTACAAGAGTCGACTCCAAAACGGTGGCTGGGAAGGAGAGGCGAGACGGCAGAGCACTTTTGTGCAAGCTTGTGCACGATTCGTTGGTTGGTGTGGCATCTCGGAAAGGTACTTTGCTCCAAGAGAGGCAGCGGAGGGGCGTGTCGATGCGTCCATGTTCATTCCCCCTGGTCCGCACCTCGCGCGTCCACACTCGTACTGTGTCGCCAGAGAACGCGTTGGCAGCGTGTACGCGGGCGACGGAGATGCTATTCGACAGGTACAAATGCTGCTGACTTAATAGAGAGGATCCTATTCCCTTCCTTTCCTTTACACAAATAGGCCATCAGTAGCTCTCCATTTAGTACGTATTGCTGCACGCTCTTTGGCATATACGCCGCGTATTGGGAGTTGCTGTATTCAAGGCTAGAATCTATCTTGGATGGAAAAAATAGCCTTCTATATAGGTATCTACTACCTACTTACTTTATATCTACATTCATCACCGGGGCTACAAAGAACGAATCTTGCCCGGCTCCAAAAAGCTTGACCAATATACCTACTGTACATGAGCATGTCCCCTCGTCCGTGTTTTACTGTATCGTACTGTGCCCATTTGCTCAATATGAGTAGGTACTGCAGCACAAACAAAAGATGCGCCCCGAAAAACGGAGCACATATGCAAATATGGGGTAGATGCTCCGTGGACTCATGCCCGGAGATCCCCTCAAAGTCTCATCGTAGACCTTGCCCGGTTGTCCGTGGAGCAACGTCACAATCTACCGAGGCAGCGGTTCCCCGTTGCTGTTTTTAGGGTGGCGTTGCTCACATGTCATGCCAAATGGGAACAAGTCGAAACTGACTAATACGTCTGAAGATGCCATAAGCCAACAGCGCAACCGGCCGCTCTGCCACAGCAGCGGTACTGGCAATTTCATCTGGTCTGGGCGAGGAAAAACAAAGAAATAGCAAGCTTCCATCTTATCTTTTCAGAAGGGAACAAACCAGTGCGTCGTGGATCTGTCTTTGTCAGCTACTCCGTATCTACCATCTCCAAGGTAGCACTGCTACTACGACTTATATGCACCCCACGCTCCATCACAGACCTAACTAGAGCTGCTGTGGGAAGCGGCGCGGGAGATGCAGCCATGAGCGGGAGCAAAGACGACAGATCAACAATGCTAGCAGCAGCCAATACTCCGAACTCTGAATGTAGGTGGCATGTACGATAATATCACACTCGACAGCCCACAGCATCAGCCTCGTGCTTGGAAATGCTGCACACGAGGCCGTCGAGGAGCAGGTCTCATGGCCAGGAATGCGCCCAATGGACCGGTGCATGTTAGGTTTGGGCATCTGGAATGATTTCTCGCTGTGGCTACAAGACAGCCCAAGAACGGCAATGGAGTGGCGGTCTACCTGCACCTCACCACGTACCGGGGCTGGGGCTAGCACGCATTGGATTCCCCCATCACCGCCAGTTCTGCCTGGCTGATCCCATCGTAGGGGCCCCTTGAATGGAAACGTGTATAATGCCAGCAGCTAAACGGCGACGAACAACAGAACATGCGCGCACCCGCATGTTCCCCTGTCCGGTTTCTTAGCTGATTATCCAGTACGTGTACGGAATAAGCGCCCCCCCGTCTCCTTTATGCAAGAGTGCGCATCCATCTGCCTTGGCCACCGCAATGGAGTTTGTCGTGGCATGTACGTGGACATTCGGACGCGCAGGCATGCATCTCCAATGACGAGAAAAGTACCTCTTGGGGCAGTAGACACCGACGGTTTGATAGTAACTGTTAGGCAGGATTGCATATCATGCTCTCACCAGCAGCAGGTGTGCTGTACTCGGTGGCAGCAACCTCGCACTTGAGCCCCAGGTATCTATCGGGTAGCCATGGCGGCAAGCCCCTGTAATGCGTGACGCCAGCACTTCGTACAGATACCTACCTGCATGGAAAAGTTGAGGCTTTACAGGGCATGCTGTATGTATGTACCCGCGTGCGTGAGCTGGGTGCTTCTAGAAGGCGATTCGTGAGATTTGATCTTTGTTTGCTTTGACCGCGAGTCAGCAGTAAAGCAGTCTGATAGAGAGCAGGAAGAGAGTACAGCATCACCTGTATCTAGAGCCAGATACGCGGTATACCTACTTGTAGTAGGTATTGGAATGAAAAGACGCGAGCAGTGGTTGTAACTGCTGCCAGAGTGTGTTCAATAGGCGGTGTGCAGCCGCTAATACGGCGCAATATATCGAAATAACCAAGATGGAAGTTAGCTATGCTCAGACGCGGCCAAGCACTACTGCTCTGTAACCTGGCAGTCCGTATTCAGCTCCTAAGTTCGGACATGGCGTCCGTGGTGGGTTGGTGTGGATCTCCAAACAAGGCAGGGCGACTGGCCCCTCGTGTTAGTATAATGAGCAACCAGCTCCAGCCCCAATCCTCTGGAAGCGGGATCACGGAGACCAGGTGCTCATTGCAACGAGAGTAGTGGCGCTTCCATCTCCTGTGGTTTTCGCCGCGGATGGGTCATGACGTGCGCCGGATCTTGATAACTCTCCAGATGTGCTAGGAGTAGTATCGTGAACAGCAGCACGGAGTGGCACTTATAAAAGAATCAAGTCTGAGGGCAGGGGCTAAGTAAGCAACATACCTACTTGGACAGTAGGTACCATGTCGTCTTAGCAAAGACGCTGGAAGAAGTGGGCACCTCACAAAGTGCAAGCTTAGCAGACGCTCCCAAGCCATATTTGGCATTCTTCGAGACCTGGCTCGTCGTCCCGGCGGCAGTGACCGATCCCTAGAATGCCCGATCCAGCTTACTTGCACAGGCGATAAGCATAGGGTAGCATTGGCGGCGACATTCCACGGGATGCCAGCAGCCTTCTGCGAGCAAGACGGGCACACAAGCATCCCCGCCATCTGTCCATGGCATTTCCATCGATACCTACTGGCGCTGAGCGAGGGGAGTAGGCGGAGTGGGAGTTGGAGCGAGGGCCGGAGCGAGAGCGAGAGTGGGGGATATTCGTTCAAGCCAGACGGCCGGCAAATCGCCCCTGGCCAGACAAAAGGACTGCGGACATAAAAGGGCTGTTCCCGTGATGCATTCACGTAGCACGGCGCAAAAAAGGACAGCGCATCGTGCCCAATATCGCTGGAGAGCGCAGAGAGCAGCGCATCCAGCGACGCAGGTGTGTGCTGACCGACTGTCGTCAAAGACCCGATGGTGGGGTGGGCTGCTAGGTATACATGGTATACATGTAGGTGCTAAGCCAGCAGGCCTGCTAGAATTAGAAAGCCCAGGTACCTGTAAGCATGGAGTGGCCGATCATGATCGCGAGGGGGAATAGAAGAGAAAAAGAAAAGACACAAGAGGGGCCCTGAGGTGTCTGGTGGACACGATTCGCTGTCACTTTGCATGAAGCCGAAAAGGAAAATATATAAAAAGAAATCCCAATGCAATACACCAAGCTGGAAAAGAAAATTGGAAAAAGAAAAGTTGACGGGAGGGGCACCTGCTTGCACCTTCCTTCAATGCGACCCGAGCACATGTATATAAGGTACATGCGCTTCGTACAGTACAAAGATACGTACATTTTCAAGAACAGGCATGGCGCCGGGTGTGCCTGACTTCCTCCCTTGCTAATCCCGCGCGACTCAGGCGTGCTTATTAGCAGGTACATGAATTTTCCTTTCTTTTCCTGTTCCTTTTGCGCACGGGGACCATCCGGGCCAGGGCGTTGCAGTGCCGCTTTAGGTGATGGCGCCACGGCCGGCAGCGTCTCTTTGTCTTCTCTGCTGTGCTGTGCTGTGCTGCCGTGCCGTAGGTCCTTTGCTGCCTTTGTTTTCCCTCTTTCCTCTGCCTCGTTCCGACCTGTTCCCTTGTAATTCGGGGCCTTGCTGACCTGACCCGTGACCTGATCGACCGGCCAAGTGCCGGAGCATGTCCCGCCGGCTTGCTAATGGGACGCGGATGGGCGAGTACATAGTACAAGCACAAAGCATCGATGTAATGGAAGCCATCAAGTCAGCCTGCGGCCAAACAAACGATGATCCAACAGTCGTCGTATCAGGCGGGCGGGCTTAGCAGACACTCCCCTAATTCCAGGCAGTCAGCAGTATGAGGCAGTGGTGCCGGCACAGATAGCTCCAGTACTCGTCCGCTGCGCTGCCACACGCCGCGCATTTCCACATGTACTTGTAGCATTGCAGCACTAGCAGCCTGTTTCGTGTTTGCAGCGAAATAGCACGCGGCATCGAATCGAGTCGCTAGCTTCGCGCTGCTAAGCTGGTGGTGACTGTTGCGTGCTAGTGCTTGGAGCTATCGTGGCCAAGGCCAAGCGTGTGACTCCGGCAACCAGAGCCTTGAGCCGCGACAGCTGCGAGCCACGGCGGGCCAATGGCGGGGCGAGGCCTACCAGCACCCGGCCAGCGCTGCCCGCCATCAGGTACCGGTACCTGGCGCAGGCCTGCACCGCGCCGCCAGATGCGTACCGCGAGGTACCGCCCTTGCGCCCCTCCCCCTACAGCTCCAGCGCCAGCACCACTGCCAGCACCAGTGTCAGTTGTTGGAGGGGCCGAGCTTGGGCCCCTCTTCCGCTGACGGGACCCCCGCTGGAGGCACTTGGTAGCGCTGGTGGCCAGCACAGCGCTGTGTCGCGTTTGAGAGGTGGGTGGGCTCGACATGGCTGCTCGCTTGTACCGCCGCGGCGCGCGTGGCCGGCGAGGTACATGGTGCCGTGCGCCCGACGCCCTGGAGGTCGCTGTACAAGGCCCCGTCCGCTGCCCCGTCCAGCGCCTGTACTGCGCCGTACCGCAGCGCTGGGCGGGTGCGCATGATGAGACACACAGCGCTGCGCTGCCTCCCCTCTTCCGCCTCCCCCTCCATCGATCCCTCCGTCCCACCGTCGCCCAGCGGCCTCTGCCCTCTGTTTTTTTTCCTCGCTCGTTTCCCCCCTCCTTCTGCGCACCCACCCCTCTCAAAATTCTTACCCCCCAAAGTGGCTGCTGTCCGCCTCCCCCGAATTGAAATCTTTCCCCTCCCCCCCTCTCGCCCGTCTTTCCTTCATTTACTGCGGCTTCTCCCTCTCTAAACCCGTCTTCTCCCCTCTCCATCTGCCACCACACGTCCTCGTTTTGCGCCCACGCACCGCTTCACAGATTCCAACCTGCTGCCGCGAGGCCGTTCGTCGAGCCTCAGTCCTGACCACCCCTACCTTTTCCACAACCATTCCATGACCAACATACCATATTTTCCAATGACCAGCATCAACATCGAAGCCACCGCAGTCACACTTTAAACCCCACGGGCGCGCGTGCGAGCGAGGAGCTAGGAGTCGAGAGCGAGAGCGAGAGAATTCGCAAACACACCCAGAGTACGATATTCAACCATCGTAACGTCCGCACCAGCCGGCTGAGCTGCCAGCGTCGCGTCAGCGTCAGCGTCGTCAGACCCCCATCGCCATCACCATCACCATCAAACACCACACACGCGACTCGGCCGTCAAGATGCCCGGCGCAAGCGTCGCAGTTCTCCCGCCCCCAGCGGCCTCGACCCCGTCCTCGCGGAAGGCGACTCTCGCACCAGAACGCAAATACAAGTGCCAGTTCTGCAACAGAGCCTTCAGCCGAAGCGAGCATCGAAGCCGTCACGAGCGATCCCGTGCGTAAAATCTCCTTCCTTGGGACACAGCCCAAAATTTTTCATCGTCCCCCATTTGCCCGCCACGAACCATGCTGACTCTTTCATCTCTTTTTAGACACAAAGGAGCGCCCTTTCAAGTGCATGAAGTGCAGAAGCACCTTTGTGCGCCGTGATCTCCTTCTCAGGCATGATCGCACAGTCCACGCCAAGGATGGCGGCGTCCCCCTTCACAGCGACGGCAAGCGTCGTTCTGGACCCAAGACACGAGCCATCGGCGGGCCCGCAAAGTCCTCAATCGCCTTGGATCCCACCACGCTGGAGCAGATGGAAGCCAGTGGCGACGGCATTTTCGATGTCGAAGCTGCTGCCATGCTGGTTGCAGACCTGCACCACAAGGCCACTGCTGCCATGCGCGGAGATGAATCCTACGACGATGGTACATCCATGGCCTTTTCCCCCAGAAGCTCTGGTGCCATGGAGCCTGCCGTCACATACCCGTCCGGTGCCATCGCTCTCCCGCAAGTCCAGTGGGACAACTTCATGGCGGACCCCAAGCCGCATTCCATCACCTCCAGCACCTCTGGTTCTTACGAGTCGTCACAGCCGTTTGCCAGCGGAAACAGACTTCAGCACCAGCTGCCGCCCTTTGGCAATCGCAACGTCAATGGTCTTGTGCCCGCTCTCCAGTCCATGATCAGCTCTCTGCCTGCCTCAGGCCCGGAGATGCCGGCTCCCCAGAGCCCTTCTGGAGTCGACTCGCTGCAGGCCGGATTCAGGGCTCCCCAGGTATCGGGTGATGATGAGCGAAACGCCATTCTGGACAACATCCGCAGCGCCGACCGAGAGCACGCCATTCCAGATAGCTTTCGTCTTCCCGGCCTGGGTTCTTTGAACCGCTACCTGTCCACCTACTTTGGGCTGTTCCACCACCATCTGCCTTTCCTGCACCCTGCCTCGTTCATCCCGTCCCAGGTGTCGCCACCGCTGCTCTTGGCCGTCCTGAGCATCGGTGCTCTCTATGCCTTTGACCAGGACCAGGCCTACATGCTTCACATTGGCTCCAAGGTTCTCGTCAACCAGTTCCTGCAGAACAAGGAGAACTTCAGCTCCCGCAAGTGCCCCCTGTGGACCATGCAAAGCTCGCTCCTCAACATGATCTTTGCCAGCTGGAGTGGCGACCCCAAGGGCTTGGAGTGGGCCTGTTCCATCAAGAGTCTCCTCGCCAACATGGTGGCAGGAAACCGCTATGAGCTCAAGCTTCGCCAGGAGGCTAGAGGCACGGCCAAGCCTACTCGTGCTGAGTGGGTAGAGGATGAAGGCTGTCGTCGTACTTATTATGCAGTATACATCTTCTTTGGCCTGCTCACCTTGACGTTCAACCACACCCCGGCCATTGGCTTCAATGAGTTTGAAGACCTACAGCTCCCTTCCACAGAGGCCATGTGGAACATGCAGATCGCCGACGAGGCTGCGTGGGCGGAACAGCTCGAAAAGTCGCCTGCCGTCATCTTCATGGAAGCCCATGACAATCTCTTCCAGGGAGAAGCCACCAAGTACAGCGCCTTCTCTACCCGTGTCATGATCAATGCCCTGTTCCTCGAAGTGTGGTATCACAAACGTAGCCCCGAGGCCTTGCAAGATGTCGTGACTGAGTACAAACTTAGACTTGCGCTCGAGACATGGGAGAAGTCCCTGGACTTGTGCGAGCCGGAATCTGCCGCGGTGCCTCTTAGTGCTCCCCACAAGGGCCACCCCCTCATCTTCAATGCCCGCGCCATGTATCGTAACGCTCGTGCCCGCCTCGAGGTCGATCTCAAGACCGTGCAAGAGGCCCTGCGATACCATGAGCCCTATGAGGTTGCTGCCGCCATGTCTCACGCCCGGGACCGTGTCAAGCGTTCAAGCGAGATGATCAAAGTGATTGAAGAGTGTTACAACTGCCTCGAGACGGCGGTGGTTCAAGGCGTCCGCTGGGTGGCACGCACCTCATCAACCAACTGGAGCGTCGAGCACCCGCTGTGCGGCCTGGATCTCATCATCATCCTCACGCTGTGGCTGTACCGTCTGGAACACGACGAAGAGCCTGCAACGCAAGAGGAGGTTGCCATGTACTACAAGGTCCGACAGCTGTTTGTCAAGGACTTTGACGAGAACATCATTGCCAACCTGAGTTCCGTGGTTGCGCGCCTTTGGGGCTCGATGCTGGACGAAGTTGTTGTGTGGGGAATCACACGTCTCATGGGCGAATCTTGCAAACTGCATTCAGAAGCCCTGATCGGCTATGTGGGCGACGAAGCGTCCTCTAATGTATCGACTCCTTCGATGACCTCTCAGGGAGCGGACGAGGACAGCGTGTATTAATTACATCTGCGATGACGAAACGACTTTTTTTTTTTCTCTTCAACAACAAATTTTCCTTCCTTTATACCTACCAAAGGGGGCGCTAAACCACGCGCCGGTTTTTTTATTTCCTAACGCACAACTTGATTATTATGGCTCATCTCCTTATTCCTTATTCAAATCTACGCTGGTTCATCAATTTTGCTTTCAACTACGGCGCGTTGTGGTTTTTGGAACGGAGTAAGGCTTAATGCTGGGAAAGTACGATTTCCTTGGCTTTTTTTTTTATATTGGTCTTTTTTTTTTCTTTACGGTTTCTCATGTTATTTCCTTGGCGACTCCTGAGACAGAGCAGGTGATCGTGTGTCTTGTATGTGTTGTTGCTCTTTTCATTTAGCCTTTGGCTTGCTTGCTTTTGATTTGCATTTGCTCGTTTATTCTGCATGGGTTGATTGAAAGGATCACTGGGGAAATAATTCTTTTTTTTATGGAGAGGCGGTGACGCAGGAAATCTCGGCGGTATAAAGGGATCGGACGTTTCGCATGATTTCGGGACCCGAAACGGGATATTTTGGATCTTTGGATCTCGACAACAGCGCCAGCGCAAGCTAATGAACTGCGAGGGCTGGTTGATTGGCTGGTCCATGATGGTGATGCCGCCTTTTTCGCATTTTCCCTTTCTCTTCTTCCTTCTTCTTTTAATGGCCTTTTGCTGCCTTATTTTCCTTCTATCTTCGTAATTCTTTGTTTGCAGCGGCTGTCTTCTTTTCTTTTGATCTTTGTCTGCTCTTGAGTTTTTAACTGTTTGCTGTCACTTGTCGTTGGCATTGCAAGTCTGATTTATCATTGGCTTTTCCAAATTCTCCAGATACCTTGTTCGATATACAGATTGCTCTTCTTCATTGAACCTCTTTACTTATTCTCTTATTCTCTCTTCTCTCCTTCTTCTCCTTCTATTTCTTTTTCTCTTTTTTTCGAAAACCTGTGTGTGTGCGTGTGTGTCTTGTGTGCTATTTTCTTTGATCTTTCATGTTTTTTTTTCCTCTCTCTGTTTGTCTTGGATATGCTATGAAGGGATGCAACTCACTTGCAAGCATGGGAGCCCATTAATAGGCTGTCTTGCGCGTGGAGATGAGAGAGCCTGTTCCGCTTCTGTGTGTATAGATATTCTAGTACTACAATTCGATTAATTTTGTGTCTCTGTCAAAGAATGGAACCGTGTGAGCTTGCTTTGTGATGTACTGGTGAACGATGCTGCCACGTAAGCGCGTGAGTTATGCACGGCGGGTAGTGAGTGATGTCGGATAAAGACCTGCCGCCATGCATGTCCGTTAAAGGAGAGTATTATATATTGCGTCGAGGTTACACTAAAATGCCGTGTGGTCTTGGAGCAGCTCAACGGGACTGGCTGGAAACGATTGAATGATGGTTTCACAGGAGCGGGCCATGCATATGACTTTCTTCTTTCTGCAGGGAGAATCAGTAGTGGAACTAGGTAGTGCTACAGGACAAGTAATTAGCCACGAAGGCGTTTGTGTGCACATGTTACACCCCTCGTAGCCTTGGATGCCCTCATTTGGTAGGTCGCATCCGGTGAGGAGCATGGGCTGCGGAGAAGGGAGGGTGGGATTTGGAGTTGGTGATACCGAACGCTCTTTGCGTGCTCTCTCGTATTGGGTATTTTTTGGAGAAGGCATTTAGGCTGGGGTGGGTTGTTGATGCTGCTGCCGGGCTGAATGTGCTGCTGTTATTTGTCGTTGTGTTGTTGCTGGTTTGTTTCTTTGGCGTTTATATGTGCAGGTTGTGTTTCCAATGAGCAGTATCATCTTAATAGGTAATTAGTGGTAGTACTTGGTAAATGTGGCTGGTATCCCTCCATTATTTGAGCTACTTGAGCTGTTTGTATCAGACTCGAGCTGTGCTTTTCCGTAGGTTAAATCGTAAAATCGACTTGCTTCCTCTGTGCATGGTGACGATGGAAGCACCGGCTATACAGGCGTGGTTTGATTACGACGTAGTGTTGGGCAAGACGGCTTGAGGATGGTGTAGCTGAAAAGGATGTGTGAGATGTAGTAAAAAGGATAGTGATGCTTAGTGAATATTAACCACTTGAAGAGTCTGTCTGAATGCTGGAAGAAGTCAAACTATGTAAACCGGAAGTTATACCCTGGCTGCTAGAAGCAGTCGACGATATTAGGCTGGAGCTTGACTGATCTGTAGGCGTCACAGCAGCCGTAGCACCTGTTGGTAGCAAGAATGTAATGGTAGACGTCCTTGCTATTCGTCATTGGCACATCTTTCACAGTGTATCCTACCATATTCGTCTATAACGATGTGTTATTAGTAGAGGCTACATGCACTGCGATATGCTAATAAGATAGGTAGTAGTTCAAAATGGATGCATAACATTTGGTGGGATTAAAGGACACAACGCAGGTACAATGCTGTCACCACTTTGCCGGACAAGGATTGCGGCTGACGGGGGTGTCAGGGGTGTATATCCTTGGAGACTACCCAGATCCAGTCTTTGAGGGGGAGATTTGATAGAATGATTGGCATAAGGGATTCCTGACGGCACATACTTGGCGAGTGCAGGGCCTGGCTTTGTATATGGCATGCGTCGTGATGTCAGTCTCGCCGCGTTGATGTTGCATCCCGCCCCACATAAGGGCCATTGAGGACATCCGTTCGGGTAAAAGGTTCGTGGTGATGATTTTGTGTTGGGTGCAGCGGAATATCAAGAGTTGGGACTTACAGATACGGAGGACTCGTGTGTAGTGTAGTGTAGTCTAGCAGCCAATTCATACATGTATTCATCTACATGGTTTTGGCTGGTATGCTCAAGCTCAGTCAGCTGTTGTGTGAATAGTATTGTGTCGACGAGAGCGTGGTTCATGGTGAATTAGGACGTGATGATTGGCAATAAAGCTTGAGTATGAGGTCGTTGATGGAGTGGACGGTATAGAGCTGCGCTGGGCTTCGTCTGAGTTGAGTGTTGCAGAATTGAATGTGATGGCTGGCAGTGTCATGATAGCAACTCTACATCGACTATGCGATGTTTTTTTTTTTTCATGACGTCTCTTTTCTACCTTCTGATATCCATTGCCTTTTTATTTTTATTATTTTTTTTTTTTTTATTATACCAGGTGTCTTATCACTCTGTTGCCTAATAGTAAAGAATGTGTACTCTAATGCTATCGAATAATTTCACAATGAATTTTACACCTATTATTTGGTATTGGATCAACCTGGTCATTCTCCACTGAGTTTGCATGTTACATCGTTGACATGTTTATTGAAAAGAGGCTCAGAGAAGAATATATGAACAGACCACTTCAGCCGTGATACGCATCGTCTGGACTATAACTGTGTCTGGACTATAATGATCACAGCTTTTCCAGTAACACCCTGCTATTATTCTACTCTAGATACCTTGCATACATGCATACATGTACTCAGACTCACACGGTTTGCAGAGCAAAGGATGCATCTGACGGAGCCTTGTAGTTTAAGGTCCCCAGGATACCTATACCTAAGCGCCGCCAACTACATACTACTAATGTCCTAACGTTTCCTATTTAGAAATTTCCTACAGCGGGTTAAACCACCCATTGCAAGAACATTTCCTTACTAGCACTTGGTATACGGATAGGTTAGTTAGTAGGTAGACAGCGTATAAGCAGCAGAATAACCAGATACGGGCTAGAGGGTAATACTAGATAGGCAATGCTACTGCAACGGTGGCTGTGCAGCAACTGGAAGATGCGCTGTTTGTTTGTGGCCCGGTCTATATGCCACTACTATTCATCGCCACAATGTCGTGTCCATCCGCGGGATGCGACAGGACGAGCTACGTATAGGTTAGATGGAGAAGCCATGGATGAATGCGGAAGGTCGGGGCTTTTTGCGGGAGTTCAAGTGCCGCTGAGCTAGTCTGGCACGAGACAGAGAGCGATCGGCATCCAATAATAGCTGGTTTATACATAGTGCCAGAGCCCACAAGTAAGCGTGCCAGGGTTTGGGGGGTTGAGAACAAGAAGCAGAAGAAGAAGGAGGGGAAGAGAAGATGGGATGCTGCTTGTAGTGCTAAGAAGGAAGTGGTAAGAGTGGGATGGGACTGTGGCTTTGGAGAGGCATCATGTGTGTGTTTCTCTTTTGTACAGCTTTTACAATACAATAGAGAAGAGAAGAGAATAGAACAAAGTGAAGATGCTGATGATGGCCAACGACAATGCAAGGGAGAGAACATGAGATGAATATGAGATGAACCATCCAACCAACCGGACTTGGGGTAGGACCGTGCGTAACAGGAACAGACGCCGTCCAGCCGTGCCTTTTGGCCGCAGCGCAGAGACAAAGAAAGGCAAAGAGCGTTGCACTCGCGCCCATTCACTTTTTTGCAGCCAAACGTGTCTCGTGCCTGACTTCGTATCTGCATCTGCGTCTGCATTAGCGGCCGCTTTCTCTTGCTATACATGGTTTTTTTTTTTTTTTTTTTTTTTGGCTGCCCATCTCACGCACCACCGCTGTAGCTTGGTTTTGTGGACTTTTCTATTTATTTGTTTTGGGTTCCTTTTTTTTCTTCTTCATTGTTTTCACTCTTCTTCTAGCTTCTCTTCTTCTTCTTCTTCTTCATCATCCATCACTGACCGTAATCTCTTTGCTTTGCCTTGCCTTGCCTTGCTTTGCTTACCATCAGCTTGCTTTGCTCCAAGGAAAAAACCACCAGCAGCCATGGCTCCCCCTCGCGGCTTGGGCCAGCTCATCGCCATATTGCTGCTGGCGCTGGCGCCGCACCTGGTGGCCGCAGACTGTGAATGCGGATTCGTCACGCACACTTCAGCAGCGCAGAAACAGGCCAGAGACTCGTCCGGCACAAGCCAGTTGTTCTTCACAAACATGCTGGAGAGCAAGTTTTTCGAGCTCAAGAACATCTCGCTGGATGGCACCTGGCGGCGGCAGCAGTACAACGTCTCGGCTCGGGCCGGGCGAGGCGAGTACGGCAAGGCGTTTGCCGTGAAAAATGTTTATAGCCTTCCCGGGAGCGGCGATGGCGATTCTACGGCCAGCACTGGATCGAGTTCTCATCCTGCGGACGATGGCGTTGCGCTGGTTGTTGGCAGCACCCTCACAAACGACGCCGTCCCGGTGGCAGAGCTGGACTCGGCTCGGTCTGACATGGTCTTTGGCTCGTACCGTGCTGGCATGAAGCTGACTCCGGTCAATGGCACTTGCGCGGCTTTCTTCTGGGTATGTTTGTGCTGTGTTTATCCCGATCCCGATCTCTATCCCGATCCCTATTCTTTGGCATGTGACTATGACATACATTTACTCACACCCAGCCAGTACTTCAATGACACCCAGGAGATTGACATGGAGTTTCTGTCTCGAGAGTTTGACCCAAAGAAGAAAGTATACCCCGTCAACCTCGTGATACAGTCGGAAGCATCGCTGCAGGCGGGCTTTGACGCGTCCAAGACAGGCACCTTCAAGGTGGTGAACCTTACCTTTGATCCCACTGCCGGATTCCACGAATATCGCTTCGACTACTTGCAAGACCGAGTGCTCTTCTACGCCGACAGCCAGCTGCTCGCCGAGATGAGCGGAAGCTCGGTGCCCACTAGCCCTGGCCACCTCATTCTGCAGCACTGGAGCAACGGCAACCCCTTGTGGTCTGGAGGCCCTCCCGAAGAAGACGCTATCATGACTGTCAGCTACGTCAAGGCCTATTTCAACTCATCTGATTCGGATGTCCAGTCGAGCTGGAATAGCAGCTGCCAAAAGGCGCTCTCAAAGGGCAGCAACGAGACGGTGTGTGTGGTTCCTGATGTAACGGCAGCAAACGCAAGCACGGGAGGCACCTTTTTCAACACCAGCAATCCAAATGATGACAAGAACGGCGCAAATCGCCTGGGCAGCACGTGGGCGGCGACAACGAGTGCGCTGCTGCTGCTGCTGGTATTGAACTGCCTGTAAAAGGGTGGAGAGGGGGGGGGGGGGTAAGTGAGAAAGTGTCTTTTCTTTTCTTTTTCTTTTTTTTTGCTTTATGACGTACAGTGTAATGCTATAATGAGTCCATGACATGTGTGTTTTCTTGGAGTTGAGGGTGGAGAGACGACGATGCTTGTACTTGGCACCTGAGTGGGAGAGGGAGCATGTGTACGTGTACATAGAGCCAGTTGAGAATCACGACTGATACCGGTGACTGGGGAATCTATACTGAATGAGGATGCTCTTCTTGTCTGTTTGCACGGTGATTCGTGAAGATGACGCTGATGTTGATTATGGCCATGATAACTTCATTTTGCCATTGATTAGGTAAAATATCGATGGCAGTTAGACATCAGACGTCGTCAAGTGAGTCTTGGTTGGAGCTGGGCGGCGCATCATCTGATGCACGATGCGGTCACTCGCCCCGCCAGACACCGAGCAGCTGGATCTGATGGGGCTTCGGGATGCAGGCCGTGTCTGCTTTGGGAAGGCGCCGGGATGGATGATTAGTGCATGTAATATAAATGATGTAAATAATATGATATGAGTGGGCATAAACATGTTGGTCTTGGTGCTGTTTAATTGGCTGTGACTCTTGTCCAGCAGCTGAGGCATAGAGCGTGTCTGTCTCAAGGCTGGAATGCAACCGCACCAATGCTGCAATCCGTATGGCTGCGGTCCCGTGTAGGACATCAGCCAAAGCCTGGATGCAAGACAAAATGACTGCATGTTCTGGGAAAATCCATCATGGGAAGATACAAGGCAAATGAAGGATTGGCTGGCACGGGTTTTCTCAGCTTGCAGCGCATAGATGGACGTAATGATATGATCATCGCGGATCATCATGGTGGTGGGCAGTGTAGGATGGAGAGGGCAGATATAAAGGACCGGCGTTGCTCATGCTTGTTTTTTTTTCCGATGGAGAAGACTATTTATTATAGTATTATAATTGTTATCCACTTGAATATATTGGATTTCGAACAAGCACCCATTTTGGCGACCTTTCAATTCACCTGTACCTACTTATCGACTTATTCTCGCTTATATGCACCCTTGAATGCCGTCTTTGATCACTGCGCCGCCCCATCATCAGCAGCCACCATGACCCCCAGCACGCTCAGCATCGTGGTCCAGAACAAGACGTCGGCGTCGCAGCTCTACGTCTTCGTCACCGGCCAGGCCGCGCAGGGCGTCTTCTTCCTGCGCGCCGACGGCGTCACGCCCTACTACCCGGCCTCACCGTCGTCGACGCTGCAGCCGCTGTCGCAGAACTGCGCCGTGGCGGTGGGCGGGCCGGGCCAGAGCCGCACGTTGACGGTGCCGCAGCTGGCCGGCGCGCGCATCTGGTTCAGCCAGGCGAAGCCGCTGACGTTTTTGCTCAACCCGGGCCCGGCCGTCGTCGAGCCGTCGTCGACCAACGTGGCGGACCCAAATTACAACATCCAGTGGGCGTTTTGCGAGTTTACGCTCAACACGGCCGAGCTGTACGTCAACGTGTCGTACGTCGACTTCTTCAGCATCCCCGTGTCGCTCCGGCTGGAGAACGGGTCCGGCGTGGTGACGAGCGTGCCCGGCATGCCGGCCGGGGCGCTGGACTCGATCTGCGCGCAGCTCAAGGCACAGGCGGCCAAGGACGGCGCCGGATGGGACAAGCTGGTGGTGCAGCAGAGCGGCGGCGGCGGCAACCTGCGCGCGCTGAGCCCCAACTCGGGCAGCGTCATGTTCCCGGGCCTGTTCAGCGGCTACTACCAGCCGTATGTGGATGCCGTGTGGAAGAAGTACCAGGCGGCGGACCTGACGGTCAACACGCAGTTCTCCAACTGGGGCAACGTCGCCGGGCGCGTCGACTCGTCGGGCCAGAAGCTCGTGTTCCCCGCGGGCTACGGCTCGTTTGCGAAGCCGGCGGCGGCGGACATCTTTTCGTGCGACTCGGGCCCCTTTGCGGGCGGCGCGGGCGTGACGGCGCAGCAGCTCAATGTCGGTGCGAGGCTGGCGGCGGCGCTGAACCGGTCGACGCTGCTCAACGGCGGGCAGCAGCCGGAGGGCGAGGACGTGGGCCAGTACTACCAGAACGCGGTGACGAACCACTATGCGCGGATATGCCACGCGGTGAGCGTGGGCGGGAGGGGGTATGCGTTTCCATATGACGATGTTGGGAAGACGGGGGGAGTGGACCAGAGCGGGTTTTTGAATGATGGGGATCCGAAGGTGCTGACGATTGGGGTTGGGGCGCCTCTTTGATTGATTGATTGATTGATTGATTGATTGATTGATTGATTGCTATAGTAGTAGTATTGCGTTTTATGTGTTTTGTGTTGATGTTGTTGAGGATGATTGGTGTAGGTATATGTGATGATGATGATGATGTGTGTGTATATATGTGGCTTGGTTGCTGTATATAAGTTTGGCGTGTGCATGTATATATCTCTTGCTTGTTATGTATATATATATATATAGCTATATTTACATTTGATTTCCTTATTATATAATCTGTATCAAGTTCATTTGTATTATTTATATCTGTTTATAGATCAGATGAAGAGAGTAGGATTGTGTAGAGTAGAGTCATTGTAAGATTACGGCTTGCCGTTACCAGACTCCCAAAAGAGCTAAATAGGGTAATTGGCATTCATCTTGTCTACATTGTTTGTTCTTGTTTACATGTGTAGTGGCTTTATCATGTACTGGGTATAATACTTGACGTAGCCAAGCTACATTATGCTGGTAAACGACTTCACAACTACGCCACAGTCTACCCAATAGCAGCAACAGCTTTGCTGATATGGTAAGATGCAGAATACAAGACCGGCATCACGTTGCTTGGGTAAGACAGACCTTGCCGATTCGTCCTTCATCCTATGCAAGATGCATCTCGCCAATTAGCCGGCCCCGAAATCCATCCCGCGTCACTACAGCCAACCCTGCTTATCAGTGCCTGGTTTTAGGTATTAGACAATGAATGTACATCATACATGTACATACATACAGTCTGCCCTGTAAAACAATGCAAGAATCACAAAAGAAAACAAAAATCCAGGCCTTGATGCCCAAATGTCGCACTTGCACAACATGCTGAATCACGTACTACTATTACATGCAACCGGCCGGCTCCGACTTCACCCATATAGATGGGGGTCCACCCGCCTAAACAAGCGCCGGGGAACTCTTCTCGTCCCCTCTTGTTTACGCCACTAGCACGGGCCTCGTTTGCGCCTGTTCCCCTGGATTGCGACTAAATGAGATGACAAGGAGCGGAGATGGGCTGGCGCCGGCCAACTCGGCCGGGACTGGCTGACTGATTGGGCTGTTGCTGGTGATTTGGAGTCGGCACATATAGTTTTATACAAGCACTGCGCCAGAACCTCCTCGGCACAGCTTCACATGTAACACCCGCCAGATGCCGTGCTCGAATGCATTACAAATACCGCGGATCCTTCACAGCGAATCATGCATGCTGCATTACAGGTGCATTTGCTAGCCCAGCACTGGACCTGTCCTCGCACAGGAGGCCGCGCGCCGTTGCGTCTGATGCTACGCTGGCTCTCTCTCCGGACAGCAGTGATACCTGTCATGCATGCACACGGCTCCGTAATATAGATTGCTTATTATATTGCCGCCCACCTTTTCTGCCTCACCGTCTCATAGCACCCTCCTGCCCTCCTATCAAGGAGCACCGCAGCATCGTGGAATGGATGGCTGCTTTCGTAATCCCGTCAATCCCATGTAGCGGTACCTGGCGGCTGCTAAGACGGTACCTGCGCCGTGCCCGTGGCGGCTGCAGCGCGCCAGTACCGGCCTAAACGGTCTCGAGCGTGCCTGACTTGGGCGGCCCCACCACATCTCTGCTGCGGCTCAAGCTGCAAATTAGAAACGCTCGCAGGCCCAGTCCATCTCGAGCCAAACCCATCCCCGACATCCATCGATCCATCCCCCCCCCCCCCCCCGCTCTGCGGAAAAGCCCAGCAGCCGTCACTGAATATTGACTGCTACAGTATCCAACTGCCACGGGCGAGGCTAAACGACTACCTACCGTAGACAATCGCCCATCGTGGATCCAAGCCGGCGGCCAGCACTACGGCAGACAGACACGCGGCACCTCCAACGCTTGCATGTGCAGGCTGTGCGACTTGGGCGCCTCCATCCAGTCCGAGCCAATCGCCCATTCCCGCAACCCCCACCTTGAGCGTCCATCTCGACGATTTCGCATCGCCCGTGCATGAACAACGCAGAAAGAGGGGGGAGGGGAGCGGACGAGGGGCCTTAAAGTTTGGGCATCCCGGCTCTGGTCCCGATCCTGGTCTTGGTCTTGGTCCTGGTCTTTGTTCTGATCCCGGCACGAAGCAGCCTCGATTCATCATAGAGCGAGCGAGACGCATGGACAGGGCTAGACAGCACCTACAGCACTTGTCGTCTAGAGCTTCTTCTTCTTATTGTTCTTCTTCTTCTTCTTCTTCTTCTTCTTCTTCTTCTTCTTCTTCGTTTCTTTCATCGTGACTCCAACGCTGCTGGTGGCGCATCCTACCCGCAGTAGCGCTCTCCGACGAACTGTCTCAAGAGAGGCGGGCAGCCGAGGGACTAAGAAAGCCACTGCCGCCGCCATGGTCTACTGCGGCAAGCCCTCCAAGGGCTGCTCTCACTGCAGAGAGCGCAAGATCCGAGTAGGTTTGCTTTGCACTGTCTGAGCCTCCATCTATCTTCTTTGTCTTCTATCGAACTTCACACCTTCACTGGAAACCAAAAGAAAAAAAAAAATGGCACTGTGGCTGTTGCTTACTTACGTCTCCTCTCTTTCCCTCCCGCCTGTAGTGCGATCAGAAAGAACCGGGATGCGGCCAGTGCATCAAGCGCCGCATAGAATGTCCGGGCTACCGCAACATGGTAGATCTCATGTTCCGCGACGAAAGCAACGATGTCATCAAAAAGGCCACCTCGGCCAAGCCGCGCATCAAGAAACTGAAACATGGCGTACGGGCCGCTCCGAAGCTAAACGCGGCGCCTCAAATCGCGCCACCACGCCCGCCGTCGCCATCGTCGGGGGCTCTAGTCGTCCGCAACAGTCCTCGGCCGTCGTCAAAGGCCCTGGGTTCCCTCAAGCGTCGCCCCAAGAACTCGCCCCTTCTGTCCGTCCTCCTGGCTGGCCCGTATGACGACCAAGATCGCTCTGACGAGGATGCCTGGGTGACCCATACCTATCCGTACGAGTATGAACGCATTGTTCGGCGCGGCCGTAGCGACGACGACGACGACGACGACGATGACTATGACGACGACAACGACAACGACGATTACTTTGATTTCGACTTGGACGCTGCTGGCGGCGACACCCTGATCCATATTCCCTATGCACCATCCATCTCGCTCCAAGAGCGTGGCACCGCCTTCTTCTTCTCTCGTTATGTTGCCACAGACCTTGGCTGCTATCAGAACTACGACTTCATCTACGACATCTGGAAACCCCCTACCATGAGCCGACCTCGCAGGTTCGAAGTGCCCCCTCAGGCTCCTCCTCTCAAGAAAGCAGATGCCCTCATCTCTGCCGGTATGACGGCCGTTGGCTTGGTCGGTCTCTCCAAAATCACGGGTGATAGGGAGACAATGCTGCGCGCCCAGCAGAGCTACGGCGCCGCTCTCCAGCTGGCCAACGCCGCCCTCCGAGACCCAAGAGAGGCTGTCGAGGACAGCACCATGCTGGGCGTTCTCATCCTCGGCACATATGAATTCATATCTGGACGCACCCCTCAAACCCTCCACGCTTGGCAGGAACACATCAATGGTGCCGCTACGCTCGCCACCCTGAGAGGCCAAGACCAGTTTCACACAAAGGCCGGCGTCAGAATGTTCACCATGCTATGCCACTCTGTGCTCATCAGCTGCATCCAGAGCGGCCTGCCCATGCCAAAGGCCATTGTGGACTTGCGGAACGAATTGCGAAATGTGGCGGACAGCAAGCTACCCGCATGGCGTGTTATTGATCCCCTGTACAAGGCCCTTCAGATCCGACACGACATTAAGCATAGGCGCATCACCGGCGTGGATGACATCATTGGTAGTCTCGTTGAAATCGAAGACGAGTTTGAAATGCTCATTCGGGGGCTGCCGCCATCTTGGCGTTACCAGGAAGTCAGCCTCACCAAGGCCAACCCGGCCATCATGGGCCGTACGTGTCACGTCTATCCTGGCCTCACCCAAGCCACTTCCTGGAACGCAGTACGAACCATGAGGATACTTGTCCAGGAGACGATATTAGAGCAGCTGTGCTACAGTGCTGAGGATCCGACGACTCTTCCGATGCGCCATCAGTTGCATCTGGTCAAGGCAATGAAAATGCTACGCAAGCTCGGCGAGGCAGTCGTCGGCAGCGTCCCTCAGCACTTTGGCCTCGTCAGCTCCCGAGATATCAAGTATAATAAACATAAAGGGGCAACTCTGCCTACCATTACCGCCCAGAACCAGTCTTCGAACATTGTCTCAGCACCTCTCTTGCCGCCGGCTCCCGGGAGAGATGAAAGCAAATCTCCCGTCCCTGCCTGGCAGCGCGAGAGTGTAACCCGGCGGCCGACGTTGCTGGATCCAACGCAATCAGAACTGGGCAACGGCCGAAGTGACTCGGAGAGGTTTTTGACCCTGGCCACGGCTAGCAACACCATCATCTGGCCACTGTACACACTTGGCCTGTCATCGTCTTGCACCCACGAGACGAGCGCCTACATCGTTGACAGACTCATGTCAATCTATCGCGAGACCGGCTTGGAACAGGCCCGAGTTGTCGCAGGCATGATGCAGAACAAACAGGAGTCTTTGACTTGGGCTAGCATCCCAACAACTCGTCTACCGTCTTTGTCTGATGATGCATTGCCTCTCGTTGTATAGACTTTTTTTTTCTTGGACCTTTGGCGCGCTTTTCTCTTGATGTACCACCTAATTTTATTGCACATATTTGAACCCCCCCTTTTTTGGTAAATTTGTTCTCTGTTCTAAAAGTCAAAGAGGTATGATGATATATGGACCTTCATCTTACCCTCTCTCTTCTTCTCTCGTATTTTTCTTCCTCTTTCTTTTTCTTTTTTATTTCCGTATTCTCTTCTGTTCTCTTTTTAGCGATGGATATAACAGGCTTCTCTTTTCACTAATATCATGATTCTACATCACATCTCATGCCGGCAGGTTAATACTTGGATACTAGTTCTAGATTGTATTACATTATATATTCATTACCACTTATATACCAGATAGATTGAAATGTCGCTGTCGCTGTCGCTATTCCACTGACGATTGATTGACCCTACCAGCTGTCAAAATTTCCAAACCCACCACCCGACTTCATCTTTTTCCGTGGCTGTGTCTCCCACGTGTCTACATTATCTGTGTCCTCATCTCGTCCTCTTGTACGGCTATTTGACGCCTGCCCCATTGCCTCCTTATCTAGATACTTGCCTATGCTCTGCTTCGCGTCAGGCTTGTCAAACGTGCCATCACCCCTCAGCCGCTTGCCCGTCCACGTCGTCTTGTCGTCCTCGGTGCCGCCCTGTCGCTGAATCTCCTCCTGCTGGCGGTCGAGGCGCTCCTTTTCGTTTTTCTGCGCCTGGAACTCCTCAAAGGGGTCGACGAAGACGACAATGTCCTTGATGACGATCTTGTTGAGCGGCCGGTTGGAGCCGTCGGTGGGGACGTCTTCCATCTTGGTGAGGACGTCGAGGCCGGACTCGATGCGGCCGAAGATTGTGTGCTTGCGGTCGAGGTGCGGGGTGGGTTTGTAGGTGATGAAGAATTGGGACGAGTTTGTGTTTTTGCCTTTGTTGGCCATGGAGACTTTGTTTTGGTTTGACTTTGTTAGCTTTTTATGGGAGGAAGAGAGAAAGAGAGAGAGAGAGAGAAATAAAGAGAGACAGGGATTCAAACTTTACCTATGCCGCGCGCATTGTGTGTCAATGGGCCGTCGAATTCGTCGTTGAAATTCTTGCCCCATATGCTGGTGCCTCCTTTTCCTGTTCCTGTGGGGTCGCCGCCTTGGATCATGAAGTTTGGGATGTTGCGGTGGAATGCGACGCCCCGGTAGTAGCCTGTCTGCGCGAGCCTGATGAAGTTCCATACCGCCTTGGGAGCCGTCTCAGTCTGGAGCTCGATGGTGAGGTTGCCCAGGTTGGTCTCTATCCTGGCGTAGCCTTTGGCCTTGACACGCTTCGGCTTGAGCATAAACTCCTCGTCGGTGAGGAGCGCCCTCTCGCCGCTCGTCTCGGGGGTTAGGCCGGTGCTGGTGAAGCTGGCTGCGGCCTTGCCGGTGGTGTATGCCGCCGCGTTGGCGGTAATCTTCTTGTCTTGTATCGCGGGCTGCCGTGCGGCGGCAGAAGAAGAAGCGGTGTTTTTCGCCCTTTCTAGCGCCCCTGAGCTCTTGTTGATGTCGCCGCCTGCTTCCCTCGCCTTGCGCGCCTTTTCTACGGCGGCTTTCGCCTTGAGCACCTTGTCTCCCATGCTGCCCAGCGCGCCGGCGTTGATGTTTCCGGCCTGCCGTTCTTCTTGCTGCTCCTTTGTCAATTGCGCCTGCTCGCCGTCTTGCAGGTACTTAAACTGGTCTAGGTTTCGGCTCGCCATGTTCTGGGGGTCTTGCAGGGTGATGATGTCGGCGCGCGTAAAGGGCTGGTCGTCGAGCAGGTCCTGCCACATCTTGGCCTTGATGTTCATGCGCTCGACGGTATCCCACGCGAAGACATTGGCGTAGCTGCCGTGCCGGATCGCGACAATGTGCGTGTTGTCGGTGAAGACCTTGTAGGTGACGGGGTCGACGAGATCGCCTTTACCGTCGCTCAGGCCGGCGCCCAGCGAGTCGGCCTCTGCATTGCGCGCAAAGACGAGGCGGATGAGGTCCTTTTTTTGCAGGGGCTGGGAGTTGACCGGGTTCTGGTTCGGGTGCTTCTCGAGCCAGGCGGAGATGACCTCGACGTCGAAGATTGTGCCGTCGGCGGTGCAGACCGGGTTCTTGAACGGCTGGAGGGAGGCGGCGCAGAAGTTGAAGGGGAGGCGGCGGAAGGGGATCTGGGAGGTGTTGGAGCGGGAGGCGTTGGCGCCGACGTTGGCGGAGAAGGCGTCTGCGGAGGACCATTCGGAGTGGGTGATCTGGGAGGGGGGAGAAGAGATGGAAGTTAGTATTCGGTATGGACTGGGCTTTGGTGTTGAGATGGATGATGGAAAGAGGTGCTCACATAGAGTTTATCGGTACCTTTGCCCATGGTTACCGATTGATATAAAGACACGTAAGCTATACACAGGGAATAAAAACAACGAAATAAAACGACTATGCAGCTTGTGTATATGCAATTGGTGGATTGTTAAAGTATGTTAAGAGATTGTGGTATAGCATGCATGTGAATGACGACGGGCTCGCTCTGCTCTAGATCTGGGAACATTTCATTCCTTATCGTTATCAGCGTTCTGTCTCACGCTAGGCTACGTACTTTCTTCCAGGTACCTTGCCGAGTCTGCGCCAATAGTGCGGTACATTGTCGGTACCGCAATTCCGAGCCATCCCCAGCCGCAAACAGAGCCACCTCAGCGCGCTGCGTAATTCCCTCTTACGTACCTCCCGGCAAGCTCGCATCTCCAGGTACACCGTGCGCGCGCCAATCCCGAGGAGCTCAAACTGGCCCTTCCTGGACTCGGTTCAGTCTGTGCCACCTTGTAATAACTTGGCAACGCAGTCAAGCAGAACGGCTCTCGTCTCGTCTTGTCTTGTCTTGTCTTGTCTTTGCACAACACGCAATTGTGCTCTCGTCTGTGGACAGTGCGCCGAGCCACATTGGCAACACACAGCATATTTTCCGACTGCCGAATACTTGCTGGTCCTGTGGCCGTGCGGGAAACGGTCGTTTAAGAGCTGCTGCACCTACCTGTTGCTTGGCTGCCGCGCAATTCGCAATCGCTGAATAACCAAAACCGCCAAGGCTTCCCACGATCCCTTTTCTCGTCCGGGCGAGCCGCTTTGCTTCTTCTACAGCAGCTGCCAGCCTCTGCTATCACTCAATCGCCGCATCGTCTGCGCTGCCGCCAACATGAGGCCTCTTCTCGGGCTTCTCGCCCTGGGCATGTCCCTCTGGACCGCCCAGGCGCTGGAGGTTCCAATGGTAAGTAATGAACGAATGCGCGCCACGCCTTGGGCAGTGCATTGGCTAACGGTGTCCTTTGTCTACAGAACGAAAAAGAAGGCTCTCGCCAGTACTGCACCGGTATGCCTCCATAACGCAAGATGGCTGTCCTCGCACGGCAGGCACAAGGAGTTGACGGGTTTGAACAGGAATGTACAGTCGCAAGTCTTGGGGTGGTCCGGTCGATCCCTTCATCCTCGTCAAGTTTCTCAACAACACTGCCCCTCAGGGGGACGATCCCGTCGCCAGCATGGTCATATTCGAGTGGAGAGACGGCAATTTGGTGGGAATCCCGGATCCAGATCTCCAAGCCCAGGTGAGGCCACCCACGACGATATCCTTACATGCACACGGCTGTATCATTTACTGACGGCGCTTTCTAGCGACTTGCGCTCTGCGACGACGGTGCCATCAAGAACGGATACTGCAACTCAACCGATAAGGGGCAATTTGTTCTGGCAAAGAATGCGACCGACTTATCCAACCAGATGATCTTGACCAAGGCTGTCCACCTAAACAACCCGGTTCCCATCAACTACCCCATCAAGAAGACCGGATACTACTGTGTCCTCACTGAAGGATTCAACATTGATAAGTACAGTGCCGTGGTCGAATTCCGGAACGCCTATGGAGAGCTGCCAGCAACCCAGATCCCGAAGCTCCCTTTTTACGGCGGAATGTCTATTTTATACGCCTTGGTAGCTGTCTTTTGGGGCTTCCTTTACTTCCAACACCGACATGACATTCGTGAGTGCTCATAAGCTGCCTTGGGCTTTTTAAATTTGTCTTCACCGTTGCTGACGTCATCTTATTGCAGTTGCTGTGCAAAATTACATCACGGCCATTCTCATCTTCTTGACAATTGAAATGATTCTGACATGGGGATTCTATGGTAAGGAGCCATAACAGTATCCAGAACTATATGCAATGCTAACTGCTGCATCTAGATTTCCAGAATCATAATGGTACTGCTGGTGTGGGCAGCAAAGTCTATCTCATCGTCATTGCAGTCCTTAATGCCGCTCGAAATTCATTTTCATTCTTCCTGCTTCTTATTGTCTGCATGGGATACGGTGTTGTCAAGCCTACTCTTGGGCGTACCATGATCTACATCAGATGGCTTGCTGCTGCGCATTTCATTTTCGGCATTGTCTACGCAGTCACGAGCTTGCTGGTATCACCAGAAAGTGCTGGTAAGTTGGAACTGTCTTTCTTGTCATTACTTACTTGTTGGAATACTAATTGTCTGATAGGGCCTTTCGTTCTCCTCATTGTCCTCCCACTGGCTGGCACTTTGACGGCTTTCTACGTTTGGACACTTAACGCGTTGAACTTGACCCTCAAAGACCTGCGGGAGAGAAAGCAGCATGTCAAGGAAACAATGTACAAGAAGCTGTGGTGGGCTATTCTCATTAGCGTCTTGGTCATTTTTGGCTTTTTCTTCTTCAACAGCTTCACCTTTGCGTCGGCTAGCGACCCCGATTTCGTTCCCTTCCACTGGAAGACCAGATGGTTCATCTTGGACGGCTGGCTTAACATTGTGTATTTCGCTGACGTTGCCTGGGTGGCATACGTCTGGCGACCAACCGTCAACAACCGTCGCTTCGCCATGAGTGACGAGATTGCTCAAGACGACGACGGAAACTTTGAAATTGGAGACATTGGCATGCCTGACGACTCGGACGATGACGAAGAAGCGCAAATCGGCAAGCCTACTCATACTGGACAAGACAGCGGCGTGACAGGTGCCGGGCTCGCACAGGCTAGCAGCAGCAGAGCTGTACCAGGGGCTCAGTCACAATCAACAGCCCGTGCTGTCCCTCGAGAGTCCATTGACGGAGAGACGATATTTGCAGTTGGCGACGAAGACGGCGACAAGGCATCGGACAGCGAGGGCCATAGCGATGATGACGAGGATGCTAAGCTTGTACACAAGAAACTATGATGAGGAGACCTGTTGAATTCTTTTACTTTATTTTTGGAAACGCGCTGGGGTGTAGAATGGAACAGGAACACAACTGGCTTCTAAGGAGTTATGAATAGGGTTTTCTACCAATATTGCTTTCTTGTTTTTCGGTGTAGAATAGAGAAAATTGATCAATTATGACTATCATACGGGATGGATCAGTGGTGAACTGGGCCGATATTTGAAGACATTGATGACGGGCTTTCGAATAATGACTTTTCTCATTGAAGAAGCCTTTTTTTCTTTTTCTTTTTCCTGTTTTCTTTTTAATTTGTCGGGCCACAGGAGGCAAACATGGCCCTGGTATGATATATTGGTATAATATGAATTTAACACTTATGAATACATGCCTGGCCTATACCAGTGATACTCTGGCCAAGGAGCTCAAGCTCCTGTTACATCACCTCCAAAGCCAACGGGTCGACGACGACCATCATTCTCGGGCAAGATAGCCAGCGCCTTGTACACCTTACCCATGCCGTTAGGCCCTCGATCAACCAATCTCTTCCACGCCTTCTCAATGTCACTGGCAGCAGACGGGGTGATGCCGGGTACTTTGCTAAGAGCTTCTGCGCGTTCACGAATGCCCATCAGCTCGAGGAAGTCCGCCTGGGAGATTGGTCCGTGGACCTCGATTCCATCGCTGGCAATGGTGGCAGCCTCGGCAATGGCATGAAAGTCGACGTCGGCGCTGAGGTCGACGAGACCCGGGGCGGCAAAGGGGCTGACGAGGCGGTGCTGGCGAATGCCGCGGAGGGAGTTGACGGGGACGGTGTCGGCGGTGCCGTAGTCGAGGACGAGGGCGGCGCCGCTGGGGGTTGGTTTCGGGTGTTTTGGGGAGCCGCCGATGCGGGCGGCGAAGTCGGCGGCGTAGAGGGAGGCGTCGGGGCAGATTTCGATGACGGCGCCGGGGGTCTGCTTGAGTTTGCGGTAGCGGGGGGAGGATTCGGGGAGGTGGCGGGAGTGGCGGGTGGTGGAGGAGGAGAGGACGAGCTGGAACTCGGGAGGGGGTTCGGACATGGTGGTGGAGGATGAGGTGGGAGGGGTGATGGATACCATCATTTCGCGCCATTCCATGGTTGGTGTTAATGTTGATGCGGTTGTGTCTGGCTGAGAAGAGGGCGATGATGATGGTGGTGATGGTGAGGGCGATGTCGATGGAGTAGCCTTGGAAGCTGCTGGAGCAGGGGCTGGGGCTGACTGGAAAGTGTGAATGGGTAGAGCATCGAAGAATTCATGGGCTACAATGAAAGGGGTCTTGTCTGACTCTATAAAAAGGGGGGTTAGTTATATGATGGTTGGGTGTTGACAGGGTGGTGAGAAATGGTACAAACCTATGGGAATGGATTTGATCGTCTCAGTCCAGACGATTGGAGTTGCACCATACTTGCTGGGGCTGTGACAGCCCACGTTGGACTCGGTAAAGGGTGCGTCAGGGCCGCAGAGGCGCTTCTTTTGTGTCTCGCGAAGCTCGCGGCTGGCTTCTACCATGAAGACGCTCTCGATGCTGTTAGCCATGGCTGGGAAGCGCTGGATAGTCTGAAAAAGGCGAGTGTGTTAGTGTACATGTACGCATATATGTGCGTGGAAGAATCGGCACTTACACGAAGCATGTCGTCCATGAGAGTGCCTCGGCCGGGTCCAACCTCGATGAGCTGGACGCCCTTGCTGGGTCGGCCCTGGCTGATCCATTCGGCGATGAACCAGATTCCGAGAAGTTCTCCAAAGATCTGGGAGATCTCAGGAGAGGTAACGAAATCTCCCTTGGCACCGAATTGGTCACGGTCCTGGCCAACTGCTCCGGTGTAGTAGCCTCCCAGGTCGCCAGTCAGGCACATGCGCATGTAGCTGGCCAGGGGAACTGAGCCGGTGGTCTAGAGATGTATCGTTAGTAGAGTGGTTTTATGGATTGAGAGTTGGAAATTGATTTATGACGGATGCATAGGGGTAAGTTTATTGAGGAGCTGATGTATGTATGGAGTGAGAGTGTTTGTGGAGCTTCATACAGATATAGCTTCATAGAGCTGCTTGGCCAATGGGGTGGACCATTGTCTCTCTTCCGAGAGGCGAGCGCTGGTTAATGAGAAGCTTCGAGCAGGTGATGTTAATATTGATGAGCCAGCAGCTGATTTTCTGGAGAAGCGGAAAGGTGCTTGTAGGAGAGAGCCTGCCAGCCGTTGTCTCTCGAAGGAGACGGCTCTGGAGAGAGAAGCTGTGGCGGCGACGATGGGCCTCATTGCGGCGAATGGAGTGTGTTCCTTGCACCTCTTATTTGCTCATGTGATGACGAATGAAATAAATGAATGAATGGCTGTTGAATTGAGTTGTGAATGGTTAATGAATGTAGAGCTTTTAGGTGGTAGCTCCAAGAAGCTTGTCTGGGTGTCGTCGGCTTGACCAAATAAAATTGGAGCTTTTTTTTTCCGCCGAGTGCGCCGTCGGTACATGTGGATAGCGCGTGTTGAGTGCCTTTTGACGGGTACCTCAGCTTTTGAGCTCTGAAAGCCTCACTGGAGCTGCTACAGCTTCAACCACGGCTACGCCTGAGTTGGTTAGAGGTTGGCGAGTGATAAGATAGAGCTTTTAGTTGTGATGGTGCTGGCAAGTGTATGATGATGTGAACATGTTTTGATGTTTCTGGATTGAGAGCCAAGAGTGGAATACACGCATTTAGATGGCAATTCATGCTTGTTTGAGCCATGGTCTAATGATTTTTGATATTTTGCTCTCTTTTTCTTCGGTTTGTTGCCATTTTCACTCGAGATGTTCAGGCTATGGCTCAGGGTCCTACTTGGTAAATCAGTACTAAATAGACCACAGCTAATGCGGTACAAGCCTATTAGTGAAGAGAGTAAAATAGTATCCGAATGATCTGAATCCTCTCCAATCTCGGTCGAAAAGAATCATGAAGATGCGACTAGCCCGCTGCATCTACAAATACATCTTAGATAAGCTTGCTTACTGCATGCACCCTTATATCTGATCTAACCGGCGTTGTCTGCTTTGCACTGCTGCGGCCACGAAAAAGGAGCGCATCAGCAGATGCAAGATGCAAGGGATGCAGCCAATTCCAGCACCAGCAGAGCAGACACCGAAAACCTACTGGACTGGTCTGACGCCGTGGGGCTGAGACACGCCACCGGTGTTGATGCTTCTAGCAGGTATGGGAAGTGAGAAATGACTTGCAGGTTCAAAACCGGCTCTCCGGCAGCAGCCTGTCAGCTGTACATATAATAGATGCAATACAGTGAGTGATGGGAGAGTCCGAGCATCGAGAAGTACTTGTAGTATTAGGGCAGCACAGCGGGATACGAACTTGACACTGCTGGATGCACAGCGGCGATCCACCGCATCGCCACCAAAACGGATTTTTCTCGTAATGGGGGTTGATGCGCGATGCGTGCAGGCAGAGGCCAGACCTGCGCGCAGGTACCCTCCGTTATGGCTGGCTGTGTGGTTCCCTGCCAGGGCCATAACGCGGGATACATGCATGTGCGTGAGCCTGGGCGGAGACGACAGCATAAAGAGGGGGGGAACGGGTTTGGCATGCACGCCATAATAGCGGAGGGAATACGAAGAGTCGATGGGCAAAACACGAGCTCGGCGGCTCACATGGGAAAAATAAAAATAGGAACAGCCCACCGAATGGGAGCCTCTATGCAGCCACGACTGCCAACCTGCCGAGTATCTTGTGCAATGCAAGTATGATGTTTTATTTTATTTTATTTTTTATTTTTATTTTTATTTTTATTTTTATTTTTATTTATTTTTATTTTTTATTTTTTCTTCTTTTTCTCTTCTTGGCCTTTGTTTTGCTGCTGCACAAACTCAATGCCTGCCCTAGGCTTGCTCCTAAAGTAAGCTTCCGCTATGCATTAGCTGTCTACTGTATCCCACTCCAAGCGCCGCTCCAAGTGCGCGCAGCGTTTGTGTACCTGTCTGCTGTAGAATAACTCACGTCATCACACGCACAATGTGGGCAGTCATGCTCTCTCAGCGATGAGGCTGTCTACAGGTGCCTGCTACTGTAGGTAATACTACCTAAAAGTACTCTCTCACGGAATCTCCTTGTACACATGTACACTCGCTCGTACGGCTTCGGCCCAAGCTCTGTTGTTTTTATTTATTTTTACCAATCTATGCCCGCGCTAGTCCCCGATCCAGCGTAGCCTCACCGACAACCCCTGTCTAAATCATCGCCGCTACGCCGCCTTGGGCCCTAGCGCAGCCCATTGGCTTCTGGCCGCAGCCCGCATCGGCAACTACGAGGTACCTGCTCCATGTACACGATTGCAAAGACGAGAAATCTCGGGCTGCGCTCCTCTCGCCTCTCCTCCCCTTTTTCTGCCCTTCTCGCAGCTCATCACCACCAGCGCCTCGTCCTTCTTCGTCGTCCCTCGCTTTTCCTGACCCTTCTGGTCGTCGTGCTTCGCGACTGCCTGACGCTCGCTTCTCCGCCCTCCGCCTCAGCCTCTTGTTTTGATTTTCCCGTCTACCGGCCATCGATCCGACCCGCTTGTTGCACAGCCCGTCAAGACTCACTTCTTCCAGCCGCGAGGAAGCACTTATCGTTGTCTTTGTCTAACCACTGCGTTGTCGAGCAAACGAAATATCTTTGACGTCCAAAATCATCCGTTACTGCGTCATTCATACGCGAGAGGCCGTCTCATCCTTTGCTCGGTTTACTTCGAATTATACACGCTAGATTGCTGCTGCGTGCTGCATTTGCTTGTGGCTTTCATCCGACTTTCATTTGTTGGTGTAAACAGCCATCCTTGACAGAATGCGTCCTACCGCTGCATTGCTCCGAGTGGCCCTGTGCCTTTCCTCTGCCGCGCCTCTGGTGTCGGCATGGCCTGGCTGGCTCCCCGACATCGACGCCCTGGTTGTCCGTGCTAATGCTGATAGCAAAGGTAGGCATACGCCTCGAGGCATGCATTTTTGAGGAGCACCATCTAACCAAGTCAACAGAGGGCAATACTGCTCTGCCCACCGGCGCCACTGGCGGCGGCGGCGAAGGTGCCAACACGGCCGAGCCAACCCAACCCCCCAACTCAAAACAAACCCAGACCAGCGGCAGCAATGACTCGAAAACTGGTGACAACAAGGGCTCCAAGACAGACAGCAAAAACGACCACAAGACGACTAGCAAGAAGAAGGGGCCTACACACACCACGTTCGATCCCGAATCCCCCCCAGGAAATGTTGTGTTGCAGACGCCCGGTGTCTTTGCCGCTGGTGCTCCCCTCTACAGAATTGGCGACTACGTCACCTGGGGCTGGAATTACACCAACTTGCTCGGCACCCCAACTGCCATTGATGTTCTCATTGGCTGCTCGGCCGTCTCTGAGACGTGGACTCTTACGTCCAACATGACATTCAAGACTTCCGTGGCATACACGTGGAACAGCAGCGTCCAGGCAACCGACGTCAGCCAGCCCCTCTCCAACAACATGTACACTCTCATCGTCAAGGATTCGGATTCCGCAGTCACCCAAATCCCCGACCCTGGCTATCTTGGCACCTTTTCCTCCTATACTTTTGGCCTTTACACTTCCCAGCCATACGTTGATTATGACAAGTGGACGTGCGACGCTTGCAACGCAGCCCTGGCCAAGTTTGATCATCACGTTCTTGGATTTGCCATCACCATGGGTATGGTGACTGTGCTCAGCTTTACTTGGTTCGTGTCTGGCGTTGACCTCGCCTAATTTATGAGCATTGTTTCCAACAACGCATAAGTCGAATTGTTACAGCGGATTTGGCATGTGCTGCTTGATGAGCTGGGTCTACCATGGTCGTTTTGGTTGGCTCTTTGCATGTAGCCAAGCGTCCTGATGAGATTTGCATGCTCTGTATACGGTGAAACTTTTTCTGTTTTGTTTAACACTTTTGGAGATGGGGCATTAAAGGCGATAATTGCGGGTCATTTCAAAGGCGTTTTGCATCTCTATAAGCTGGTGTTTTTTGCGTCACACTTTTTGCGCTGCTTGGATAAAGAAAGGAGGAGTATTAAACTGTTTTGGACGACTCTTTTCATGATGGGGCCACTCAAGAAAAAAAAATATTAGCTACAAGTTTTCTAATGACATATACATTTAATGGGCCGCGAGCCTTTTCATGCTGAAGAGAATTTTTTCATCGTTTGACCTGCCCCAATGAAAGAGTCAATTGAGCATGGCATATCTATGAGTGTATTGTTGAGCGCTTTGTTATAATCCAAATTGTAAGAGCATTAACATTATAAACAAGAAACGGCCGTTATATAACGGATATCTAAAATGCAGCATTCGCCATCATACCATCCGTAAAGTGAACCCCGCGCCCTTCTCTTCCTTGTTCCTCCCCTGAAAGATGCCGCTAAAGTCAACATCGCCAAGGGCCACAGCCTGACCGCGGACAGGGGCATCGGGCTCGTGACGCCGTCTCCTCTCTTGGCCGGCTTTGCTGGGGAACGTGGGGAATAGGCTCTCGGGCTTGGGTTTGGGGTCCTGGCGGAAATACTCGTGTTCGAGCATCTCCTTGGCGGACGGCCGCTTGTCGGGATCCAGCGCGAGCAGGGCATTGAGCAGCGAGGCGCCGGCGGTGGTGAGGTTGGGGAACTTTGCGCGGATGACGGAGCCCGTGGCGAGGGGCGACTGTTTGGGAAGACGAAGGGAGCGGGCGTTGGGCAGGCGGCGGAACGAGGGCCAGGACTCTTCGGTGGGAAAGCCGCACAGCTCGAAAATTTTGGATATCTGGTCGGCCTCGTTGGAGCCCTGGAGGAGGGGCTCGCGGGCGATGAGCTCGCCGAAGATGCAGCCGACGGACCACATGTCGACGGCGGCGCCGTAGGAGCGGGTACCCAGGAGGAGCTCCGGGGAGCGGTACCACAGGGTGACGACGAGCTGGGTGAGCTTGGGGGCCGGCTCGCCGACGTAGCGGGCCATGCCGAAGTCGGCGATTTTGAGGAGCCCGCGGTTGTTGAGGAGGAGGTTGGAGGTCTTGAGGTCGCGGTGGAGGATGTAGTTGTCGTGGAGGTAGGCGACGCCGGAGGCGAGCTGGAGGAGGAGGCGCTTGACTTCGGAGGAAAGGAATGGTTCGGGCATGTCGTCGAGGATGGATTTGAGGTCGTGTTCAACAAATTCGAGGACGAGGAAGATGGAGCTAAAAAGGACTCGGGGTTAGCTTTTATTTTCAACAAAAGGGGCTTTTATTTTTCTTTTTGTTTTTGATAGCAATCATGATATGTAAAGATCCTTACTTGTCTGGCTTGCCAACGTCATTGCCCACGACGACCTCCTCCAGCTTGACGACGTTGCGATGCCGGCAGCGCTTGAGGATCTGGATCTCGCGCAGGCCCGTCACGGGCAGGCCGTTGGGGTCGCCGGGCTCGAGCTTCAGGCGCTTGATGGCGACGACGCGCCCCGTGGCGAGCTCTGTCGCGCGGGCGACGAAGCCGTATGTGCCCTCCTCGATGTCGTTGAGCTTGTCGTAGTGGTCGACGCTGCGGCTGGGGGCGAGGCTGCTGCTGGAGGGGGGGTCGAAGCGGAGGAGTTTTGTAGGGGCTGCGGTGGATGAGGAGGATGAAGCAGGTTCGGGGGTGAGTTTTCGTCGTTTTGAGGGGCGAGAGGGATCGTTGTCATTATCGTCATCGTTGAGATTGTTGTTGGCGCCGTTGGCTTGTTGTGTTGCTGCTGCTGCTGCTGCGGTGGCGGCGGCTTTCCTTCTTCGTTCTTCGTCTTCGAGCTTTTGGGCCTTTTCAGCCTTTTTGCGGCGCTTTTCTTCCTTTTCGCGCTTGAGCTTTGCTTCTAGCTCGGCGTCTTCTTCGGTGTTTGCCCATCTTGATTTGGGCTTGGTGGACATGACTTTTTTTGTGTGGGTGTCGTCGGACTTGCACGCGCCGTCGGTCGTGTTTCTTCGGCCGTTAGGATGGCTGCTTGTGTTGGAGGTGATTTTAGGGAGTGGAGAGAGTGTTGGCACTGGCGAATTGATTGCGCAGCCGTGGTTGTTGGGTTGAATTGGCCGAGGTTGGAGTTGATGTAGTGAAGATGTAATACGAGAGACTGCGCTGAGGTTCGATAAAATACAGTGGGTCGGGCTGCTGCTGTCTGGGGTCTGGTTGCAATGCATGGCCGATGGCATGGCGTGGGGGCAGCCACATGCAATTTGGGAATGGATGAAAGATGGAGCCTCTTATATACTGGGTGAGAAGATGTTACAAGGGCATGGGAATCTAGGCATTGGACATTATTACTCGCCAAAAACATTCGTCCATCAAACATTTTCTGCCAATGGCATCTTTCTACTAGCTCATGTCATCTCACTGTCTGTCTCTCATCTCGGTTTGACTGTTGATATGGAACGCTGGCCATTGCTCAGATGACTTATCAACCCTCTATTTATATACAGATACATACCCTATATGCGATGGAGAGAAAGCCTTTTTGTAGGCAGTCGCCATGATTTTTGTAAAAATCATCTTCATTCGCTCTGCTTGCTCGCCTTCTGCTGCCTCTTAATCTCCCTCCGCTCCTCCACAATGCTCGCCATTTTGGCTCCAACCTCGCTGCCCAGCTCATTGAACCCCTTGATCACGCCGTCAGAGTCGCCATCGCCCAGCTCCTGGCTCATCTTGAACTTGCCACCCATGTGCTCAATCTTGATTTCCAGGCCGATGATGTTCTTCTTCATGATGTTGATGTACGGCTCCGGCGCATCGGCCACCTTCCACGCCGACGGTCTGCCGCCCTCGCCCGTGTAGCCCATCGTGACCTCCTCGTTGAAGCTCGACAGCGCGTCAATCTGCCGGTCCAGGAACGACGACGTCTCCTCGGCGCCGGAGTCGATGTAGAAGGTGGCCTTGCCGTAGACCTGCACGGCGGCGTAGTTCCAGGTGGGCACGACCTTTGCCGTCGCGGGCTTGGTGGTGGTGTAGAACTTGGGCGTGACGTAGTGGTGCACCGGCGACGTGAACATGACCAGCACGTCCTGCTGCAGCGTCCGCGAGTTGTCGCCGGCGGCCTGGCGCTGCTTGATCTCCTCGACGATGGCCTTGGCTTGCGGGTTGGCGCGGGCCATGTGCGCCCTTAGGCGGCCGAGCTCCGTCTCGCTGGATTCATCCTCGACGTCCAGGATGAAGGGGATGTGGCTGGACTGGATGAGGGGGAAGTCTGGCGATGCGATGACGGTGGTGAACTGGCCCAGGGGGTTCTCGCGGACGAGCCGTCGCAGAACCGGGAGGCTCTTTTCCGCGTGATCGTTGCGCAGATACATTTGAAGGATGGAGGTGAAGGCGGTGATGGAGATTGGTTTGATGCTTCTATTCTCTTCTCTTCACTTCTTTCCTTCCTTTGCTCGCTCTATCTCCTGTCGCTTAAAAGCAGTGCCGCTGATTGAAAAACACAGATCGATCTATCACCAAGTGTCTATATCGCGTGACTGTCCAGTGGATTGTTCCATCCTCATTGCTCTATATACTGCCAGCTGCACTAATATATATATCCGGTGCCGAACCGGAGGGCGTCAAGGGCATGGCCATTAACTATTAACAATCAATTGATTTAGCTTGCGAGTTGTTGCGCCTCCCCAGGTGGAGCTCGCTCGTCCATACTTGACTCAGTTAGCCGCCGCTTTTTGCATCTCCGACAAAACCCATAAGAGGAATTGCTGTTGATCTGATTGGGCACTTGTTTGGGGGTGGCGTATACGTTGCGGTGTTCTGGTGCGGTGTCTAACCTGTACCGTATATAAAATCCTTTGATGGCCCCTGACTGAGAGTATTCCTTGAGAGATCCAAGGCCATCTAGTGCAAATGAGCGATGTAGATGGATTGCGATAGTCACATCTGTTAGAATTACTTATCCTCAACAATGTGAACATTTTATCGGTGCAAGGACTGGTCATTACATGTTGTGTATAAGTTAGTTTGACTTTTTGGTCTCAAATCTACGTTCATTATATAATCTGCTATTATACAGTAGAGCCATATAAGCCAATAATCATTGTAATTTCATTTCATCACCATATACAATACAAAGTAGCCGAGATGTGTCTCATAATTGTATTGCCATGTGCCCATGTATATGTATGTATATTTTGCCAGCCTCATCAAATTGGTTTTTGATTTTCCAATGGCCCTGGCTACCTTATCTGTCAGCCCATGACCAGTGATCCGTTATCCAATCCCAAACATAATACATACCTCCATCACATCCAAGACGCATACTTTTGCCTCTTGTAGTACCACTCAGCCGGAGCCAAGGTCATATATCCTCCTTTGCCATTATAATCCTCCCTCTGGGACTGTGCAACTCTAAGCTGTGAAGCCTCGGCCACTCTCTTCTCCCATCTCGGGTCAGTCGTGCGGGTATACCATTTCAGCAAGTCAGGGAGAAGATATACATCCTGGGCACAATATTCCTGGATGTCTTTGCTAAGAGGACGTTCATTAAACACCTCGTAACATCCTCCGTGCTCTGGGCTGAAGAGTGTTTTGCCCTTCTCCTTGGTCTGCAGAAACTCGAGCTTCTCGCTGTCTGAAAGAGAGGAGTCGCATTCAATGCACTTTGCTAGTCCCTTGACAAACTTTCCGGCGAAAGGCCGAGCAGCCAGCTCCCAGAGCTGGAGGTCGATTACACCGGCTAGTTTGATTTGGAAGTGGCTGTAAAGAGCATCTGAGTCGTTGCGGACATCGAAAAAAACCTTGGGATTGGTCTTTGACTCCAAGATATCTCTCAGCGTAAGGCGGCCTGTTGTCCCCGGTGTTGAAAAGCATTTCTCTTCAAGGACGAGGACATCGATGAGGTAAACCATTTTTGTGGGATGGATATAAAGCTGCAATATGGAGATGGTGCCGTGTCTGGAGAGGTTGACTCCTTCAAGGTCGATGTATATTGATGGCGGTTCTCTTGGTAGGCCCTTGAGGGAGTCTATAAGCGCCGATAAAGCAGGAACAGTGTCAACAAGAGTGCAGCCCGAAGGTTTCTCCATCTCGACGTCTCTTGGAAATATTGGCGGTAAACTTTGGCTTGGGAGCGGTAGCTATGTTGTTGCTGTCTGGTGCAGGACAGTGCTTCAAATTATAGCCTAGATAGGATAGTAGATGATATTTAATGAAATGCGGCTCGAGACGGTATATCAGAGACGTAAAGAGAAGTTTGGATTCTTTCTGCTTCTTGGCTCTAAGGAAATTGCTATCTATTATATAGGTAGGCATTTTAAAGGCCAAGTCATCATATGACTCGAATAAACTCTGCGCAAAGAGATTTAGAAATCTTGCAGAAAGTCATAGAGGGCGGTGGCGGGTTTACTATATCAGGAAGCTTTTACTAGTTGCTACGGTATTTATTTCTCAAGGCCGCCAACCCTTTTACTTATACGCCCCGGACTACTAAGTTTGGAACGTCTACGTATCTTATGAGGCTTCGGTGGAGGTTAAGGTTACTGGGTCCTATCCATTATTCGGTCCTATGTTCAAGCAATTCTTTTTAAATTAAGGTGGTGCTCTACCTTGATCGGCTCCCTTTTGCCATCTGTATGAATCTCGGTTGAGCCAAACTTCTCCTTGAAAGCTTTTATATTGCCTTCTCTTCTTTTCGTCGACTCTTGGCCCTGTTGAGATTAGCATACAAGTCTCAACTTCTCACATATGAACGATATAGGCGACGAACAGTTTTTGTTGCCTTTAACGTTCTCAAGTCAGACCACAAAAACAGAGGTTTCCATATACTAGTTAGACAAGAGGTGATTTAATATGAATATAAAGCATATATTTATAACATTGTACTATATATTGTGTTAACTGGAATTTTTTTTCCTCCAAGCCATTTATCGTTACTAATGATACGAGTATTTAAATATAGTTATAATCACTATATGTATTTATAATTATAATTCCTGCAAGCCCGAAGTCGCCTCTGTTCGGAAGAAATCATCTGATTGCGACCCCAACTCAACTTGTTTCAGGAGCTGTATGGCATATTTAAAGTTGCTATTGAGTAGAAAGCTGTCGCTGGGATCGGAGGATTGCATGAAGCAGTCAAATTTTCCTTTGTGATAAAGTCGTTGAGAGCGATATGGCTTTATTGCCGGGCAAAAAAGGGTTCATTTATGATGTTGATACGTCTTAAAACTCTTGGATAATAGATGATATAAGATAGAAATGGAACTCGGGATTAATGCACAGGAAGAGAAATACTAGATAACGCGGGGATCGACCATCTTTACTATAGCGACTTTTTATAGCTGTACAAAAGAATATGACGTAGGCGTGTTTTGGCTGTCAACTCTATTTTTTTTTTTTGCAGAATGTGAGTCATTGATGAGTGTTGAGAAATGCTGAGATTCTGGTGGCATTTTCCTCGGTGGCCATGACGATGTCAAACTGTGTAGAGAGTAAAGAAAATGGTTCGCTCTTCATAAATCGAATTTTTTAGCTTGCCGCAATAATCTGTCATCAGCTCGCCGAGGATTCCAACCGCTGATAGAGTTCTCGTGTAAATCTTCTAATCTCCACGTTGTGGCATAGCTACATGTAGTCATCACCGCATGCAGGAGTAGCAGTATACATAGGTAAATACAATGACTCCTTCACGCTTATCTACTGCTGGCTCATTAGTAACCCACTACAGGACATCGGCCGATTGAAAGGATGAAACGCGGCCATTTTAGTCGTAAAAGCGCGAGCCGTCGAAGCGCGATTAAGCGTTATTATTACGTGTATTAGCCGACACTGCGCAAAAAGGCAAAATTTAGAGTTGTTTGTACCACTCCACTCACTTTAACTATAATCTTGCTTCACACGACGTTTTCTCTTCCTCATTTTCTTTTCCTTTTTTTGCTGTCGCCTAAAGATGAATCGCCCAGGGGCAACCTAGGCTACTCTACGGAGGAACTCTGCTAGGAATTACTGTGCATGAAGCTAGTAAGCGAGCCTGTCTGTCGTTGCAGCAGCAAGGCTGGTTGATTGGTGGGTCTGCGTCTCTCGGCTGATTGACGAGTTCTCGTGATGAGCCGATGCATCACTACTATCTTCCAGGCATGGGATAGCAGGTAAATATGGATGAGATATACTGTAAATATAGATGCGGGATTAAACCGGGCTACCAATGCCGTTTCTGCGGCAGAGTGTGGCTCAAATCAGAACCGTGATGCAGCCCTATGGCCTGGCTCTGCTATTTAGGATACGCACTTGTATTTTCTCTGCTTCGATGCATCCCCACCCGTAGTTGAAGGTCACTCACGATAGTTTTGTTTCGTAACACAGACTCGGTTGAGAGAAATAGGAGTTGTTGGAATCAAATGAAGAGAAATAACCTCAAGACGTTGCTGCATATTCAGTCTTATCATCCGACATCTTTTGTATATGATAGCAAGGATTTTGTAGTCTTGGTTTAGTTGCAGCTGACACTCTCCCTCCAGGACTCTCTCATTCTCCTTCTGTTTCGAGACTATTCACTTCATGTATGGATGGATTTGATGGCGATGCGGGGTCGGTAATTTAATCTAGACGCCCTCCCATATACAACAGACAGTTGCCATACAAAAAAACAAAGCCGCCGTTTCAGCCTCGAATCCTCTCGAGCCGCACTGGACTGTGGCTTTATTCCAAAAACTGTCGTAGCGCCCGGACTTGGAGTTCAGCTGTCAAGGGTGCTTCTTCAAGCCATCAATCGCAGCGCGCCAGCTTTTCAGCCCCAGCGCTTTTATGGGCTTTGTGGTTGCGTTGCCAAGGCGCCAACGGCTGTTATCATGGCGCCGAGCAGGGGCTCCCCATAATGGGCTGAATAGACGATGCCCAGAAGGCAGACTTGTGAAGCGAGGAGTGGGAGTTGTATAGGAGAAGAGAAATATTTTGTTGTTGTGACTGTTTGATGGAAATCCCCTCTTTGCATCTGATCTATGCTGTGACATCTGACTTGGAGACTTTCATTGGCATTCTTCCTCTGCGCCTCTGCTGTAAGCTGTTTCTTGGACAGATAGACATTGGGCAGCTAACAATAACACGCCCATCTATCTTTCTTATCGAATAGACTAATAACGAGAAGTTAGTTAAGTAGGCGGCCAGCACCACCGCCATGCGGCGCTCAATTCGGCTGTCAGTCGCGCCCGCGATTTGGTTGGCAGCGCTTGTCGAGGCTGATATTTCCTATGTGACGGATCTCGAGATATTTTCCCTTCTGGTGTGTATTTCTTTTATTGTTATGATGGGAAACAGAGACTCTAATGATGGAGATGATGACCACTAACTCGAATCTCTTCCACGCAGGCTCCATGTGTCTCCGATGCCATATCCTACAACATCGCGACATTGACCTTTGGAACATTATGCGGCGATTCAGAAACCGCGCTACAGTCGTGTGTATGCTCGAATACAGAGAGATATACCAGCATAACATCGTCTATATCCCGAGATGTTAAATACAGCTGCGGCAGTACTGCTACCGAAGACCAGCAGAGCGCATCGAGTGTTATTCAGAAATATTGCACACAGAGTTTGCCAATTACATTTTCAACTCCGACGAAGAATGTTGTCGAGGCCTATATTACCGACTTGAGCCAGATCAGTTATATGCCACAATGCGCAGTGTCAGCCGTATCAGAAGCTGTGATGGGAGATGTAAGTAGATGTAGACGACACTGTGTTTCGTCTATATCCCCATTGCTCGGGCTCTGCTGACATCAATTGGTATAATTGTCATAGAATGCTTCTAGATGCCCCGAAGCCGCCAATCTCTTTGCCCCCTGTGCTTGCGGTAAAGACGGAATACCTGCCGCAATCACCGACAACATTAGCAAATACGTCCGGTAGGCTTGAGATGCGCTTTAGAGGAATAGCCGGTGCTAACTGAGAGGTTTTCAAGCACGTCATGCTCCAATGGGGGCGACATTAGCGATGCTGTGGGCTTTTACAGCGAATACTGCGCCATGAACAATGGAACGACTACGTTTACTCAGCCCGCAGGCCCCCCAGGAGACAGTAAGCCGGACAAGATCATTCTGATTACATGGTTATTACCAGTGTGATACCTACTAACCAGCTGAATAGTGACGTATCATATCACCGCCTTGCCGCAGTTCAAGTCGTTGCGATCGTGCGCCCAGAGCGGTGTTGCATCTGCTATCCTCGATGTAAACTTTTGACGCTACGAATATCTGATGGAGGCTACCCAATACTGACACTCATTCATAGCAAACAAACCGTTACTGCGCAACTGGGCCCCAAGCTCTCGCCTCGTGCGTATGCCTCAAATCTGGCATGAGCGGCAGAATCTCAAGTACACTCACATCAAACGTTAAATGGAACTGCGACAACACCGCCACCGCAGATGTCGCCTCGGCCCTCGATGTCTTTGAGCTCTACTGCAGTGCAGCCGAAAAAGAAGTCGTTATATCCGTTTCCGATACCGCTACAGAGACATATCTTCATCCTACGAATCATGACAGTGCGCGTCCTTCTGGCCCTTTAGAGACAGGCAGCAGTAGCAGTGGCGGTGGAAGTGGAAGTGATGATAGCGGCGGAAGTAATCCAACCCAAGGTGGAAAAGACGGATCATCTTCCGGCGGAAACGGAGGAAATAAGTCGAGCTCAGTCAACAAGACGGCCGTTATTGCGGCATGTGTTCTTGCAGCCATCGTTCTCATCGCTGCCGTTGGCCTCGTCGCCTTTTTCGTGCGTCGCAAACGCAACAGGCAGATGAGAGGAGAGGCGTTGCCGCCAACAACAGAGGGCCCTAATTATCAGGGACCCCCCGAGCTGGAAAACACTGCGAAGGCGCCACCCAGTGTCGCTGTTGTTCCGGAGCTTCACAGCACAGAGAGACAAGAACTTCAAGGAAATGTTACGCCGTACAGTTCACCACCCGGCTACAACTCACCACGTCCAGAGCTCCAGGGCAGTTCCGAATACAAGCCATCTGTTTCACCGCAACCTGGAGTGGGATATCAGCCGCCCCATTCCCCTCGACCTACTGTTTCTCCTGCGACGCCGAATACGTACGGGACAGGATGGCAGTCTGGGCCAGTTGTAGAAACTTATGAGCTGGATTCGGCGCCATGGAAAGCTTCTTCATGATTCAATATTTTGCTGAAATATTTCTTTCACGGTCATTGATACAAGTCATGCATAATTCCATGTCTTGATTTCGACTATTTTCATATTCATAGACCATCCAAGTCTTTTTCTTTTCGCATTATCGAAATGATGCTAACCACAGTTGTGAGAGCGTCACAAGATTTCCCGTGCTAGAAAAATAGAGCAGCAGTTTCAATTTGTATTATCAAGCGTTTGGAGTGTGGCTACGTCCTCGTTGTACATTGTATGGTGTTTAAGGATTCGCAGCGAAAGGCTTATACAAAAAGGTCTATTAACAAGATTTATATTATATATAATTAGTATTTCTAACTTAATACACGCCATTTATGCATAACTCATAAAATGTCGGAAGTTACGCCACGCAACAGCTCCACTTCTGCGGCGAGTGACTCGTTATAGGCTATGAATCCGCATATCCACGGAAGTTGTTTCATGTACGCCGTTACGTCTCTCCAGGCCAATCTTCTTTCGTTCATTATGCGAGCAACTAATTGTAAAGCAACTGCTTTATCGGCCGGGTCTAATGTCATAGTCGCAATGAGAAATAGTAGCCAGAGCTGGTACGGGGTAAAATAAGGCAAATGTGAAGCAAGATTCATCATGCTTTGGCTTTGCATTCGCTCCAGTAGTCTGGTGATATATGAGGCTGGTGAACCTGGGTAAGATTGAGCTTTCTGTTTGACTCCAAGGATCCAGAGAAGTATTCCCAAGCGAAGAGCCTGCAACATACAGCATGGTGTATCTGTATGCGAGTGAGGATCAGAGTCAAGAAGCCGGTATGCGATTGGATTGAGTCGAGTGCCGAGATCGACTTCTTCTCTCCATAGATCATCGCCTAATGTGTCTAATTTTGATCGAATTAATTTGCATACGCTCCATATGTCTTGAAGAGCAGAGGCTATGACTACGTGATGAGTATTTGTCTTAGAGCATAAGATGCTGAGGTTTGGTTCCAATGTTGTAAGTAACTCAGACAATTCTTCGTTTGGCAGGGGAGGTATTAAGAACGTTGGCATAGGGAACCGGGGTTTTGTGTCGAATATTAGAGAAGATATCGTATCAACCCTTTAAAAAGATAGAAGAAGAATATAGTGAGTATGATGAAAGTATGGATGGAGATAGCTGCCACTAACCAGAAAAGCATGAGGAGAGTCTGTTTCTCATTTGCTAAGCTCTCAATCCCGCCTCTTGTCGCAATCATAAGTTTCAGTCCACTCAAATGGACGCGAGCTTGTTCAAATTCTAAAATAATAAACTATTTGTTGCCATCAAATTAAATGTTAGATGAAGCACAGATGTTAACTGTTTAAAAAAAAAATGAAAAAGAAATAAAAATTGAAAAGAACAAGAGAGAAATCTGAGTGCATACATTATAGCAGATGCAGCCCATGACTGCATGAATAACGTTGACAGCCGTCGCTGCGGTGACGTCGGATTGCAGCAACCGACTATTTATACAAGATGTGACCTCTATTGAACGAGCCAAAGCAAAAGCAATGCTCTTTTCTCTCGTCTGTGAGTGGATTGCTGCGCGGACCTCGGGTCCAGTGAGGAAATTACGGCAAAATTCAGAAGCTTGGAAAGCCCAAGGGAACCAGAATCGTGAGATGGATGGGTCTAGAAATTCAGGTCAAGTTATTCGGTTTAAGTCAGCGAACTTTGAAGTCTTAATTTGACTTATATGGCTGACGTCGTGAGTCTTTTTTGAAAGATTGTCTGTTTTGGTTGCTTACCGCTATGAGACTGTTCCCAGTTGACTGCAAGTGCTAGCCCGTACGCTGCAAATGCATCCATACCCCAGTTATGTTCCATCATGGCTAAAGGGTGCTGATCCCAGAAAGGACGAGGAAGAGAAGGAAGATGCGGCCCGCCGAGGCGTTGCAACGGTAGCCCTGCAGCTAGCTGAGAGCAGCTACCACATCCATTGTTTAATCCTGCAACCACGCAAGAGCAAGATGATGAAGACAGATCGGTAATCTTCTTCGAAGGCCGAACTTCCAAGTTGACTTGCGGATTACGGCGCGGCTTCCGTCGAGCTCTACCAATGTCTCGCATTACATGCTGGCGAATCTGGCGCGTGGTGGCTTGATCCCGGGGACGGCTATAAGCAGGCCCAGCGGAGTTGATGAAGAGAAGGTTGGAGCCAGAGCCAGAGCTGGGGCTAGCATTGGTCTTAGGTGCCTTCAGGGGATCCATTGCCCTGATGCAGCCGGATTGCAATGGTATATGAAGCCAGATGAATGAGCTGAGACAAGTAACTGCGGTGTTAAGAAGGTGTGGACGCGTCCTTAGAGGGTAGGAGATTTACTTCTCATATGTGAGTTGACAAGACCTTATTCCTAAAGTGGCTACTTGGGTGAAATAACCAAATCAGGGCTTCAGAAACCGGGGTGACCGGAGTTGAAGCCAATGACATGACACCATAGCACTTGGTTTCTCAGCATAATCGATTATTCAGCCAGGCTACCGCGAATTTTGGCTTTTGCTCCTCTTGTCTTGTCGGTTCCCAGCACCGTTCGAACAGTCTCCACCAGCCCCAGAAGGCGTATGACTATCCCCGAAGTGGAAGCAGGTCTCCCTGTTCGTGCCGCTGTAGCGCCGATCCATGGTCGCCGAAGCTTTGGATAACACGTGTGAAGAGAATAGGTGAGATGAGATGCTATGCGTTAACTTACCAAGTGTGTGTTAGGCCCGGTGCTATTTTGTATGGAGAATCGAATACTGGTAATAGAATACCTTGCGTGAACGGATTGATTCCTGAGCTGAGCTTGCAGGAGCTCAGTTTAGTGGAGTTGAGGAAGCTAGGCGATTAGAAATGGCTTACAACTGGTTCTAGTTGTTCGAGTTTGGATTTGTAAAGCGGTAGCTAATTTATAGGGTTTGGAATACATCATAACCTCCACGTTCTTATTGCCTCAACACTAATATATATTATCGCAAGTATGAGATATTATTAAGGACAAGTTGAAGTTGAAATTTGTCAAAACTAATGCACAATTAAGAATAAATCAAGTGTAATCTTTTCCATTTCAGAATGAAGATGTTACTGTAATTTAGTGTTAGGAAGAGATAAACATACTCGATTTGAGACCAATTATAATGTTTTACACTGAGAATGTAAAACATCGTATACGTTGTCGGGAGGAGTATAGCAAATGTAACCCCAATGACGTTATGTCGGATATATTGTAACTGTAGTTGGGTAGCTTTGCTGGGCTTATCAATAGCCTAACCGATAAAATGGTTGCCACTTATGTGGCGGACGCTTGGCTTGAAATTAGAGGTAACCCACAACATAGACAGGGGATAGCTTAGAAATGCTCAAAAAACTAATTGATTGAAAGAGGGGATAATAATTGACAATTACCGCTATAAATAGCGCTGTAGACTGTTCTACAGATTGTATATTTACTCGACTGTCCCCTCTCTCAGCTATACAACGCCTAGATTCAAGCAAATAATAACACAACACTCCAGAACACAGCTAATCAGCAAAATAAATTCTCACAATGTCTTCTGACTTCAAAGGAAAACTTGCCATTGTTACTGGTGCTTCCAAGTTGAATGGCATTGGTTATGCTACCGCCTATCTCCTTGCTAAAGGCGGGGCGGATGTATGAATACCCTTTCCAAATTATAATTATTTTCTTTTTCTTTTACAAAAGGAAACTAACTTTTATATCTTAGATTGTAGTCACTTACAACTCCAACAAGGCTGCTGTCCAAGAAGTTGTGGCCAAGCTCAAAGAGCTAGGTGTTCAGGTTATCGCTGTTCAGAGCAACGCAGGCTCTCTAACATTTGGAGACGACATTATCAATGCCACTGTTGCAGCATTCCCCGGTCGCAAGATTGACATCATTGTCAACAATGCTGGCCATGCTACTTTCCCAGGAACTGCTTTCGACTCGCCCATCGAAGAATTCGATGCCCTTTTCCACCCCAACGTTCGAGGCCCTCACTTGCTCATTCGAGCTGCCTTGCCTCATCTCACAACGCCTGGTGGCCGCATCGTCAATGTCGGCACTGCGGTAGCCCGTACTGGAGCTAACGTCGCCACGTTCTACACGGCTAGCAAGGGAGCTCTCAACACGCTTACTCTGGCGTGGGCAGAAGAGCTTGGCGAGAAGGGCATCACGGTCAATGTTGTTGCCCCCGGTCCTACTGCCACCGACTACGCTCCGCCAGAGGACTTTGACTTGACGCGAAAATTCCGTGCTCAGCAATACATTAAGCGGAATGGAACACCAGAGGAAGTTGCTAGTGCTATTGTGTTTTCAGTTAGCCCGGGAGCGAGCTTCATGTCTGGCCAAATTATCGGCATTGACGGTGGCTTGACTTACGTTTAGAATTTAGACGTTTAAAATTTAGAAAGCATCGAATTGAGGTGTCTGTTTTGCAAGTCAGCCATCCTGTTGTGTGAAATAGAATAGTTTACCTAAGGAAGGATATTACCAACAAAGGATATTTACTATACCCGCTCTTAAAGGGCTGAAGCTGTTAATAGTGCGCGTGATTCTCTGACATGTGGCGTGTTGACGGCATGCAGGGTGGGATATTGAGCTGAGAAGCTTAATGGGATTAGGGTATAAGCTTTCTCCTACTATTTTAAGCTTGTCGTGGAATTCGGGTGAGACCGAAAGTATTATGACATACTATCGGTGGCTAGAGCGTGGCAACGACGGCTGAAACACCAGCTACAGAGAAGACTATCTTACTGCGTGGCTATGCGCACTCATGTGGTCACTTGGAAGCAAGGGCCTGGAGAACGCGGACCATCAATATTAGCACGAAGCGCTATGTTCAATATTGGCCGCCACGCGCCTGGAGCAGGATGTAGCGACTCTATAGAAGGTAATCTGTCTTATGTTCTTATTGGACGAAATGGTGCAGACTACACTACGACTATTGCTCGCTTAGTATGTGCTGCTGCAATGCCGAATCCCAAGCTAACTACACAACCATGCAAAAACTCCTGGCACCAAACTGTATGTAGTGGCATAACATCTCAGCCGCAGCTCAAGGGACAGATGTTGCGCATTGACAGTACCTGTGCGTGCAACTCTTCTATGTCCTAGAGATATTCTAATTATGTGTATATAAATATATATATAAATATATGGCAATTCCCTTCCTTCTCGGACCCTACTTCGTTCTTCTTAGCCAGTCTAATAGCTTGTCTTTCTTCCTTTTCTGACAAAACCGTTATACATCAGGATCAACCCATCACGATGATCAGAGACGGAACCTACACCATCGCCAGCGCCCTCCCCTCCAACCCGGTTCTTGATATTGATGGCGCTACCACCCCTTTTGACAGCCCCATCGCCGGCATTGTTGGTTTGTCAGTGCCCTTGAAACCCTCATTGTTCTGGACACGTATTTACATATCTCAAGCAAAAATCAAACGGCCAACAACCAAAACCAACAGTGGAAAGTGACCGCTCTTAGCCCGGGTGTTTATAGTCTACAATCTGTCATTGGCCCCTTTTGGATCGCTGCTCCCGGTATGGGCTCATCACTTTATTGCTCTGTCTTTGCCTATGAGAGGGTCGCTCAGCTGATAAATATACTCTGGACAGACGATGGTAGCGTTGCGCAGGTTGACACGTCTAGATACGACCCCGTGGTTAACCTGATTACCCGTTGGAGAATTTCCGAAGCAGGTGGTGGTAACTACACGTATGTTTTATTGTCATTATTAGTTCTCACTTTGTTCCCTTTTAGCTTTCTTCTTTTTTTACAGATTAGCATGAAGCAAAACATTGCTAACACATTGCTCAGGATTGAAAGCGAGAAATTCCCTGGCCGTGTTATAGACCTCGAGTATGCTAACAACGCTGACAATACGCGTGCTATTTTGTATCAGAATGGCCTACAGCCCAACCAACTTTGGCAATTTATTCCCGTAGCGATATAGTTCACAAGTACCGTTATATCTAACATGACAAATATACTGTGGTAGACAAGCTGATATACTAGGCGACGCTCCTTCATACTGTGAGAATAGTCTAGGTAGTGTACGGATCAGGAAAATTGCTACCCATAAGTTCATTTTCCCAAACTTGTTCAATGCATGTCCGATGATGAATTCGGAATTGATTGTAGTCGGAAACAAATTCACTTACCCTGCGGTGAGTGCTATTATAGCAATGGCCTAGGAAGTCAATACAGCAACTTCTACTATATCGATAGCTTTAGCAACGTATGATGGAGGAAATGCTTTCATCTTAAAAATAGTAATGATATCGGCCTGTTAGTACCCCTAATTGCCCTAAACTCACGAATCGATTGCAAGTACATATGCTTGCTAGACCTTAATGATAATGTCATTTAGCATACATGTCAAAAGTAACGGATGTAGATGATGATGTATTTGTGAGACATATAAAGCAGCTTGGCTATAATTGATCAGACCAAGATCAATCACTCCCATCTAGATCATAACTGTCTGGGTCAAACTCTAGTCCCGCACTATCTGAGTTTTCTTCGCCAGAACCTGTCGCGATAGCATTATCTTCGGCATCCCCTTTATCTACCACGGAATTTTCGCCATTTCTCAATTTTTCTTCTGGTGGTTGTGTACTGTCATTATCAGAATCATCATCCATGTCTCTATCAGAATATTCATATAGCGGCCCAATTTCTGTGAATGTATGTTCTCTATTGTGAATTTCGTGCCTGTAGCCGTAACACTTGAAGCAGAGCGAGACGTCGATGGTACACTCAATGCACTTCCACTGTGTTCCTCTGATTCGCTACATCATCGTTAATATCGCGAATATAACACTTCGAGTGTAGCGCCTGACTTGTACTTACCACGAAGCAGCTCCAGCATCGCGCATCCTTTAGATCTCCAACCTTGCTTCTGTGAAAGTCGTCATCCCATTTCTCTATACCGTTATCAACCTTGGTCCTCGTGTGCTCTCTAGGCACGAGTTTCTCAAGTGATTCATTTCTACCAGCGAAATTCGCCAGCTTCAATGCTGACCACCTGGACTCAGAATTATGAATACTTCCCTGAACCCATATATCTGCCCTCGCTCGAAGTAGTCGGGAGATGCTGCTGCTGTTTGATCGCGCTGCCCATAATAGCGGTGTCCAGTGGTCGACATCCATCACATTCACATCTGTGTTCTCAAATTTGTCTAAAAGGTGATCTAAACAATCGCTCCATTCCACAGATGCCGCAAAGTGAAGTGGCATGCGCCCAAATTTGTCTGACGCGTTGGTGTTTGCGCCTGCTGCAACGAGAGCCCGTATGCCGTCGTTATATAGCGCCTTCGATGCGAGATGTACAGCACGGCGGCCTTGATCATCAGCTACATTGAGGTCTGCTTTACGCCGGATCAAGTACTTCAGGATTCTAGTGCCAGTACTATCACTCGAGCCCAGCATATGCGCTGCCCGAATAATGGGGTATCCAAACCGACCGCCTAGGCTATTAATAGGTGCCTTGACTTGGTCAACTAGATATCGGACCATTTTGATGCGTGCTGCACTGTCTTCGATCCCAAGAGCTGTGTAAAGCAGCGACTCACCATATAAGGGATCTACAGTCTCTAGATCTGCCCCTGCTTCTATAACGAGCTTAACGAGATCCAAGGAACCGTTGGCACAGGCTAGGTGTAGGATACTGCCGAACCGGGGGTCGAAGATATTCACACTGGCTCCATATTCGATGAGATACTTGGCCACAGCCTCATTACCCTTGTTAATGGCAATGGCCAAGGGCGTATACCCATCTTGGTCTTCTCGATCTATAGGCGCCTTTGATTCGACCAAGGTTTTCACCATCGACACGGATGTCCTCTTCCCTATTTTATGCAACAGCATAGATCCATTCTCATCGACCTTCTCAATTTCAAGCTTATAATAGGGTCCAGAAAATAATAATTTGAAGCATTTCTGCGCTTCTTCCGAGCCTCCTCCTATGCGGAAGAGAATATCAGCGGCATCGTCGCCTTCTTTGTTACGGAAATTGAAGTCAGCGCCAGCTTTCAAAAGGAGCTCAACACATTCAAAAGAGAAACTCTTGCAAGCTGATAGGAAAGCTGTGTAACCGACTATATCTTTGATGGATACGTCGTCGTCATACACGAGTTCTAGATCGGGCTTGGGATCATGTTCAAGCAAGGCCGCAACCGTTTTCGGTTTGTTGGCCCTTGCTGCCAAATGGAGAATAAACCCAAATGTACACTGCTTATTGATATCGAAGTTACCTTTTTGGAGTAGCTGCGGCACCAGCTCTGGAACGTCGTAAGCCGCGTGGAGCATATTCCACCTATCACTCGTGGTCTATTTGATATCGCCATTCTGCTCTAACAATAACCTTGCAACCTCTACCTTGTGTTTGTAAATAGCAGTACACAAGGCCGAGTCTGAATTATCGCCGGTGTAGTTGATATCGGCTCCTTTTTCGAGGAGTAGCTTGACCATATCCAAGTCCCCTCTACCAGCAGCCCGTGATAATGGGGTTCGACTAAAATCATGCAGGTCGACGAAATCGACCACAGCACCATGATCAATTAGCAGGGATACCAACTCAGTGTTGCCAGTGCAGACAGCTTTTGTCATAAGCATATCATTATCCGGAGGAGAAATTTCCAGGCTTGCCTTTGGGGTGTTCTCCAGAAGCAAGCGGACGACATCTATATGGTTGCTAGAAACGGCATTGTAGAGAGCAGTGCCTGAAGTAGATTCAACGTTTGGATTGGCTCCACCATTTAGGAGTACGCGAACGCACTCTACCAGGCCCTTGTCAGCGGCAAAGACCAATGGCGGTAGTAGGTTTTCATACTGCCGACCACTTTCGAAATCTGCCTCAGCCGCGATGAGGAGCTCCATTGCCTTATATTTGAAGGATCGGACCCCCATGTCTAGAGCCCTGAATCCTGAGCTGTCTTCCGCTATGACGAGTGTATTTGCGTCTCTTTGCAACAAGACCATCATTATTAGCGGATTACCTATCTGTGCAGCATACGAATGTGGAGCGTCTCCATCTTGGTCACCAATAGTTAAATCAAGCCTTGGTTCAGAAGTTAATAATGAGTGTACGATAGAAATCTGATCCCACCATATCGCAACTGATAATGGCGGCGCTCCCCAGAAGTAAGTGCTGGTTTTATTAATGTCGCAACCGGACTGCAGCATCGCTACCAAAACATCATCCAAACCAGCAGCGACGACTCGATATATCAAGTTCTCAGGCCATTGGAATGTTGTTAAGTCCTGTATTTGCTGGATAAGAACGTCTGCAATACCACCTTTCCCGTACGCAACGGCCCAGAAAAGGGCTTTTTGAAGCTCGTCGCTTTGTAAAATCACCTGCTCCAGTAAGAGTCGGGCGATATTTCTATTGCCGGACCTCGCAGCCTCAACGATAACTACATGTAATGAGCTGTCTCTCGTAAGGGATGGTTGGCTGTTTCTGGACGCCAGCTGCTTGGCAACCAAATCTTCTAAGTCCAGCATGACGTAAATCGGTAGCGGAGAGATATATTTCTCCTGTAAACGAGTAAATGGATTAGACAAGGTGTAGAAAGCATCCTCCCAGGCTGCTTGAGCCTTCTTGTTAGAGAAAAGCTCATCGACAAGGTTTCTGGGCTTGAGCTTCCCGCTTGCTTTATAGTGCCGAGGCCAGAATCTGACTGCGTACTCAGCTAGGCTGATTCGCTGATGTGCAATCACTATTGCGTCAAGCATTGTTGTCCATGGACCGCCAACGAGATGTTCTGGAGACAGAGCTGATAGCTTCTCTTGTGCGCTGTCAAACATGAAGTAGCGCAAACAAGCTGTCGCAATTTCACCGTTTACCTTCCTTGCCTGTTCTTCTCCATCACCCTCAATGCCAATGGCAGCTAGATCGTAGAATGAAGAGTGACTGAACATAATATCGCGATTTTTAATGATAATTATCCCACAGAATGCCTCTTCAATCTCGCTCATGAAGCCAGCAGGATCAAGATCATCAAAAGACGGCTCTTCTCCTTCTTCTAAACACTCATGAACAGCAAGCGCCTCGATTAGTGCCTCGGGTGTCCACGGTTCTGAGGCATGCTTGATCCAATTAAAAATATCCTTAGCTCTCAGCTGGTGCTTAAGCTCTGAAGAGGAAATGACAATTTGGACTATGTTCTCCTCGTTGACGGGTGACATCTTGTTGATTGTGTCTGTTATCTTGGCTTTTGGTACGCCCCGGTTGTATTTACGAAGCCATTTCAAAATAATATAGCCTAGATGCGGTATATTATTGCATTCTTTCAAAAGACTCAAGCTGTATTTGAACGCTCTCATAAAGTGGACGTTGTATTAGAAGGCTTCGTAATGCAGACTGAAGTTCTCTAGCTGCTGTATCCCTGGTTTTAGATTGGCTTAGCTCCGGGCAATCCTGCAAATTGATGCATTTGTTTTCTGGAAAAGACACGCCGTCTAAATTGTCTCTCTTGAGCGTGGAAAAGATCATTCGATAGTCTTCTTCGCTATAGCTCTGCGCATCCAAGGTGCGCTCAAGAAAACACTGTCGCTGATCATCTGGGCATTGATCAAAGCAGCCTATAAAATAAGTAAGCTTTGGGGCAGAATAGCTTCTAAATATATAGTAAATATGATAGAGGTCCTCTGGCGACCAAGCTTTTGCGTCGTTTAAGAAAGTCAGTTCATCGGCTATGACCTCATTTCTAGGCCAATAACGCCACACTAAGATGTTGATGAAGTATAATAACATCGAAGAAATATTATTATATCGGGAATCTCGCTTATTAAACTCAAAGTAAATAGCAGTATTCTCAGGTTTCGTACTTCCGCTGACTTGGGCCATGTCATAGTTAATGTAGAAATGCCGGGAGATGTCGCGAATGTCCAGTGCAGAATTTCCATCACTGTGCAAGTGCATTATTCTAAGACCAGTTTGTGGCATGCTGAATTCTATGAATGCTTTGTGCTTGAAAATCCAGCTCACAGCAAGATGCTTCGATGATATTTGATCATGGACTATATTTAGTGGCTGGAATGCGGGCGCTAGCGAATGAAGACGTGCTTGAAACCCAATGAGTTTGTAATTAACATTAATAGCTAAACCATTCGCCGTTAGGGAAGCCTTTTTAGATGAATTGGATTGTAGAATTGAGACTTACGGCAACCCGTTGTATTAAAAGTGTCTGAAATTTGCGTAAGCCACATATTGTTTGGATCACCTTTGACTACATCCAAATGATCCAGCTTATCAATATATCGTATTCCTGCGGCTTAAAATGAATGCCCTAGTGTCAATGCGAATTGGGAAAGAGAAGTCAATGCTTTAGATGGGTTTCCACCATCCCGAGTGAGTACATTGAATATCAGAGCCCGGTCCAGGAGCTTGGTAGCGGGAAACGCCTCGTTTACTCTATTCACTTGATTGGCGAGGTTCTTGATCTTTGTCACGGCCTGGTTTCGGATCTCAGGACCTGGAAGAAGAATAAGCTTGTGTAGTTGGTCTTCAAGGTCCTCCACGGAATGAGAATGATGAGGTGTGCCCAGAAAGATCTGCCAATATCATTATTAGCACTCTTAAATGCTCAAAAGTATACGCACATCTCATGACTAGCACTCACAATTGCTGTAGTCAAGATAGCCATCTTGCCATACATGTCAGGGTGGCCCATAGCTAACGAAAGAGCCTAGTATAATTAGTAGATGTCGCAGACTGTATAATCTGGAACCATTACCTCTTTTACGATCGTGCCTCCGAGATCATGGCAGATCCATATTATTGGGCGGTCACTTTCAGTCTACTGCTGTTAATAACATGTGCTGTGCTTGATCATGCTAGTACATACACCCTCAAGTTTCCCGCGAATATCAGCGTATTCGGCGACGAGCCGCTGCGCATGTAGTCGGATGCCATCAGGACCGTAAAGCTCCGAGCTCTCATTAACTTCGTACGCATAGTCGATCTGCCTAGTTGATAGACCTTTGAAGAGCTGCTCTTTCACCCACCATATACCTTTCTTAGTAATCCAGGCAGTCTTATAATCATCACGAATACCATGTACTGTGACAACACTAGTATCTTTTATAAGTTTATCAAGTAGAGTATGTAAGTGACACCTATGCTTACTCATAATCATCATAATTCGAACCAGACCAGCCAAGCTTGTGGATGTCTAGCCCAACGTTCCTTTCTTGGGTATCAGGAGAATGGCCTGAGTCTATGGGAAGCAGTTCATCCGTTGCTATAGACTTTACACTTGCCGCATCACTGTTGTCGCCTTGGACTACATCATTTGGCGCATCTGGAGCTACCACAGGCTTTTGGAATTCTTCCTCTGCCAAGAGAGTTGTCTTCGGCACTGCGGCCGGGGCTTCATCCACGTTTGACATAGTATCTGCCATTCTTTTAGAATGAAGTGATTCGAAATAATAAGCTCTTAGATTATTTCAAAGGGAGACTGAGGGGCATTGGATCTAGAGATTATGTCAAGTTGGAGAGCTTCACCCGAGTTTGTTAGTCAGACTGATTAGCCATCTGTAAAGCTCTGACCACCCCTCAAGTAATGTTCTGACTGACATGGCAAGATGCCATTGGCGGCAATGAAGTGGTGTCCCCGCCACCCAGTATCAATTTTTTCACGCAGATGCATACATTTAGGTAGTACGCGAGGCTGTGACCTCCTATGCTTGGTCCTTGGTCTGTTGGGGGCCTAGAATCGGATCGCAATCCCCTCCTCTGCCCCAACAAGTTGTGAAACATGGGAAAAGGGAAGAAAAAATCGCTCTCTTTTTCCATGCTCTATATTGTATCGTGTAGCAATTCGAATAAATTTGCTATTTGCAACGTGCCGTGGTGCGGCGGCGGAGCCAAGTTCACGTAAAGTGTAAAGTCCATTTCCCATAAACTCCAAATAAATAACAGCAAGTCTATGCTAATGAAAAGGAGTTGTAGTAGCTAGAACTATCCCGCAACTGTTATAAAGGTCGAGAACCATAGACGTTGGTTTCTTACAATGTCTGGGTCTGATCAGAGCTCTCTGTTTAAATAAATCCACCATGATCAAGCGGTAAACATTGACATGTATGAGACAGGGGGGAAGAAGGGAGCGGTTTCCACGTTTTCAATTTTGCGCCAGATCAGTATCACCGCGCTCAAGTTCTCCAACGGGCTGGGGCCATTGACATTACTTGTGAGCTTGAGAAGGTCATTCACGGAGCTTTATCAGCCGATAGTGATTATTATGCGACTCTAATGGTCATGCGATGGGATTTTCAGCCGAGAAATGGACGGCGGATCTCTGTGGCTACCATAGAGCTTTTATTCCAGGATATCTCAGATGGCGGCAGCATCCAGGTTGAGAGAATCTCATTTGACGGTACATTCAGTTTGATGCCGAAAACACAACAAGAGAGCATTATATCAGGAGGTAATTGAAGCGGCACTTACTAAGAAAGCAACAATTATATCCATGCCCTGGACTCTTCCAATGAATAAAGACAATATCGAAGTTAAACATAAACGTGAGTCTTCTAGTTTCTTTTACTTTATTCACCTCGTCTGTGGAAATCATAATATCTCTGAATAAATTTTCATGGCTGGAATCATACATGTACTCTAGGTATTGAGTACAGACTGGGCCAGCAATTCAATGAGTGGAAGCTGAATTTATACAATAGTGGATACTGTGCTCCAAAAGGCTATAAACGATAACGTGCTGATGATCTGCTCCTCTCTTGATGCGGGCAAATTCGCTCAATATGACTACCCAAGTGGCCCCTGGGGCCATAAATACTTCTTCCGTATCGGTGCTGCCCGTGCTGATGGCAACGTATTCGAATGGACTGACGAAGCCGGCATTGCTTTTGTTTACCGGGCGTCGAAGTAGTTAATGACCAAGCAAACAGCAGCATCTATCATGCTGAGAACAACATAATAGGCGATAATGCTGCCAAAATCAAGTACGAAACAGGTTTGAGCGTGGCTACGGCTCTGGCAGCTGGACTTGCCGCCATGATCATCTACTGCGTCAAAGCCAGCATTCTGGCCCTTAAAACCGCTAACCAAAATAAGGGATAAGTCGTGGGTATCGCGATATCAGACAATACTGCAGGTATGATTGCCAAACACGAAGCCATGAAGCGAGCTTTTACCTGCTTAGGTGAAGTGACGCCGAATAAATTCATACAAGTATGGGAGAAGCTGGATAAAATTAGCTCCATGTTGAAGTCACGGACTGGAGATTTGACTCCAGAGCTTAAGTTGGAGCGCACGAATCAGTTTGTGCAATTCGGGTCTCGACTTGCAAGCAGCATTCAATCAGATGGGATAAAGAGAAGGCTTTAAAGGAAAGAGATGTTCTCAAGGTGCCTTGAAATGATCAACTCCGTACTAAATCAATTCTGCAAGATGATCTTCGCATCCTATCATGTCTACAGAGCCAGCATGACCAAGCTATATACTATTAGTCAGATCCAACTATGGACCATTTTAGTGATCCCTATTAGCTTTTACTAAACCAGCCTTGTCCATTAGAACACTCTTGAGATTAGAAGAATTTTGAAACACATAAAAGTAGCCATTTTTTTTTTCCGATCTATAATTGCTGGGCTATATTCAACTTTTCGCTACTTAGGTAAAAAAAACTGGGCAAATAACACGAATCAGACAGATATTTCACCTAGCTTCTGCACAACTTTCTCAATATACCTGGCCCCTATCGCAACTCCATCTTCATCCTGAAACTCTCCATCATCTCCAAAATCTCCATTGCCCTTATCCAAGCATGTCAAGCATGTCTCCACCACTTTGCTGTACTTGTTGCCCATATTGCGTCTCAAGGTGCCTCTTGCTAGTTGCAATAGCCTGTCTTTGACTCGTTCGGGAGATTTTAGCAATTCAGGTCCACTCGTAATACCACCCTCAGCTCTCAACTTGGAGCCTACACTAAATGGCTGAAGGCTCGCTGTTCCGAATGAAGATTGGCCTTTCTCGTCGACTTTGCCATACTCGACAAAACTCCCCCACAGCCCAATCTCAAGCAGACAGACGCCGACACTATATATGTCGTGTCGCATATTGTAGTCCGTCTCCGGTGTCTTACCCTGCCGGTGTGGGTGGCGATACAGATTCTTCTCCCAATCATCATCTCCAAGACGATTAGTTTTGCCCTCGGCGTCGCGGAGAACATCGAAGCCGACCAACATAGCGGTTTCATCGCATTCCCCAGCATTAACGGATCCGTGATTTTCTTTTCTGAGTATAAGTATTGTCTCAGGCCGGATGTTCTTATGCACAAACTCGTACAGATGCACATAACTAACCGCCTTAACAAGTTGTCTCGCAAGGTCAAACCGTGCTGATAGAGAGTCATGTTCGCCGCTTGCTCCGCTTAGCAGCCGATGACGCAGACTCTGTACATGCGAATGCGTTGGGGGCATGCGGAAGACAAAAGACAGACCTGTTGGGGGTGTAGCTGTGCTAGTCTTCGTATCCGAGCCCTCCTCGTTAAAGATGCCCTTGCATTCCAGCAGCCCAAAAGTGAAAGGGTCTGTGTGCTTCAACCGCCTTGCGAAATTGCGAATATCGCGCAGTGCAGAATTGATGTTTGCTCTGGAGATGCAAGTGATGGGGTCAAGCACCACCAGTTCGCTGTTGTCAGCTCGGCGAGCTATGCGAACTGGGCTGTAAGCTAGAGTTTGGACGCTTTCAGTGATGAGTCCACCTGGAAGTAGATAGATAGTCTTTTTTGTCCCATCATCGTCGACAGGTTTAAGTGCACGGCGCAGCTGCTGCGCAATAGGGATAGCTGCTTTTGCCTCGTGCGTCAACACAGATTGCTGTTGCGACATGAGGTAGAGCTGCTGATCTACCTCGGGTCCAGGAATCCTCATCATCAAAAACCAGCTGGGGTCAAAGATGCCCTGCCAGAACTCTAGATCTTTGACCGTCTCGGCGAGGCCGTCTTTCGCAAAGGCGTACTTTAGTCGCTTGACCTCAACGATGGTGGCCTCCTCGCCTGTGCCACTCGGCAGAGCATCAGACTTCTTAACTAAGCCTGAGAGTTTGGTGTTGGCGGCGTGTAGTTTTTGCAGCAGGATCTCCAGCGTCTGCTGTTGAATGTTTTTATGCCATTCATTCAGTTGAGGCTCCAATCTCCGTATGAACTCAAGTTGCAACTGGATCTTCAGCCAACAAGCCTCGACGCGCACAACGCTCTCATGGAGCTGAGTTTCGGCATTTGCAAATGCCTTGCAGAGAGCGACGAGCTCCGCTCCCCAGTGATAAGCAGTGTCTATAGTGCCAATCAGACCGAGGGCGCCAAACGGGTCGACCATTGTGAACGATTTCCAAAGCGACAAATTTAGTTCAATCAGCAAGCCATCCAGCTGAAACTGTTTTCTGTTGTGATGTTCTTGAACACCCGCACATGCATGTAACCACCTATATATACATATGCCTAGGAATTGCGATCAGCAGGCAGAGTGAGGCTGAAATGTAATAGCCGCCGCGCTTTGTTACAGCCCCGCCCTGGATCCTGAACGCCAAATCCCGGCGCCAAAGGATTCAACCGTCGTAACAGGCCAGTTTATTAATAGCACATGGGCTCTTACTGTGCATGTTGTTCTTCGCCTTCACAACTCATTGCTCAAGCACGATCTGCACTCTCATCCCATGAAATCCAAGGTCTATTTTGCCATATCGATAACTTACTATTCCTCTCTGTCTTCATCGTCTGTTGCCGCTGACGCTCTCGGACGCCGCCAACGGATCCTCCCGTCGGACCGGCCCCGCAATGTCACAATGGCCGGATCTCGTTCGTGACACCCAACTCAGCACACTGTTCAAAGATGATGTCACAATCCACCACCACGACGACTCGGACGAGGAGAACAACGCTCGGTCGACATGGCGGGAGGAACGCTGGAAGGCGACGGTCTGCCTAGGCCACGGCGGCTGTGGTAGCGTCTGGCTGCAAGAATGTGTTGAGGGGAAACGAGGGATCGACAGGCGTGCCGTCAAGGTCATTCCCTGGTTGAGTCTCAAAGATAAGAAGGACAACTACGTGGCTGAGCTAGAAGCCATTGCCAAGTTCTCACAAAAACGTGTAGGCTGGTGTGTTCTGTTTCTACTGGGGAAGGGAATCACTGATTGTCGTGCGTGCAGTATTCAAAGTGTTTTGTCAAATTTCTTGGGTGGTACGACGACCCCTCTAGCCTTTATATCGCCATGGAATACTTTCCTCTTGGAGACTTGCAGAAGTATATGGACAAGCCCGGACTCATAGATGAGGCGGATGCACGAGAGATATCGTTCCAGGTGCTTGAAGGGTTGTCTTATATGCACCGAGAAGGGTTCGCTCATCGGGACATTAAGCCTGATGTAAGTTCTCTATCGCTCAGTTTATAAAGATAATACCATTAATTGCGGCATATGCTTTTTAAGAATGTGCTTATCAGGTCACTGCCACCGAAGAGTAAATGGTGGGTCAAAATCAGCGACTTCGGCATCAGTAAGCGCGTCGAAGGGTCTATGAAAGTGGTGTCAAGCATCAAGGGCACAATTCCATACATGGCTCCAGAACTTCTCTTTCATGAGCCAGGAAGTTCGAACCCTATTGACCACCAAGCGGCTGACATGTGGGCACTTGGCGAGATGGCCTATCGTCTACTAACCAAGACAGCAGTTTTCCCTACCCATAACGCACTCCTTAATTATCTAGTGAAAACAAACCTGTTTCCCACGGAAAAGCTTAACAAGAAAAATGCAAGCTTAGATGCCGCCTCATTTATTCGCTCGCTCATGGAGCCTCATCCTGATAAGCGCCTTACGTCGGAAAAGGCCATGGAGCATGCCTGGGTTGCGACTTTAAAGGACCATTGGGCACACGTCTCCAAACCGTCAACGCCCATACCATTGTGCGCATTTTATATCCAACCTTTATATCATGTGGGCTAACTCCTTTAAGGGATCCATCTTCTCCAAGCCGGCAGCCTGTTCCAGCTCCCAATCCAAACTCTTGGGCTACAATAGAGTCGACTAGCGGTTCTAGCTACCAGCCACATACAGCACTTGCGAGGATGAACAATGATTCATCTCTACAGCTGTCGTTATCTGCACACGGCGGTAGAATGATTGAGACGACAAATCATTCGGCCGCAAATAACACTGATGGGGATAGCATCTCTGAGCCTGCGTCTCGTATACCTGAAGTTTCTGTCAATCCTTTCGCAGTTTCTCAGGCTCTACCATCATCACCTTTTCGACAGAAGCCGCAGCAGCAGAATCATTCCCAGGCCCCTCTCCCAAAAATGCCTTGGCCCCGTTCTGCAATTTCTAAGACACCACCTCCTGTCCGACTACCCTACGGCCGTGCTCAGTCTGTGCAAGGAAAGCCAACGATAAAGCCTCCTTCACAAATCTTGACCGAGCGCCCAAAGAGTATGCAAGCCACTAGCTGCACGCGATGTTTAACACCCTTCAGCTCCACCAACGAGGAATACCAATGTCCTAATTGCGAAAAGTTCTTCGACAGCAAATGCTCCAGTAAGAAGACAACAATATGGTGGTTGGAAATCTTCGAACCGGTCAGAGTTGATGATGCATGTTTCGCTTCTATAACGGGAGAAATACCACAAGGTAAACATCTAGAAAAGAGACGAGCAGGCCCAGCCCAAGCTCAAGCTCGTGGAGGGGAACTGGGACAAGATGGCTAACCAAGGACGTAGTAGACGAGACTATCGATCTTCGCCCCCATTTAGAAGAGATCCAACGTGACATTGTCGAGAAATACGAGACGATTCAGGATGGACGTTATCGTGATGAGGCTTGGTTGGAGAAGAAAGATCGCCAAGAAGCTCGAGAAATTGAAAGGGCTAAAGCCCAGGCTGAAGACCCAATTATGCGGGAACAACGCCTCAAAAAAGCAGATCTTGAAAGGCGTGAGTTCGACCGGTTGCTCTCTGCCTTGGACATCTATTGGCCAACAGAACCCTCAAGTGCCGACTTTTATATCTACCCAAACACTTACGAGAAAGAATACGGGAAATATGTACGCGAAGTTGAGCACTACCTTGAGCTTATGCGGAAACGTGTAAAACGCGAACAAGAGCAGCGTGCAAAGAAGGCTGATACTAGGTCTACTGGGAAGAAATTGATGGATCTCTTCAAGTTTGCTGGTGAGGAGAAGAAGGGAACTGCTTAATCAAGGCGATATAGACAATAATCAACATCGCTCTTGGCGTTTAAAGCATATTCATGTTTATAGAAAGACCCTTTGAACCTAGACTCCTTCTTGGGAGACACACACCGCCTGCTTAAGTCTCTTACGAGTTAGACCAGCTGGCTTCTCTGCACACAAAACTATAGTCAGTGTGGTCTACCCATTTATTTACTAAATCAACCTGAAGTTACTGTTTCGCTTAACGGAATATATTGGCTTAATCTACAGCGTTTGGACTAATTCACAAAGTTTAAATATTAAGTAATGTAAACTGTTAGTTTTAATGGGCTAATATTCACTATATTAAGGAAAGATATCTTGTGAATTAATTTAATTGATCTGTGGTATCGTAGTTGTTAGGCTACTCTAGTATGCTTTCCCCTGCTGGTGTTGTCCTTCCGAAGTCAAAATATTACAACCCCAAATTTAATTGCAAAAGAGTCCAGCATAGACAAGATTCCCATCAGGGTTCTGAAAACACTGCCAGTCATTGGGGTCGATGGTCAGGGCCGGTGGCCCTCCAGCTCCAAGGCCACAGTTTGGGTTGTTGTCAAAATTGAGAGTTACTCCACAGTTGCCGGGGATCAGCATATTATTAACTGTGAAACTGCCGCCTTGTCTTGGTCCACCACGTATGCACTGCTCTGTAATCCAAGCTGGGCCACCATCTGGAGTCTTACAATTGGCGTCGGTATATAATTGAAGCTGAAGAGAAGCAGCTGCTGAGGCATAGCGTCCGAAGAAAAGGAGTGCTGCCACAGCCGGGCCGAGAGCCTATATGTAATTTAGCAAATGCCTAGAGTGACTTATGAAAATACCTACTATGAACTTGGCCATTGTGAATACTTGTAGAAGATTGATTGGAGATATAAAGCAGGAAAGGGCTGTGAAGATATGTCAAAGGAAATTTAAAGTCTTTAATATACTTTATTATAATGCACATAAGCCTATGATTCACAATCTGGCATTCTTCAACATACTCCATGTAGACAAATATACGAACATTTAGGAATGATATATAACTAAATTATCACATAAGCCCGATCGGACTATGTTTATGCCATAATGAATCCATCATTTGCACATTGATTATTATTGACCTGCCTTTTTGTGTGAACAGTCAAGCATTCCTTCACGCCATTTATCTTAGGTTTGGCCAATTAGCGTTGGTTGAACGGAAAAACTTATATGAGTTAAATGTGTTAGGATATAGGGTCTCGCTTATGTGCTCGTTTCTCGCTCATATTGCTCGTTTATCGCTTATGCTGCTCGTGATTGTCTAAGTTATACGGTGTTAATTATCTGAAGTTGGTCTTTGCTTTCGTTTGCATAATTTAAGGTAATCTCCGAAGAGCTAACTCTATAAGAAACTTGTTTCTAATGCAACCCATTGAATAATCTCGCCTACATTACTAGCAAGCATATATTTTCCTAACGACTGAATCGGGTACGTCGCTAGAGACATTGAGCAGTAAGGGATAGCGCCTTTGAAGACTGTTTCAACCTTCATTAGAGAAAATTTCAGACACCTATTAGCCTAAGATTTAAAGAAGAAGATATGGACATAGGTATTACAGATGATGGGAAGGGCAAAAATGGGAGAAAATAAGTAAGGCCTCTGAGGGTGATTGTGGTTATTTTGCCGTGCTATAAACTACTCTAATCAACTACTTTTACGTATTCTACGAACAGCCTTTTTATCAACACGATTGGACCTTATTCTATACGTACAGCAGCCTTCCATAAAAAGTCAAGTTCCGTATAGATATCTTTGTGCACCACGCTATCGTATAGCAAATGACATTGATGTTCCATATATATAGCCAACTTGCTGTCTTCAGGGTACATACGACCATAGGTAGTGGAAAATTCGGGGTCCCGTCTGCTCCCCCATAGACAAGCCACTAACCGGCAGATTAGTAGTTGAGTGGCTGACCATCAGCGAACACCGGCTGTTGTATGTTTTTATTTTTGCTTTTACCTTCAATCATAAGGTTGTCCCACTTATTCTATAATCCTCAGCAGGATGATATTGTGTCACATACGACCATATCCATTGGAATATACGGGATCCCGTCCGCTCTCCCAGAGTCAAGCCAATGAGAGGCAGATTAGTAGTCAGGTGGGTGACCACTGGCGAACACCGGCTGTTGTATGTCTTTACTTTTTTGTCTCTTCGGCATTACATGCCCTTTTACATATGAAGGATTGCTCGTTTCCTTTTAGAATACAACCAATTGTTGAGGCCATGCAGAGGTTCCTTAGTGTTCTCAAACGTTTTGATATTTCTAGCGTACAAGACACGGGAAGATCCATCCTTTCTTTGTACTCTCATATTTATGCATACTGATTGCCATTAGCCATATATCTGAGGTACAATTGCTTCCCGACTTGAATGTTTGCAATAACTAGCGATTCTTTGGAGCTAAATATTGACTCTAGAGTGTCAATGAAAAGTCTATTTAAAGTATCCAATCGCCAAGGAGGGAATATCAGGCTGGCGCTCTGCTACTGAACCCTAAATTAAGCGGCTTTGCTCATAAATATTGGCAAGGCGTCGAAAAGCCATTGAAAGACAACATGACATCGTTTATGTGGATGGCTAATTGTCGATCAATGTACATCAGTATCAGTAGATAAGCCGCAACTAGAATTTTGAGTTGTTCAAGCTTTCCTTTCGAAACCGTTTACTGCGGGTTTGATGAATTCTGCACTTCGATGTTGGGCCTGAGCTGGCCACGCAATTAACCTGTGGCGCATGTCAGTTAGCATGCTAGAAGCGTATAGTAGACAGCCCGAAAGATCCGAAATGAATGGCAGCGGAATGTGGCGCAGTATCATTATACTTTACTGCTATTGATGTATTATCGATGGCTTTTCAAAATATGCACTGGTGTTTGAGAGTGAAATAATAATAAAAGCCGTGATGGAAAGTTCATGTTTGCTATTTATGTGAAGATAATGGTCAATTGTTATACTCGTTATGAGTTAAATCAATTTCCCATCTGATGACTATAAGAAAGAATCTCACCATTATGCTGTTTGTATGACAAACAGTAAGCTGATACCGATGACGAGATTCTTACAGTGTCGGGGTAAAGCTCATTGAGCTCTAGACTAGAAGCTGAAATTGTGGCTGCCAGGCTAATATACCTTAAATCAATCGCTGTGCATCGAGTTATAATGCCACAACACCCTCTTGCCTTTTTCAAAGACAAAATATCTTGATCGCTGCTATCGCATCAATTGCAGACTGACTTTATGCTGAATTCCAAATTGATGTTGACAGTGAGCTTGGTGGAAGCCAAAGCTATGTAAATTATCGGTCAGCCGATCAAGAGCTGTAACCTGGATTCTCGACAGTAAAAAAATATCCTTCAATATCATAATTCTTTAATCCTTTCAACAGAACTTTCCGAAAATGATTCGCTTCTATCACGCTCTGCTTGGCGTTTCTGCGTATTTGTTGATTCTTGGTACGCGGGTAACTGAACAATCGGGGATTCAGCTAATTTATTGCATTTTAGCTTCGTATTTTCCTCCAGACGTCCAGGCTTATTTAATTCCCGAAGAAAGAGCTGCAGCAGTTGCCCCCGATGGCTATACTCCAGCCCGGGTCGATTGTCCAGCTAACAGGCCGAAAATTCGCCCAGCAACGGGTTTGTCGATAAATGAAACCGATTGGCTACCTCAACGCACAAATAATACTGTCTCGGCAATGAAAGACCTACTCAGTCGTGTTAATATTAGCGGTATTGACACTGGTAGGTACATCGATAACCTCACCAGTGGCGGCGGCACAGGTCTCCCACGAGTTGCTATCGCTATTTCTGGAGGAGGCTATCGAGCTCTCATGAATGGTGCCGGGGCTCTCGCAGCATTTGACAATAGGTCGACAAATGCGACAGAGACCGGCCATCTCGGAGGTCTTTTGCAGTCAGCGACGTATCTTAGTGGTTTATCTGGCGGAAGCTGGCTTGTCGGCAGCCTTTACGTACAGAATTTCACCTCGGTTGAGTCTATAGTCCTCTCTACCAGCGGATTTCTCAGTACTCTCTGGCAGTTTGACGAGTCCATCTTTGACGGTATGTCAGTGAATTATGTTGGATGCTGTATCAAAGAGCCTGCTAATGTTGGATTTTAGGGCCCTCGGATCTCAATGTCATAAAGTACTATAGGCAGCTTTTTGATGCTGTGGATGGTAAAAAGAAGGCTGGTTTCAACACGTCAATCACAGACTATTGGGGCAGAGCGCTATCCTATCAGCTCGTTGATCCGTCTGACGGGGGGCCTGGTATGACTCTTTGGCCAGATATTCGTAAAACACGCTGACTATTCTACAGCGGTTACGTTTTCATCAATCGCAAATGACACAGACTTCAAAACCGCTCAAGCCCCCATGCCATTAATTGTGGCTATCGAAAGAACCTCAGGACAGGTTCAAATCGCTGCCAACTCAACAATCTTTGAGTTTAACCCTTGGGAGATGGGATCATACGACACAGGCCTCGAGGCTTTTGCGCCGCTTCAATTTGTGGGCTCCAACTTCACTAACGGCACCATTGCCAAAAATGGAGAGTGCATCGCTGGAGTCGATAACGCGGGCTTCGTAATGGGTACATCGTCCTCTTTGTTCAACCAGGCTCTCTTGCAAATTGGACAGGTGGAAGGTGTGCCAGACTTCTTGCTTGGCGCCATCAATGATACGCTCACAGATATCGGAAACGATAACAAGGATATCGCCAGCTGGCCAAATCCATTCTTTGGATATAATTCCAGTGTAAATCTGAACGCGAACACGACATACCTGACTCTCGTGGACGGCGGTGAAGACTTACAAAACATACCCCTGCATCCCCTCATCCTACCTGAGCGAAAGGTCGATGTGATCTTTGCAGTCGATGGCTCTGCTGACACTGCAACGCTGTGGCCAAACGGCACCGCCATGGTGGCTACTTTTAATAGATCGGAAGCCACAACCTCTTCTGCTGATGATAACCGCTTTCCAGATGTTCCGGACCAAAATACATTTGTCAATCTGGGTTTGAATAACCGGCCTACCTTTTTCGGCTGCAACAATGGCAGCGGTACTCCTTCAGGCCCTCTCATCGTTTATCTGCCCAATGCTCCCCTCTCGTTCCACTCCAACGTCTCAACATTCGATTTGAAATATAGTGATGAGGAACGCAATCAGATAATCCAGAATGGGTACAACATGGCGACCAGAGGCAATGGCACAGTGGATGCGAACTGGCCGGCATGCGTCGGTTGCGCCATTTTGTCGCGAAGCTTCGATCGGACTAGGACAAGTATTCCTGCAGTATGCAGAGATTGCTTCACAAGATATTGTTGGAATGGTACGACGAACGACACCTTGCCCAATACGTATGAGCCCGCCCAGATCCTCCAGGGTGCAACAGAGCAATCGACTTCTTCGGCTGGTCGGGTGAGTGGGACGTTATTATTAGCTGGTATTGCGCTGTTACTTGCGATCTGAGATTTAAGTAACCTTGACCTTGAACATTGGGGGGGATGCACTAATATGGGCGTAAAATGTTATCAGATTGGTTACTCACAGCACTCTTGCAGTAAGATGAGCTATTGGAATGGATTATTGGCATCCATATCGTAATACTTAATGCACAAGTAATGAAACGGCGAGCCCGTGAGTGTTTAGTGATAAATACTGCAAGCGGAAACTTTAATGCATGTTCAAGCGATTCATGGCCAACGGCTTCTCCGCAGGGGCAGGATTCTGCTGATGAGTTCGATCGGTCCAAGCTGAGTCCTCCAATAAGAGTCAACTACAGGCACTTGAATACATAGAGGAGGTAAGTGGCCAAGACTGAAGTGCACTAAGAGGAATCAAGCTTATTACTAGTTACGATTCCAGACAGTCATAATATGACTACAGAACACGACAGAGGCCAATAAATGCAACTAAACTTATGTTATAACTGTGACATTTGACAAAATGCGTAGCATAGTAAAGCCATTTAAACAATTGCTTAAAGTTGCAAATAAGTTTACGAAACAAGCTTCAGACGAGCACAGAGGCACAATCCCTGTGCCTCGTCAGCTCAGAACTCCATGTGCGGCTCGACTCTAGTAGAACATATCCCTTGTCAGCGCGCACGGCCCACGCCAGGGGGGTTTTTTTTTTCATCGACGGAGAAATAATTTTGCTTCGTATAACGCCTTGTGTTGTACGTGCCCCAAGGCCCAAATAGGAAGTTTCAAGATCTTCCATGCAGAGCGTTATAAATAAGCTAATATTCTTAGGCGACTGCTGGTTTGGGACGCGTTGGCGAGTCCCTGAGCTGCCTTATTCGTCTCGAGAAATGGAGCGCTATACGAGGGGAAAGGGGTGTAATCATAGAGCGGAACTATCGTGAATCGGAAGAACCACTAATCGTCACCGAAGGTTGCCGGAGCATGCAGAAGGGGCAAGGATGAATGAGCATTTCCACAGAGTGTACATATATGAGAATTCATGAGCGCCGGGATAATTATTTACAGCTGTTAGTGAGATTTTAGTTAATGATATCGAATGCGAAAAGCATCAGTAAACGGTTGGATGATGATGGATTTGAGAGGACAGCGACATATATAAGGGTTGGATAGACCTCATGCTACAATTAATTGATCATAACAACGGTATCAAGAATAACTCTTTGAAACACTCTACAACAAAGGAGTCGTTTTCGACAGCCTCAAAATGAAGTTCTCGCTATCCGCCGTCAGCCTTGCTCTGGCTGTCACTGCCTCTGCAGTCCCCATCGAAGAAGAGCAACACACCGAGCGAGCTACCGTCTCCGGCTCCGGCCCGGGATCGATCTTCCAGTTCGGATCGGCGTCCAGCTGCCGAGAACTCTTCTGGGATTTTGGCGCTTGTGGCCTCAGCACATTCTTTGCCAACAAGGTCCCCTCTAGCATGTCTCTGGTTGCGCTTCCTTCCCACATCTTTGACGCACACGGTTCCTCGGATCAGGACAACCCCCTTTGCGCCAAGATTATCACCATGACTCACAATGGCGTTACTCGACAGGCTGTGATTGCGGATGAAAACACCAGCAGCGAGCAGTCTATTGATATGTGTTTGGACTTGTGGCAGGCATTTGGTGGTCACGATGGCGATGGCACTCTCATTGAGAACATTTCTTGGTCTATTGCTGCATAAGTACAGAAGAGCGGATGTCTATTTAGTGAAGCGATGGCTTGTGGACTATGTACATATTCTCAAAATTGTCTGATAGCCGTTGACAGACTGCATGTATATAAAGATTCAGAGTAATTACATACATGTACATACACATTCTATTGAATAAGTGCCCTTGATTCCTATTCAGTTTATACATATAAACTTCCTCATCATGTACATATTCTACGCTGAGATGGCATAGAGCCAGACGCCGACGCTGCGAATGAAGTTAGAAGTTAGCGGCGAAATCGTATTCAACAAGTCAAATTTGCGCTATATCTATAAGACCCTATCCCGTGTTCAGCTCCTTCATCATTTTCTACTGTTTAACAGCTCCTGCTCCACCAATACTCGACTCCTCTTTCCATCCCCTCTTTCCATCCCCGCTTTCACACATCGATATCAACGGTTCAGAAGAAGTCAAAGATCCTAAATCTCCAGTATCATCAATAGCATACTATTAAATGGACTTTTATGAATTATATTGAATTGATCTTGTATTTATTTATCCTGATCTCTAAATCCCTAAAACGGTGTGAGGAAATATAATCAAGCCTTTAGATGACTTAACTTATTGCTTCATTTTAGTCTAATTCTACGAACCGTGTTCACATTCCTTCTTCCATGCGAGCATCTCGCTCTGCAGAATAACAAGCCAGGCATCTTCAGCCTCGGACCACTTTTCCACGGCATCCAGGGTCTGCTGAATCTCGTCTTCACTGATTCCTGCATCCACCCAGCTCTGATAGAATGGATCCCCCTTTTGCAGCTGGCCTTTAGCGCGCCAGAGCATCCTTTTGCGTGTTTCTGCTTCCGAGTGCACTGAAACTCCAGCGCCAACACGGACTTTGCCGCCGTCAGTGTCGAAACCGGCTTTGCGAAGGAGGTTCGGCATCATTGCTGCTGTTGAATCTGTTTCAGGAACACCCTTTCGTGATGCCCGAAATTGGTTTGCTCCCCAGAGCTGATCGAGATTGAGGCTCTGCGGATAAAAGTGGTGGTTCATGCCATCGCGCGTGGCCAAGATACCGCCAGGCTTCAGGACGCGCCGCATCTCAGTCAACGCCTGGAGGGGAGTGTCTGGCGCTGGCATATGCCCGATGACCTGAGAGGCAAAGACAATATCGAATGTGTTATCGGGATAGGCGAGTCCATCTACAGCATTGCCCTCTTCAAAGACAACAGAGCCGGGTCCCTGGGTGGGAATATTTGCTTCGGCTGCCAAGGTCTTTGCCTTTTGCAGCACGTCCTTCGAGATATCGATGCCGACTATCGTGCCCTCGCTAGCATATTTAGCAAAGCTTGTAGTGATGGTACCAGGCCCGCAGCCAACATCAAGAATATGGTCCGTCGGCTTGATGTAAGGCAAGAGGAAGGCGGCATCTGACTCAGCCCTGCGTCTTAGATGCGTTGCGATGGTGTAATCGGAGTGGCCCCGAGCGTAGTAACTTGGTAGATTGGTTTGCGCCATGTTTAGAGTGTATTTGGTGCGATGTGAGCTGTTCAATATGTTGAGAATTGAAGCGATATCTCTTCTACTTATTTGTACTGGACGTATAACAGAACGCTTCGGCAAGCCGGGTTTGTATTACTTGATTAAGCCATGGCATCATATGAAGACACTGGTTCTGATATGTTGCCTGCTCATCTCCGAATTCCGGGAAAGACTTCCACCAACTGTTATTACAGCTGCCCGGGGACTCGGGCCCGTGTTTCCTAATCTGGGTTAGTGTGTCCGAAACACTTTCGGTATGAGTTGTGATGTGTGTGGAAGCTCTATTGGAGCCACTGGGACTCCAAATAAAATAAAATAAAAACCCTTTCATAAAGCCATTTTCAACAAGAATTCATCATAAAAACAGAGGAGAGATGTCCCCAGGGTGGAGTTGTAAGCTTAATACGTGGCTTCTAGAAAGCAGTGATATCATATCAATCCATTCAGAACCAGATGAAGTCCACCATGTATTTAAGTGCAGAGGACAAGTGATATCAGATTTGGTTGTCGAAGATTGCACAAACCTTCTCTCAGACAATGTTCTACTCGCAGGCTTCACAGTTGGAGCAGATCATTCCAGTAAGTCCAACTTAGAGATTCATCATCCATTAGATCGCCCATAAATCCAGCTTGCAGATTTTCCATAGCTGATGCTGGCCCTGGCATATCATCGACAGCTTCACTAGTTTCCTGAAGCTTTTTAATAAACGTGGGCACGATGTCCCTTGCATCTTCCAGTGTCCGCCGGCGTGCCGCCCATGCCTGTAGTATCAAGTCCGCCAGCGCGGCGTAAAATTTATGTTCTCCTGGCAGTGTCATAGATTGTTCGTTGAACAATTCCTCTAATAATATCCACGCAGTATCGACAAGGTGGCCACTGATACGTTGTCGTAGCTCGCTGGCCATGTATACCAGGGCATCAACTGGAGTTTTGCACGCCATGTGATCCACCAGGTTTATGGAGAAGTTTGTTTGGCGCAAGTCACGGTTTAACTCTAGCAGCTTGATGCTGCTTTCAAATATAAGATCTTGATCGGCTTGAGACATGTTTCTACCTCTTTCAGGTTGGTGGCGAGGATGGAACATTGAAAAGCGCTGGTTGTGAACGGTCAGGCCCGCCAAGGCGATCGAGAGCTGGTGTAGTGGTATACTCTGGTCAAGGTAGGCAAGATACCTTTCCTGGAGCATGTAAGTTACGTGACCAAGCATCTCTCTTTTCACTGCCATGCTTTCAACACTAGTTGACGTGGCCAGCTGGGCAGCCTTTTCTCTTGGGTTGGGGTCACCAGAAAATCTAGAGGATTTTCGCACATAGTTCCAGAGGTCATATTTCATCAAACAATAAACCATCTCTGTGGCAGCTGTATGCTGAACTGCGGGGGGCTTCTCCATGAGTGGATGCAGATCTGCGTCGTTGACATTCATCGGGAGACGAACATCGCCCAAGTCGTCAATAGTCGATAACAGCCCCATGCCCCGGCGGGCGCGCGAGTTGAAGCCGCGAATGCACCACCATAGGCGTACTTGCATTTCTTGCTCAAAGAACGGCATATGAGCGTCTTTTCCGGCATGATGCAACCCCAATTTGTGAGCAATACGCATAGCTAGCGCGACTGCTGTAATTGAGAGCTCTGATTGGGGATCAATCATCTAAAATCATGTGGAATAAAAAGGTCAGAACGTTATTTCGTCTCAAACAATACGACACGGATTGGGCTTACGAGAACAAGAGTCAAAGCCTGCAAGACTTCCATGTCTCTCGTTGAGAGCAAATCAGTGATAGATAGAGCTCGCAACGCTCCTACGCGGTATCGATTTACTAGCAGTTGCTTACCCTCTCCGAATAGATGGATACAGCTTGCGGGCTTCATCGAAGCTACAGCTAGTGCGTATACTGCAAACATGGTAGCCTCGAGCGGCTTTGCAGTCGACTCCGGGGTCCATGCTGCCTCGAGAATCTTCTCTTGAAGAGTAGGCGCATGTATAATTTTGATGAGAGGGTTGACGTTATCTGCGAAGATTTGCCAAAGTTTGAAAGCGTGCTTGGGATCGGGGTGTAATTCTAGCTGCCCTACAGTTATAGAAATATGAGTAGGGATGAATAGTGAGGGCTCTTGCAAGTCATTATCATCATGGGTGGGATTATTTCCTGCCTCCTCGTCTGCTTGTTTGAGTCGCAATATTGGCGGGGTTTTCAACTTGGAGAGCTATTAGTAAGGAACAGAATGCTGAACTAGGAACAACACACGCACAACTTCAGGCAGTTCCGACCAAAGACGTGCTGCCACAGTCTGTTCACCAAGCAAATTGTGGGTGCTTTGGCTCAGGTTTACCCTAAATTGCGCCTGGGGAGATACCTCAGTCGTCGTCGCGGTCTCAACGGAGTCTGCATGGATCTGAGGACTTTGGGCAACCCTCTCTTCCCAGTGTGAGCTGATCCATGAATTATCCAACGCCTCAAATGGGATTCTATTGCTATGAAGGATAGTCTCAAGTTCCTGAATCTTGGCCAGGAGATCACGTTGAGTCACGCGCTTTCGGTGTCTCTGAGACGGCACTGGGTCTCGGTAAATGCATGCGACTTGTGATTTAGAGCAGCTCGAACACGGGCTTAGCTTGTCGCATTTGACTTTGCGCCGGGCACATGTTATACATGAATATCGCCTTTGCGACGTCATCTCGATTTCAAGGCGATGCGCCAGCAGATCCTTCAAACGTCAACAGGCAGCTGCGTCACCGACAGATCCCAGAACGTCTTACGAGTTAAGTGTGCTTAATTTTTAAGAAACTTGATTCCTTAGGTGTCTCTGCCATAGGATTAGAGACCACTGTGAAACGTCATTCAGAGAGCTTAATATCATTCAGAGCATAGAATGGCTGACTGGATGATGTTATGAAGACATGAAAGCTTGTGTGGAGTCGAGAGTTACTAGCGATAATAAGAATGGCTACCCAGTCCGTGTCAGACACTGTGAATTTTTGCAGTTAGAGCTTTGGGGGCCGCAGTGGCGGGAAAGCGTGCAGAGAGCATTGCATGTACCCATATGGAGTCTTACGTGTGACCTGGAAGCGTTTCTTTTAGACGCAGTAACTAAAATTGAGAATAAACGAACGTCTAGATGAAATATTAACAAGTTGTAGCTGAACATTGCAATGGTATTTAATACCACCTGCTTGCTTTTGATGCAATGTGATGTAACCTGGTGGGGCTCTCAGTATTCTCATAGAGCTGAGCATAATAGTAATGCAGATCTTGAGTACAATGCCTAATATAAGTATGGAAATAGAGTCTAACAGAGATTATAGCATCCTGGTAAAAAAAAAAAAAAAATGAATGAAAAACTTCCGTCAGCTTTGGTAGAGTTGATATATAAACAAGCTAGTTACTGTACATTACACAATGCTGTGACCAATTGTGATTCCTCACACGGCCTACACATGCCAAACTGAATGCCTTATATGCTGTTTAGATATCTTTGTTAATATATGCTCACTTGCTTATCTTATGTACTTTATCTCCTTTCCCATCCCACCCTTTGGTTCTTTTCGTTCTGGTCATATAGTCGCATGGATGTATGCTTCGTTGATGCAAAACCTCTCGATTGAGGTGACTGGGCAAAGTAAATTCATGACTATCATCTCCCAGGCACTAACAAATAGCATCAAACGATTAAGCGCCTGCAATGCAAGGCAGAATAGATCAAATGAGTAAAAGCATTTGAACCAACAACATTTTTGTATAAAATCTGCCTTTTTGTCCTACAGCCCCTCATAGGCCTCAGATTGGGCCGCTCATAGGTACCAATACGGGGTTATGCAAGGGATATGTTACAGATCAAGTACTTACGCGGGAATTTACTGAGGCCAGCTTCTTCCTCATCACCAAAATTCCTACGAGGTTTGTACAGAGACTCTCTCGGATAGCTACATAGAGCTCAGTGGTAGATGACCGTAGGCCTCCCGCATGGACTTCAATCACTTAAAGGCTGCGCACTTTACGGTTTCATTTCCCACTCGTTTTTGTTTTCTTTTATTAGCTACACCTCGCATTTTCTTTCTGAAGTGTATCATAGCTTCTCTTTTCTTTGTTGTTCCCCGTCAAATTGAAGTAGTCTCGCTCATGATAATAGAGAACCAGCAAGTAGCTGCGAAACCACCGAGCTTTTAAAAGCATCTAAAATCTTGTAGCGATCGAATTTTCATCATGGGTAACATATTCGGTGCACCGACTCCACGACCGGCTGCACGACCAGCTCCACAACCAGCTCGACAGCCTGAGCCGCAGAGAAGAGCAGAATATCATAGACCAAGATACCAAGCGCCAGAAATCCTCGACATACAGCCGCCACCACGCAACGTACGACCAGCGAATATAGGTGCCTTACAAACTCCACGGTGCCTACATTACACAAGAGAAATCTGCGGGCAAGGAAACTACTGTCCTTTTGTACACGAAGGCGATGCTCTTCAGCGTCAAACACCACGCACACATCCAAATTTACAACGCCCTACCTTGAGACGTCCTATAGAAGAGAATATTCCACAGGCACGAAAGCCGTGTCGGTATTTCGCACAAGGTCGCTGTTATAAGGGAGCCCAATGCCGATTTTCGCATGAGAAAAATAGGGCTACAATCGCAGAGAATCAGGTGTGGCAATTTATTATTGATTCCTTTAGTTACATTAGCTAACAAAGATCTTGTTCTTTCACCAGGATGACCAGTTCAATAGCAATGATACATATGAGCTTGGCGGCGCCTGGGTGAAATTCGACAAAGGTGCAACAGTATCTACAGTGTCTTTTCCCTCAGACTACAGATACTCGGCTATCAACATGCAAAATCTGCCGGCAAATAGTTCCAGGGTATTAATCAACGAATTACTAGCAGCAGCGGGAACACCGACGTCGGTGATTGATATACGTATCTTGCCGCAGAGGGAGCAAAACACTTGCAACGCAATAATCAAGTCCAGTGATACTTCATTCGCCAAGACAGCTTGCAGCAAGTTAAACATTCTCGCTTTTTTTCCAGACTTCAAAGCTTCCGTTGTGCCTATCAGAATACCAGTCAGCCAAAGCCCATATCAAGTTGATTGTCGGAAAGTTCACTGTGCCTGGGATCGGCCAATGCGAGAAGCAAATCTAATCTTTGGAGACAAGTCTACGGCTCTCAGCGCGCAAAAAAATCTCAGGGAAAGAGGCTGTAACATGCTTGGACCTAAAGTTAAAGCAACTTACCAAGGTAATCAGAACGGTCAAGGAAAATGGGTAGTGAAGCTTAGGGGCTTGAGCGACGCGACAAACGAACAAGACATCATCAAGGCTATTCCCAAGTTCACTAGACCCCCAACTGTCCAACTCGGAGGACCAAGCTATGTTTCCGATCCAGTCCGCGACTCGGCTGCTGTCAAATCTATGCTATTAGAACTTGGTCCGTTAGAACGATGGAATGTATCTCCCGATACTAAAGCGAGGCGCTTCAACGCATATGCCACTTTTCTTCACGAGGCATCCGCAAGAGACGCCATGTCTACCCTAAATAATAAACCACTGTCATTCAGCGAGACGACAAAACTCTCGGTGAAACTTGCCGCATCTGTCAAGTTCAAAATACAAGTTAAGATTTACAATATTGTAAGTCCACAAATCGACAAGCAGAAAGCAATCTGGGCGCGGCAGTACATTAGCGCTTTCGAAATTCCGTTCAAGGGTCCATTTCGTATGTTAAAACTAGAATGCGAAAACCACCAGTTACTGGTGCAAGCTAAAGCAACCCTTGAGAAAATTATCAGTGGACATATCGTTAGAATGGAAGGAAAAGACCTCCGCTGCGGAAATTTTCGACAAAATGGCAAAGAGTTTAAACAGATCAAATCGATAGAGGACTCGTTCAAAGTGGTTATCGTCCCTGATATACGCAAATCTCAATTCCGAATTTTTGGACAGGAAGAATGCTCACAGTCAGTTTTGGATGGAATTACGACAATGTTACAGGAATGCACGCCTGAGGGCCATATTATTGAGCTCAATGATGCTGATTTCGTCTGGGCATCAAACGGCGGCCTTAGATTTCTCAAATCGCGACTAGGTGAAGGAAAAGTGTCCTTCAATGCCTTCGCGTCAAAGAACAAACGAATTTCTATCCGAGGATCGAAAGCAGACTATAATAATGCCATGGCTATCATTGCTAGCAGGCTGACTATGTCGATCAAAAAAGACTCCAGCTCTGAGATGGAATGTCCGTCTTGCTTCTGCGAAGCCGAAGACCCGATCCGCATGTCTTGTGATCACGTCTATTGCAGCGACTGCTTTATCCAGATGTGTGAAGCGGAGAAGACGGCAACAAGGGAGTTTCGCATTTGCTGCGTAAAAGCCACGAACTCTAGTGGAGCAATCTGCCAAAAGTCTTTTTCGCTATCGGAAATCCAAGAGCATCTTCCTGCGGAAGCGTTTGAGGCCGTCCTCGAGAAATCTTTCGAGTCTTATGTCAGTCGCCATCCGGACGATTTCACATACTGCCAAACACCCGACTGTGACCAAGTCTACCCAATTGCATCTCCTGACTCTGACCGTCCCAGTACATTTACATGCAAGAAATGCTTGGTGTCCATTTGCACATTTTGCCATAGCTCGCATCCTGGCAAGCCGTGTGACAAGGCTAAAAGCATTGCTAAAAGCATTGCTAAAAGCATTCTTAGCGATAAGACGAAAGAAGCACTTGGTATTAAATCCTGTCCTAAATGCTCAATGCTGATGGAAAAAAGGGATGGATGCAACCATGTGACTTGTAAATGCGGCGCACATGTTTGCTGGGTTTGCCTTATGTCCTTTAACGAAAGTAAAGCGTGCTACACTCATATGACCGATGCACATGGTGGATATTATGGGAATTAACTTCACGAAAACTTTGAGCTTTCTAGATTGTTCGTACAGGAGAGGACAAAGTGGCACATATGGAGCCTGTTGCTGCGAGAACTGATATCATTTTGACTGCGTATCATTTTCTCTCACAGATTTCTATACATCCATTGAAGAAGACTGCGATATAACACTGCCGAAACATTGGAACAAATTTAGATGGAATTGAATAGAAACTCTCTAAACTTTACTGTAGATTCTTTGTCCGTTATCTCCTCTACGTTTGACTCTGAAACCGGAGCTGGGACACCCCGTCTGGTCAAGCCATTAAGCCCCGCGATGAATCATTCTGTTGGCTGAAAGCCACACTAGAGTATAATCAAGGGCGGCAGCAATGTTTAATATCGTGAAAATGCCATGGGGCAAAAAGAGAGAAAAAAAAGTACCAGCGCAGCTAACTGCAAAATTCCCCAACTTGATATGTCGCTGGAGAGGAGACCGGCACTTGCGTCTCCGTCTTGTTCTTGGCATCGCGGCAGCTACCGCGCTGCTAAGAGCTCTCCCTCCTATTCGCGAAATAATCACATGAATCAAGACAGGGTAGACCTTCTCGGTCATTTGTTTCATGCAGAGACTACTTAACGATAGCGGCCACCAGGGATCGGCATCGCTAAGGCATAGATAAGTTAGTAAATAACCTGTGTGGAGTACTAGGAAGCGATATACTGTGATATATGATAGCATTGGAGTAGTATGCAGTAGCAATACACACTAGATGTCAGTCACTAGATGTCAGTTTAGTGTGATTACTAGTCTAGTGCAGAGACATTTTCCAGCGTTTTTCTTGTCGAGTTTAGCTCAGTTGTCATACAAGAGCTGTAGTATCAAGGTTTGATCATCGGGTCTTCAGCTTGAGAGCCGCGACACGCTCTCTACTAGTGCCTGTCGAGACAAATAACGGTATTATCTGCCTCCTTATTCCCGCCGATGCGGAGAAGATGAGGGACGCCCGGGTAATTGAGATGGATAATCAATCTTCTTACCAATTCTGCAACTAAGGTTTTCTGTTGCTGCGAGACAAGGGGCCTTTGCACCATGCAAGAAGCTCGCTTACAGCTGGGTAGATTGTAGTTAGCCTCTTGGTCTGTAGCAAGTGTCGCACTCCCGTTTGTGTAACCTCTTGACAAGAAAGTCTCAGAGAGGACAGCTGCCGGCTGTGGTATATTTTAGGGAACACTGCTATACTAATATTTCATAGGCCACTCTTTTGGTCGTGTTTATGGAGTACCTAGTATTAGCAGCTTTGAATATACTTATACAAACCCACCCTGTGCTTTTGTCAACATAAAGAAGGACCGGTTACTGGGCACTGAAAATCTGGTAGTATGTAATTGCACACTAGCCACAATCTGGTGTGTTTGGCTAATCCATTTTGCCTATAGAAATTTTGACGGCTTTGGATAGCTTGCGCCTCGGCTAGCAAACGAAGAGTAAGTGATCGATATGCTGTCGCGCGGAGTTTATTATGTCTGAATGAATGAACCTAATTTCACTTTCTCAAGCGTGCACCTTTTAATTCACCACTGCGGTGCTGCTCCATAGGCGATGTTTTATTTAGTGTTGAGCTGAGCATGAGCACAGATACGCGCCGCCACTATTGCTCTAGAACCACCGAATGCCGCATTTAAGAGGGGATCTCAGGAATATTTCAGAGCCAAGCTTCAACAGAAAAGTCTTTTTAACAAGTCAATACTTGTCGCTGGGGGCTAGCGTAACGACACCGAGTCAACGGCAAGCCCACTCGCATTCTCATAACGGCGGCCGACTTCTCCTGACTCGTGTAATTCGCCTACCTATTGGTGGAAAGCTTCTGGGTTCCCCTCTCTGCGAGGCTGTCGCACGTTGCATACCCGATCCTTAGTAGACATCCATCAACGGATCTCTTGTCCTGTCATGGAAAAGATCTCTCACCGTGTGTTGAGACGTCAAAGGAAACCGGTAGCAAATATTGTGTGGCGTTGAGGCGGCGTTAAAACTATTCGCTATGGCGTGTGTCATGTATGTGCCCAGCCCCTTGGAAGAGTGGAGTGACAGTTTCCGCGTGGTTGGACTATAGGCTTGGATGATGGGTCTGGCTCGGGGGATGAGCTGGATGCGGCAAACTCGAGCTACCGGTTGTAAGGAACGGGCCAAGCGGCGCGGTCGACAACGGGAACCCACCATATAGCATGCCCGCACTAACTATAGCAGATGTGCCAGTGCGATGCCTACTCTTGGCTTCTTGGCCGATGCTAACTTGCGCCATCTGACGTTGACAAACAAATGGCACGTTTGCTAACTCAGTCTTGAAGCATAGGCGATACGATTTATACGTTAGAGACAGCCGCTAAGCATGCCCAACAAAAAATCCTACCGGCTCTAAGCGTCGTTAATATTGAAACTGAGGTGAATATGTCCATGTGCCCTCAAAACGCCGCCGGAAGACCCTGATTAACTATTGGAATCTTCGGAAACCATTCCCAATGACAGAAGGCGTTGAGAACAAGATATACGAGGTACGACATGAAGTACAGCTGGATGGTGATGCCAGTAGTAGTCTCCTTAGCCTTCTCATTACGCAACCCTAAGTAAGCAACAAAGAGGTTAGATATGTGTCAAGTGTACTAAGGCTGGAATGCCCTGGCTAATCAAGCGTCTCACCATGCCGAGGCAGGTCGCACCCGCAAAAGGGTCTGCGCCGCCCTACAGACACCATTATCCAGCTATTTCGTTTAGCGCCTCTCAGCTGCTCGGCCGAGCGTTGAACATCCCTGCAACCCATGTGTTGTTCATACATGCCCACATATAGCTCGACGGTTAAACACTGCTCTCAATCAGCTTCGCTCTAACGACAAATACGAAACCCTAAGAAGAAATTGTTCTAATTTCCGGCTGGTTTTTCCGCTTAAAGACTAAATGTGGGGTTGTGGCAGATATACACTTGTGGAGTTGGCCGTTAACCTGGCCATCTACCATATTCATATTGTCCGGGAAAGTTTATACCCATGCAGATGTAAACCAAAGAATTTACTAGTTGTCAAAGTGGGTGTCAGGGGCTCGACTACCGATGGCACTTGCTGCATTATACTAGCTGAGAAGACACAATGAGCTTCACGATCGTCCCAAAGTCGATCACCTAGGATCTCGCGTAACCATTCCGTCCAAGGAAGAAAAGCATACGCACTCCACAGGATGGTATTCTACTAGTTCTAGCATCGGATGCACGGCACTAGCTGCCATACCCTCAGGAAACCGCAAGTACTTGTAGCCGGCGGCTGCCGTTCAACGAAAGCTTCTATACATATACGAAGCCCCCGGCCCTATGGGTCTTAGCTCTTGGATTTCCTTTGTTATTTGAACTTTTGCTTTGGGTATTTGACCGTATTGTTGTCTTGTTGGAAAGACGAAGATGGCTTCGACGTCGGATATCCAAGTGGCCTCTTTGGCTGCCGGGTTTACACTCGGCTTCGGGTTTCTGACAGTCTGGAAGGCAATTCAACATACTACGAGAAACAGACGGCCATGGAGGAGCCAGTACATCTACATGATTTGGGGAGAGATTTTGGCAAACCTTAGTATCGGCATTATCGGATGGGTCTTTCTTGATGGCCTTATTGGTCCAACGTAAGTGCGGAATACACCTCTTGATGGAGGACAAGACGATGAAGCAGAGAGAAAGGAGGAAAGTGGAAGTCAATTGCATATGGAGATACATATCCACGAACATAACAACATGATCTCGCTCAGATTGTAGGAGCAATCTCAGCTAACTGAATCCTATAGGGTACCCGTTCTATTCTTTTTCCTATTTCTCTGGGTGTTCGAAATCCAGCTGCTGATGCAAATCATTGTGAATCGAATTGCAATTATCGCGGAGAACAGAAGCACGGTAATGAAGTTAAAATGGGGCACAGCAGGCATTATTACCTGTATCAACATAGCCGTCTTTTGTATCTGGATCCCGGCACATACCAATCCTCCGGTTAGCGAATTGTGAGTAATAGATGGACCTCGATTGATTTTCTGCGGCGAGGTGATTACTCACACTGTTGATGATGGCAGGTATGTCCGAATTAACGAAATTTGGGATCGTATTTCAAAGATTTTAATTTTAATTGTCGATGCTGGCCTCAACTACTACTTCCTACGCACTGTCAAAGAGCGCCTTGTTACTCAACATGGACTTAGCAAATACGCCCCCTTGGTCACTTTCAATGCTAGGCTGATGATAGTATCTATTCTCATGGATGTAAGTTTACGGCCTTGATCATACATACATAAGAATTTGGCAGCTAACGATGATATAGGCTATGCTTATTGGACTTATGTCACTGCCAAATCAAGTTGTTTACATTCAATTCCACCCTGTTACGTACATGGTCAAATTGAACATTGAAATGACGATGGCGGACCTCATTACGAAACTTGCGAGGGGCGAGAACTCGGATATGAACATGCCATCCACGTCCCACCACCGAACGGAGATTCGGGAAGACGATGAGGGCGCTAATGCGCAACAAAATTACAAGATGCAATCTATACAAAGCACCAAGCCTGTGGGCGAAGATTTCTCGTCCATCGATGATGACATGGGCCAATTCGACGAGTCTAAAGCTGCTAGCACTCGCGGAATTCTTGACGGAGGAATTCAAGTCGAAACCGTCATCACTTCAAGAATCTCACGAAACTCTAGAGTTGGTGAGAGGCGGAATGACGGCTCGGATGATGAGCTCCCACTGTCGTACCCTGTCCGGTGACTAAGCCAGGGTGTGGGGGAGCAATAATTTGGTGGTTGTAATGACTGGAACTAGCTGCGCCGCAACGGCACAGCAGAGGATACGATACCCCAGAGGATAAGTAGGCCTGAGTCTAGGCCTACTATAATACAGAGAGGAGGACATAATGGAGTTGATATGAACTATTGGGGAGCTACGTAAATTAACACAAATGATGCTATGAATATGCTAATGTTTTAATGATATTTCTTCGCCTGAGCTTTGCAATTCGCCTTGTATTCCTCAATCAAATCTCCCTCAAGATGCACTGCGTCGCTCTCCTCCCACGGGTGGTCCCTTTCCACCTTTCGAATAAGACTGGCATACTTTTCATTTCGCGGCTTAATGCTGTAAGCGAATTTTTGAGGGTGGTTTACCAAACCAGGTGTACTTTTAAATTCCACATCAATCGGCTTGCCATTCTCGTCCACCGCCTTTTCAATGGTAAACGCCGCCAGAAGTCGTGCAATAGTGAGATAAAGACTTTCGGTTGCAAGGTATCTTCCAGGGCATACTCTGCGACCGTATCCAAACGCGTCACCCAGGGGATCGGGTTCGTTTCGAGGTTCCAAATAGCGCGCAGGATCAAACGAATCAGGTTCGTGATACACATTGGGATCGTGCAAGAACCACCAGATAGACGGCAGGATGTATGAGTCCTTGGGAATGCGGTAACCGCGGAAGAAAAGTTCCTCTTCCGTTTTATGTGCTGTTCCAACTGGGACTACCGGAAAGAAGCGAAGCGCTTCCTTGGCAATAGCATCGGTGTAGGGCAAATTGTCTCGGTCTTCGTACTCAGGTAAACGGCCAGAGCCGACCACGCGGTCAATCTCTTCTTGAGCCTTTCGCTGAACATCTGGAAACAGGATCATGGCAATTGTAAACGTCATTAGGGTCGATACCGTAGTATCTGCGCCACCGCCATACATGCTTGTAGCTGTGAGCTGAATAATTTTCATGTCTTCTGGGCTCACTCCGGAACCATCTTCATTACCATAGGTTCTAATAAGCCCAGAGACGTATGATTGTTCTTGGTGGATACCCAATTCCATCTGTTTTCTAACAAAGTGGTAAGGGGTACTAACGACGGCCTCATTAATAGCTCTCCATTTGCGAGCAGTCTGCTTGAAGCCTGTGCCGGGGAACCAATCTGGAAGATGTCTGAGAGCAGGGATGATATCGACAGGCCATGACATGGGCACAAAAGCAGCAGACAGGTTCGACATGACGTCCTCAATAAGCTTTACTAGAGGATCCGGGTTAAGCGGCTCAATGGTATAGCCATAGGTAATCTTAAGAATAATTGCTGACGCTTCACTTCAGGGGAATTAGTTGATGATATTCCTTCTTAAAAGTAGAAAAGAAAAGAAAAGATAGGAACAGAACACATATTTCCAACATACGCTTTCAAATGCTCCATGAAGTTCTGAGGATCGTTTAGCACACGCAATAGAAGACGCTTTGACTCTACATCCTGGATATCGCTAAACCGAGCTGCAAGAGGTTTAGTCCCTAGCTGCTGGTGAATATACTTGCGGTGTTGACGAAATTCATCATCATATGGCATAGCAGGAAGGAATTCGCCAAAACCACACATTTCAGTCGCAAAGAATAACTGGGCTCGTGCAGATGTCTTCATCGAAGTCTTCTCCAGAAGCTCCGTAACGGCGTCCGAATCATGAAGAATGACCATTGTCTGGCCCAGCACATTAACCGAGCTGATAGGGCCATATTTGTCTTTGAAAGGAAGCCAGTGTTCAAACTCCGGTACACCTGGGGGTGGAAGATCGTTGATGTTTCCAAGAATGGGAAGAGGCTTTGGGCCAGGTGGTAGTGGGAGGAGAGTTTGCTTCTTGCGGAAGAAGAGGCGATAAATAATAAAGGCCAGGGCAGCAACAATGCCCTGGGCAATTATTAAATTGGACATTGTGAGTTATACAAGAAGAAATACACCAGGCAGTAACGGCCTTGTGCGTTTGCCCACCGAACCATCAAGTTGAGAAAAAGTCTGACGCCGGGGCATGGGCAAACTATATAATAATTCGAGCTTGACGGTGCTTCCCACTCTTCATCTCTTTCTCCACACTGTCAGCTCCAATCATAATCGAAACATTACGTGTATCTTACTTCTGTCGTTATCGCAGTCGAAGTGAAAAATAGATCGCCCCAGTAATTCTATGTGCGTCTGCCTACATATACCCATGTCCCTCATCTATATACTACCTCGGCGCGTACGCTAGCAGGAACTGTGTTGGCCCCCTCGCTTGCATTGTGCGGAAAGATGAAAATAATCATATATTAGGCATTAGATCAGAGTAAAATATTCCTACTTAGGTAAAACCGATTGATAATTCCACATTGACCCGGACATAATTCACTCTAAGTTAGTTGTCCGCGTTTTAGCTCCAACGAGCTCTTGCTTTAGGGCTGTCAATGTGGGTTCCCAGCGCCCGCAACGCCATAACCGGCGTGAAACTCGCGCGAATCAGTGTGGCAGAATGAAAGTGATAGAAGTGAGGATTATATATTGGACTGGAATCCTAAGGCCAAGTTTCGGCCATACACACCATCCACACGTGTTGCAACTTTTAATAGAGCGTCACATCGCCCTGTATTCATCGTAGTCACGAACATGCCAGTTAAGCACAGCGACATAGCCGAGCGAAAAGCTGCGTGGTTGCAAAAGGGTCAGCGTGGATACTTCTCCAAAAATTAGTCGATCTTGGCCATAGTTTCAAATGCAATATGATGCAGCCGAGTCAAACTAATCAAATAATAACGGTTGTTACCTTGTCTCAAAGAACTGGCTAAATGGAGTTTCGCGTAAACTTTCCACCCCAGTGGGATGCCTGCGTAGTAGTTTATCCTTGCAATATCCTGTTGAAAACCGATGTTTGTCTCAGCGTAACTTTGAGGCTCGTAGGGCTGTCATGCTTTCTTGAAGTCTCAGCTTTCGAACTGAGAATCCTCTCTGCCCCACAGGTTCGCGAAGCTCGCCTAGGATAGACGAAAGAGGAAAATGCTGATAAGCCGAATAGGGATGGCGCTACATCCCGAAGATATCCCACTGTTGTCCTACTGTTGCGAAACAACGTGTCAGATCAATTCTAAAACGAGCAACCCCGCGTAAATGGAATGGAGCATGGATGGATGCAACCATTAAGTTGCTATGGGAAATATTATCCAATCAACTAGACATGAAACATACATAGAAACCGGGCAACTAATCAACACACAATTTAGATGGCATACGCGCAGAAGTTGCCTTGTTACTCTCAACATACCTACCCGCATACTCAACTAGTCTGTTGTCTCTGCCCATTTGCTAATATTTGGCAACTTTCCAAATGCGCACACAAACCAAAACCGTCACCTTTCTTCATTGCTAAATACATAGAGTATCTGGGTACTCACTACTCACTTCTTCGTATTGATATCCTTAGCTTTGGCATTGTGTGATTTAGAATTTTATATCAGTTAAAATAAATGGCATACACATCATCATTTAAGCCCTGTCTCTATTTTCATAATTCTCTAGCAAGCCTTGACAACCAAGGCGAAGTTTAAGTGGACTTCTTTCTTCATGATGATTGTCAATATATATATATATTTCTTGAAATGAGAGAAATGCATCATTAGACAAAGAAGCGCGAAATCGACCAGATATACAGAGTATTCTTGTCGCGACTCGCTTCACACTATGACCCACTTGGTTAGAGTCTCCTCTGATGGCTATTGATGCTTGGAAAATAACTCCTATCTTGCATCTGAAGAGATCAGCCAAGCGATGCGAGAGAAATAGGGACCGCAAAATTAAAATACACACAAATTGAGAATATGAGCACTATTAGACCAGTTAATCAGTAGAGAATAGTGTCATTGTAGTGTGTGAAGTTGAGAATTGTATGCCGATCATTAGTGAATTCCCTATTTTTCTTCACAGCCCTTGTCAGCCAAGTATAGTACTTAAGTATACGCTAAATTCAAAAAGAGGATATATCCCTTGGAAAATGTACAGTATGTTCTTGGATTGGGTATAACATTGCGTCCTTATGAAACTTACACGTACAACGCGCTTATGTACATATAAGTGCATAAAGTGTTGCAACGACACCGTGACGCTGAATTCCTTGCCATATTTCTACACAAAATCTCTAGTAGAATATGAAGCAAATCGTTTGATCCTTAATGACTGGATAGATGCTAGAAGGCAAAATTCCCAATGAACCTACCTATTGCAACATTTCCTGTTTTTGGTATCCAAGATGGACATTGTCATCCTCGTCCCGATAGATATCTTCCTGAGTAATGTCCTGTTACAGTCCAGCGCGTAAAACATGGTCCTGTTCAGGATTGAAGACTAACTTAATGTCATTGCCTATCTGACTCTTTATTCATCGGCATTTTCTTAATTAAGCAGGCTCGGGCTCGAGATGCCATTGCGGGGGGGTGGATAAGGCGTAGAGTTAACGAAGGAGCAGGGCTGCAAATTAGTCACTAAAACTTCAGTATAATCCCCCCAAAAATTGGTTAGTTAGTAGCTTGACTCAGTCCTGTTCTTTCAGTTATTCAGCAACTGAATCCCATTCTGTCGTTACTAAAAACTTGGTTAGTTAGTTGCTTGACTAAAAGCCATTTTAGATATTTAGTAAGTAAAAGTAGATTAGCCCTAAGGTATATTAGCAACCTTGAATGCGCGTATGGTTCGTTGATTTGTATGAGGCAGGTGAGAAACGGCCAGACAAGAGAGAAAAATAGATGAAATATATATTTAAATATTCGCGTCAAACATGTCGCTACTTTCATCCAACCGAGAACATAAACTCAACATTCAGTAGAGGGGCCATTTTCAGTTGCTCTGAACCTCCATCCTCAACCGGTTACTCGGTTCCAAATGCTAAAGAGTTATTTGTACGTAAAGTGTTCCATCGCAAGATCACAAAGGGAAATAAGAAATCCTTAGCAAGTTTCTGTAAAGATCTGTCATAGATTGGGGGGATGCTCAAGCATTGTCGAATTATCGCACCATCCGTATTTATAATAATGAAATCTACTAGTATAATTGCTGTTGGATACATATATATTCCGGCACGCACACATATATATGTATGTATACAAAAGAAGCAACCAAAGAAAGAATTAAAGGCAGCCACAAACTTCTGTTAGTAGATGGTGCAAAGAATAATAGGCTGCGCATTTATTTACCCTGTATTACTGTATTCGGTGGTGCGGGATACAACTTCATCACATGCTTCATGTACGAGCAATTGGGTCATTATTGCAGCAAAAAATGCCATAAAGATTTCGGTAAAATGTCCTGTTTTAGGCAGGAGAGTAAACGATAAGGTCATAACATATAGTTCTAGAGTTTAGATTGTGCATTGTATCATTCGCACTGGTTAGTCGCTGATGCTGCCTGTCGGCATCGATTCGTGATATTCGCCATTATTCCCCCACCAATGCAATACCTAGCAATACCGGCCCTGCAATTACGCCTTATCACGCAAATGCTTCTCGGGTATAAGTTTCTTTATGTGGATAAGAACACAATTAGAAACAAGGGGAAGGCTTCATGTATCATAGAAAACATTGGTCTCAGGATAAGACAGTGTCAACCATCAACATGGGATGCAAACACTAACACTCCAATGCCGTCCTGCAGGAAGAAATCTAGGTACATTTTTTCTTTTGCTTCACCTAATATTTCCTGATAAGCTGCAGGAAAACTATTTCGGAAGGTAGTATTTATCGCTATTTTATGATGCTGCACTTTACACAACTGAAGGTTCCAGATATCTATAAAGGCAGAGGTATTTCCGCGTTGGAAAGGGATTCAACAACAGCACTCAGCAGCATACTGCAGTATCAAGCGCTCAGTCTTCACTAATAACCGTGATATATCTTTAGCAATCGCTAAATTCTCGCAAACTTTGCAATATGAAATTCTCCGCCATCACACTCAGCTACGCGCTGTTCGCTAGCTATGTCAGCGCCGCTCCCCGAGGTCACAGCACTCTGGAAGAGCGTATTGCTCGCAGAGCTGCAGCGCGCTCATCGAGACCGAATCAACGCATCGAAACATCTGACAGGAGCAACGACACCAATGTCTCTTATTCTACCAACTGGTCGGGAGCTGTCATCACGTCGCCCCCATCTGGACAGACCTTCAACGCTGTCTCTGCCAGTTTCGTAGTGCCCACACCCAAGGCCCCCTCTGGGGGATCTTCCCGTGGAACTTACAGCGCTTCTGCTTGGGTTGGAATTGATGGAGACACTTATCAAAACTCTATTCTGCAGACCGGTGTTGACTTCACCATTGAGAATGGTGTAGTATCATATGATGCTTGGTATGAGTGGTTCCCTGATTATGCCTACGACTTCTCCATCCAAATCAACGAGGGTGATACTATCAAGGCTAGTGTCAGTGCATCCACCAGCACCTCTGGTGTTGCTATTATTGAGAATGTCACCACGGGCAAGACCGTGACCAAGTCTCTCACGTCTTCCGCTGCTCTTGGAGGACAGAATGCAGAGTGGATTGTGGAAGATTATGAGGAAGGTTCCTCTCTGGTGAACCTTGCCAACTGGGGCAGCGTTGTTTTCACTGGTGCCACAGCCTCGACCAAGAGCTCTACGCTTGATGCTTCTACTGCTTCCATCATTGATATCCAGCAGAGTGGAAAGACACTCACCAGCGTCACTGTTAGCGGCTCAACTGTCACTGACAAATATGTCTAAACTGGTGGTGAGAAAGGCGGCTTTAGCTCCACTGGTCCTTCTACCATGGCGTTTGATGGTTGGTAGGCCTGCTGAATATGACTGAGGAGCTGAGTCGTGGCACATATGATAGGATGGTATTTGGAGGCGTAAGGGATCCATGGGTAGTCCATATCACAGATTCCATAGTCAAATTCTAATCTGTTTATTTGTGGAGAAAGTCAGTATAAGTTGTCCATTAATGGTTGATGTCTCGTAGTGATCCCTGGCATTCCACCTTGTATAAGAAGGTTATATTTAATTTATCTAATCGATCCAACGTTACTATGTGTATTAGGAAGTTTGGGTTTAGAACCTATCTACTCTTACCAATTAGCCCTTAAGCCTCACCTTTGTCTCTTCGTCTTTCAAAAATAGCCTCAGTAGTCAATAGAACTTTCATTCAGGATCAGAGTCCAGAATGGTTGGGCTCTCTATGCATTCGTTCCTACTTAGTGCGTCGGCATTTATTTTGCAAGCTGTACACACCGCTCTTTAATTACACACAGAGTAACAACGCTGGCCTCCTCCACTTAACTCGTGACAACTGCGTTCATGTGTCTTTTTTCCTATGGGCTCAATGGCTATTCTTTTCATTGTTTTCTTTTTTTTTTTTTTTTTTTCTCTTTGGGCATATTCTTCATTGTAAATCGCGTCATCACGCCCCAGAACTACACTAGTACTGGGCACTGATGGATCTTTTATTTCCATGAATGGAACTGCTAGTACGAGCTGAATCGATACAAATATCCCGAAATTGGACATAGAGGAATGCCCCATAATATGAAATGTTATATGGCTTAGATTGATGTACGGCCAATTTGGCTGGATGCGCAGCGACTTCTCTGAGACTCGGAATTCATCTCTGTATGCCGGAAGCATCGAAATGCGTTGAATAATACCCCGCCCAAATTCGATGCTGCCCGGATCAAGCGGCACGGGCGGTCATGGGTATTTTGCGTAGTTCGTCATCCAAGGTCAATTTGAGAGAATCATCCAAAATGCAATGCAACACCGACTTTCTAGGTATTTATGGGCCGTAGTCCAAATCATTGGAGGAAGCGCTCCATAGATTGCGCGTACTTTAAAGAGAGAGTGCTTGATCTCCCTGATCGCAGTGAAAATAAACTTGTAGATATGCTTGAGACATATAAACGTTAAATATTGCAGCAGGTATCGTATGTATTTACATTAGTCTTTAAAAAAATATTGAAATATACGTTTAAGAGACAATTCAGGAGTTAAGAATGCTGTATAGAATGATACTTATGTATATGTAGATTACGCAGCGATTTATTACGCCATTACTTCTACAAGGTACCAATGCAACATTGAGTCCTTCAGGATGTCTAGCACGCCGAATATCCACTTTGGGCCTCGAATGAGAAAGTGTAGATGGTGAGTGGGGAATAAATATAGCAATGCGAACATGATGCATCTCGATTGTGAAATGGCAAAATCACGATTAACACTCGCCTCCTGCGTCTATTACCCTCGAGTTCCTTACGCGGACACATCTCTTACGACTCAAACCATTTCAAATAGCATTTATTTCGGCGAGTCATTTCATATGACAGACTCAAACAGGCAGCTTTTTTCCGACTATGGTCTAAATTTTGGCCTTTCCAAGAAAATTGTGGTATAGCGTAGCGTTCCGAAGGACATGTAGCCGTATTTACGTTGCTTGAGATAAATACAGCAAAAAATGAGAAATGGATATCTCCAATCATAGTGCATCCGCTCTGCATATATTTTCATCTGTACAGGCACTCTGAAACTCAACAGCACTATCCTTCAATTCTCATATGGATAAAAGCAAAGGCTGAGGAGTAGTCTCGATGATGAACAAAGATCGGGGAGTACTACTATGCTGTAAAAATATGAGAATTTAGACCATGCCATTCCAATGGTTCATGCAGGCCTAATACCTACAAAGTTGGGTAACGGATAGGTCCAGTATTCAGGAGTGCGAATTAACCCGCGAGAATAGCGCTATAAGATCCCTAGTGGTGTCTAGAACGATTTTCCCACCATCTTCTCCCAGGTAGCTGTCGCCTTGATACTAGCATCAACTAGTGGCGAGACTCGGTTACTGCACTGCGCGGATAATAATCCGTTACTCTTCACAAAGTATGTAAAACCGCTATTTGGAGACAGTCTTTCTCCCACTTTTCGAGCTAGATATTCTGTCTGATGAGCTACCCACATGGTTGAACTGATTTGAGCATGATAACAAGTACCTATTTTCTTCAGTGTAAGATTTATGATCCAGCAGCGAACTTTGGTGTCTGGCAAACCTACGCGCCCATTGTCGATCATAAAATTAAGGTCGTAGAAGTGTAAATATGCGCTGTAATACTTGCAGTGAAATTAGTCTAATAGAAGATATTCGCACCAGTCAAGTAATCAGTGAGATCAGTTTATCATGGACAGGCCCAGGACTTCAAAACAACACTCCGAAGAGAATTTTCTTACTGAAAGTCATGTTATTAAAATTTTGAAATAATTAGATATGATCACTTGAAGAATTTAGCCGTTTTAGAAGCAAATATTACATCCATTGTTATGTAAGTAGGACTAAAAACATCTAAATTAAATTTTGCAAGTAGGGTGTCGGCCTCAAGTAGAAGAATTCTGATCTGCGGTATGGGTCTCGTCTGGAGATAAAACTTCATCCACACTGAAACTCGGCCAAAAAGCCTGTATGATGTTAACTGGGAGTACACAACTTATATGTGGAGAGAGGGTTTACCGATGAGTCCAAATCCAACCAATCTGTAAGCTGCCAATCATGAAAGATAGGCATTTGTGCCATTGAGTTGCCCTGAGAGATGCTAAAAAACCCGCCCCCATCATTATTATTGAGAGTAGGGGTGCCTGGATTAAGGTCTATTGACTGTTCATGTGGTACGTTATTTGGAGTTCTCAACTGCTGTGGAGTCGATTTGTTTACCGCAGCAGCTCGAAATCCTTCCAGGATCACAGCATATCGCCGACTGGGTGAATTTGAAGATGTTGCTTGAGCAAGATGGCCGTGACAGTTCTCTGCAAGTTGCATCAGTCTCACACTATAACTGGGATCGTCTGTAGCGCCTATACGATGTTGCTGCATAACCCATACGTATGTTACCACCAGGGCACAAAACGTCACGTAGTGAGTCCACCAAAAGGCGTGAAAAATAGGCCCGTCTCGGGCCATAGTGTCTACCGATTCCAGCACATCTTTTGCAGCTTTAATACAGTCGCTAATCTGTGAAGTATAAACAGAAGCCGGGGAACGCATCAGAAATAGGCGGTTGACATGCATAATAGCGTGCGAGTGAGCGAGCCCCAGCGCTAAAGCTGGCCTTCGATAGCTGGGGATCAAAATAGATGGATGAACTGCACCAAGATGTGCAGGTAGGCTTTGATGCCAATCTTGAACCCGTTGCGTTAAGTCTTTTGCGGCAGCTATTCTTTCGACTTCAGAAATGAGTTTCGTTGTGTACATATCTTGTGAAATAGCTCCAATTATCTTTGCAATGCTAATGAACAAATGAGTTAATTCAATGTCAGATCATATGTCAGAGACAATATTAAATACCAGTATGTGCTTACCGTGCATGAAAAACCAACGCGTCAGTATGACACCCTCGGCGATCATCAATATCACCAACAGGCCCGTCTGCTGACATGTCTTCATCATTAATTCGATCGGGCAGATCTTGATCAATGTATTCATCATGAAAATGACGTGGTCTCCCAAATACAACTCCAAGATAATTATCAAGAACATATGCAGTCCAGAAAGTTCTAAGAGAGCACTGTTTTTCGATATAATCAGCTGCTGGCTTGTGTCTTCTTCTCCAATCAGCACGGCGTTGCAAACCCAGAGCAGAAATAAGCTGTAGTGCATTTCCAAAAATATACCAGCTCTGATTGAAACGTGAGGTGGTAAGAAGATATAGAACTTGAACAATGCGAACTTGGGCTGACTCTAGCCTGGGGAATCCTGTCTCTTGCTCTGTGAGCCTCATTGAGAAGCGGAAAAGATTATCAGCTAAGCGAAGCGCTTGACAATCTCCTGTGAGATATCCCTTAGACTTCTCACGATGGAACTTGGCAACTGATAGAATTGCGTATATAGTGGCTGCCTTTGCACGTCCAATCGTGTGCCATATGGCTATCCCTTCCTCCATATTGGTTTCCATAATACTCAGCCAATTTTCGGTAGATGGACGATGTAAGATGCGGTATGTAGCGATGCAGACATCGAAGTAAAGAGCCAAGAGAAACCTGGCCTCCAATGGGTCAGGGAGAGTATACAGTTGCTGGCTGCCTTCGCTTTCTATTGCCAACGGCTTGTCTCCAGCCATATATACCAGCTGACTTTCAGCTGATGACCGGGAATCATCACTGCCCTGACTGCTACCGTGAGTCGCTAGGCGCTTTGACGCTCTATGAAGAAATGCCAAACTAGACGTCGGATCAAATACCTGACCTTGGATTTCTGCCATTCCCAACTCAGGCGATGCACGAGAGGGAGCAGCAAGTCCTTCTGGTTGTCGCGATGTCTGGGCTATTTGCCCATTACCACTTGGGGTTAAACCAGAGCTCGGCATGAAAGATATGCTTTCAGGTACAGCGAATCTGCTGGCTGAAGACCGTCCACTGTCGCCTCCCGACTGCAATTGGCTCACATCGGATGACGGCGGAGGCGTAGGTGGCATGCCACGAGTATACTTTGCCTCATACAAGCATACTCGGCCTCTTGATATGCACTTTGCGCATGGCTGGTCACCGCTGCATTTCGCTTTTCTTGACTTGCAAAAGTCACAAGCGCGACTAACTTTACGCGCCTTCCGAAATGCAAGATCTGGAGTATCTTCAATGTACTCAGAGCTCCTCTTCTGCCCTGTGACTTCTGGTGCCATTAGGTGCTTAGTCAATACGTGGTGGATACGGGGTAGGATACGTTTCTTGCTGTTATCACCGCAACGCGAGGAACGTCTAAAAGGCGGAAAAGAAGCCGAAGGATGGAGTATTAATACGAGGGTTAGACTGCGATGCACTAAAATAGTAGCAGCGTCCCTTTCCCAGTGCGAGACAGACTGGGGACTTTGAGGATGCTGCATTGCGGGGATTTCGTGAGAAGATTACGAGTTCTGGTCCACCTGGGAGCCTAGTCTCAATATAGAAGATTGCAGGTTCAAATGGCATGACGATAGGTGTATTTACTGTGATAAGGTCGCTAGATAAAGAAGCAGTATATACGGAGTAGTCGGCCTAGTTTGTAGCATATTCTAGCCACTGTATGGGTATAGTTGTCGAGATTTCAGAAAATAGTCATTCCCTACATATGCAGGTTCTTATTCAACCTATGAAGCTTTGGAGAAATTGATGCATTGCCCTTTATCGAAAAAGAAAAAAGATAATATTTTTTCCCCTCCATATTATTGAATGTAACAATATAAACATTTCACCGAACAGTTGAAGGGAGCCGCAGTGGTGGAATCTTTTAGTTGAGGCAACAACCCCTAGAATACAAATACCAAATAGCACCGATTAGAGTGTATGCTTGAAAAGCAAACTCTTGTCCCCCAATCTAAGAAGTTCGTCTTCCGAAAACTGTGCTCTAATCTGTTCTTCAGGAATCTTGGACTTCTGTTGATTAGCCCACATATAACTCAATTCCAGGAATAGGGCAACAAGAACGCCAGAGCCACCAAAGGCCAAAGAGAGACCAAAGCCTGTGTGATAGAAAGGCGCTTCTTTGTCAAGATACATGAAGCTACCGATAATTCCACCAATGTTGCCCATACAGATGCAAAAGGCAACTCCGATCGCGCGACGGTTGGCTGGAGCCAGGTTATTGGCGGCCCAACTAGTTCCGGAAGGCTGGACAGGATAGATACCCATGCAAGTAAGCACAAGGGCGAAATAACCAGGGCCAGTATGGCTGCCTCCCAGGTCGCCGTTGAAGCCTATCACAACAGAGTATCCGATAGTGATGAGTAATAAAGGAATGACAACGAAGGGCATCCGCCAGAGAAAACGATCAGATAGGAAAGCGAAGAAAATAGAAGAGATACCTCCTGCGACGTAAGCAGGTACTGTCATAAGTTGGGCCATTGTGTTGTTGGAAAAGCCCATCGCCTTAATTATGGAAGGAAGGGTGAATTTGGTACCATATGAGCATGCTGAAATACAAAGGAGAATGTATGCTTGGAGATAAAGCCTCCAATTGGTGAGAACCATTCTGAATTCATACCAGCCGAATCTGTTCTCAGCTGACTGTTCTGAGAAACGTCCACCCTGCTTCACGAATGCTTGGAGCTCAAGGAATCTTATCTCGTCTTGCGACAACCAACTTCCTGAGAGCGAGGGAGAATCAATGAGGAAAAAGAAACAAAGCACTCCAAGCAGAGTAGTAGCAATACCTTCGAGGAGGAAGATCCACCGCCAGCCCTCATACCCACCAATGCCATCCATCAGAGCAATTGCAGCGGCCAAAAGACCTGAAAATGCTCCGGACAAAGCACTGGTGCAGTAAAAGTATGCAATTCTTGTGGCAAGCTCCTTCGGCATGTACCAAAATGTACAGAGATAAATTGCGCCAGGGTAAAACCCCGCTTCGAACACGCCAAGCAGAAGTCGCACGGCGAGCAACCCGCCAAAGTTGCTGACAACTCCGAGCATGGTCATAACAATTCCCCAAATAGTGACCAGCGAGCCGAGATAGACTGAGGGGCGTTTGAACTTCTTCAATAAGACATTGCTGGGTACCTCGAGCAAGATGTATGGTATGAAGAACAGGGCTAAGACAATATTGTACTGGTTGCCCACTAGATGAAGGTCTTCAGCAAGTCCTTCAATTTTTGCATTTCCAATATTTGCACGGTCGAGTTGTGAAACGAGATAGAGAATCGCCAGCATTGGGACAAGTCGTAGATCAACCTGTGGACATAGAGCGGTTAGCGTTAATTTTTATTACAAAGACGGCTCTTGCTGATGCTTCTCACCTTTCTGACGATTTTCTTCCTCTGATATTGTGTTACGCTATTATAGAAAGCTGCATCATCTTCGCTCAGACCCAGCACAGGTATGCTGTCAATAATTCTAACTTGCGCTGTTTTCTCTATGTCGTTGTTGGTAGGTATTTCATCTTTATCATCGATCATGACAATCTCTGGTTTCTCGATTTTCGCAGCGTTTAGGGCCATGTTAATGTTTTTGGGCCAAGATTGAAGAAGCTGGGTTTAAGATGCTTAGATGGAGGCCACATAAGACGGCTATAACCAACTGTGAGAGAATGGGGAGAACACCGCCTGTATCTTAAACCATGGAGCCATCGAGGTGGTGTCAGGAATTTTATTATGAAGTACCTATAAGCTGTGATTAAGTATATCCTTAATTATCAACTGATGTGACTACATTTCATCCGACTCTCTGGGTAGCTTAGTATTTGCCCCGCACTCGAAAATCAAATCTGGGGTAAAGTTCCACTTGCATTCTGCTAACGAAAAGCCGGTGGATGTTGGGGATTTTTATCCGAAATTTCAAGATCATCGTCGTGCTAACGGATAAAGATCCGCAGAGAGGGAATATCGAGAAGGAGCATCAATGAGGCCATTCATGCTAAAACAACGAGGGATCGCATTTGACATGGTTATGCTTAGATAAGCATTTAATATAGTGCGGCTATTTTCCCTCTCACTATAGAGTGCAAAGTAATGAAATAGGTCCCATATCCCCAGATTCCAACTGAGTGCAAGGAAACTTTCTCTTGATATTTTTATAAAAGTCTCAACTCGAAACATTATGCCAGCTGCCATCTACGTTTCGGCTTCTCATCAGGGATCTTTGGATCCCTCAAGAAAGCCCGTAGTGAGGCCATCGTCAACTTCAGCCAATATAGCCAAGTCCGAGTCCGTACCCCGCACAATCGATGCATTATTACGCCTACGCGCTACATCTTATCCTCAAGATCATATTGTTTCGTATCCAAAGTCAGGAATAGAATTTATAGACTATAATCTACAGCAACTTGATGTATTCGCTTGGAGGGTGGCAAATCATTATGAGCGGCATCTACCCGCGCGAAAGTCATCGCAAGAAAAGCCGCTTGTTGTGGCACTCTTAGGCGTATCAAATTTCGAATATCTCATTACGCTGCTCGCTCTAATAAAGCTTGGGCATACGGTTCTCCTTCTATCAACGAGGATCACAGTTCCAGCTATTGAATCTCTCATGAATGCTACATCAGCCTCTACAATCATTGTAGACAGGAAACATTTGAGCACAGCAGGAGAGATTCAAAATCTGCTCCCACTATTGCAACTATATGAGATTATAGACCGTCAAGTATTTGAGTTTTCAATAGAAGCTCATGGAGACACTCAACTAGATTCTCATCTAGATCCGGAAACCGAGACGGAAAATATTGCTCTTATCGTCCATTCAAGCGGTAAGTCAAATAAGGTTTACACTTAGTGAAAATAAAAATTGATGGAAACATAGGATCAACTGGCCATCCAAAGCCAATTTTTCAGACACATAAATCATGTCTTGCCAATTATGCAAACAGCATGAATATGAAATCATTCATAACAATGCCGCTATATCACAACTATGGTATCTGCAGCTTCTTTCGGGCATTGCACTGCCGTAAATCTATTCATTTTTACAATGCTGAACTTCCATTAACCCAAGAAAACTTGTTGAAAATCTTCCAGAGAAACAAATTTGAGATCTTCTATGGCGTTCCATATACGCTCAAGCTGCTTTCAGAGTCTCAGACAGGCATTAATCTCCTTCAGGATTTAGAACTTGTAATGTATGGTGGTTCAGCCTGCCCGGATGATCTAGGAAATCTTCTTGTCGAGAATGGAGTTAATCTTATAGGTCTTTATGGAGCGTAAGTGAATTCGTTTTCCGCGTCTTTGCAAAACAGTGTTAATAAAAAGTAGAACCGAAGTTGGGCAACTCATGACTTCTTTTCGCCCGAAAGACGATAAAGCGTGGAATTATGTCCGAGAACACGATGCACTTGCGCCATTTTTGAGATGGGAGCCACGGGGCTCAAACTTGTATGAGTGTGTTATTTTGGAAGGCTGGCCATCCAAGGTGCAGTCTAGTCGGCCAGATGGCGCCTACGCAACGAAAGATGTTTTCGAACCTCATCCAAGCATTCCTAGAGCGTGGAAATTTATTGCTCGACTGGACGATACAATTGTTCTTGTAAATGGCGAAAAGTTTAACCCTGTGGATATAGAGGGTACAATACGATCGAACAAGAACGTCACTGAAGCCGTCGTGTTCGGTGCTGGTCGTGCTCATCTTGGCATCTTGCTTGTCCCAGCCGCTGGATTGGCTGCTCGCACTAATGAAGAGATACTTGATATAATCTGGCCAGTCGTCGAATTTGCGAACAAATCTGCGGATGCCTTCGCCCGAATTTCTCGAAATATGATCCGGCTATTACCACACGATTGTGCTTATCCTCATACGGATAAGGGAAGCATAATACGACAAGCGTTTTACCAAAAGTTCAAAGCGGAAATTGAGGAAACTTATGATCTTGCTGATTCAAGTTCAGAAAAACTTGTGCAATTCGATCTCCCAGAGCTGCAACAATTTGTAAGAGATCTTCTCCACAAGACGGCTGAAACATCTGCGCCAGTTCAAGACGATGAAGACTTTTTTTCGCTGGGCTTAGACTCATTACAAGCTATCCAAATGAGAAGTGAGATTCTGAGAAAGGTCGATATTGGCGGAAATAAACTTGGGCAACAAATTGTATTTGAGCAGCCGTCAATTAATAAATTGAGCAGCTTTTTACTTTCTCTACGAATTGGTAAAGATGCCGCTGAGAAGCTGTCCATCGAACAACAGATGGAAAATCTCGTGATGAGATATTCGACAGAGACTTTATCTATATCAAATAACTCTTCAATTGTAAGCTCTCTTCTTTGATACCATGATTAGCAATATCTCTGACCTTCCGCTTTTCAGGTTGTTACAGGCGCTACCGGCTCTCTTGGCGCTCATATTGTTGCAAAACTAGCTTCTAGGCCCGATATTGACCAAGTATATTGCCTAGTTCGTGCCAATGATTTAACTCATGGCTACAAAAGAGTTGTACGCTCAATGATACAGAGAAGGGTTTACCACTTGCTGTCTTTAGCCTCGCGGCGTAAAATCATAGTCTTGCCGTCAAATCTGGCAGAGCCAGATCTTGGATTGTCTAAATCAGCCTACGAAGCCGTTACGGAGAATCTCACTGCGGTGATCCACTGCGCTTGGTCTGTTAACTTTAACATGCACCTATCAAGTTTCGAGAAAGGAAATATCGCAGGCGTATCACATCTTATTTCTCTCTGCCAGTCTGCGCAGCCACCCGCAACAATGAACTTTTGCTCGTCAGTCAGTACTTGCTCTCAGGCAACGGTTGTTCCTGTTCCCGAACGCGTTCCAGACTTTTCATGGGCACAAAACATGGGGTATGCTCAATCTAAATCGGTAGCCGAGCATATTTGCGCTAAAGCCGCTTCTCAGGGTGTAACTACTCGCGTGCTTCGTATTGGGCAAATTATTGGCGATACAGAGCATGGAGTGTGGAACTCCCAAGAAGCAGTACCTATGATGATGCAGACTGCAGTAACAATCGGCGCTCTACCGAGACTTCAAGAAACTCCATCGTGGCTGCCTGTCGATGTTGTGGCAGATGTCGTCACAGATATATCGCTCTCCGGAGCGGGAAGCATATTTGCTAATGTCACTAATCCACAAGTCTTTAGCTGGAATGATGACCTTCTACCTGCTCTACGCAGATGCGGGCTTGTATTTGACGAAGTTGAGCCCAAAGAGTGGATTAAGAGACTGCGGACATCGAACTTGGATCCCGTGGCCAATCCTCCCATCAAGCTACTAGATTTCTTTGCATCCAAGTATGACAGAGATTCGTTCAGTCCATCAAACAGATTTGCCACCGAAGTGGCGCGTTCTTTCTCGCCAGCCTTGGCTACAGTTCCCAGTCTTTTAGAGGGGCATGTCGCCAAATTTGTTAGCTATCTAAATGAAAAGGCATGGAAGATCTCATCATCTCTAAAAGAGGATGACAGAACGGCTATTATTATAACAGGACCATCTGGAACGGGAAAATCGGCGGTTGGAAATAGGATAGCGCAAGCGCTTGACATCCCTTTTATTGAGGGTGACAAACTATGCTCCCGCCAAGACATTGTGAAAATAAGATCTGGCATTACACTCTCTGACGAAGATAGCTTATCTTGGATCGATATAATCAATCGACGAACCACGGATACATTCGCCGACCTTGGATACAACTGTGCGGTTGTTACCTGCTCTGCTTTGAGAGAAAGATACCGCAACCAGATTCGTCGCCATATGTTTGCACATCAAGTAAAGGTTATTTTTATTGATCTACAGGCTGACCGAGATATTCTTGCGAGACGTCTTCAAGAGCGTCAAGACAGCGTTATGGGAGCAAATATGGTCGACAACCGAATACATGTATACGAAGAGCCTAGTATCAAAGAGTTTGATGTCGTACCTGTGGATACAGAGGACGCTGATCAAGCGGTATTGGACAAGATTCGATGGATCGTTGAAGACGGAGTTGAATGGATTTAGAGGCATTTCGAGCCACTTATAACTAGAATATAAAATATAGAAAGATCGGATGTCAAAGAGCAATTCAATAAATGCGGCGTGACGTTGACTGTAAACAGAATTTTAATCGCTATTAAGATTGGCATATCGATGATATGCTACGAAAATATCATTTAAATATGCTTGCACTCTGTTCAGAGAGGCTCCATAAGTACCAGTGGCCCTGCGGGCACCACCAGCGGTCCCTGGCTCTCTAGTACGATCTTCCACCTAGAATCCGCATAACCCAGAGCATACCGCGATATATTAGGTTCTGTTGTGCGATAAAATGCCGCGCGCAATGGCCCTTCTTGATCTTGATCCCAGTATAGCCTCCGAAGCCAGGCGTGCAGCCGGGGATAATCGTGTCGGATCGATTTGAGGTTACATTGAAAGACGCTGTGGTACGCAACGTCAAATCGCGCCAATGTGGTGTATAAACGTATGTCGGCCTCAGTGATTGAGTCGCCGAAAAGAAAAGGCTTTCTGTGGCTAAGATGCTCTTCAAGGCGATCGAGGGATGCGAATAGTGGATAGATATTTTCATCATATGCTTTCTGAGACTTTGAGAAGCCAACCTTGTAGACACCATTGTTCACGGTGTTATATACCCATTCATTCATCACATCAATCTCAGCTCTGAGTTGCGGCGGATATAGGCCTTTACCAGGTCGGTTCTCCTCACGAAGGTGCGCCGGCAAAAACTCGTCAAATTCTGAATAGAGCATACGGATAATTTCTGAAGATTCATTGTTGACAAGGACGTCGGCTTTTTTATCCCATAATACAGGTACGGTGTAGCGACCTGTATAGTCAGGGTCGGCTTTGAGGTACAATTCTTTGAGCTTCTTGAACCCGTGCAGAGGATCTTCGGTTAGAGAGCCTCCTTCGCCGCTAAAATACCATCCCTCAGGGCCCATAGTGAAATGGAGTTGGTAAACATCAATTATAGAATCAAGTCCTTTCAGAAACCGAACTATCAAAGTTCTATGTGCCTATGTACTAATAATATTAGATTTTTTTTTTCTATTAAAATTAAATTAACCCAACTGGTGGGAAGCAGAGGGTGTAATTTGACTAACCCATGGACAACCAGGGGAGAGATACAGGGCATAGCGGCCCTTTTCAGCAGGAAACCGTGAGTTTGGGTCCTTGGAAACGAAATTTCGGAAAATGCTATCTGGCCGAGTGAAATTACCGTTTTCGTGATAAATCTAAACAATGGAGTAAGTGATCTCCCCAGGTGATACTGTGGCTTATACGAAATACCTTTTTTTCTGATGACATGTCGAGTAAGCTATATGTGATGACGCTACGGCAAGATAAGAGGAACTAAGTATAGATTAGATATATTGACTTAAGCCAATTTTGAGCCTCAGAATCTCTCAAGAACCAGGAAATGGGAAGAAACCAAAGTAAATAGATATGTGATCGTATACTTGCGTCCTAATTGGCACTTCCTCTCATTTAAATCATCGCTCGTGGCGTGATTAAAGCTTACAAATTCTAATGCCATAACGCGGGGGATTGGATTTCCAAGCCTTTATCAATCAAAATTGGAGCTACTGAACGACCTAGGCCATTAGGTAAGGCACCTTGCCAGTGGCAGTAACATTATAGAGTATCAAGTTTTACATGCGTATTCTAGGCCATGACAACATGGTGATGGTATAGAAGAAAGCGGACTTGGAGTTGATGTGGTTTTGCTAAGATGGAAGACATTTATTTTTGCAGGGTTAGCTATAAATGATACAGTACTCAAATTGGAAATACATTGGCAAGCGCGACAAGAATTGTAAATTGGGCTTGAGGAGGGGCCGAGCTCCGCTGAGATTACGTGCATGCTATGGAGCGAGGATCCCCCCGTGTTAGGCTTGCAACATAACAATAAGTAGAATGGAGATTATCAAGTACTATTTATAGGTTCATTAATCAAGATATACGTAATAAGATCAACGGGCCTTATGTACCAACTAAATACTCGAGAGCTGCATTGTATTGATAATGCGGCATGAGATTACTATTAAGATGTAATCGTACCACAATCGCCACGCTTAAAAACCAATAGCAATTGTCCATCGTCCATCGGCGATACTAAGGAGAAGTGCATAAAATCCTTCTGGATGCAACCGAGCTGTCAGCCCGCCCTTACCATAGCACAAGTTCTTATTCTACACTAGGAATGACCTACGAGTACTTCAGCGGATGATCCTGATACAGGCTTAAACGCTAGGTATGCAACATATGAGTGGATAAAGTAGCTCTGTACTTTTCTATATATATATATATTAGATAAGGTAACTGTAAACGATGTGACAGGGCCGAGAAGCTTACTTCTCTTAAGCAGCGGAAACTTAAATGAATAAGCTTCACTCACAGGATCCATTTCTTGGCGCTGTACAATTGTGTTGTGATACTATGGCCCACTGTAAAGAGTCTAAAATCTCACACCAACAAAATTGAGGCTACGCATTCAACGAACAATAACACATGTAGGTACTAGTATTCGCAAAAAACATCGCTCAATCACTAATCAGGTATGCCGGGTCAGCGTTTATGTTGTGTACTATTAAATGTGAAATCTGATATAATGATCCGTCGTAAATATCTCGTTGAAGATTTAAGGGTCCATTCGTACTAAACCAATTGACCATTGTTTCTCCATATACCCCCAATTGCTTGGAATTATCACTTGGAATCACTTATTTCAATTACAATATGGCAATGTCCTCTGGCGCTGTTACAACTCTTGACGGAATTTCTATACGATATATTTTTGCTGGGAATGCAACTGATCCTGTGCTACTGTTTATTCCGGGATGGGCACAAACGGCAATCCAGTGGCGGAAGCAGATTTCCTATTTCAGCGCCAAGTACCGCGTCATTGCTATTGACCATCGCGGCTTTGGCGACTCTGATAAACCGGAATGGGGGTATCGAATAACTCGTTTGGCAGCAGACTTGAACGATATAATTCTTCAACTAGATCTTAAGGATGTTGTTCTCTGTGGACATTCCATGGGTTGCTCCATTATCTGGGCACATTGGGACACTTTCGTTTCTTCTCGGACGCGTATTTCTCGTCTTATACTTGTCGACCAATCGCCTTGCATAATCGCAGATCCAGCATGGGATGACGGCGTGGCCAATTCTCTAGGATCAATATTCACACCCACTACTGCTCTTGAGATGGGAAACAGTTTACGTGGGGCCGAAGGAAGGGAATATGCGGCCGGATTTCTGAGATCCCTATTCTCTCCATCACTGAGCGCGGAAGACTTTGTATGGATGAAGCATCAATGGAGCAAAATGAATCTCTCTCATGCAGCCAAGTTATTAATAAACCACGCTGCAGAGGATTGGAGGGATGTCATACCCACAATCACTATTCCTACGCTCGTTGTCGGTGGTGAACGAAGTGTATTTGGGATAAACAGTGCTCGATGGATTGCTTCTCACATCCCACAGAGCAAACTGGAAATCTTTAAAGAAAATGAAAGCGGCAGCCACTTTATGTTTTGGGAGAACGATGCTAAATTTAACGAAGTGGTCGAGAAGTTTCTAAGTAATTAGCAGCGATTGTTTTTCCCTCTTTGACGTTTGGTAGAATCCTTCACTATAGATATATATATGTGGAGCTTCCCCTATATAAAAGTCAGAAATACAAAGTCCTAAATTGTAGTTGGCTTGCAGCAGTGAAGTTTATAGGCATTTTTAGGCATTTTTAGGCATTTCTTTTTCTCTCTATTACTATCAGTCTCAACAATATGCTGTAGTATTCATCTCATAAGACTAACTCAAATACTCCGTGGCGCAATCGGATTTATAAAGGACTCTGGGGATATAGTGAGTTAAGTGGCAACTTTCTTGCTTATACTATATACTCCAGGATTAACATAATAAAACAATAATGACAAATGAAGCTATATGACGACTATGTATATCGTAGGGTTGAATAAGTTATGATTTAAGAAAAATCCGCCCTCTCTCTATCAGAGATCTTCCTCATCCGACTCGCTAGGCAAGGGTAACATTGGGGTCGCATACATAGGGCCCAATTCCCCGGATAAATGGAACAAGTCTGAGTTCACTTCTGGGGCCTTTTTGAGATTCACTGGAATATGCTGGTAAAAGAGGTTTCCTGCATTTGACTTGGCTGTCTCACTCACCACCCCTCCTCTCCTTACCAGGGCGGACTCCGACATAAAGGTGATAGTTAAGATGTAATAATCCAGCTTGCCATCCGTGTTTTCATCACGAGTCCATCGCTTATTGTGCCACGTACTCGTACCGGTCCATCGGGATACTTCGTGACATTTGCCCGAGACGTCCGCGTACAGAACATTGCCATCAGATTTCTTGAAGAACCAATTCTCGGCTATATGCTTGCCAATGGTGTCAATTTGATCCTTTTTGCGTTCTAGTGATTCGAGCTCAAGCCGAAATTCTTGCGTCGAAGGTGACATTGCTGCTGCTGCTCTAGGAATCCAATCAGCTTCGAAGCGCAGCGGCTCATCGTTTTCCCAGAACCACCAGTCCGTGTGGCGAATTGTTAACGCTAGCCGGCGAGGATGTAAACCGGGGGTATGTAGCAGATCGGCTAATCCGCCTTCCTCTACACGATACATCTGCGCAAAAGCGTGAAGGCTCTCAATTTCGACTTTGTCTTGGCTCAACTGCCGACTAATTTCAGGGAGCAGCTCTCTCAGCTTCCTTATGCTGTGCCAGCTCTGGTAACCGGGAGGTGCGCGATCCGGAGCAGAAATCCAGTGCGTCTGCTCCGTGAGAATGAATGGGAGGAACCAGGTCTCTCGGTATATGGCGCGGCATGTCCTCAGCAGCTCGATGCTAGTCTTGCGAGGAGCGAAATACGAAGGTCGCGAGTAGCAGGTGTCGATGTGGTATGGAGAATCAGTATCTTCATAATCTGACAGCACAAAAGTGAAGATTTTGGTGCGAATTTCAGGGGGTAAAAGAGAGAACAGCGGTGATTCTTCTTGTGGCTCAATCTCTTTTGCAAGAATTTGCTGGTACAGTGGTTCTGGTGGAGGTGGTGCCGAGTTTCTGAGCCCAGCTCTTCTGCTAAAGCGAGGCTGGCCTTGGTGGCGAGAGCCTCTGAGGGATGGAAATAAAAAGCTCATGCTGAAAGAAAAAAAAGACGACCGAATGTCACGAAAGCAAGATAAAGATTACCAAGTAAAGGAACTTCTTTGTGCATTTATAGAATCCATAACAAGACATAAACTACATTATGCTGTTTAGTTGTTTGCTGACTATTCCCAGCTAAACGAGGCAGCAACAGGCAGCGATAGGCAGCAATGGGTGGATCAGGGATGGGGTAGCGGAGTGGCTCACAGCTGGGCTACTGTGATTCGTTGCGCGCCACCAACAAACAATAATTAATGACCAACCGGCGTTGAGTACCTATTCACGAAAGATTGCGCAGATGTTTAGTAAAAGCGGGCAATGCTCGGATGCAAAATCGGAGCATGGGTGAATCAACATACAACCCACAAAGCGCCTATAGACGGATATACATTTTCTTCACGTCCAATGTCTCTATTTCTTGCGCCGGCTCTTCAGTTATTACTCAATATAGCTGCTGCCTATCTTCAATGTCTCATAGTATTTTGACTCGAAGATGTATGTAAGAACAACAAGTCTCCTATCAAACCTTACATAACAACCAGCCGTCTTCAATTAAATGATTTTCATCACACTCATATTGATATTTTTCATCGCGCGTATTTGGATCATCATCATCTTTACAACAGTGACTAGGTGCAATATATTCTCTCAAGCTATTTTAAAAAGTGCGTTCAATGGAGGACGGCGATATCGCTTCGAGCATTTATTAGACGAGCATCACTATTACAATCTCCTACGACTACTCAAGGCATGGTGCTTCTAATGAGTGTGCTTATGTTTATCCTTTCATGTTGTTATGTAACTATGTACTAGCACAAGTACAGAAATATTATACAACTCTATAGTATATGGATATCTGCCGGTTTGTCCATGTTCATCGTCTCCAACTCAATTATTTCAGCCTTAACTTCTGCCTTGCCTTCTGCCTTATGCTCCAACACATAATTGCCAAATTTCCTAGTTGGTACTTCTTTGTCAAACATTTCGTTGATATCCTCTAAGCTCCTCCCCTTCATCTCAGGAACACAGAAGTAGGCAAATAGAAAAGAACAGATAGCTAGCGCCCCGAAGATGAATCCTACTTTGGACTGCAAATCTGCGTACGGGGCATTAAGCAGGTATGGAGTGAAGAATGAGAAGAGAAAGCTAGAAGTCCAGATGTTAGTGTTTAATGCCTCTAAAATGGTACTAACGGAGACTGAACCCACTTTGTTACAATATTAACAATGGAGGCAACTCTTTGAGTCTTATCGCGGAGTCTTGATGCTGGAAGCTCTGTTGTGACAATGTAGTTCAATGGATCCCAACTAAAACACAGACTGGCCGACGACAATGCTGTGGCGCCGACTATGACTTGTTTTTGAGTAAGAGAAGGGTTCGCAGCTGTTCCAATGCCTCCCATAGTGAAAAGCCAGATAATCTGGAGAAGAGAGCCGGTCATTAGGATGGGGCGGCGGCCAATTTTGTCCGTGATAGAAATTCCAACAAGACAACAGAAGAAATTGATACATGAGCTCATGATTGAATAATTGAATGGATTAATTGAACCAATGGACTGCACAAAGAGAGTTCCGTATGCGGCGGTGAACGGCGATCCTGTGGCCTGGATGAAAAAGTTCATGCCCATAGCAACAAGAGTGCGCCTCCGATTTGTGCCACGAAAAAGATCCGAATATCGTCCTTGATTATGTTCCTCGATGAGAGACAAACGCAGTCCGTCAAGGTCCTCATGTGCGTTGTAAGACGGATCGGAGCCGCGAAGCGTTTGGAGAGACCGCAACGCATCTTCCTCTCTATCCTGTAGAAGTAGCCATCTGGGAGACTCCGGGATAAACCAGACGCATGACGCTACTGTGATGGGAACGATATAAAAAAGGCCCATTGGAATTCTCCATGCCGCATTGGAGGTAAGCCCACTTGTGCCACGGCAGACACTGTTGATGATTACGCCTCCGAGCAATAGACTGGTCTGATATGTCCCAACAGCGAAGCCTCTGATAGGTGCTGGAACGATCTCAGCTTGGAATGGAGGGCATGTAGCTAGTTCCATTCCTATATATGTATAATTAAGGATACGACCGGCGAGTACCTGTCCCCTTGTTGTAGCTGAGATGAGGACAGTCGCAGACATAATAGCCCAAAGGGACATGCAGAACATGGCCATTCTACGGCCATACTTAGCACTAATGTTACTGCCAACGTAAAGACCTAAAAGCATTACGTATTAGATATAACGTCTTTTTGAAGATGCGTTCTTGTTATTCGACCTACCAACAGCGAACCCTATGAAGTTAAGGCTGTTCAAAAGAGAAAGGTAGTATGTAGGGACAGCATATGTATTGGTCTTGGGGTTGTAGTCTCCGAATTGCTTTTTATATGCAAGCATTGCTTGACTTGTTGCAATACCTTGGTTGTCAAAGCCATAGTTGAAGGTGGATAAGGCGATCAGAGCCACAGAAAGGGCCAGACGGGGGGTAAAATGCCGAGAGAATCGGTTTTGGCGAATGAACGAGAAAGCCATTTTCGATAACGCTGTTTTATAAGCTCAACAGCAGGCGGCTATATTGACAACGCCGCAGGGTACGGACGTGCATTTATATACACGTTTATGAGCGCTCTAGGAGGCCATTGCGCCTTCGCCAAACCATTCATCCGTTACCAAAACCCCCAGAAAGCGGACTAGGTAGTGTCTTCTTGAGACCATGGAAGGGATAGTCATTTTACGTGCATGTCGTGATAGTGTATGGCCGAGAAGCAAGTTTGGAATTGACAACCGAAGGGCTTATGAGCGCGATCATGTGCGTTGTAGACTAAGAAAATCTTTCCGCGCCATCAAAAATCTTTCCGCCTGTCAGCGACTCTCGGGCTAGTTTAGAAGAAAAGAGGCGACTATAGTGAATGGCAGTGCTGACTCGCCTTTGCTACCATCGCGCAGCTCTTAGTCCTATGGCGCAATAAGCTAAACACCACCAACGTAACCTGCAAAACTTGAGTCGTCTCCCAGCTCCTCATAGCTCGTGAACCTGCGAACGTGAATGCCGTTCCATGTCTCAGATGTGATGAGCAAGATCGATGTAACCACTTTATCTAATATTACGGCGTGCCAAGCCGATCAATCTCGAGAGCCACGTGTAGACAATCCCATCATCTTCATCCCCGCCTCCCTCAATCTCCACAAAGTTGGTGGCTTGGCCCCACAGAGGATGACTAGTAGCAAACTTTATGCGATGGCTCAAGATGAGGGTTCATGTCAAGCAGGGGCCACTCGAATCCTCGCATCCTGTAGACTACCACTTACTGACAGATGCAGCCTGAAACGGGAATTAATATGGCTCGAGAACGGGCTTGCGATGCATGCGCAGCACGAAAAGTGAAATGTGATCGAGGGCTGCCATGTAGACGCTGTCAAAGTCTTTCTATCCAATGCGTGGCCGAAAGAAGGCGGCTCAAGGCAGGGCCCAAGGGGCCATGGGCCCAGAAGAAACGAGAAGCACTGTTGAATAAACGACTGGCAATGGAGAAGGCGATGATAAATAGAAAGTTTCCAATACCGATATCTGATAAAGACGCAACTTATCAACAACCATCAGTTCAGCCTCATATCTACCCTGGCTTGAACCGCATTCCATTCGCGACATTTAACCATTATCTCGGCATTTATCAGCAAGCCCTGTATCCCGTGTGGCCAGTTGTGAACATAGAGAAGTTGCTCTATCGACTACAAGACTCTACTGACATCGAAGCATATGCGCTTGCCGCAGCAGTCAGTGCAGTTACAATCGCACAGCTCAAGCTCTCGTCCGATGAGACGTTTGGTCGCTTTGAGGGTGACGATGGCGCATTTATGGCTGCCGAATCTTCAAGAGCGAGGAATGAAATGGATCACCTAGAGCATCCATCCTTAAGTGTCTTATTATCATCATTCTTCTTGCATGTGTCGAGTGCAAACCGCGGTTATATCCGAAAGGGAGCAATGCTTTTACGTGAAGCCGTCACATTTGCTCAAATGCTAGGCCTTGATAAAGCGATCCATTATTCTGGACTACCTAAAATTGAAGCTCAACTTCATCTCCGGGTTATCTGGCTACTATTTGTGACGGAAAGGTGAGTCGATTCTCTTTCTCTCTCTCTCTTTTTTAATCCAACTTATGATTGAGTGTTGCTGATGAACTCAAAATCTAGAGGACATACCACTCGTTTTGACTTCCCTAGGATATTACAGCTTGATCCTGAGTTACCTGAGCTAGAAGTAGACGAGAATCCTCCAATCCTATTTGCATTCATTAGTCTAAGCAAACTTTTTCAAAGTTTTGCTCGTGCGATGGATGGCGATGGGACTTCCCAGACGGAGGAATATTTTGCGTCTATGCATGACCGTTTGCGAGAGATCAACCAGGCCTCTCACAACTGCACCGACTTACAGAGGGCGGACTTTCTCCTAACGCAACAATGGATGAGAGTTGTTTTATGGAAAACGTCCATGTACCACATCAACCTTTCATCAAACGCAACAGATGAAGGCCTTAGCCTTTGCTTCCCAAACCGGATCGCACGAAATGTAGTTCAGAATATAGACTTGTTTCCCAGGTCTGTCATCGAGGCTCATGGCCTTGGAATGGTATGTAGTAGATTAGCTCGGCTGAGATAACTTGAGGCTAACATCGTGGTGTCCATAAGGAAATGAAACTGTTCGAAGTGGCAATGTCTCTAGCTGACATTCTCCTCTGTCTCCCATCGAACTTTGAGGGCAAGCAGCTGATGAGTGTTGGCCCAAGAGATGTTTTAAACCGCCTTTCTCAGTTTCTGACCCACTTTCGTGGCGGCGGTGACAACATCAAGCTCCAAATTCTGCATGATAAGATGCAAGAAATCTCGAGTAGTGTTGTTAGGCAACCTCAATTAATCGAAGATGATGATCGGGACCCAAACGCTGAGTGGAATGGCCCAAAAATGATCCCTTTAGTTGAGTGAGATATGAGAAATGAATTCTCGGAACAAGTTTTGACTAAAGCACCTTATTTCCTGGTGTTGCAAGGTCGAAATCGAAACGATTTGGGATCTTCAATCCCGCATCTATGTGTCCTTGCATTTCCGATAACGACACTCCATCTCGCACCAGCCACGCATCTTGCGTCAGTCGCTGCCAATCCTCTAACTCTTGTCGATATCCCAAAAGTAATTCTTTGTATTCCGGACGATCCGCAAGATTTACCACCTCCCTTGGGTCTTGCTGCATATCATACAGCTCTTCCGGAGGCCGGCGGATGTATGCCTCCAGGGATCGCTCCCCAACTTTTACCGGGAATTGGGAATTCCGAATTCCCTCCCATGACAGAGAGGCGTAAAGATCGGTTGAGAAGGGGAAGTCAAGCTTCCAGGCTATGTTGCGATGATACTTGTATCGCAAAGTGCGCAAAAATCTCGTGGGATAATAGTTTGTGACCTCATGAAAAGTATGGGATCCGAATACTCTAGACCAGTCATCATGTATACTAGTTTCGTCAATAATTGGAAGAATTGAACGGCCTAGCCGAGGTGGAGAGTTTGACATCGAAGTCGCAGTAGTGTGTCCCGCCCAATCGACAAACGTCGGTAGAATGTCGATGAAAGAAATGAGATTTGGATTCTTCATTGCAGGTTTTCCTTGGGGCCGCCGTATAATGAGAGGCAATCTCACACCCGCGTCGTACAGAGTGGTCTTTGAATTGAGAAAAGGCGGTCCATTGTCACTTGTCAAGACAACAAGCGTGTCGTTGTCCAAGCCAGCCTTTTTCAAAGCTTCCATGATCAAGCCAAAGCCTCTGTCCACCCGACCAACAGAGCGATAGTACTCAGCCATTTCTTGGCGGACTTCCGGGATATCGTTTAGAAAACTGGGTACCGTGATCTTCGCAGGGTCATATGTGGCATCTGGACCCGATACGCTGTCGTCACCGTTGCCGAATCCTCCGCGAGTTGAGTCACGGTGAGGGTCCATGAACCCAACTGTTAGGAAGAATGGGCGAGGGTCTTCCTTTGCCAATTGAAAGAATGAATCGGCTTCTTGTGCGACCCAAGCAACATCTCGGCTTGGGCTTTCTCTTCGCACTTCCCACGGGTACACATTATCTGGGCCAACGTGAATCTTCCCGATAATACCGGTGAGGTATCCGAAAGTCTGAAACAGCTTGGGAGCGGTCTCGATGTGGTCAAAGGTCAAAAAATGGTGATTGCTGTGCTGCAATCCGTATTGCCCGTTTTGGTGTGTATGGAGCCCAGTATAGATGACGGATCTGCTTCCGCTGCACGAGGCTGTGCTGGCGAAAGCATTGTCAAATAACGTGCCCTCAGCAGCTAGACGGTCAATGTTGGGCGTTGATATTGTAGAATCGCCGTAGCAGCCAAGCGACTTGCCCATGTCGTCTGCGATGACGAGAAGAATGTTTTTCTTTGCAGCCATGGTGCTCTTACTGTTTCCGGCTACAATAACGGACGTATGTACAAATACTAGCGCCTTAAACCACAGATTAGAGGAAGTGAAAGTGCAAGAAACTCGGCCGTCGCGCTATTTATGGCATTTGGGATCCCTACTTCCTTTATAATCGGTCTATCGGACAAGATCCGCTTGATTTTGCAATACGATGAAGACAGCATTGGTGGATAGATTTGCGGAAAGTTTTTGGGCGCGATAGCCAACCTAAAATTAGGTGCTTTGGAGGTCTGCGTCGGCCCATAAAAATGGAGATTGCAGGCGGCATGATGACGATTGTTGATCAACAGGCTTTTCGTACCGTACTTTTTATTGTTATGCAAAACTAGGAAGCGTAAATATGATCTCGTATCATATCATTCAGTGAGACCTAGATAGTGCTAACTCTGTGATATGTCCCATCAACGTCTTGCTGGCTGCTGCACTACAGCGGTTGGAACGCAATGCGGATACATGTATGGAAGCTCTCCATCTTTCTTTGTTAAATGAGGAGACAGCAGCAGTTACGAGCAATAATGCCCTAACAGTCCCTACAGAGCATCCACTTCTAGACCTTGATGAGGAATGCGGACAAAGTCTCTCTCTCTGCGTTATGATGATGGAACGATCCAACTGTCTCCGGCGCGCCTAGAATCTGAATCAGAATAAATCGTTCCAAAACATCGAAGCGTAATTGGTTTAGTGGTAAAATTCTCCGTTGCCATCCGAGCAACGTCGGGGAGCCCTGGGTTCGATTCCCAGATTACGCAGCGCAAAATAATATTTTTTGCTCGTTTTCGTCGCCATCAGGGCAACTAATTCCGAACATGTCTCTCTTTTTTTTTTTTTTTTTTTTTTTTTTTAATAATAGAGAGAAACATATTGCTATTAACGCTCAGGTTTTTGAATGATGGAGCATGATCCATATAAGAAGTTGGCGTGCCAAATTTTCGGCCATGCATTCACCACGCTCTTTCTAGGGTATGTTTACATAGCTAAGCAGGGATTATACCCATGGCAAACCAAAGACACTCATTGAAGTTCACTCTTATTTCTAGATCAAAAGGAAGAATGAAAATTCTCGTTTCGTGTAAAATGATTTTAATCATCATTGATATGCGCATAACAATGAACAAGTCGCGCTAATGTGGGATATCGCGTTTCGGAAGCGGTGGCTGTGTTATAGTGAACTCACTCCCGAGAATAAATGATTCCTACCCACGGCTATTTGTATCTTGTATCTGTCCTTTACTTTTTTAAAGACGGATAGATATCCTAGTGTCAGGAATGAGCATAGCCATATGGGTGCAGCCAGGTCGACTTAACAAGAGTTTATTAATAAACCATGGTACAACAATGAGATCGCGGTAAGGAGTCAAAGTTAACAACCCCACAAATCCGAGCTATCGTTCGCGTCTTCAATAGCTCTAACAAATAGTACTGCATTCACGCTATACATGATCCGTTACAATGCGACTATGATCTTCCTTGTGCCATCAGTTTCTCTTAGTTTATCCTCATTGACATATCAAAAGTTCCAATCACATGTGCCGAGACTGCCGGATGCCTCTCTTCGATTTCCGGGATGATAACTGTAGTGGGGATAAAAGTGCAAAAGTGCCGTTGCCTGAAGATCCGCGCTCGCTGACCTTCCTGAACTAAACTAGCTATCATAACCCTGGCAGACTTTGTATTGTGCAACTGGGCAGGAATATGGCTATAATACGAATCGCTAATCGGTGAATGGGCGATTTCGGAATGCTAGTCCTGCCAAACCAAAGCACTGCCCGTGATATACAATGCACAGCCAAGGTATCATCGTCGAATGCGACGCGGGCAAGGCTTAGCTCAACGGCGTAATGCATGGATCCGACCGTAACAATTGAAGTATAAAGCTGGCCGAAATCCCTCAGCTGCATTGACGTAGAAGAGATACTCCAGCTAAAAGGTTGGAGCCGTGAAAGATAGTTGGCAATTTTGGAGTTGTCAAAATGCGCTTCTCTTCAGCCCTTCAGGCTGCTGCTCTGCTGAGCTTGACATCAGGCCGTTCTATCCCAGGAAACCATGTCGTCCACGAGAAACGTGCTGTACCGCGCTCAAGCTTGCATAAACGCGTTTCGCCCGATGTTGTGCTTCCCGTCCGAGTAGGCCTAAAGCAAAATGCGAGGGCATTGGAACAGGCAGAGGATTGGCTGATGGAAGTATCCCACCCCGGTTCTTCCATGTATGGAAAGCACTGGAGCCCAGATGAAATCATTGAAGCTTTCAAGCCTTCCGATGAGGCCGTTGAAACAGTGGCTGCTTGGTTAATCAAGTCTGGGATTTCCAAAGAAAGAATTACTCATAGTGATAACAAAGTTTGGCTGGCATTTGATGCCACTACGGAAGAAGTTGAGAGTTTGCTGCATACTGAATACTTCCACGATGACCAAGACAGGGCTCTAGTTGCTGCCCACGAATATCATCTGCCAAGCCATGTCTCGGAACATGTCGATTATATCACCCCTGGAGTCAAGGGAACATTTATGGAGCTCCGCCGAAGAGGCAAGAGATCAGTGAACGCCGAGTCCGAACACAAATCCCGCCGTCGCCAACAGCATCTGAAGCCTTTGCCTGAGCTACCAAAAAGCTGGGCATCAAGCGATCTCTCAACTTGTGATCAAGTCATAACACCTGAATGCTTGCAAGCACTTTATGGCTTCAAGGCACCCAGTCCTAAAGCTAAAGTTAGCAAGAATAACTCTCTCGGCATCTTCGAAGAAGGTGACTACTATGCACAGCAGGACTTTGACAAGTTTTTCGCCCAGTATGCTCCCAGCATTCCCAAGGGCACACACCCAATTTTGAACTCAATCGACGGTGGCAAAGCTCCTGTGCCAGTGGCCGACGCTGGTGGTGAAAGCAATCTCGACTTTGAGCTCGCATATCCCATCATCTACCCGCAGACCACAACGCTCTATCAGACCGATGACACTTTTTATGCTACGTCTAATTCTTCCACAACTGGCGGAATTCTCAACACATTCTTCGATGCTATTGATGGCTCCTACTGTACATACTCAGCTTTTGGAGAGACAGGCAATGATCCCAAACTGGATCCAAAATATCCCGACCCTAATCCCGGTGGCTACAAGGGCAAATTAATGTGCGGAGTCTACAAGCCTACCAACGTTATCACAATCTCGTATGGTGTGCAAGAGAGCGATCTCCCAGCTTATTACCAGCAGCGTCAATGCAATGAGTTTTTGAAACTTGGCCTACAAGGTGTTTCGATCTTTGTGGCCAGCGGCGATACCGGAGTTGGTGGATATCCTGGACAGACCCAATCGGACTTCTATGGGTGCTTACGCGACGACGATGTATTCTCACCTACCCAGCCCAACAGCTGCCCGTGGTTGACGAATGTGGGAGCCACCAAGGTCTACCCCGGCAAGACTGTCCACGACCCAGAGAGTGCTGTCTTTGACCCCAGCCCGTCATTCAACTTTAGCAGTGGTGGTGTAAGTATATCCGTATAAATTTTGTTGAAACAGCATAACAGCTAAATAAAACTTGCAGGGCTTCTCCAACATTTTCCCCACCCCTAAATACCAGCAGGGAGCTGTTAGCAACTACTTCAAACACTATAACCCACCGTACCCATACTACCTGGACGGAAAGTATGAAAACAGCACGGGTATCTACAACCGTAACGGCCGAGGTATTCCTGATGTGGCTGCCAACGGTGACAATATTGCGGTCTGGGTCGGTGGCAAACAAGGAACATCCGGAGGCACTTCTGCGTCATCTCCCATTTTCGCATCCCTCGTGAACCGTATTGTTGAAGAGCGCATTAAAGTTGGCAAGGGGCCATTGGGCTTCATTAACCCAACATTATATGCTAATCCCGGAGTTTTGAACGATATCACCAATGGAACCAATCCTGGCTGCGGTACCCTTGGATTTAATGCCACCAAAGGGTGGGATCCTGTTACAGGATTGGGCACCCCAAATTACCCAAAGATGCTTGACCTGTTCCTGAGCTTGCCTTGAGGTACTTATATTTTAGTTATACGTAAAGTACATATTTATATAATTAACCAGAAGCATTCATCAAAAACGTGAAGCCACAACTCGATGTTAAATGTTCATTTAGAAGGTTAACAGTCTTGGACAAACATGGCTTTCCCTTATGGTATAGTGATGTATTAATGGGTTCTTACTAGCAGCATCTAGTTCACCAACATAGACTTCTCGCTACCTTTCTCTTGAGCTTTCATGCTAATACTGCTACTCTCGCTTTTGCTTCCGATTCCCCCTCGTTATCGTAGTCATGCCCGTTATTATAGATCCCAGAGCTACTGGTATGGAGATTTCATATCGCAGCTCAGCCTCATTCAAGGCCGTAGCGGAGCGCGTTATGAAATGAGTACCGTAGAAGAAAAAAAAAACTGTTATATACCTCATTTAGTCGCAGCCTCTAGTAAAGGAGACGCTTTTCTCAGAGATGCTCCCACGCGATTAAAAAGAACAGGCATCAAAATTAGCGCCAATGTGATGAAACCAAGCAATGAGTTACCCCAACCATATCCTAGTGCTCTATACATCGGCGGACCAGCAAGAGGGAGAAGTGCGCCAGCAAAAGATCGAGTGACAGTAATGGCTGCGATAGCAGAAGCAGCATAGCGAGGGAAAGAGTCAATGGCGTACGTCTGTAGAGACGCAAAGATTCCAATCGAACCAAAGGCAAAGGGAAAAAGCCCGATAATAGGCACAATCCAGTGACAATGAGCTTGGACAGACCATCCGTACCAAAAGAACGATATAGGGACAAAAAATGAAAATGGGATGGTGAGAGGAAGGCGCATCTCGGGCTCGAAAGCATCATTGTTGCGAGCTTTTAGCAAGATGAGTACTCTATCGCTTAAAAGTCCAAAGGCGACTTGACCAGCGACAAATCCCAAGCCCAGCCCAATATAAGCCAGTCCGCTGAGCTGTTCGCTCCAGTGGTATACGTCTTGGAAAACTTCGGTAATAGTGGTGAAGAGGAGATACAAGCATCCATATATAACCGCGATATATAACGCCACAATTGAGATGATGGGCGATCGAAACAACAGTTGGAATGGAGTTGTAAGCCGGTCTAGGAAACATGCCGTCTTGCTCTTCTCTTTGCTAGAGTCATCATAATAGCTGCGAAGATCCGCACGATCGAGTTCTTTCTTCAAGCGCTCTGTTTTACGCTTAATTATAATGGCGGGATTCGTTTCACGGTTGAAGAACATGACAAATATCGTCAGCGTTCCACCTACAATGGTTAGAATCCAGAAGACCTGCGTCACCAAATTAGTGCATATAGGATTTAATGAAGGCTAGTAAACATGAGGATCGCTTACCCATCTCCAACCTATGTTTTGTGCAATGAACCCGCCACATATTGGCCCTAAAACAGGCCCGAAGAGCGGCCCAGCAGAAAATATAGCCATAGCAAGACCCCGATTTTCGGGCTCGAATAGATCTGATACAACTCCGCCTCCAATTGTCAGACACCCGGATCCTCCCAGGCCTGCGAGTAGTCGAAATACGATAATGGAAGAGAAATTAGGAGAAAGAGCGCATCCAATATGGAAGAGAACAAAAGCAGATGTCGCCAGACTAAGAATTATTCGACGTCCGTACATTTCGCTGAGGGGCGACAAGAACAACGGGCCAAACTGTCACTCCATTAGCTGTGTAGAAAAGCCAGCGCCGAATCTTGTCCGATACTTACACCATAGCCAAATAAGTAAGCAGTGACGCCCAGAGATATTAATATCGACGATGTAACGCCAAACTCATCTGCAGCATTTCCTACTGCTGGAGCAAAAATAGACGACGATAGTGGGCTATGGAACATTAGCCATAGCATTTCTAGCGCTGTCAATACAAAAGATATGGATATTGCTCGTACCTAATTAAGGTAATCATGCTGACGAGGGAAAGGAGAAACCATTTCCGAAAAGCGGGATAATTTCTGTTTATATTCCCCGTGTCAACCCGTTTCTTATTTATTCTTTGATGACTAGTAGGACTTACCTTGGGTTTAGTGGATCGTCTTGTCGTTCCCAAGCTATAATGCCATTTTCTAGATTAGTTATAGGATACGTTTCTCGCTTTGGTCCTTGTTGCTAGTTACTATTAGCATCGGATGCGATGTAAATGTTTTTTACTCCTCACCCTTTCGGTGTCTGCTTGCTCAGGCTTTTCGTTCGCCATATCAATAGTAGCGCTTTCAAGAAGTCAGGATGTTCTTCAATGATTATGCAGAATTAAATAACCAGCCGCTTTCAAATATCGGGCAGAGGTAGGTCGTTGTACATTGCTAGGGGATGTTTTTTATAGAAAGAAGAACCTTCTTATTAATACCCAATACTTATGTCACATCAATACTCGGAAACTTCACCAGCAATCTCCGTTACTGAGGTCACGGACTGCTGAGTAGGGCTACTTGTGCGATGCTTTCTATGATCGGTGCCGAATCGGCAACATCAAAAGCGGGTACAGCCTTACATAGGCAACGCTATGTTATATGGAGATTCTCTCTCTCCCATCTAAAAATAGGAATAAGCTTAGGCAAATCGTAAAATACGCATAGCTACCGAGATCGTGATAAGTTGAAAGGATGGGCTACATAGTGATTCGCAGAATAAGTTTGGTTGGGAATGTGGGAGCGCGGGATCTCAGTGGGCTTATGCTGTCCAAGTCTTAGCGACGCTTATTGCCTGGGGCATGTATTAGTGCTATATCGTTGCTGCTACCTCTACTATGATTAACTTGGTTTAATAAATTTATATCGCCTTTTTTTTTTTTTTTTTTTGTGTGTGTGTGTGTGTGTGTGTGTGAAAAGAAGGTTACCATTCAAGCTACAATATTTTGTAGGGAAATACTCGCACTAGCTATATGTCAATATGCTCCGATTAACTGAATGATCCCAAGAGTCCCGAATCTTGGATGACAGAGTATTATTATTATATAGTTCAAGTTCCAATAACTAATAACCTAAGAAGCAATTTTCACAATGACTTCTAGGGTCTCTCATTTTCGCAAGCAGCTGATACGAATCTCGCTTGAAAACTATCAGAAGTTCCCAAATAGGTGAAATCTTTTCACCGCCAGTGAATTACCTTTGATACCTTTTTATAATTCATGGTCTCACCGTCAGTCATACCGCCAATATTCTAATCACTGATAATTTCTCTTCTCAGAATTTCTTTACATTTTGGGTCACATGCATGTTGTTATTTATGCCAATAGGGATACTACAAGGTCTAAACCTCGGCCTTTATTACAAAATAGGGGAGGTTCTTGACAATTATCTCTAGAACGAGCTTGGGAGGCTAATTAAACACGAAGTTAGCGAATTCACTAGGCTGGATGTAGCAATTGCAAGGCATAAACTGATTTGTGGAAGAATTTTATGACCTTCTGTATGTAGAAGACATGCTTGACAGAATATAACACAACAAAGAGCTCTAATTAAGTATTAGTGATCTAGTTTAGAACAAGCCATTGATTGTCATCCAGTATATATACTCCAGCTTTTTTATTCCTTTCTTGATCCCGTTGTTTTGAGATATCTTAAATTAAGTTGGCCTTTCTATTTTTTTTTTCTTCTGTGTTTGTTTGTTACCCAGAAGAGTCACCACATAACATCCATACATTCATCAAAATCGATACAATGGCAAAATTCTTGAATTTGTTGGCAATTTTCGCCGCAGTTTTGCCCCTGACTCAAGCGCAATCTAGCTTTGTCGATAACTGCACTACATTTAACTCGGCCTTATACACGAAGGCCAACTGGGCTGCAGGTCTAGGTTCAGTGTTGTCTAGCAATGTAAACCCAAGTGGAGGAGGCGTTCTTAACTTTGAGATTCCTGCTGGCACCCATAATGGTGGTGAGATCGTTTCCAAGGCTCAATACTCCTATGGACAAGTCGAAGCTCAATTCAAAGTTCCAAATCTACCCGGAGTTATCTCTAGTATTTTTATGTATCAGGGTACTTCGACCAGCGATGAGATTGACATCGAGGTGTACTTGAATCAGGGTAAATGGGAGATTGCATTCACAATTTATCGCCTGGGAGTCAAGGAATGGTATCATACATACTTTCCAACCTGGGATCCGAGTGCTGGATACAACGATTACATGATTGACTACCAAGAAGCCGCTATCTCTTTCTACGTTAACGGCGCTTTGGAAGCACAGTTTCATACACCTTCGCAGCAACCAACTCATGCGATGAACATTCAGCTTAATTCGTGGTTTCCTGCGTGGCTAAACGGCGCTGCGGCATCATCTACCCAGTTCATGCAAGTTAACCAGATATCATATACAGAATCCTAGACAAGACATTGATATTGCTGGAATAAGACACTTCTGCTTGGCCATTGCTGTAAGCATAGCCCCTTCGCATAATACGTGCTTTAGCTGATAGCTAGGTAGGTTAGGGACTGCTCTTGAAGTTGTTTTACGACCCTATTTGTCTGATGAAATCTATGAAATTTGAGGTATTATGCACTCCTACACAAGTAATGGGCGACCTCTTGTACAACAATATTCATGTCGATCATCAGAGCACCCCGCTTAAAAGGCTTTTGAATCGATGAGACAGCTAACGTTAACACAGGGGGGTTAGTGAAGTAGCAGCGGATAGAATTCATGGAGTGCAAGATAGTGCTAATAGTTAACATCTTTAACATATAAGAATATGGACAATCCTCATCCGTTCCATCCCCATCTAGGTACCTCCAAAATTGTTTCCCGCATTCTGGCGGTTCCCTTCTCTGTATACCAGTAGCCACCACAACTCTATCCTATATTCCACATCTACTACTAATTGCTAACACTCTGAGATGCAGAACCACTGCCACCCCAGCCCTCAATAGCAATAACCTGATAGTTAAAGGTTCCAAGATCTAAACCAAGTGACTTCCAGGCATTGAAGTGATTCTCAACCGTCACAGTTCCGCTAGTTCGCTGAGAATTTCGAATTGATATGTACTGGTTAAAGGTTGCTGTGCCCTGGATGGAAGGCTCGTTTACACGGGTATTCTCCCATATTGTGTAAGATGACCCATCACTAGTGACAGATCCTTTCACAGTGCCCGATGTAGGGAAGTTCGAGTTACTCTCGATAATGTAGTATTCAACAAGTGGGTTAGTGGTCCAACCGTAGACAGAGAGCAGGCCTGTTCCACTGTTAACCCCAAAGGAACCGCCAAAATTAATAGGGCTATAAAATGACAATGTCAGCCAATTATATAAACTGCAGAGGAGAAATAAGAACTTACGAAGTGGATCCAGTTCCCCAGCCAACGCCAACGACGAAGTCATCCTGAGTGTTCCAATTAACGGAAAATCCAGTGCTAGAAGGAGAGTAGTTGACAGTTCCGCCAGTTTGATAATTTTGGTCGTAGTTGATGCTGGCGCGACGACGGACATCATTGTGAAGCCCAAGAACAAAGTCATGAATGCCACGCTCTGTAATGTTTCCACTGCTTGGCGAAGGACCAAGGCCAGTGGGCACCGCCAACACTCCAGTAAAGCCGGCGAAGGCCGCAAATAGGCTGGAGAAGGGGACCATTTTTTTCTTTTTCTGTGAATATACTGGGTTTTGATAGGAATGCGATGCCGGTTAACTCATAATCCAAATGGAGAGGCTCGCGTCACGACTTTATATAGCAAAAAGTTTCTATCACAAACCCATTGTTCATTACATTCTATACCATAATTACGAAGTTTCGAATATGGATCAGATACCGTATGCCGTCGATGGGTCTTGGCATTTTGCCTAAAACACAACCGCCAGGCACCGGATCAAACGGCATCGAAGTGCCGAGCTAGATCAATAACATCCCGGAATATCAAAACAAGATTATGTGTGGTGTTCTAGTTGGGCATTCTAGTTGGGCATCATGAACGGGTACTAAATTCGGCACATTGGGCCCTTCGCAGCCAGTTCCCCAGATCTGGGGTGCATCCGGCTAATAAGCTGTTCCATTTTAGCCTGCCAATCATGTCACGAAGTTTTTGATGAGTTTTGTGGAGGATGTAGCATTCCGGCGGGCCGCTTCAGCCTGCAGTAAAATTTTGCGATGACGGAGCTATTTCAAAAGCAATACAACCTTCAACGCCGTAACATTTTGCAAGCCGAAAAAAAAAAAAAAAAAAGAAAGAAAAAGAGAGAGAAGGAGAGAGAACAAAAATTGGCCTCAGATAGTAGGTCTTGGCGTTTCAAATTGATGTCATTGTACATTCAAAATGCAGATAATAAATGTGCTCTCTATTTATCCTCCTTCTGAGTTTCCTGATACGTGCCAGTTACTGCAGATCATATAGGCGCTCAATAGTTCATTAAGTAGAGTACATACTAGGTATAAAATGGTAGGTAGACGTAGAGATTCTTGGGCTACGTGGTTGGGCTGTGATTTAGTCCTCGCCATTTTTGCCCATCTGGGATAGTAATACTAGCTTGGGGAGTCATAAAAAGGCTCAGCTCAACAACAGCATGACCCTAGCTGGCTTTATTCGTCGAACCTCGCAGATGATATCCTCTTAATGTGATGATGTGACCTTGTATGTAAGTCCTATGGGTTAGCTCTTACATGCACAAATTACAGGCCACTAATGTAATAATGCTTCCAAGTGGCGCGGGGGATAGGCACCTGATCGTAACTACTCTTGCTCATATCTATAGATTAGAGTGCCAGTCTTTGTAGTTAAAGGATTGATCGTATGGCGTAATTACGCAATTTACCTACATTATATCGCTACATATTCACATCCTTTGATCCGATGGTTAAATGGCCTTAAGAGAGTAATACACTGATCAAGGTTAGGTTGGAAAATGGCCCTGCACACGTTGTATATACTCGAGCAAGAGCAATAGTCTAATCTATTAATTGGAAACAGGAAAAGGTGTTCCGGTATTCATTGGCTTTTAATCAATAAGCCTATTTGTGCAATAAACTGACAGTGTGGTAAGAAACGTAATCGAGTAGCATGTATAAGTGGTATGACAACAAGAATTCCTCTCTGCTATTAAACTGAAACTTCAATCTACCAACTAACAGGGCGGTGCCAAAATAAAACCTTCACTTTACTAAGTATGTTAAATAAGAAACAACATTTAGCCTAAACTCAGAGTCGGCTGTACAGTTTTACTTTACTAGACGATAATAGTTATGACGGATATATGGCGAGCATTAAAGCTCAAGGTTTGCCACAGTATTCTCTAGCAGATTATTTTGTTGTACAACTGTCTTTTCTAGATTGCCAGTAACATCTTGTTACACTTGGGAATGCACTACTTGACGAAACTTACCTTCTATATCATCACCATTCCTAACACTGTATCCGTATATAGTCATTTTTTACCCTTTCCTAATTTCACAGCTCCATCTGTCTCAAAGTTGTACATATGAATACTAATAGCAGGTGGTAAAAATGATCATTAGGATCTCGCTGACTGGTCTTTATTTACTAAATATTTCGAAAAGTCTCGGTGCCAGCCACAATTACCCCAAGCTTCGAAAAGGAGACGAGAACCAATATAAGAGGATAACATGAGAGACTTGACGCTCGTGAAATGCCGATCTTATGAACACATTAATTAATGCGATGAAAAATAAAATGTCGCAAAAGCACTGTTTCACTTGCGACCTGGGACCAAAATATTCCTATTAGGAGCTGAACTAATAGCTCATTATTCAAAATTGGGGCGTTAACAACAATTGAAGAATAGGAGAATGCCCTCTTAGCATTCTTGAAAAAAAAAAGCCACATACATCGGCATATGCACTTTGCATACTCTCTTAATCCTACTTATACAAAGCACTCAAGAGCAAAGAAAATGTTGTATAAAACCACAGTGAGCGCCGCTTGTGGCGCCACAATTGTATGATAGATGAAGTATGGTATAAATACATTATATTTTTATATCATAGGTTATCTTGGAGAAGCGTACTGAAAAACCAACTCTTCTCCTGCATAGTCCCTATGGCATATAAAGGTGTCACATAGTTAATCTCTCTTATCACATTTGTCGACAGCATATAGCTTAGTTCGAGCCATGATTGTGAAACCCTGCCTTTTACAAAGATAAGCCGCGGGTGCTTTACTGGAGCAGACCCGATTAAACTTTAAATTGAAGCATGTCGGTCAATTCCGAACTACGCGCAATCGATATTAGATCACCCGCTGGTTTGAATAAGCTAACTACTTTGAGAGTAAAATACCAGGTAATTATCCAGTGATACATCTTGCTGGCGTGAGATATTTGTCCTTGGTGGCTCGGCAGATCTTTTTGCCATCGGCAATGTTCTACCAAATGGTATAGACGTTACATCAACCTTACTTGGGCATTAACAGCATGCATAAAGGGAGTATTGTTTCAGGGCGATTTCTGTGACTCGCATTAGTCTGCCTTTTTAATCCTATCATATCTGTCTCCATCTAACGACTAGTTTAATCTTTACTATTTTTGGCGTTTCAATGGACTCGATAGACGTTTGACAAGAACTTCTTGTACTGGGCTACAAATATACTTAGACCTGATAATCCATCGTCTAATTATGATACTGTAATTGCACCTTTAAAGCTAATTAATGGCATACGTTCGGTAGAGCGCAAAAACGAAGGGTACACTATGCAGCAATTCATGCTATTCAGGTCCTACAAAATTTGTTTGCGGCTATGCAACCTACCGGTCTAGTGGTTTAAGAAATTTTAGATGTGAAGATGGTTAAGAATACCGATGATCTGCTTGGATTAAGTCAACTAAGAATTCGGTTACTCGGTCTATATTTGCCCCGGCGGCACATGAGATCAGCCAGGTGCGATCTCAGTGGCCTACTGGCGTGAAGCTTGCTCTATGGTCTCCTTATCAGGATCTTATAATATGAAATATTCCGTAGTCTTTTATTAGATATAGATCAGTGGCTGACTTATACAGAGTATATCATTTGGCATATAATTTAGTGCCCCTGGATTAGCGAATTGCTATAGTCACCGGACAAGAACTCCGTTAAAACCTTTGTTTTTAAACCCTAATAATCCCATTATATTAATAATACTTAGCGTTGCATGACCATGGCCACCATTTATATTCTCGGTTTTAAATTCACGTTGTTAATAACTTCTAGAATTGTTATTAGTCATTAACAGTCCTTAGATACCAAAAGATATGCAGTAAGCTGTAGTGTACATTGTACAATATTGTACACTAGACCACCGACACTCTCTGCCCTCTGCATCCACCAATTCGCGTGACGTAATATAGGACTTTATGCTCTATATTATGGCAAAAGCATGCTTCACGGAATGAAATTCATGATATATCCTTCCTTGAACTAGAACGTCAAGTATCATAGCACATACCTAGCCTGGCTAGGGCGAATACCACATCATGATCTAATAGTTCTGCGTAAGTTCAATAGCAATGCCTCTTCTTGCATCATCATTCGTAAAATACGTGTTTCGACCCTTTTCACTGGAAATTTAATGCAATTCGGCATCCATTGCGATGATTTATTTCCTAAACAAACAATCGATGTAAACGTAATGCACTCTATGTGTGACTGGCCCCGGCCGAGGCGCAGCTTGCTATGATGGGCCGAGGTTACATACAAACCAAGAGAATGCCGAAAGCTGCCCGAGTTCTGGGGTAAACGTGGGGTAAAGTCAGCAGTAGGAAGGAACCGATTGACAGCAGCGTGTTCAGTACGCCCATGTAGATTAAGCTTATAGGTAACCAACACTATGAGTATTTGGCATTTTTTCGAGATTCCATAAAAGTTCATTTGGTTCATGACTATTTTATCTCAATCCACTTCCGATTTGACCTCTTTCACAACCTCTTATAGAGTTATGGTAATAGAAGTGTGGAGACACTAACCGCTGTATACAAACAGCTAGAGACACGGCTCTCTGGGTATTCGAGATAAAGAGCGATGAAAATACCCATCATGGATAAGCTAGCGACGAAATCCATTAATAAATAGCCAATATCTGAAGAGAAAATCGAATCAGACACGCTGCAAGTCGGAAATTTATACCGAGCAGACGGTAGATCGCAACACCGAAGCGCCGAGATGCTAACGGCCCGGGAAAATACCTTGAGATCGGATTGGCGCGCTTTTGGCCCTCGCTTTACCGCTGCAACTTTAAACATTATCCTACGTTAAAATCCAATCTGCCATACCAATGAGCCGCATTTGGATGTACTGGGCATAAAACTGGTTGGTGGAAAGATCTGGGGTATGCCGGTACTAAAATGGAGCTCTTGACGGCAAATGACTTGCAAACCATGTATTTTACCCTTATAGCTATCCTATAATGGCCCAACTCAGTCCTATTCTCTCTTACGAAGCTTGGCTAATGCATATAGTATTGCAACCTGTTCATTAAACTTGGGCTACCTGTATGAAACTTTAGACCCTAGAATAACGGCAAAAAGGGGGCCCGGGGTTCCGAGAGACATTACAGCCTGTTGTCTTCAGACAGCCTGAGATCACAACGTGCAGCTCAAATACATGGGTTGATTTCTATATAAATGTGTCTGATCTCCCTTCTTTGACATAAGAAAGATAAGGGAATGATTCACTAGACAGTGCATTTCACCTTTCAACAACTCAACTAGACATTTCGAAACCCCAATTAAAATATGACCAAGGTTTCGCTTCTCCTTGGAGCTTTTGCGGCTTCTGCTTGTGTTCAAGCTTTCGTCGTGCCTTCTGCCCCTGCAGTTACGCAAGGGCCAAAATTAGAAGATCGGGCTACAACTTGCACATTTTCCGGCTCAAATGGTGCATCTTCAGCGAGCAAGTCGCAGAAATCCTGCGCCACTATTGTGTTATCGAACGTTGCGGTTCCTTCTGGCGTGACGCTCGACCTCAGTGATCTAAATGATGGCACCACCGTAAGTAATTGGGACTAGCAAACAATGAATTCACCAAGCAAGTATATTAATATATATCTATTCCTCAGGTCATTTTTGAGGGTACAACTACCTGGGGCTACAAGGAGTGGTCTGGCCCTCTGCTCCAAATTGAAGGCAATCATATCACCGTCCAAGGTGCCAGTGGTGCCATTTTAAACCCTGACGGCGCCCGCTGGTGGGACGGTGAAGGTAGCAACGGCGGCAAGACAAAGCCCAAGTTCTTCGCTGCTCATGATCTGACCTCGTCCACGATCACCAACTTGAATATCAAAAACACTCCTGTCCAAGCCGTTAGCATTAACGGTGCCAATGGATTAACCATCAATGGTATGACAATTGACAACAGTGCTGGTGATAGCGGCGGTGGCCATAACACCGACGGGTTTGATATCGGCTCTAGTTCGAACGTTGTGATTAGCGGGGCCAAGGTGTATAACCAGGACGATTGCGTTGCTGTCAATTCCGGCACGGTACGATATGATCTGACGTCAGATTCATGGAGAAAAAGCCCGCTGATTTATATATTAGAACATTACCTTCAGTGGTGGTCTTTGCTCCGGTGGTCACGGTTTGTCAATCGGCAGTGTTGGCGGCCGAGACGACAACACCGTTCAGACAGTCACCTTTAGCAACTCACAGGTTACCAAATCATCAAACGGTTAGTGAAATTGGAAATCAACAGGTAACGATCGGCTCTTTAGCTAATCGCTGGGCAGGTATCCGCATCAAGGCAACTGCGGGAGATACTGGCACCATCAAGGGTGTTACCTACTCAGGCATTACTTTGTCATCTATTACTAGGTATGCTATGGCAGCTCGAAAATTAAATGGCAAATGTAGCCCATAACTAATATTTGTTTACAGCTATGGCATTCTTATTGAGCAAAATTACAATGGCGGTGACCTTCATGGAAGCCCCACTAGCGGCATTCCCATCACCAACCTAATCCTCCAGAATATTTCTGGGAGTGGTAGTGTCCAGTCAAGCGCTACTAACATTGCTATTGTTTGTGGAAGTGGAGCTTGCTCTAATTGGACATGGAACAATGTTGACGTTACTGGAGGAAAGAAATACGGCAGCTGCCAGAATGTACCGAGTCCTGCCTCTTGTTAAACAAGTGCTGACTATGTTGAAAATAGTGTCAGCGGAGATCTAGATAGCTATGAACTAGAACCTATTGACGATTTATGGTTTTAAATTTATAGCGCTAAATATATCTTATATATTGTTGGTCCGAATGGCAACTAGTAACCTCTCCTGTCGTAATGAGAATACCTATACGCCCCCTTAAATTAAAAATTAATATATGGATATCGTCCGGTTAGGTACTTGAATGAATATTATCACATAAATCTCAGTCAGCATCAAGTGGCACTCATTTAGTGTCGTGAAGCACTCCAATTGAGACAAAAAATGCCATGGTATCGAATTTTCGTATTGCTCAATAGGTCACTATGCATTATCTGAGGTACTATTTTTCAGTTCTTCTTAAAAGTAAAAAATTGTTGGTAAAGCTGATGAGTTGAGGAGATTTAGCACTCTATTACATTGTTGTCTTCTTTGACTGCATGCGTTTGAACAATTATCATTTAAGCTGATGTATTCTAAACTGATTCTTGCTCTATGCTTCAACCTTTCAAAGATTGAACATGATTAAACAAAAAGCGGTAGTTAGTGACTCCGAGATATTTATTTCCTGTTTGGTTTCGCTGGTTTGGAAGAGAACAAAAAGCTTGAGCCATAGCCGCATAGCGCAAGAGAGAGAAAAAAAAGGACAACTAATATTGACTTTAACGAAGTCTCCGGCTCTACCCATTAATGGGATTAATATTTATTTACTCAAAGGCTTGAGATGTTAATAAAATTTGTTTCAAGAGCATCAACGTATATAAATTCTCACATTATCAGGGAAATCACAATCATGCCGAGTTAACTGCTGTTGCATTATAGCGCTAGATTAGGATGAGTAAACATTTCAGGTCACATTTAGCAACAAACGTCCTTATCCTGAATTGGCCCTTTTGCAGGTGCTCTTATGGCTTGCAATTAAGAAAAATCTTAAAAAAAAAAATCGGTTAATGCTGTTTTGTGGTCTAGGGTTACTGGATACAGAACTGCTATTTCAAGAATGATGCACCATTACCAAATACTGATATAAGCTACTCAATTCTTCCCGGCGATCTTCAGGAGTTATCCGTGATTACCTAGATGCTCGTAGGAGATCAATACTTTTATGGAATATGAAGTGGTCAGAGCATTATAGATGAAGTCAAGGATAACTTCGCAGTCTGCTGAAATTGGTATGGCATTGTGATATGAGTCCCTTGCAAGGGATCTTCCGGGCATTAGCTCTTGCACTATGACTTCTACTGTATTTTATTGTAATAACCGAGAGTATTTGGAAGGTGTAAGTACCTTGTTCTAGTCTTCGGAGTTACATTAAGCCTTCTAGTACCCTGTTTCATCGCAGCAACCCTTCTCTTGCCTACTTCACGTGGTCAAGCGCAGATGGCTGTCGTATACAGCTAGTCAAGTATTGCATTTTTATTCTTGGGCACAAAAAGGGAAGGTGGATCGAGGATATTGCGCGTAAGCTCTAAGAATATCGGATGGCCAAGGCACTAATTGTGGATAAGGCTCGATGGCCTCGAATGCCGGAAGTGGCATCAAAACAAGGGCCTCGTCATCACTGCTCGACAGGTACACAATATCACTAGTCGAGACGTTTCCAATCCAAGCTTGATACATGGTTCAGCCCGCTATGTGGTGTATATCTCCGATAGTATAGACTATTGGCCTCATACTAATAAGTTTTAGACTGGGAACTCTAGCAGTTTACAGCAGCTGCTACGGCTCGTCGGATGATGGAGAGTCATGGCATGCATCAAATGACCCAAAGACTGTGAGAAGTATTTTTATCTCTCACAAGTAATGACGGGCCAATGGAAGTCTTGGAGCTGAATCACACAAATACGTTTACTCATCAACTAAGACTGGCTTCTTCATTCAGAATGTTGTAAAATGCCTATGAAATCCTTCTCCGAGGTCATTCTCATCCACTGCTATCGGAAGAACTTACTACGGGCGCCGGAATGCCAATAAAGTGAAGATGCTTATGTTAGTTGGGTTGGGTAAGCAAAGCGGCGCCTAGACTTTAGCGTAGTTGTTACTATTAGCAATTTGCATGTGGTTGAAACTAGCGCGACCTTGTTTGAAGCAGCAGGTATCAATATTACGATGTGCATCTAATCAAGAATAAATGATCAAACTGAAGGTTTGCAAAAGAAACAAGCGCATCTCTCGCTGAAGCTTCTAAAGCCTTCGAACCTCACCTGAGCATGAAGCATAGACTAGATATGCCTTAAATGGCTAGGTTAACACATGTTAATTCCCCACTAAGGCACCAGCCGCTATCTAATTGAAAGGTTGAAGTATAACTTTATGCAGGCGGACTGACTATTGGCACTGCAGCCCGTCCGTATCTCACGACATGCTGTAGCGGGCACTATATATTAACATGCTTCGGCTTGTTTCAGGGGTGAAAGTATAATGGTTGCATGCATGTGGAGGCGTGCTTCACGCGCCAATGAAAGACCAAACGCACGCAGCTGAGGGCTCAACTCCAACATTTGTCTTCGGCGGTGCTTCAAATATCACATTACTGATGTGTGCTATAAGCAATAATCAAGCTGCTAAGCATTCTTATCATGCATGTCTAGAACTTTTTTTCCAGTGTGAACGCCGATGCCGGATTGCCGAGGCTCCATCACAACTGTTCTAAGCTGACTGCAAAGCATCTAGTCCCAACGGAAACGTAGTTTGTGACAATATTGGCTGTGAGTTCGGAGAAACTCATTCTAGTATATTCCTATTTTTATTTCTTTTCCAACTTCCTTTCTCAGAAGAAGCCGCAACGCTATGAGAAGTAATAGCTATAAAGAGATGAAGCCTCTCCGCGATAGATAGCATTCTTTCACCAGTCAATCCAGTTCACTCAGCTCAACATTAGAGGAATATTTCGTCTTTAAACATTCTTAACAGAAACAATGGCTTTCAAGTACATGCTCGTCGCCGCCCTGGCTGCTCTGCCTGCCGCCTTTGCCTCTCCCATCGAGCTTGAGACCCGGGGCTGTACCTACGGCGGACCTTACGAAAACTTTCCTCCCATGAGCTCTTGGCTGCCCTGGACCACTGTCTTTGGCTTGTACGAGCAGTCGATGGTCAACGCAGGCTCCAGTTGGGACGATGTCGGCCGTATCAACGTGGCTATTAGCCAAGCTGCCGCTAGCATTGGCGTTGATGAGCGTGTTATCCTCGCTATCATTCTCCAAGAGAGTTCTGGCTATGTTGGTGTCGAGTGCACTGGTGGTGATGACTGTGGTTTGATGCAGTGCGAGGGCTGCCCATCATTCCAGGGCCAGAATGAGTTGCCTCAGGTAAATCGATATCTTTTCCTCTCCGCCATCTAAGATTCTGCAGTTTCTAACATTTCAACTTAAGTCGGATACCTCTGCCATGATTAACGGAGGTACTCAGCACTTCAAGGCTAATTTGGTGGACTTTGGTGACCTGTGGGATGTCTCATCTATCTACCCCGCGCTCCGTGAATACAACTCGGGCAGTGTCGACAACAACGACCTCAGTGTTGCCGCCGGCGGCTTCGGCGTACCTTGCTACGTCAGTGACATTGCTCGCCGTATGATGGGCCAAGTCTTTTAAACATTTTCTATGAATTGGGAATGGAGACGAAAATTGGCGATGGAGTAAGCAAGAAGGTGGATGATGCAAGGTTTGACACCTTGGAGTGATGATAATCTCCATGAGTTTCTCCACTTCTGTTTTTACATTCACTTGTCTATATTTTACCTTGGAGGCTCTTTTATGAATCCTCTTAGAGTTTATGTCTATATCAGAGAACAGTATATATATCTCAGCTTCCAGCCAATCGCGGTTTGCTATTAACTTCTGCTTCCAGAAAATGATGTGATTGTTGTTAAAGAACAAGAGTACTTCATTCAACGCTAGCTATATCATAACTGTAGCAAATCCCAAAGAAACATCAACTAACGCACGAGCTAGAGTGGTATTCAATGGCAACTTAAAATATGGGCCACAAACCCTAGGAAATGGGAGTTAAAGAGGTTTACAATTAGGTAGAACTCAGCTGAGATAAGAACCTGAGATTAGTTAATTACTATACAGTCTTATTGGATTTCAGTATGCCTTTCAGCTTTCAACAGCAGTTTTTTTTTTTCTCCCAATGGGCTCTTTAGTAAAGATATCACCCCCATCTTCTACAGGATGATTTCCCCAACCCAGGGTTTATTATGCTCGGTATCACTGCCGAGGATCATCGGGTAGGGCGCTGGTCATGTACATTACGTGCTAGTATCTGTAAAGACTTCATTTGCAAGTAACTGCCTCTTAGGGATGTCTAGATCTCTTTACAGAGCCTCAATAGACAAATACTAAGCTTCCTTTTATAGTAAGGGCTAGTTACCTCGTCCATTTATGATAATGCCGCCAATGACATTACTGAACACTGTGGCTGTAAAAGTAGAAAGCCATCTAATGTGCAATAGCGCAGATTTTCCAGGCACGAATAGATTCCGAGCATTGGTAGCTTCCTATTCGATACCAAGTAAGCTGATACTAGTACACTCATTGCGTCCCTTAAAAAGGGCCGAGCGGCGTGATCTCGCAGTAGTACATGCCCGATCCCTGTGCTAGGGTAATTTTCAGGGGTCTTCATGAGCCGCTTCTTCCGTGCTGACCTGCTCGCTAACATCGTCTCAAGCGGGTAATTCACATTAGCGATGAATGGCGTGCAATCAATTTAATAACACTTTTCTTCGAGTACGGAAAATTTATTCCAATGTCTGCCCTTCTGAAGCTGAATATGTATACATAAAGTCGAATAGGTGCCAATACTACAGGTATGCCGGGTGTTTGTTAACTGTGGAGCTCACTGCAAAGAAGAATAAACCATAAACGGAAACATGATTGACACATTTATACCATCGCGAGTGCCCGAGTATTACCTTCTACGATATGATAATTTTTCCGAAGTAGACTCAGTGTATTCATATTTATTTTAAGCCTCGAATTGAATCATGAATCGCCGTCTAGTATTTATTGCTTGGTGAAGAGAATATAGATGTATATATAGCATGTCTTCACAAAACCGATAACATCGAACGTATATTCACCTAACGACGGATCGGCATCCGAAGCGCGCTTGAGCATTTACTAGCAATCTACTCCGTAATACCCGGGTATGATCTCTCACTCATAAAGTGATGGAGCAATGCTGTTGGCAGTGCCAGAATGTCGATCCTAAAACTTTATTCCACATATACACGTAACAGCGATCAAAGTTCATATGCAGCGATGATCTGCAGATCCAGATCTAGCATTTTCTCTCGTATGTAGAAGCGGATCATGCAGATTGAAACGTAATATACCTGTACTAGTGGCTGCCGCTTGATCAGCTCCAGGGTGGGGGCGCCGAGTACAAGAATCTCCTCCAAGTGACGAACATATGTACATGAAGAAGCGAAATACATTCGTCTCAGCAAAAGCGAAGTCAAGTCGATACTCTAAGTAATGGTATAGATATAGTTTTTGTAGAATCTTTTCTATCGGCGGATCGGGGATAGTCGATGGCTTCAAATTGATAACTTCATAATATAAGACATACACGTACTTCTGGGTCTCGTATTATGGAATTATCAACCACGTAGTTAAAAATAAAGATTAATTAACTAATTTAAATATACATTATGAACATCTTCTTATAGAACAGGGTGATTATTTTTAAGTGTATAACCAGCTTTGCGTACTCGCTTAGGATTTAAGCCCTACATGAGAAGAAGACCTTCTTTTAGCGATCAGCATGGCTGGTATGTTTACGGCAGCTGCGTAGTATGTACATAGATTCAAGCAGAAGATGCGTTTTATGTTTGTGAGTGGCCTATGAGCACTAGGCCTGGTCTCGTAGGTATAACTGGTGCATGCCTCTTTTTTAATTTCTTGTTTCGTCCTCTGCAATTCTACAATACACAGTGTATCATTATATAGCATAAAACGATTGATTAAGAAATAGAACCGGATGTTATAGCAATAATACACTGTTATGGAAAGAATACAAGGGACTAGAACTTCTTTGACACAACGATTTTCTCTGTATTTAGAGCTACGTATAGCAATGGATAATCTCAGTTTGCCAAATCCTCATAGCCAAAGATAAAATGGTGGAATTGGTATATTAGAATCCCATATCAACAATGGATATCTCGACGATAATGCGTAGTTGAATGAGGCGCACACCCCGCTAACCTTTGTGCAGGTCGTGTGCAATAAACAGATGATTCGCGGCATCCCCCTCTCATTCCTCCGCATTAAATTGTTGGATATAATTTAAAAAATAAGAATAAATGAAAAATAGAAATAAAGTAAAACTTTACTCCTTTGTGAATACTTCTGCATCTTCCTTGGTAATGTCGGCATTTGATGTCTCTGGGAAGAATTGTCTTCTGTCTTCGGCATATCCACTATTGGACAACAGTTAGCGAAAGTGGCTTAGGACTATGTTATCATTGGCTCAACTCACAAAATAACGTCAATTTCATCCAAAGTCTTGCCTTTCGTCTCTGGAAGAAAGAAGAAAGCCCAAATAGTTGCAAGTAGCATCCAGGACGCGAAGAAGAACCAGGTGCCATAGCCTAGAGAGGCAAAGATATATGGCAGTGCCTTCGTAATAACGAACTGGGTGAGCCTGCATATAAGCGTTAGAGTAACAGTAGTCTTAGAATATTTGGTAGGTTTCATACCATTGGCAGAGTGCCGCCCATGTTCCAGAAAAGTTACGTAAAGCTCCTGGGAAGATTTCGGCCGCAACAATCCAAGGAATTCCATTAAGTCCGAAGGACCAGCTAAAAAAAAATTAGATACGAAGAGAGCAAAAGGGAAACATAGGTGGGATGTCATACAAGACAGAATATATCATGATCATAGCAGTTGCAGCCCTGCCGCCAGTTGCAGTGGATGATGAAAGCTGCTGTCCGGCTTTGATGATGTCGGCTGGATGTCCAATCTTGACATATGCACCGATAAACCAAAGACAGAGTGAGCAAGCAATTGATGAGAGAATAGTCGGATGTCGGCGGCCCCATATATCGATTAAGAAGACGTAGAAAATTATTGAAGCAACTGCCTTGACAAGGCCATAGATGCCAGTGTAGAGAGAGACATCTGTAATACCCAATGAGGCAAATAGTGTAGGCGAATAGTAATTAATAGCTTTCATACGTGGCATCGTTAGCCAATAACAACTTCAATAAATTGTTTTTTTTTTTTTTTTTTTTNCCTCTCTCCTTCTTTCAGCGGTGAGGGTTCATGGCATAAGACGTGTATGAGGTTTTCTATAGCAGCTTACGAAGCTTGGGCTGGGATGGATAAGAGGTGGAATATGAGAGTGAAACGTAATGCATTCTGTGCTCGTGCGTGAAATTCAAACATATAGGTAGTCATAGGTCTTGCATGCCCGTTGGAGTGGGTATAAGCATAGGCAGCAGGATTTCTTTTTTTTTTTTCTTTTCTCTTTTCCATTTTCTTTGCTTTTTGAAACAGGACCGGCTGCTCCATGTGAGCAGCTGTACTACTATTAGATTACTAGGCAGTAGTACTAGGTTCTAGTAGTAGTAGTAATGTCTTATGAGAAGCAAGACTCGAGGTTGTCGTGCGTGCTATTAGGAAGCAGTTCAAGACAACAATACTATTTATTACAAGCAGCGTATCCTCTGGCCTCTGGCCACCACGAATCACAATTTGCGTATTCGGAAAGAAAAGAATTGTGCTCGTTAGATGGTACGGATGTTTATCTCGGCGGCACAAGGCTATACATAATAAATATTGGGATCATCTCCGATGTGAAATTGGATTGTCTTAGAATACCGCCGAGGCGATTGGAAAAAGCGTCTGATTTGCTTTTGCGAGTGGCATGTTGGTGTTTTGAAATAGTACAAGCACCGACGTACATCAATACCACTCCTAGCAGGTCGTTGCACTGGGCCGCTGTATCACATTTTCGTATCGACGAGCATCTCCTTACTGGAAAAGGCGAAATCCACCACCATTCCTCCTCCAAAGCCGTTTGAACACCCTGCCGACGGGTCTTTTCTTCCTTTCCTCCCTTCCCTTCGCCCAATGCGACTCTACTGTATGCCAAACAGCCCCCCGCTCAGGGTCTCATCGCCACAACAACCCTCCATCAGCTCACAAACAGCGCACAGCAGCTGACCAGAAGCGGAAACCCTTGCAGGGCCAAATTGGGCTGCGTTGGTGCTGTGCGACCGACCGACCGCCCTCCTCGTACAAGTACTTCGTAATCGGAGCGGGAGCCCATCCCCCTATACGCGCAAAACGGCTAGTGCTCTTGCCTGCTGAGCTAGTGAGTCTACAAAGGGCAAGCAAGCAGTCGCAGTGGCTCTCACGTACCTTGCAGGTGGCGCTCTCGCAGGTGCGCTAGAGGGGGGCCCACGCGCCAATCAGCAACGGGCGGTGCTCTTCGTATTGACATCTGGGGTGTCTCACCTTGTTGTTGTTGCTGCTGCTGCTTTGTGATGAAGCGAGCAATATTGATTGGTGTGACTTTTATTTTTATTTTCCCCGCGGGTGAATTGATATTAAGCCGCCCTTTTTTTGCTCGCGTTGGTACTAGTATTATTGACAGATTGCTTCCTTTTCTAGGCCCAGTTCCAGTTCAGGCGCTCGTTCGCTGCGGGTGTGCTATTTTCGTCACCAACAAGAGACGTGTAGCTGGTCGTGATTAGTCGACTCCATAGAACGCTCCAGTCGCTCTCACCCGTCCCCCCTGTAGCAACGGCAAAGCACTAGTACAGCTAGCTGCCAGACCGGGGGATCTCCATCCGACGAGCTTGCGCTGGGAGTCTGTCTCAGTCGCTTGCCCGCACGATCCTTCCTCCCTTGGACCCCCAGCCAGAATGCGACTCAACTAGTAGTACCGGTGGACTGATAAAAAGAGGCCCTTCCTTCCGGCGGCTCACCTTCTTTTCCTCCCCTTCAGTTTTTTTGCTCCCCGATTTCTCCTTTGCGTTCTACATAAGAGTTGCTCCAAGTCCGGTCGTTAGAAACCTCACTCGCTTTTTTTTTGTGCCTGCTGGACCAATTCAGAACCAAACCAAAAACTAAAGAAGAATAAAAAAGAAAAAAGAAAAAATCTTCACAATGAAGGCCTCTGTCGTCACCCTCCTCCTCGCCGGCCTGGTCGCTGCCCAGGACTTCACCGGCCAGCCTGACTGCGCTGTAAGTTGAGACGGAAACCAGCATTGAAGAGATCGAGTCGAGGAAAACAAACCAATTCCTTCTCTGCCTGCTGGATAATCCAATGCCGCACACCATATGAGTTCTCTCTGGACTAACACGCACGCTCTCAGATCCCCTGTCTCAAGGACGCCATCCCCAAGGCCGGCTGCGCCCTCACAGACACCGCCTGCCAGTGCAAGACCTCCACCCAGGCCCAGCTCGCCGGCCTCGTTGCCCCCTGCCTGATCGAAAAGTGCAGCGCCTCTGATCTCGCCAAGGCCCAGTCTGCCGCGGCCGCTGCCTGCAAGGCCAACGCCGGCGGTTCTTCCTCTGCTGCCGCCACCTCAGCCGCCTCCTCAGCCGCTGACTCGTCTGCTCCCGCTTCGACCTCTGCCGCCGCCACCTCCGAGGGCACGACCTCTGCCGCCCAGAGCACGACTGCTGGCGAGACCTCTGCTGCCCAGACCTCTGCCGCAGACACCAGCGCCCCGGCCTCCACTGCTGCTTCCGGCGGTGCCTCCATCCCTACCTCTAGCCCGACTGGCGGCGTCTCCAACAGCACCGTCTCTGGCTCTCGCTCCGTCGTCACTCGCACCTCCACTGCCTTTGTTGGCGGCGGCGGCGGCTCCAAGACCTCGAGCACTCCCAAGACCACCTCCCTCAACGATGCCACCGGCCCTGTTGCTGGTGTCCTCGGCGCCGTCGTGGCCGCTCTCATGGCTCTGTAAATCCACCAACAGCTACTACTACCAATCGCATTCATAACTGTTCATAGTTTTGTCAAAGGTGTTGGGCTAGCATGTAATCATGATGTGACGAAGTTATAATTTGAAGTGGCGTGGACAATCAAAATGGGCTTTTTTTCTGTTCTTTCTCTCCTTTTTTCTGGGACCACGATGTATCGATCTGGTCAGAATTGTTTTTTTTTTTTTTTTTTTTTTTTTTTTTTTTGCTTACCTGCTGCTCCAGACATATTTTGCAGGGCAAAAGAGCAGAATACGAGAATGACACGATTGCGCATGCCCTTGCGAGATAATTCGTACAGAGCCCCACGGAAGAGTGCCCATGACCCAGTGCCGTATCTACTCGCGATGTTGGCTTCCTCCATCAGGCGACTTCGGATCATTTGTATGTCTTCTTGTATGTCTATAGTGTATATGAGCTAGCTGTCTTCTTTGGTAGTATGTTGAGGATATATCTTACACTGATGATCGCGTGGGAGCTGGCGAATTTGTTCCAGAGCCTTTGTTCCTTCTTCGACTTTATCATTTCGAAAGAGCCATAGAGGACTTTCGTGTAGAAACACGGCTCCAAGCAGCAGCATGCCGCAGGGGATAATTTGAACGGCCATGGGAATGCGCCATGAAGCTGTTGAGCTTTGGTCCATATTCTGATTGATTCCGTAGTTGATCCAAAAGCCAATGACAGATCCAATTTGATACGCAATTTCGAAAAGGCCAGTGAGTATACCGCGAATAGAAGGGATGGAAAGCTCGGCAATGTAGCTTGGAACGGTGGCGGTGATTCCACCGCAGGCAAGCCCGGTGAGAACTCGACCAGCATCTATTTGCTAAAAGTTAGCAATAACGGACTGGAAGGCATCTCGAACACATATGGAATGGACTGACAGATGTTCGATAGTGAGTGTGTTGCAGCCGTCATAATGACTGCACCAATAAGGAATACCACATTGGAAGTGAAAAGCGCCCACTTGCGACCTATTTTTTCGGTGACTATTTCTCATAGTTAACGACAAGAACCGGATATGAGTATATCCCGGACCTACTAAAGAAGCAAAAAATGGCCCCAAAGAAAGCACCCGCTTGGAAAGCAGAAGTGATGTTACTCGAAATGCTACTCGCATCGGCCGGTAAAATATTAAAGTCCTTTTTAAAACTTGCGCGAGCAATTGTCGTTCCGAGAAATGCGCCATCATAGCCAAAGCTGAGTCACCGAGGTATCAGAGAAGTTCATGCAACAACACCCAGGCTAGAGATACTCACAGTAGAGAACCGGTAGCAATGACTGCAGCCTCAAAATACAACCGCCAGTTGTACACCTCCTTCGGCGTTGGCCGATCTTCAACGGCACGAAATCCACCCATAATGTTGAGGGGGGCTTATTTGCTGTGTCAAGAGTGTAGGCACACAAGACAAGTCCACTTGGGATGGCAAAAAATAAATCGTCCAGGAATGAAGCCAAGGGCCATTAAGAGATCGGCATAGTGAAAAGAGCGGATAACGTCGTCAGTTATATGAACGTTGTAAAGTCTGTCCATCACAACTTCGGCCTGGTGCCATCGGATCTGGAGAGAGAGGATGGTGGAGTCTTCGCCAACTAGCAAAAATCTGGGGTTGTTTTCCGCCGAATCAGCGTACCCCAGCTTTGGCTGAGCGATACCGAACGTGGTGTCGTGCGGGGAAGTTTGGGGAGAATATGGAGTACATGAACTGACTTTCTTCTGGAAATACTGAGAATATGGGAGAAAATCCATAACGAACCACAGGAGACATGCCGACCTGTCGGCAAAAATGGAAACCATTGACGCCCTTTTGCGCCTCCTAACTAGAACAACGTGGGCTGCCGACGGATTATTGCCGGTGGCGCAGCGCTACCGCAAGAGTGGCGAATTGGAACTATGAGGCCAATGACAATGTTTGGTGCTTGGCAGCTAAGCGATGTATCCGATATCCGAGCCGATCGGCTCTGTACGAAGTGAGTCGGTATTTGGGTATTTGTGGCTTCAAGAAACTGCCGTCCCGATCGCAACAGAAGCCTGGGTGGCCAACTATTGGTATCCTTTAGACCTAAACGTGCCTATGCAATAATCTATCGATGTGCTACGCGTGAAGAAGCAAAGGGGACAAGGGTATCATCGATGTGTATTGCATAATTATGAGTTCAAAGTGTCACGATTAGCGCGTATATTATAGGTGGTTGAACACAAATCGCGTATTATCGTCGGAGGTACAATAGGAACGAAATAGATAGATGGATACTATGTCTGGATTTGTATACGGACATTGCATGTCGCCAATAAGTTTATGCTCTATTAGATCATAGTATGGAAATTTAACTGATTCGGCGTCCCCTGACCAAGTAAGTCTATGGTTTTGGCTACTCTTACTGCGAACCCTTGGCGATGCTTTTCTCAGTTGCCTCCAGAGCGCCAGCAACGCCAACAATCCACTCTTGCTGCGTCGCGTTGTCAAATTTTGGGTATGGTCGCCTACAATGGCAGCTCTCTTGAGGATATCCACGCAGCTTTGCTACTATCCATTTCGTACCATTAATCCCGCCCTTTGCAAATCCCCATTCCATCTTAGAGAGCTCCAATTGCAGTGCGGTAGCCTCCTTCACTTTGCCAGCCATAAAGAGGTTGTAAATTTGGATACAGGACTTTGAAGATTGCGAATGCCTTGGTTAGCAATGCTCACTAATTAATGTCATGATGCATGTTTCCCGCGCCAAACTTACTCTGGGGTATAAATTTGCAACACCGGTAATAGTGCCTGTACCACCGACAGATAAAGCTGGAACAAGCCAATCGCTCTGGCCTGCAAGTGCACTGAAGTCCTGAGGGCTGTAAGTGGCGGCGATGCGCGATACTTTGGCAATACCACCACATGTCAGCTTCACGCCGACTATATTCTTATGCTTGGCAAGACGATCGAGCATTTCGGAGTCGACATCGAGTCCTGCAACCACACCGGGAAAGTTGTATATTACGATGGGGATTGGGCTTGCATCGGCTGCCTATTCAGTTTACATTAGCATCAGCGCTGCATAACCACGTAAATTGATGGAGATTGCTTCCGCACCTCTTCGAAGAACGCAACAATGGCGTCTTTGCTCATTGCAAAGTGGAAATAGCTGGGCACAAGGACCAAAACATAGTCTGCGCCTGCTTCTTGAGCCATCTTCGTCTCGGCAACGACATCTCGTGTGCACTGTCCATTGCATCCCAAAGTAATGGTGATATCCGGTTCTCCGGCCTCGGCAGCGATGCGCCTTGTTAATCTGATGAGCTTGATCTTTTCCTCTTTGGTTAATGTCACAGCCTCGCCATTGGTCCCAGCCAGCACAACTAGGTTGATACACGTTAGCCCTTGTCACAGCATAGAGAGTCAATGCGCTTACCTCCATGAAGACCAGAAGTAATTAGAAACCTCAAGTGCTGCTCTTGCAAATCCCAGTCTATATCTTGAGCGTCATTGCTGCTGAACCAGGTTAGACAAGGCACATGAATGCCCGGTGGAAACGGCTTGACTACTTGTTGTAATGAGCCCATTGTTGCTAGTATCGAGGGAGAGAATGTATGCCGTGGACGCGTCTAGAATCAAAGAATGGATTGATTCAAATAACGCGACAGTGTCAAGGTTCTGGGAAGAAGTCTTTGGAGATCAATCAATGCTGAGGATGCGAGTCAATGACTTATATAGTGCCCCGCAGAGTGCGATAAGACTGAGAAATATCAGTACACAGAGGTCAAAAGCTCTTTGTAGAAAGAGAGATCAAAATCTCTAGATAGCAAGATAAAGTCGCCAACTTGCCAGTCAGATGCGGGTAAGCGCGCATTGCCGGCTATCAGATCAACTTTCAATCCAGGCGAAGCGAAGCGATACTGCTGATGTGGAGTTTCTTCTGCCGATGAGAGCTGTTCCCGATACTGCCGACCCGAGAAGACACCGCCAACAGCCTTTTGTGCGGGGTGAATCACAAGATCGCAAAAGACGAATTAAATACTGAATGCATTACGGAGCGAATATCCGCACGAGTTTTGGTGGCTTCTTGGCGAGCCTGGACTTCTTCCAACACTTGCGCCGTAATTCTTGCATTCCCGGCAACGCCCTCCATTCTCATTATTTGCGCCTTGATCCACACCTTCTCCTCTTCATCGTGTTCTTCCGCGCCCAGCATTAAGAGAGGCCAGAGCATATTTACCGGAAGCGAATCCCCAGGTGCTAAATTGGACGAAATCTGGTGGGCCAACTTGCGGATTTGAGCCAGAGCATCGGCTGCTTCCTTGGTCAATGGCAAGTGTTTGTAAGCGACACGATGAAGATGCACTTTGCTAGCGTAGTAATTGGATAAGTATGTGCGAAACGCCCTGGTGATGGTGAAAGCCAAGTGTGCTGAAATATGAGGCTCTGAGAGCTTTCCAGCAACTGCATAATCCATTAGGGGTGGGCGCTGGTCGTATAGCGATCGCAAGTCGGAGGCAATGGAAGCGCCGATGTTCATGACTTCTATCTCATCTTCCACTGTGCCTCTCGACCTATGCCAAGGATCAATTTTCGATATGCGGCCCATGAAGCTTTGAACCTTTTGAAAAAAGACAATACCAGGTTGGTAGAGGACCTGAAACAAAACATCTTCAATGTCGTCGCTGGATGCTTCCTGACTTCTCGCGGTATCGTCCGTTTCAGCATCGAAGCTCGCGGGTGAAGGCTCTATAATCTCAATTTCATCGTCCCGTGATAGGAATAGCCCTTCGCCTCCAGCAGATACCGCTCTAGCATCCAACAACCGAATCCAAAGAAGCACTTGCTTTTCGACATGTGAGAAAGAGGCCTTGTCCCCCCTCTGGAATATCGTATACGCCTGTTTGAGATAGCGATGCGCCATATCAAGCCTGCTGTCTATTATGTCGACATAGCTTAGGAAGAATAGCGCGGCGAGGAGGCATTCGCGCGCCAGACTGTGCTCGTTGAGGGAATCCGGATCGTGCGCCTCTACTTCAATGACGGCTTCCTGGTAGTGATTTTGGTCGTCAAAGGCCCAAGAGGGATTGCTACGACACAAAAGAGTATTTGAGAATGCCAAGATAGCACAGCGTAGGACGCGGGAGCTTTTTGACATCGCGACAAGGCCTTGGCGGATTGATGACCATTTCCTCTGAGACTCAACTCCGGCTAGGATTGGCGGTATAGCAGATTTGATGAAGAATTCCATTAACCTTTCGCTTGAACCAGAAGTAGTTTGATCGATGGGCTGATTTCCGTTCTCTTGTATGGCTGTATTAGTATATGTGTTGATTGTTAGGGGATCTGTGTGCCTGTTCACAAATGAACTAGCTTCCTACCGCACATCGTGAGTTATATGATCTTTCACAAAGTCCATAACAGGCAGGGGAAATTTTAGTGTATATAAATGGGATTTAAGAACACCTACTATAAGATTTGCGTTAAGAGGAATGGTAGTCGTCATATCGGGGCTTTCTTGCTGCCACAAACTGCTGCTTGGATCCCACATGAAGCTAGCGTAGTCAAAGACTTCGTCCATGGCCTGCAGCGTTCGTAATCCAGAGGCAGCCGGCGATCGGTCGGTGGACGGAGATATGGTTGGCTGGCTATCACCTGCAGGCCTCTCACCATTGGCGTCATTCCGTTGTTTGGACAATGCAACAGCGTGAAGTGGTCGCCACTTGCATTCCAAGTTTAGCCGCTCGCAGTGCGAGCATCGGGGTCGCTGCTCGTCGCATTTTACTTTGCGACGTCTTTGTAAACATGGTACATCAGCAACGACTTCTACACCTTACTAAAAAGCTGCGAGGTAGGAAGCCTCACTTGCAAGTCAAACATCCGCAGCGTGACCTGTTGTAACGTCTCGTCGGCCCAGCGCGTTGTGGCGAGACCGCGTTCATATTATCATCATTGGAAGAAGGTTGTGGCATCATGAAAGAGAGAGGTTCTAGTAGTTGATGAACATCACAGATACTCAATGATGAATATTAGAAGCGTAATATTCCATATCATCAGAGGAATACCCCTTTGATCGACAATGTGACTTCCATGTATCGCGAAAGCTGCGAGAAGAATGTTGGAGAAGCCATGCCTGTCAAATCTTTAGCAAATTAAGTTAGCGTTGGAGAAAAGTAGGACGAGTTATTGGAGCTATAATTCCATCATGTGACAGACTTCGTATATCTAATTCATGGTATTTCAACGCCAAAGCTACGTATGTACGATATTTGCATTGAGCCATATTTATGTAAAGTCACAATTCATATCAGTAAGTTATCTCATCGTCAAAAGATAAATCATGGACAGTCGTAATTGGAAAAAACGTTCATACATGGATATGTTCTAGTTTTGCACTAATGTGCAGCACGCTAATCCTTACGAGCTAACTCAACAAGTCGAACAAGAGCGAGGCATGCTGAACTTTGCTTACGTTTCGCAGCATCTGGAGATAGTCCATGAATGCGGGATGGCCAAGCCAAGCTAACACTTGTAATAAAGTGGCAAAACTCGCTGATTCACAGTCCCGAGCTGCCAATATACGCCAGCGATCTTGTACTGTCCATGTCGAACGTGAAGGGAATGTTGCTTGGATTACTACGAGACTCGAGTTATTTTTTCTTTGCTATAGTGCGTATGATGTACAATTCATTGGATGAGCTCAGAGCCAGCTGTACCCACCACGCTACTGCGTTCTCGCCATCAGTATCCACGAATAGACTAAGCTGTCGACAGCAGTACTCGTTGTAAGCAGAAAAAGTGCACCACGAAGGCATCTTTTTTCAATTGCAAATTTAGCACACAGTTCTCAGGCCAGCTTGAGTTTAGTAAATTTTGAGAATTACCTTAATTCACATAAAGTACATGTATCTAACTGAATCATTGTCTTCACCCAATTGAGTCCTGGAACAAATTTTGCTATGAACAGCTTGACTACTCACTATTACTCGGTGCAACTCTATTTATGCAGCGAGGAATTCTGTTAGATTGATAACGTTCAAGATATAAAAATTGTGAGAAGAAACGTTCCCGTTACCGATTTCGGCTTGACGAGATGCGTCCGGACACGCCGAGTAAATTAATAATAACTGGGTTGAGCAGCTCATTCCGACCCCGCCGCCAGATTTCCCAATTAGGAAACCTGTGATGGTCTCAGGCCGTCGTTTCAGGCATTCAATTCAAGAGCAAAGCTGTATATAAGACGACGCAATTCGGCCTTTCTGAGATTTTTTTTTTTCAATCCAGAATACACCAAGACTTCCAACAATCACAACAACACATCCAATTATACACTTTTATCAAAGAATCTACACCAATCAAGGCCAATTTCTCTGCTTCTATTATATCCTTGCCTTATCGTTGCCTGAGTCCTGCCTTTCGGTCGGCCTCATAGTTACTGTCGGTGCCCGCTTACGTCATCCTTACCCTTCTTCAGCTAACAATTAATTATCATCTAGCATCCACCTCATATATATCAAGATCTCTATTGCTTATTTTCCAATTATTTTAAACTATTAAAATGTCGGCCAAGGACATCGCGCAAAACGGCTGGACTGCTCTGCCCTTGGATCCCAGCAAGCTCTTTGGCGGCAAACCGTTTAGGAATGCACCTGAACCTCTTCTGGTTTCTGATATCAAGTTTCCGGAAGATGACCCCATCGTCGCCAAAGTCCGAAGCTATGCCAAAGAAAAGTTGCCAATTCAGACTTACAATCATAGCATGAGAGTTTTTTATTATAGTATGCAAGCACAAGTAATCCAAATAAAAATGGCTAAATAGCTAACATTCTATTCTATAGCGACCGCCATTGTCAAGCAGCAGTTCCCTGAACATGCTGAAACATTTTCTCCTTCAACCCTTGCACTAGTCTCTCTCTTGCATGATATCGGAACCGCTGAGGAGAACTTGGCAGCTACCAACATGTCTTTTGAGTTTTACGGAGGTTTCAAAGCCATGAATCTTCTCTTGGAGCTTGGAGCATCCAAAGACCAGGCCGAGGCCGTCGCTGAGACAATCATCCGCCACCAAGATCTTGGGACCGTGGGAAATATCACGTTCATGGGCCAAGTCATCCAGCTGGCTACGATTTACGATAATGTCAGCGACCATCCATACTTGAAAAATCTCACGGAAATTATCCACACCAAGACTCTTAAGGATGTTGTTGAAGCCTTCCCTCGTCAGCAATGGCTTGGATGCTTCGCTAAGACAATTGATGAAGAAGAGCGACTCAAGCCTTGGTGCCATAGTACACACATTCCCAACTTCTCTGACGGGATCCGGGGCAACAAGTTCATGCAGCAATATGAGTGAGTAGTGAGATAACTTACCATTGTTGCATCAATCTATTTTTATGATATAATATGGGAACACAAAAATATACAAAGTAGTCAGCGTCGGAAACTAATCTACCTAGCTATGTACACAAAATACAACATGTTCTCATCATATTTTCATTCAACATATAATTGTATGACACTTGGAAGCAATTTTTTAAGGTAGAGTTCATTAGGTGACCAAGTAATACATTGCGCGACCATCGTATCTGTTTCTTTATGGTTCGATTTGTATGGCGAGTTTACATAAATGTTACTAGGTTGATCTATGCCACGACGTAATATGGTAATAAACGATACATGTAACCAACAAGTCGTTATCACGTGCTACTATTAGGATAGCCTGTGTTACCTATATAATGTAGGTAACGTATGAAGCATATGATGCGCTTTTTTCCTGAAATACCTCGTTCCCCCGCTTTCAGGTACAGACATGCTCTTTTTTCTTACATCGGATCTCCAGAATTTCTGCTTGCGCTCAAAATGTCTAGATGCATACCAGAGATCAATTTTGCCCCGTATCTTGTCGATGCCACATCGTTGGAGGGTCGAGAGACTATCCAAGCCATTTACGATGCGGTTTCTTCATGGGGGTTTTTCTTGCTAACTAACACACCGGTAACACAAAACCAGCAGACAGCGTTGCTGAACTCGGCGAAACAGTTCTTCGATCTCCCAATGGAAAAAAAGGTTGCCTTGGATGTTGCAAACGGAGGCGTCGCTTGGCGAGGTTATATGCCTCTTGGAGGGGAATACACTCATGGTCGCCAAGATTGGAAAGAAGGGTTTTATGTCGGACCAGAGCACGAAGACGACCACGCACTTACAGGCATGCCTCTACATGGACGGAATCAGTTTCCTGACGCTGATCTTCCAAGCATGCGTAACGACGTCTTGAAATATCTCGAGCAAGTTAGTGAGCTTGGTAAGATGCTGACTGAAGTTCTGTCTCTGGGCTTAAAGCTGGAGAAAAATGAATTGCGTCGTGCATGGCTGGAGCCTGAGCCAATATTGTTGTTTCGGTGCTTCAAATATTCACCCTTGCTAGAGGCTACAGAATCTCAGAGTCTCAAAGAGAGCTTTGGAATTGGAGAACACACAGATTTCGGGTATCTGACCATATTGAAAGTTGACTCTCCTGGTCTTCAGGTAGGCATGTGCGGATGGCTGAGCTCGCAATTCGTATTGACGAAACCCCTAGATTCTTTCCCCATCTGATGAATGGGTAGACGTGCCTGTCATTGAGAACGCATTTATTGTTAACGGTATCAAAATGATCAAGCACCTATGAACTACGTGAATAAGACGCTAATACAGCTATACAGTGGGCGACATGTTAGATCAACTTACCCACGGTCGCTTTCGCTCGCGGCCACACCGCGTGCAGCGACCCAAATCCGTATCTCCTCCCCGATACTCTTTCCCTCTTTTCTTTGACTTTGCTTGGAACACGAAGATGCAACGTCTATCGCTTGACCATTTGCCTCCGCTCACAGCTGAGGAACAAGAATTGGCGCGCAAGCGGTGGGCAAATACGAGCTTCCGGAAGGTTGAGGGCACTTGGGCACAGTATCTTGCAAAAAAGGTACAAAAAGTGTTTCCAGATCTTAATCTTCCAGACTTTGAGCCAAATAAAGCACCATCAACAAGATTTACTAGAGTAGTAAAAGCTTAGAGTCTGAAGCGGGGCGTGACCAAGTCTTTGTGGAATGTTGATGGTGGTGTCTGAGCATTGTATTTCCATTTAATGAGTGATGAGTGCTTTTATTAGTTACACTTGCTATGATATCAAACCTATTCAATTAAATAGAAGCTATTCTATACTTCTATCTGAGCCGGTCTTCCCTCCCATGCTCTTTTCAGCAGCTCGCGGATCGGATCCCTTTCCACAGGTCTAGGATTCCAAAATGGCTTCTTTAGCAGATTATCTACTGCCACCTCAATGTCCTCTTCTTTCAGACCAAGGTCCTTTAAACTATAAGTAATTTGCAATTTAGATAATAGTTTGTTCAGGCCACCGACTGCATCTCCATTACTTTCCGGAATAATATTTGACAACTCCTTCATGATTTCGGGGATGCTTGGAGCGATATATGCCAGCGCATGAGGCAAAATAATTGCATGCGTTTCCGCGTGTGGCAGATTGAAGGTGCCCCCAAGGACATGGCACAGTTTATGATGCAGGGCTACGGATGCCCCAGCGAGACATTTCCCGCAGAACCAAGCGCCCAGTAGAGCATCTGAGCGAGCCTCGATGTCTTTTGGATTTTGCATGACTTTAGGTAGCGACCTAGCCAGAGTTTGGATGCCTTTGATTGCAAACATGCTCGTGATAGGATTGGCATCTTGAGCATATAGAGCCTCGACTATTCAACGTTTTTATGTTAGCAACTGCAAGCTGGGGCGTAAAAGGCTGCTGTCAACAAAGACGTACCCGCATGAGCCATAGCATTAAGGCCACTTGTAGCGCTTATATTAGTAGGTAGTGACAACGTTAACTTCACGTCGTAAATAACAACTGCTGGAATGGCTTTCCGATCAATATGAGTAACTTTTACTCGGTTCTCCGTTTGGCCAACTATGGGCGTCATCTCGCTACCAGCATACGTAGTCGGGATGCAGATGTGAGGCAACCCTGTCCGAACAAATAATGCTTTGCCTAAACCCACGGCACTCCCACCACCAATTGATACAACACAGTCGGCATTCACGGATCCGGCTTGCTTTAATGCTTCTTCGGTTACTTCCTTCGGCGTATGCATTGTGACTTGAGTAAACGAGCCAGCAATCTGTCCATTTAAAATTTTCGCAATATCGTCAACATAAGATGTCTTTGTAGGCGTTGTCAATATGAGTGGGTTGGTACAGTTGAGCTTGGCAAGTTCATCGGGAAGCTTGGATAGGCTGCCCTCTCCAAAGATGACTCTTTGGGAGCTCTCAGTGTAGTCAAAAAGTCTCATTTTGTAGTAGTAGATTGGAAAAAAAAAAAAAAAAATGTGCTGACAGTTCTAAATAACGTATGTAGCGGAAAAGCTCTAAAAGATTGGTATTTAGAGAAACGGGCTATAGCGTTACATATATCTTGATATGTCAGCTTAAAGCTCAACTCAATTACTCGACCAGAGGTGACCAAGCTATTACGCAGTTTAAATGTCGCCGCCGCCGTCATTTACGTTGCCATGAATCAGCACTTAGTAAGTTCTGTCTGTGCATTTATGGATCCTGGTCCACCAAGATCTTAATCGGAGGGCTACTGGAAGCGTTCCCTATACGTCGGCATGATTGTGCGGCATTCTATGTCGTGAATTGATTCAACTTTCCCTGACATCAGATTTTATGTTTTTATTCAGCCTCATAGCGTCATTTGCTTGATCTACAGTCCAGACTTTCGCTGGGCTAGGGGATGGGTGTCAGCCAAAATCCATAGACGACTGTAGTGGCGCTTAGTTGGAGACATTGTATGTATTTAGCGAATGGTTAGCACCTACAAACGCAGTCACGTGCAAACACGTTGATCCCCAATGCTCGCTGTTGTGTTAGTTCTTCAGCCAAAGTATGTAAGCAGCGGAGGTTCAATCTCAATCCATATACTGTTCCCGTCCTATTTAATATGAAATCAGCAAGTTGAGCAATGGTCTCAGCATATTGAAGAGACTTAAAGACAAAATTCTATTCCGCGGAGCGTGTTCATGGTCGTGTTGTCAAATGTCTGCAGAAGCTCTTCCTGTTGAGATCCCCGGAGCTCAGGCCGAGCCACCGGATTCGCGAGACGGCGAGCCCCCTACAAAGCAGCCGAGGCGCAGAGCTTGCAACGAGTGCAAGCAGCAAAAGGTATGAGAGTAATATCTACCGTTTACACATGGTATTTTTTCATGCATTAATGGCTCGTACTTTTTACAGCTTCGGTGTGATTTGGTTGCCAATGACGCTGTCTCTAGCATATGCTCTCGCTGCCAGAGGCTCCAACTTACATGCAAGATAGACAACGGCTTTCGTAGGACGCGGAAGAGAAGGTAAGCCTTTTGAAACTAGCGACTAACGTAAAGGGAGCTAACGATATGATGTCTCATTTCCAGGAAATCTTTCGAGCTGGAGAATGAAGTCAGAGAGCTTAAACGCCGACTGGCCACCCGTGAAGCAAGCAGTAACGCAGCGATCGAATGGCCAATCATAGCTCCAGCTGCACCTTGTTAGTATAATTAAAGAAAGACTGAAGTCACCGCATAAACCGCCACGCGAAAGCTAACGGTGCTGCTTTTTATGTGTTACAGCAGAGACTCGGGCCAGCGATGCTATCCAATCATCAGCCTCCAACACGTCAGGCCCATCGTTGGATCCAAAAGAAAGCTCCCGTGTCCCTGGCTTGACGACTCAGCCGGTCATTGACCAGCCTCAAGCGGCGCGAAGATCAATCATTGCCATTCCAGGGCCCAGGAAACTAGGCAATGTTGAGCTCTCTGTCGAAGAGATTGATGAACTATATCTGATGTAAGACTGTCAGGAATATCTATCCTGTTGAAATTGGAATGAGCTCACAATTTCATGTAGCTATATACTCCACTACCATCCATATCTACCGTTTCTGGATCCAGGGACAACCATTCACGAGTATTACGAGTCATCTGAGCTGCTTTTCTGGTCCATCATCTCTGTCGCTGCTCGACGGCTGCAGAGCCATCCAACGCTTCTGCAGAAGCTGGCAAGAAGTGTTACAGACTACCTATGGAAGACGCTTCGCTCAATTCCTTACTCTCTTAGAGTAGTACAAAGCCTAATACTTCTTTGTACTTGGCCATTTCCGACTAGCAGTAGCACTGCCGACCCAACGTATATGCTAGCAGGCATGATGGTACAGCTTGGGACACAAATGGGTCTTCATCGCGCACTTAGTGCAGAGGATTTCGTCAAGGTCCCTCTGCATCTCAGCATGTATGAATATTCGGAATGGATCAAGACATGGGAATCTTGCAATATTGTCGCACAAAGGTAACACGACATGCTCAGAGAAACGTTTATTCAATTGCTGTGTTTCATAAATCTAATTTTGTCGCAGCGTGAGTGTTGGATGTGGCCTTCCTGCCACTATACAGATGCAAGATTGGTCCCTCACGATCGCGCCCGAGTCTACAACGTTATCGCCTCATGATATTGCTCTGAGATGGCATCTTCGCATTGAGCAGTTCAGGCATAGGGTGTCACAAGCGTTAACCTCCAATGCTCTGGATCCTGCTGGGTTTACGTCGGTTCGTGAGCGGCTTTCTCTCTATCGGCTTCTGAATGCGTCACTTGTTGATTTGGAGCGCGAGGCTATTAACATGACTCGTAATGAACCCTAATCCTCTCAACCTAAGTAAGCTGTTGCTGACATTCTAGCAGCCATAACTCGATGTTATCTCGCGGCCGCTCGACTCCACCTCCATTCGTTTTATCTCCTTGACGAATCAAGCGTCGATGGATATTCTGACCGCATCGTGGTATTATATCAAACGGCATACTCGCTAATAGAACAGTGTCTCGGGATGGACAACGAAGAAAGTGGTTTCTTCCACTATTGCCCTTTTTTTTGTTATCAAGTTTTCGTTTCTGCAGCCTTCATAATTCTCAAAGTCATGATGAATGGATATTTCGAAAAGCTACTCGACGTTGAATCAGGTAAAAAGCTCCTCGACGCTGCTATATCATCACTTCGAAAGATGTCAGTTGCGAACAACGACCTTCCTGGCCGGCTCAGTGACGTGATTGGGTTTTTCTGTACTTTAGCCAACCCTCGTGTTATCAGCGGCGACTCGGTTGACGATTTACGCCTGCGTGTTCGAAATCGCCTTAGCATGAGCATCGTTTATGACTCCCTCTGGGAATGGCGAAAGCATTTCCAATCAGATGGGAATCGCGACGAAAACTCTGCAGAAGCACCAGATAAGTGGACAGATCCCTGCTGCGGCGTTCTCACTAACATCGTATCCACAGCTGCTGTTTAGTTCTGAAGATATGCAAGATGCGATGATGTTTGATCACCTAAGCAGCCTGGCAGATGGATTTAACTTGGATTGGCCGGGATGACAGCGTTTCAGCTTTGCACTGACGTTCAACAAATAAGACACAACACAAATAAGACAACGTACAATCCATATACCACACGGCGACTTAACGGTCTCTTCGTATTCCATACATACTTTTATATTCAATGTAATCTATAGAAGCAAACTTTGATTCGCAATCAGTTGGTATATTTACACTCTCTCATACAACTGTCCCCCGGCAGCAGCATCCACCGCAGCCGCCTCTTTCAAGCCTACTATCGTGAACAACTTCTTTGGCGTAAAAGTTGGGTCAATGTCAGTGACGCCAGTCTCCTTTATGCGCTTATATGAGTTGCGAATAGCTCCATATGCCGGGGCAATCGCAGCAAAAGGATAGATGATGATTCTGAAACCCATCTCCTTTGCCTGAGCTACAGACCAGGATGGCGTAGCTCCGTTCTCGACCATGTTCAAGAGGACTGGGGTTGGTGAAAGCACTCGGCACACCTCTCTCGCCTCTTCTTCTGTGGTAATGCCCTCGAGGAAAGCAACATCGGCACCGACAGCAACTGCAGCCTTTAGACGACGAACAGCCTCTTCAAAACCATCGGTCTGCAGAGCATCTGTTCGGGCAATGATAACAATGTCTGAACTCAGCTTCCCTCTGGCGGTAGAGGCAGCACTAATACGTTGCTGAAAGGTGTCGATGCTAACAACCTCCTTTCCTCCAAGGTGCCCACAGCGCTTGGTCTGAATTTGATCCTCGATATGCAGACCAGCGACGCCGCTGCGGTGGTATTGTGCCACCGTGCGAGCAACCATGTTGGGCCCGCCGTAACCCGTATCGGCGTCAGCAATGACGGGGACGCGGGGGTCCAAGTTGGCAATCATTTCAGCATGTTCTCTCATGTCATTGAGCGAAGCGAAGCCCAAGTCTGGCTGGCCGAGCTTTGAAGCACATGTTCCAGCTCCCGTCTATGAAAGACAATTTAGTTAGCACATTGCAAGATTGCATTACATGCATTTGTTGCCAGCGCAGGCAATTTACCATGTAAAGACCATCGAATCCAACTTCTAGCGCAATTCTAGCGCTGAAGCCATCATATACGCCCGGCAGAACAAGCAACTCATTGCCTTCAGCGAGCATTTTTCTAAGCCGAGTTGCGGCCGGAGTGGGGCTGGCCGCATGGCCGTTTGTCCCGTTGGAAGTTCCATTTGTGTAAGTCATGTTGATGTTGGTGTTGTTGAGACTGACGATACCTGAATGATGAGTTCAAGGCAAAGAGGTTAAGATTGCTGGTAAGAATTGAGTAAATTCCAAAGGTTACGGTACAGTGTTATATATCCATCTCTAGAGCCACAACGATCTTCAAAGATTTATGGATCTTGGATGAGGAGCAAGCCGATCGGCGAAACGTCTCCGATCGGCCAGCATCCAACGCCGATCGGCATCATCATCGTGAGATTCTTGGCAAAAGCCAATGCGCAAACTGTTTTCGTTGCTAAGCACTAAACCCCAGATTCTCCATCTCATCGAGAAACTATAGAATAATAGCTAAATTAACATCTGGGGTCCCCGCGTTGATGCTCTGCCGGTCCGGGGATGGATTTGCGCTACTGCCCCCAGCTTATTGTCTAGAACTCAAAGTATATAATTCCCATGATGCATCCTCTTCTTCTCTTGCCTATCCTGAAGAGCTTCTATCGTTGTGCCATGCTTGCATGTTCACAGTGCCGATATATACTCTCTGATGTGGCAAATTTAATCGTATTCGACTGAGTACATTTACTCAACAGCTTCGACAATGTCCTCCGATACTGTTCCAGTGGGCGATGTATCTCCTTCCGTGAAGGAGAATACAACTGGTCTTGAACATAAGGAGTCGAGTCCTAATCTCAGCATGGAGAAAGGTGAAGTTGTTCATGACGAACATGTCGACACGCCGGAGTGGCGAGCACGCGAGAGAAAGCTGGTCCGCAAACTTGACATGACTCTGCTGCCTGTAGTATGGATCCTATACTTGTTCAACTACTTGGATAGGAACAACATCGCGTATGCCCTTGAGTTGGATCGAAGTCATATACCCTATAATTATATGCTAACGTATATTGCCTTAGGCAAGCCAAGCTGAATACCTTTGAGAAAGACCTTAAGCTACGCGATGACAATTTCAATACCGCTGTCTCTATCCTCAACGTTGGGTTAGTTCTCTTGCAACACAACCACTATTTTAGCTACCATATCTAATTGATAGACAGATACATGCTAGCCCAACTACCATCCAACATGCTCATTACTCGAATTAGACCCAGTATCTACCTGCCTGCTTGCGTCGCCGTGTGGTCATGTGTATCTGCTTCCACAGCAGCTGCACAGAACTATGGAAATCTGATTGTGATTCGGTTCTTCCTTGGAATTGTGGAGGCTCCTTTCTTCCCAGGAGTAAGTCATAAACTGACATCTCAGTATAACAATAGTACCGTATATGGGCTGACTCGTTCTTCTCCGATAGGCATTTTACCTTCTGTCATGCTGGTACACCCGAAAAGAGCTAGCCTTACGTACCGCCGTTTTATACTCTGGCCTTGTCCTCGCAACCGCGTTTTCAGGCTTGATTGCAGCTGGTGTGTTCTCAGGCCTGGATGGGGCCGAAGGCATACCGGGCTGGCGATGGCTCTTTATCATCGACGGCGCAGGCAGTTTCTTTGCTGCAATGGTTTCCTTTTTCCTGCTTCCAGACTACATCGAATCCAAAACTGGAAGTGGCAAGTGGCTCTTTACAGAAGATGAACGCGAATTGGCCGCAAAGAGAATGGCTTTGGATCGCGTATCATTGCCAGATGCTAGTCACTCTGTCTGGTACGGCGTGCGGTTGGCTCTGAAAGACACCCGCACTTGGATATTCGTAAGTTACCTCGTCTTTCAATGATAGTTGGATAATATTTCTCAAATGACCTCTTTTAGGTGCTGCTTCTTTGCTCGAACCACACTGCCTACGGATTCAACTACTTCTTTCCCACCATTGTGAATGGCTTCCATATAGGTTCACAGACAATCACCCTCACCCTCACAGCACCTCCATATCTCTTTGGTGCAGCAGTCTCTTTTATTGTTGCGTACTCGAGCGATCGCAACAACGAACGAGGCTATCATATATGCGTTCCCATGGCCGTCGCATCCGTAGGTTTCATCATCTCGGCTGCTACTCTAAACATAGGTGCCCGCTACTTTGCGTCTTTCCTCTACTGTTCGGGCGCTTTCGCAGCTAATGCCATGGTCTACTCATGGGCCGCAAGTACACTGAACCAGACGCCCGAAAAGCGCGCGGCTGGAACAGCAATCGTCAACTTACTTGCCCAGCTCGGTAATATTTGGAGCCCATATTTCTTTCGTCCTGGCGATTCGCCCCGATATGCGCTTGCCATGATACTTATGATGGTGTTTTCTTTTATTAGTATTACGTGTTCTTTGTTACTAAAGTTCTTACTCCGGAGAGAGAACAAAAAGATATTGGCAGAAGCAGAGATATCTGGACAGAGTGTTACGCTGTTTACTTTGTAACTAGGATCGATACGCTTGGTTATTAATTACAAAAGTGGCAAGTGATTCACTACATTGCTGAAGATGCAGCTCTTTTCATGTTGCTCTATAAATCCTCTTGATACCTTGCATACACCCACGGTATATATCTGCTATATATGTACTTGCGTAACCATGAACGATTGAAGAATAAAGATGAATTGAAAGCATCGCACTACCTGTATTAGCATAATTCCCACGCTCACTAGTGCAAAAGATCTTTATACACACACACACATATATATATAACGGTCCAGGCTTATTAATAGTAATACAAGATACTTGAAATTGAATAAATATTAGTTCATAAAATAGGGTGGCGCTTTGCTGGTAGTAGATAGTCATCGACATGTTCATGTATACAGTCTCTATGGGAAGAGACCAATCAGAATGGTACGGAGCACCAATATCTCCGGATGAATGATTCGATATCTTGATAATATCTTATTTGCTTCTAAACTACGCAGTTTAGTGAATATATTTCCCTTCAACATCAAGCGCGACTGACAATGCAGTATAGTGCTGTAGCTTCAGGTTATGAAGCGCACCTTTTTGAACATTGCAGCTTAGACTCTACACGGACCATTCGCCTTTATTAACGAGCATTTCCCTTTTCATTATTTTGTTGCAATAATTTTATAATAAAATATATTTAACGTCGATTAAATGTATAATAGTATCATCAAACCGTAAACATTAGGTACTGGCCTGGCCTGGTGGGCCTAATTCGCGCTGTTTTCCTTGTGTAGGATATGCCACGCCTAGCGAGTGCATATGGCGATCGCAGCTGCAGCTCTCAAGAGCGGTTCTTTAACGCTGTTTTAGCTCTCTTTCTTGCATACATAGGCGACCGTTATCTGCCACTTGACAACCAACGCTGGCGATATGCCGTGAAGGAGGAGTGGGTCAGTCTGTCTTCACCAAAAGTGGTCACCTGAACTGAGACATACAGACCACACGATTCCACTTTGGTTATGTATGGCCCGTGCGAGTGAGATCTACTGATACGGCTGCTATTGATGTGTGATTAGTTGGCGAATCTGGGTGATATTGGTGGGGCCTTCAACAGAGATACGTGTAAATCTTCGTTTGTAGATTAGCTGTAGATTATATGAATCCAAGGGTCCTTTTTAGTGACAGGTCAATATCAATACACAAGCAATGGCACATAAAAGCTATATGCAAAGCTGAAGTCCTGCATCCATACCACGGCAACGCAGTCGCCTGAGACGACTAAGGGTTACATATGTCGCATCTTCTCTACCTCATATAACTTTTCCTGGCGCGCCCAGATGTCGCCATCTCATGTCGATATTGCTTTAGCGTAATGATGATGAATATCAGGAATGCACTGTGTTATTCTAAATCTATCACGGTGTATAATAACCGCATCTCTCTATATCATATACCCCCCTCAAGTCTAATCCATTGTCTATCAGCGAACAAGAACGCAAATCCGACCCATCATCTAAGAATAACTCTAATCACTGCAGAAATTCCGACCCCGTACCCCATATTCCATGTTCTATCCGAATTTTATCACCAATACTTCCGTAACTTCTACTGAGCCAATAAAAAACTTGATGCGAATCATTGCGCCCACTTGAGAGCTCCAGGAGATGACTCGTCCTTCACGACATACTTGCACTTGGTAAAGTTGGTCCAGAGCTGTCCAACGAAGGATCTCTCATCGCGGTAGTACAAATCGCCGAGGACAGGCTTAATTGCCTCGGTGGCCTCTCCAGCATAGTAAAAAGGAATGCGGCTAAAGAAGAGTCATGTTAATCGCTTGCCGCCAGCAATGAGGGGTGAATAGCCAACATACGGGAAAAGGTGGTGAACAACGTGGTGTTCAATGATGCAGTGGAACAGGTGGCGGCCAACAAAGCCGAATTCTCTGTCCACGGTTGCGAGGGCGCCCTTGACGAAGGTCCAGTTCTCGGCCTCATAATGCGGCACCTCCATGTGGGTGTGGTGCAGGTAAGTGATGGCGACTAAAATATCATTAGCTAAACCGCTCAACGGAAAATTAATGATGGCATTGGCATTGGGACTTACCCAGCCAGTGGTGAACCCAGAAATAAGGCTGGGCATAAGCCAGCAGCACTGTGCTCGTTCCAACCACGCCAGCGAGCTTGTACAAAGCGAAGAGCATCATGCAGATGCCAACATCAGACAAGAAGATGAAAGGAGCCTCGCTGCGACGGAACACGGCACTGCTGGGTCCAAAGTGGCTCTTGCCCAAGAGGTTGGATGCGGGCCTCTGAAGACTGCCTGAACCGGCGGAGATGTTGAAGGTCAGATACATCTGCCATCCGAGAAGCTGGTGAGCGAGCAGTGCAATCAGCTGGTAGATGGGAGTATCCTCAAACATCTCAAAGGCGGACAGGATCCGCTTAGCGTAGTCAGCCTTGGTCCTGGGAACAAAAGCCATGTCCTTCTCCATGTGGCCGGTGTACATGTGGTGACGGTGGTGAGAGAACTTCCAGGAGTAGTACGGGACCAGGAGAGTGGAGTGAGACAAAAAGCCAACGACGTGGTTCAATGAAGCGTGCTTGGAGAAGGCACCGTGACCAGCCTCGTGGCCCAGGATCCAAAGACCAGTGCCAATGAGGCCCTGAACGAAGCCATAGACAATCCAGGCAATGGTCCTGAGGGTGGAATCCTCAATGGCGGGGATGTAAGTAATGGCGGCCCAGCCAAGAGCGCCAATCATGGCAACATCGCGAAACAGATAGGCCATGGAGATGGACACCTTGGGCTCAAAGCAATGCTTAGGGATGGCAGCCCGAATGGTGTTGATATCCGGGAAGCGGCTGTCATCCTCAGGCAGCTTGCTGAATCTGGAGTCAGCTTGTGTTTCTAAAATTGGGTCTCTGTGAGAGCACTGACATTGAGGCCACGGCGGCGCCTCTCTTGGTTACTGTGGTGGTGGTAGCCATCTTGAAATGATCTAGCCAGCAACTCAATGGGAGAAAATTGAGATGCCTACTTTTGAGGAGTGAAAGATTTCTTTTTAAGGCCACCTAGTGCCCCAGCTTAAGGCAGAAAAAAGGGACCAAGGAGAAGATCCATAGTCGGGCACGGGTATCAAATTTTCCACTCTCCTTTTAGCATTTGATCCAATTTTTGTGTGGTCTCCTCTCCTTATCAACGCCAACGGCGATAACAGGCGTGACTTGCTCCACGACGGCGAGTAAGCGGGCGCCCCGTTGTACTCCATGCTAAGCACAAGCTTCGGCCTCGTGTCGCAGACCGCTTGGAGTCCAGGCGGTTTGGCAACTTGAGCTAATTATAATTGGAAATGAGATCTTCCCACGAAGCGAGCTGGCCTTTTCTCTTTACCGCTCCAGAGCAGGGGCCTTCGGTTGGCCAGTCCTGAGCCTCAAGCTGCCAAGATCAACGCCTAAGCTGCACGTGTCGGCGGTCTAAGCACTTTGGGGTGCTTTGGGGCGTTTAGAAAACTATTGTCCAGGGCCTGGAAACGGTCCCAAGTAGGGATCTAAGGAGGCTAAAGGGGCCGCTACGTGTGTTGACCTATGGATGCAAAACTTCTTCTGCGGGGCTGCTGGAGGACCCCTGGACTTAGTCCTGAAGGGGACTGGGCCCTGCAGCAGGGGTCCAGCAGCAGAGTGGGGGGCAGCTACCAATGGGGAAGCTGCGATAATAATTTTTTTCTTCTCTTCGTTTTGTTGGCATCTCTTCTCGTCTCAACATTTCTCACTCTGCTCTCGCTATAATGCGCAATTATCCGTAGCACAAGCACATACGACCATAG